GAAAAAAGGCTAATTATTCCCCTTCGTGCCACATTTGGCCATTATCTGAAAAGGCTTTTTTTTTTTTTCTCCGTTTTTCTAGACACAAAAGGTGCTGTTTTTGAACAACTGAGTGATCTGAAGAATCTCCTGGTCCGGTAATAATCTTCCCAGTGCCAAGATTCCTTATTTTAGGACCGTTTGGGGATGCCTGTAACTTGAGAAGAAAATTGAATAGCTGTGTACGGCTGGCTGCCAGGTAGCCATTTTAATCTGCAGCGCCCCGGATGGCCTTAAGATAGCAAACTGCTTTGTATCATCAGGTCCATGTGAGAATTTTATTTGCTCTCATTAGTAATATTTCAGACAAAAAAACCCCACCTTTTTCATTTGAGAAGGTATTTACCAATGACCTATCTTAAATTCATGGATATACAGGGAAGAATTCAAATCACAAAGAGTTCTAGAGGCCAAGTTATCTGCTATACTTCCTAAAAAAACCAACCCCAGGATCTGTTCAAAGCAGCAACTATGTCCTTCAAGACATGGCTTGTTTCTCTTCTGTTGCTTCAACCCTGAGATAAAGGGGGTTGGCACCCTCCAATCTCATTGCTTTAACTTTTTCAAGCAAATTCCGTAACCACAAAGACAAGATACAGAGAAAGCGTTTACCTTTTAAAACAGAGAGAGGGAATTTTTAAAACCTTTAAAAAAAAAAAAAAAAAGCAAATGAGATTAATAAATTGCTTCCCACTCATTGTACTTTTAAAAGGACTGCAGTGTTTGAGGCAGTGTTGCTAATACTGTGCTCAATGCTTTATAAGCTATTTCAATGGACTACAAAAAAAAACTAAAGAAAAAAGAATTAGGGTCCAACTAATTATCAGCATGGGAAGCAATTTTAAAAAAAAAAACAGTAATTAGAAAAAAAAAGTGGAGAGTCACACTGTACCCCTTGACCTCGGAAAATATTTTTTAATTTATATCAACATTAATTGAATAATTCAATGAGCTGGGCTTGTGGGGAATAATAGCCGTTCCTTCCAACTGCTGGATTTCAGGCAAACTGTTCTATCTGATTTGGAAGCACAAGGCCAAATTGCCTGGGAGTGGAAGCATAATTGTGGCATTTCAGCTGCTGTCATATGATTGAATAACATTCCTTTCCAATTGGCTGGACTTATTTGTTGTGTATTATTAAAGAGCTGGGAGCTGATTCACCAGAACGATCTCATAAAAGGATCCTGTATTCCAGAGCTCTCTTCTATACTGCTTTTCAAAGAGGATCCAATTCTCTTCCTAATGGAAGAAACTGACCAGAAAAAAGGTGGAGGTGACATCAGGTGGAAGGTACAGAGTCTTCTGCCTTTAAGAGCAGAACAAAAAGTATCTCTAGAGCAGGGGGTCTTCAAACTTAGCCCTTTGATGACTTGTGGACTTCAACTCCCAGAATTCCTCAGCCTGGGAGTTGAAGTCCACAAGTCATCAAAGGGCCAAGTTTGAAGACCCCTGACCTAGTTCCTAACTGAGCGAGAAGGACAGAGACAAAGACGGTTAGTTGCAACTGGGGAAACTGCATACTGGCTAAAGACAAAAAAGACCCATCAACTTATGCGCATTGGTGAAGGGAGTTGCCACAGAAGTGTTGGTTCAAACATACCATCAAATGACAGTTTAGTGCAGTGATTCTCAATCTGTGGGTCAGGACCCCATTTGGGGTCGAATGACCATTTCACGGGGGTCGCCAAACCACGCTGTCCGCCATTTTTTTCCCTTTTCCCTAGCTGTCCTACTCCCTCTTATTGGTGGCCACACCCACTTGGGGGTCACCACAACATGGGGAACTGTATTATGGGGTCACGGCATTAGAAAGGTTGAGGATCACTGGTTTAGTGCAACAAAGAACCACCTTGAGAAATCGGGGGGGGGGGGGGAACCTGTCACCCTGTGCTGATTTGGTGCAATCATGCTTGGCAAATTGGTTTAATCCAAGCTGGATTCCCAACCCAGAAGCAAAAAAAAAAAAAGTCAAGCCCAATTCTGCAGACTTTGCACGGGCTACAGCAAGTCGCTATGAAGAGCATCCTGTCCCATCAATGCAACTGAAAATTGTCTCCAGATATTTGCTTTTCTCAATGTATTGAATTTTTCATGCTTCAGATAGAAGTGTGAATTTAAGGGGGAAACCACCACTTAACAGAATGAACAGAATGAATCTGTTGGGAGTTGGAAGGGACCCTTGGAGGTCTTCTAGTCCAACCCCTTGCTCAGGCAGGAAACCTTATACCATTTCAGACAAATGGTTGTCCAGCCTCTTCTTAAAAACCTCCAGGGATGGAACACCCACAAACGTCTGGAGGCAGGTTGTTCCACTGGTTGATTGTTCTCGCTGTCAGGAAATTCCTTCTTAATTCCAGGTTGCTTCTCTCCTTGATGAGTTTCCATCCGTTGATTCTTGTCCTGCCTTCAGGCGCTTCGGAGAATAGCTTGACTCCCTCTTCTTTGGGGCAGCCCCTGAGATACTGGAACACTGCTATCCTGTCCCCCCTCGTCCTTCTCTTTGTTAGCTTAGACATACCCAATTCCTACAACTGTGCTTCATATGTTTTAGCCTCCAGTCCCCTAATCATCTTTGTTGCTCTTCTCTGCACTTTTTTTTTCTCTAGAGTCTCCACATCTTTTTTATATCGTGGCTTGAATAAACCTGTAAACAGGCAGCTCCAGAATCCGTTTTTACAATCCCACGGCTAGACGATCTCCTACAGGCGATTCCCACCTCACTCCCCCTTTTCAGTTCTAAAATCCCCACGGCAGCATCCTTCAACTGCGTAACATCTGCAATCCGCTCCCGAGTGCCCCACAGGCAGGCTTAGGCTTGGTGCCAACATACCAGTTTCCTTATGCAGTCAGAGCATGTGATTTCAGCTGGACTGCAGGATTTCACTGTAATAACAAAAATCTGACAAAAGGAAGACGCCTGTCACGCGCAGGGAAAGATTACAGCAGGTATGCGCCTCGGTGTCCTCGACAAGTTTCAAATGAGGGATCAATCGGAGACCAGATTTCGTAGGGATGAATCCCTTCCAGGTTTTTTTTCCCCTCCAAACAGGACAAAGGAAAATCATTGGTTAAATCCAAGGTTCTTTGTCAGAAGAGGCAACTTTCTTTTCTGCTCCAAATCAATGTTTGCTAGAAATTTCAAGATGAAGAATCCTGATTCCCTGCTGAATCCTACAACATAGTGCTAAATTCCTGAGGAGCCTGGAAAGCATAAGCAGCCGTATCTTGGAAGTAAAACTACCTTTCCTCTTCCATTTACTAATCATCTGATAATCTTTCCCTAAGATTCTCTTCCGCCCTGCATTCTTGGCCTGATAGGGATCTGATGTGGCAATCCAAGAATCCAATAGCATTCACGTGCAAATGATTTAAAAAGTTTTTGGCAAACATTACTTCAAGCATGTATTTCTATGTCATTCCATCCATTTCCACTCAGCGAGAACATCATAAACTTTTTCTTTTAAGAAAGCCTTCAAAGCCATAAACAAAGCCTGTGAAGATGGCTCGAACATCCTGCAAACTCTCCTATTTTCCTGTCCACCATTTGCATCTCTGACCCCTGCTTTTCATAACTGCTCTCTTTCTGTACATTCTTGGCATATTTCCCACCTCACAACATACTCAAGAGACTCTGGTTGCAAGTTTTAAGGAGGTCTCGAAAGCTATTTTCCCACAGTTATTAATGATCCAAATAAGTCTGACCACCTGCCATTTCGGCCCCATTTTGTCTTGTCTGCAGACAATTCAGGAAAAAGCTACAGATCTTTGATCCAGGAGAAAGATCCAAAGGAAGGTTTTCTCACTTAAAGAAAAAATTGGCTTCGTCCTTTGTGCTTTCTCTTTTTAAACTTTGCTCCTCGCATTTTCACCTTCAAGAGACCATGCTGAGGGTGACAGCCCCAACTTTAGAATCTTATATGAAAAAGGAAGCGTCTGATACAAAATAGCAATGTTGGCAAACCATTAAGGGCAGGAGGAAACAAGAAGAGCCACTTGTAACACAACAACAACAACTCAGGCCGAAGAAAGCTACAAGCTTACAGAACAGGCTGGGCGTTCTTTAAGTGCTATCAGATTTTTTTTCTCTCTGCAACACCAGACATAGGACTAAATCCTAAGAAACACAAGGAGAAATATCTTAATATTAAAAGCGGTTTGACTGTAGAGCCAACTCCCAGCAAAGGATAGTGGAAATGTCCCTCGCTAGCGGTCTTTATATGAATGAAACAGAGGAACCTGCAGCCGTCTGGGTAAATTACAATTTTCTATCATTCCAGTCAGGGTAGTAAATGGCCAAAGATATTGCGAGTTGTCATTTGGAAACATCTGGAGAACCAAAGATTGTTCATCCTTAAAGAATATGAAGGCTAAGCTATTGGTTGGGAACACACTTCTAGTTTTCCTGAGATTAAAATACACACACACACACACAGAGAGAGAGAGAGAGAGAGAGTGACACAGGTTTCCTATTTCTGACCTACAGGGTCCCATCAACTGGCAGATGGAAAAAGAAAAAGAAAAAAAAGAACAGAACAGAACAGAAGGACATCCTGAACATTAGGCTTACAAGCCACAAAATAGCATCAAAAATGCCCAGGTCAGCAAATCTTGTTCCCCAGAATACCTCGTGGACGCGTCATCCTGCTACTTTCCAAAAAGGAACTTGCACAAGATGGCCAAGTCGCCTTTGCTAATGACAAGGAAGTCCCTGAAGCATGTGTGATTGTTTTCCGCTCCTTTCCAGACGGTTACGGATGAGGAAAAAAGGCTGCCAGGTAAGATATAAATCATTCCAGAGCAACAAAAAAAAAAAGGAAAAGAATACAAGACTGCCACAAAAAAAGAAAAGAAACTTGTTTGAATGATTGTCAGTGACATTATCTATATGCAGTACCAACAATTTACTGAGAGTCCCGGAAGGGAAAAACCACACTCTTATTAGAAAATTAAGCTCGACTTACTGGTTGAATTTCCTTGCATTTGGATGATGCATTTGGACTCTTTGCTGGTCTCTCGGGAATTAAAAGGTCTGACCCGAACAGCTACTTTTACAGAAGCTCCTGACATTTTGATGGTCTCTTGGGTGCACTCCAGAAATTAAAATTCAAGGATTTCCACAGGGTCTTCTAGTGTTAGCTTTTAAAAGAGAAAAAAAAAGAGCAGTGATTTTTTTTTACAAATACGTATCAGATAAACTGCCATTTATATAACCAAGAATGTTTGATGCATACACAACACAAATAACATTTCCTCGGCATGTAAAACAGTGAGATTATTCACACTGCTCTTTTACCAAGGAGAGAGAGAGAGAGAGAGAGAGAGAGCGAGCGAGCTAGTTTTGATGACTGACATCACTCATGACTCAGTCAAGCTTTAAAAAGATAGCCCTTTTCTGTACAGCTTGTTCATTTAATTGGTATAAGTGGCAAGTATAAAAAAATCCAACACACCTCTAGGGATTTTTTTCTAAAAAAAAAAAAAAAACAAAGACAAAAAAGCCTATGCAATATCTTTTAGTCTTTCTCCTTAGACATTTCTACGTTCTGCAGAGGACAGCGATGCTGCAGAAAATCAAACTAAACCATTACACTCTCTCTTCACAGAAGTAAAAATGCATTTTAGCTGGAAGAGAAAGCAGAATGGATATATGTGGGCAAATGAAAATGTCGTCCCCAAAGCATTTCAAAACAGCTGATGTGGTATCGGATAAAAAGCAAAATAGAGGCTTAAAATAGCATACAGTATCCTGCACCGGCTTCATTTGTTCATTGTGTTGACTGATACGGTCAGTATCTTTTTAGCTAACAAGCATGATCCGTATCTTTTAAGATCTATCATTACTCCTGGCGTGAAAAATAAACATTGGAAGACTTATATAGGTGCTTATTTATTGTAGATTTTTTGGTTTTTTTTTGGACATGCCAGAAAAAGAGCCAGACGCTATCAAATATTCCAGAATGTATACAGGAAATCTGCTGTTGTCCTTGCATTTCAATATGTATGCTCTTGATGCAGACAGCATACAGGAGTACTTATGGATACTCTTAATGTGAGATAAGCCCAGAAAGTAATGCTTTAAGCTTTGCAGCCATTTAAGGCCTCTAGCTCTTAAAATGCCTGAAGTCCCTCCCCAAATGTATCTGGCTCCACCCATTTTTTGGCACAGGGTTCTATACGGGCAACATAACGCCTGGTGCAGTCCTTAGGCCAGGGGTAGGCAACCTTGGCTCTTTTATGACTAGTGGACTTCAACTCCCAGAATTCCCGAGCCAGCCATGCTGAGGGGAAAGGGAGAGGTTTCCAAGCTGAGCCAGGCTGGCTCAGGAATTCTGGGAGTTGAAGTCCACAAGTCATAAAAGAGCCAAGATTGCCTACCCCTGCCTTAGGTTAACAGAAGCTGTGTAGCACTGCTAGGAAAAACGGTTTTGGCAACATTGAACCATTTGACAGCTGTCACACAATTGTGTTCGAGATACTTTGCCCCATCTTTAGCCATCAACTAATAAAGATTGCTCCTTCAGTCTTATTCCTGGCAGTATGCTAAAATAAGACTACTTTACATCTGTCCAGAAAGTAACTATGTTAGTAAAACAGATGGGAGTTTGTTTCTTCTCCAGCCTCTGATCCCAACTAAAGGATCTAGGTTGTGAGAAGAAAACACCATCATTTGTGGAGTCCTTGTACATATGAGGACGTAAGTGGCTCTTTTGTTTCGTTGGGATTTACTGTTTCATGCTGTCGGGGTGAATTCAACTGTTTTGTTGAGTAATGTAAATAACTCCAGGTAGAAAAGACGGTCTGGGTCTCTCCCTTTCCCCATCCAAAAGTTTCATGCAAATATGTTTCATGTCAATTAAGTTGCAAAAAGGTGGTGGTGAATTGGGATAAGGGAGTCTCTGAGAGATTTCTCAAATATAACACCAGCATCAGGTCATTATTTGGAAAGAATTCAGAGAATAGGAATCCCCTTATTACAGAAACATTTCAAGTTGGAAAATACAAGTTTAGGGTCATTGTCAAGGAAACAAACTGGGGAAGGGAGTGAATTAAGAGAACAAGAAACTGAATCGCAGAAATACATCCCCAAAAAACTAAATAAGATTAAAAAAAAATGTCTCTGGATCTAAGCCCTAAGCTTACCAAATATTCTTTCTTTGATCAAGACATTTCTCTTCAATTGTATGAAAAAGGCACTTTTCCCCACAGACACAAAAGCAGCCATCTTTAAATAATCAGAAAACAGTTGAAATATCTCCAAAATGAAAACACTTTCTAGCTTAGCACCTAAAGTCTAAGCGCTGGGTTGCTACTCGCTCAAGTGACGCCAAAAAGAGCCAAAGTCAGTTTGAAGGAAATGTGGATTTTCTTTGTTTCTAAACCACAGCTGACAAAACTATAGGGGCTCCAGAGATTTCAGGTGACAGTTGCAGAATCTCTATCAGCAAGGTCATTGACTAATGCAAGCTTTCTCTAGAGCAGTGTTTCTCAACCTTGACAATTTTAAGGCATGTGGACTTCAACTCCCATTGCTGGCTGTGGAATTCTGGGAGTTGAAGTCCACATGCCTTAAAATTGTCAAGGTTGAGAAACACTGCTCTAGAGTAGTCATATAATTACAGCGTTCCCATAACTCTATTCCGAAGACCTGATAATGCAGCAAAGATAATAAAATATAAACATGTCTAAAGGCCAATGCCTGTGGAGATTCTCAGTCACCCAGGTCTCAAAGGTGTTTTTCCTTTTTCAAAAGGCCACTGGACTGTATTTTTCCTTGAGAAAGGAAAAGAGGAAAATGTTTCACTTCTCCTTCAAGAAGCTTCATCAGTTCTATTTCATCCATCCGCCATCAGAACTGATGAAACCTCTTAGATGAGAAGTGAAACCTCTTCTCCTCCTCCTCCTCCTCCTCCTCCTCCCTCCTCAAGGAAAAACAGTTCAGTCGCCTTTTCACCAAAAAAGCATCTATTGAGACATGTCTAAAGGCACGTATGATAATGGAATTAACCGGAGGGCAGATTACAACTGTCCTGCCAAAAGCAATTCAAATGATTGGATTTGTGTAAGTTGCTTAACTGGGACATTTAAAGAGCCAGAGTATCGTGCAACCCTCCCCCCCTCCAATGCCTGAACATTTCTGAAGCAGAATCAGTCCCCAAAATAACCTGTGGTTCTCTGGATTAGGCCAGGGGTTACTCTGAGCCAGGCTGTCATGCAAATGGAAAAGGTGAACTCTCCGTGCTGACCTCAGGCTTATAGACAGTTCTACAAAAGTGGAGCCTATCCCAGGAAGCCTAGTTTTTACAGCTGACACACACACACACACACACACACACACAGAGTGAATATGCAAAGGACTAACAAAGGGGCAGAAAGAAGATGGGGGAGGCTGCCTTTTGAAAGAATCCCAGTACAGCACCAGGACAATGACGATGATAACAAAAGCAGGCAGCGTTCCCTTTGTGACGTTGGCTTGTTAGAAGTTTTAGGTCCTTTGATCAGTAGAACTGCCCTTCCATCTTATTGAGTTAGGTTGCTATATGTTTCCGTGTAAATGAAAGGAGCAATAGCAAGCCTATGAAGGCTGTCAAGTTTGGGATCCATCACAAAATCCATGTTTTCGTAAAGCTTATACTGCTATGGAAACAGAGCGTGACACAGCCGGCTTGTGTGCAATCTATTAAAAGGTACTCCAACGGAAATTAATGGAATGGGCTGCTAAAGGTATCTGACAACGGCTTAAAATACCTTTCATTCCTCTTTCTGTAACCGTAGTCACAAAAGAAACACAATAAATAGGGGGGGGGGGAGAATATTCACAGATTCTGCTGTGAGGGAGGAAACCTGGCCAAGGCTAAGAGAAAAATAATAAAAACGGAGGGAACTGAAGAAAGCTGGAATATTTTAGATTCAAATGAAGAGATCTGCTTCCAGAACTATCACGAACATAAACACACAGCTTAGAGGGACAGCTAATCTACCCCCTCCAACCCCACCCTACACAATTCCCCGACAAACCAAACAGACAGCGTGGAGTGAACAAACACACAAGGGGTGACAAAAGTCTCACAAATTCCAGGGAGCATTTTAATTGAGCGACTCATCGGGTCGTTCTTACCATCCTGCCATCCTATCCCTGACAGAGCTCCTGGAAGACTGTCGGATCATAATCCCAATATGGCTGCCTCTATAATTGTGCTGTGCTGGATACTGTCTAGAGGAAGGGAGGACACATAACAAAAAGGAGAACACCTCTCTTTAGGGCTAAAATAGTTTTAAACAAAAAGCTGGGGGGGGGGGGAGAGGACGGAAAAGGACAAAAGAGACAGTTTGCTGCAGTTCCCCCACAAATCACTGTAAGGAATCAGGTTCAAGTTAAGACTGATTAACTTGAGCAGACGGGAAAAAAAAAAAATCAGCCTCCAACCCCACCCTGCTTCTGAGATGAGATGGAGTTTAGGCTGCAGCACTGTGGCTCAAGGAGAAAAAAAAATGTAAGCTGGAAATAATCAATTAGGAGAGATGGGCCCAATCCAGAGCAGAGCCTTCAGCACAGTGCTGAAAGGCAGAGGGCTCCATTCGGAAAAGTCATGAAGAATTTCTCATCAGTTCCCCAATCTCAAAGTCTCAGTTTGACTGACAGATGTTGATTGGAGTGTGTCGGGGAATGTATCATTTAAACTTCCACACTTGGAACTCTAACCAAAACACAGGAGAGGTGGAGGAAAGGGGTGTGTGTGTGTGTGTGTGTGTGTGTGTGTGTCCCATTTCACTGGTTTGGGAAGCTCCCCTTGCCAACATGTTTAAAAAAAAACAACACCAAAAAAACACAACAGGCTGCCACAAGATCTCGCCATAGCTGCAAAAAAGTCTCCAGGGGGAACATGAAGTGGATAAAAGGAATGTGGGGAAGGGGAGGGGGAAAAAAACCCCTGTGAGGACTCTACAACTGGAATTGACGGGTTGAGGGATAAAACACCAGATTCCTTGAAAAGAGAAAGAATTCAGGAAACAGGCTTCCTCCTAAACTTATCAAAGTAGAAAAAGCTTAGGCAAAGAAATTGCTGGTAGGACATGAATGTGTGTATGTGAGTGCGAGTAGCACACACAAATACTGACCCATAAACAAGAGGCAGCCTTGTTTATTCAAAATGGACTAGTGGGCTTATAAAAAGCTAAAGAACTATGATGCAAAGGCATTAATAACAAATGCAAACCTGCACACAGTAAATGCAGATGCACCAATTTTGTTGAATCTGCACACAGCTAAAGACATGGATTATATTACTGGGGTAATACGCCCACCTATTTGCCCCCAAGTTATCGGTGCCACATCCCTAAGGGTTTTGCACGCTAACCTCTCTAAATGCTTCAGTCAACTGCAGGTTTTTCAAACCAACAGGCCAGGAACAAAACAAGCACACCAAGGAGAGCTCAAACCTTACTTAGGAGTAGAACTATTTTGGAGATACAGGTATTTCTTTCCGTGTAGAGCTCATAAAATAAAAAAGACAGCTTTCAAAAGGCTTGATTACAATTAATTATTAGTATAATCACACTTCGGTTTCACAGTAATTATATCTACCCCATATATATATATATGTTGAGAAATTTAGTATAATTTAGTATAAAAATTTAGCATTTTTAGTATAAGTAAAGACTACGTAGATAGATAGATAGATAGATAGATAGATAGATAGATAGATAGATAGATAGATAGATAGAGACAGACAGACAGACAGACAGACAGACAGATTACTGAAATAACACACGTTTGTGTTGTGTCCTGGCAATGAGGCAAGAAAAGATGTTGCAAAATGACCCCGTTTATTTATTATGATGGGTTTGCTCCGAGATCAGACCCTGGGAGGGTGGGAAAGGGGTACTGGGCTGAAGCCTGGACTACAACTCCCATCACCTCACAACAGCATCTCCCACCCCTCCAGAAGAGGCCACTAAGGAAAATCCACCGTCCTCATCCTCCAACTAGATATTGCTATTTTTATTTTATTTTTTTAAAAGCCAAACAAAATTTGCTTTCCCTTTGGAAGAGACGCATCTTGACCGGGGAGGAGAAGACTTTTAAAGACAGGGAGGAAAAAAACAAAGGAGAAGAAAGAAAAAAAAAAGGGGGGGGGATAAATCAAGGAGGAACCATGATGGTCTCCATGGGCAAATGCCTTCCATCAGGCCAGACTCGCCATCATTGGTCCAGGGAGGCGTTGGCTGAGGAGGATGGAGATCGGACTCGGGTCCCTGTTTCTGGAGGACTCCAACCCCATCATCCCCGGCCAGCCCCGGTGATGGGCGTTGCAGCCCCGAGGCATCTGGAGGGCGCCAGGTTGGGGAAGGCAGGTGAGCAGGTGGCTGAGAGGGGAGCACAAGCCCCGCCCCTAACAGCGGCGGCTTCTCCTCAGGTCACGTGACGCGCTCGGGCGTACCCACCGCCTCCCGCCCCCCCCCCCACCCGGTTTCAGCTCGTTTTTTTACCTCAGTGCAGGGAAGGGCGGAGCGACACCGGCGCCACGGCGAAACTAACGGCTTCCCGGGAGGTCGCGACCGGCGAGGCAGCTAGCGGGGAAGAGGCCGCCGCCGAGCCCCATTACGGAGCTGCCCTCCCGGGATGGCGAGAAGCAGCCAAGGCCCCGCGCGGAGGAACGAACCCCTTGACAGCACCGCCGCCGCCGCTCTACTGACAAGGGAAAGCGACGGAGCCGCTCTCCCCCCACCCACCGGCGTCGGGCCCCGCCCCTTTCTCGCGGCGTCCCTCCAATCAGACGCGGGAGAGGGCCGCCCGCCTCCCGAGCTCGGCAACCGGCTTCCTCGCGGATAGGTGGCCGCGCTTGTCCGTCTCAACCCTGAGATGACGGCAAGGCTCAGAAGGGGAAAGAACGCCTCCGCTGCCAATCTCGGAGCGCCTCTAAGCCAATCCAATGAAGGGCGGGACGTGGGCCGCGAAGCCAGCCAATGAGCGTTCGAAGAAGGGATGCGCTTCTCCGCTTCAGTCTGGGAAGTCTCCTTGGGATTCTTTTAAGCCGGCGGCGTAGGAATGCCTCGGCGGCCCATCGCGCGGAGGGATACATTCGAAGGGGGGGCGATTGGGCATAGCGAGGTATAAAAGGGGAGCGCCGCGGTCCTTTTTTTTTCCTCTCAGGTTTACTGGGGGCGCTGAGGATTGTGGGAAGGCTGGGTGAATTGATTTGGGAATTGATTCAGGTCAATTAACGGAAAGCCGTGACGAAAGCGACGGAGAAAGAGACACACAAGCATATTAAACGGCGTAAATTAAAAGTTTGACCATCGCTGGCCGGCTTTGTTTTAAAATACACGGTCCTCCAAAGCGAGCAAATGAACGTCTGAATGCAGAAAGTGCCTTTGGCAGGGGTTGTCAAAATCAGCAACGCTCCTCCCTCATCCAGGTTTATGATGGGCTGGGATTACACAACCCATTAAATGGAGAAATTGCAAGTGTGCCACTGAGAGGAAGATGATGTGTAGGAAAATGGGATTTTTTTTCCCTTCCTCCGCCTAGGAAATAACTCATCCACATTTAAATTTACTATGAACAATAAACCCTTTGGAATGTTTGCATGTTTTTCTCTTTTTTTGCATGTTTTTTTCTTTTATAAAGGCAGGTAGTCCTAGACTTACGTTCACTTAGCGACCAAAGTTACGGTGTCACTCAAAAAAAAGTGACTTGTTTTTCACACATCCCGTGGTCAGGTGATCAAAATTCAAATGCTTGGCAACTGACATGGACTTATGACTGTTGCCTCTCCTGCAGTCACGTGATCACCATCCGTAATCTTCCCAGATTGTCTTCCAGCAAGCAAAGTCGATGGGGGAAGCTGGATTCGCTTAACGACCATGTGATTCCCTTAACAACTGCAATAATTTGTTTAAAGATAGTGGCAAAAAAAAGTTGTAAAACCCACTTAGCTGCCTTGCTGAGCAATAGTAATTGTGGCTCTATTGTCATAAGTCCAGGTCTGTCTATTATATTATGGAATATGGGCACAGCTTCAGGGATTTTCCATTGTACAGTAACCTCAAGCTAGAGCTCACAATTTTTAAATATTTTATCTCTGTTTCTATTTTATTCTATTGATTTGTGGCAGCCATTTGCCCTAAAATGGTTTGTGTATCTCTTTTGTCCTGTTCTTTTTTTGTTGTTATTCTTAAAGTACCTTCTTATATGCCCTCAAGGTTTCAAAAACCTCCCCCATACAAAGCTGACTTACACAAAAATCAAAGTTGCTTAAACAAAATATAAAGGATGCAGGGCTTCAACGGTTAAAAGACTTAGACATTGGTATTTGAAAATAGATCTTTTAAATATTTATATGTTATTGTTTTACTTATCTACTTATCTAGGTGAACTGTTAATATATATGGCTAAGTCCATGTATGATATGCCATACAAGAAAGAGAAAGAAAGAGATAAGATAAAGATAGGAAGGAAGGAAGGAAGGAAGGAAGGAAGGAAGGAAGGAAGGAAGGAAGGAAGGAAGGAAGGAAGGAAGGAGGAAGGGATTCAGACAAGCTAAGTTACAAACATTTTTAAACAGCAGGGACTGGGATTACAGAGGCTAAACCCAAATTACATCATGAATTGAGTCCCATGGTTTATTCCAGGGGTCTTCAAAACTTGGCCCTTTTATGACTTGTGGACTTCAACTCCCAGAATTCCTCAGACAGCGTGCCTGGCTGAGGAATTCTGGGAGTTGAAGTCCACAAGTCATAAAAGGGCCACGTTTTGAAGACCGCTGGTTTATCTTGTCAGTATGTGCCCATCAACTTTACCTCGCTGGCAGAAAACATTCAGAATTTTTGTGGGTTCTTAACCCACAGGGTTCAATTCATGATGTAATTTTGGCTCGTTACCCATTATACGTCCACCTTCTCCAGAGTAAGAGCTGATCTGTGGCTCTGCATGAATGACAAACACCACTGCAAATGAAGATAAACAGTCTAGTGTGCATATTCTGGAGGGAGAGAGAAATTCTCTGATAATGGGCTCCAGCATGAACCCAAAGCTTGAAATAAACCTTTGGCCTGGTGACTGACACAGACTGAAATCCTTCAAAAATACTTGTTGTTGTTTGGCTCATATTATCGATCAGCGAAACCTATTCTGGTCTAAGTCTAAGCGCTGAAATATTGGACCTGATTCATTACAACTGAGTGACAGCTCATGCTTTTCTAGAACAAGCCACAATTCTCCATTTATTGCAGATAAATAACATAAGATTTGTCCAATTACTGTTCCCCTTGGAAGGAGAAAGACCAAAGAAGCAATAACTAGATTTGTCTCATTGAAAAACTGAGACCCTCATAAGCAAGCAACCAAATCCTTCGATGAAAATCACGTCCTAGGTCCTGTACAAAATATTTGTCATTTTGATTAAGAAGCCCGCCCAAAATACATAAAGGAGCCACGGGGAAGGGGGGGAAAGATTCTTGTGAATGTGTATCACCATTTATTGTTCTTCAAGAATTAGGAACTGAACAGAGGAAACTCAGCAGAAAAGAAAAAACATTTTCTTTTCAGGCTTAATTTGTTTAGTTTTGTCGTCTTTTTTTTTTTTTAAAACACTGTGGTTTCAAATCCTTTTCAAAAAGGACATTCAAGTATCTTTGAAGCAGAGGGCAGTCATACAAAAATGTTTCATCTTTTTTATATAGTTTCTTTTTTTAAAAAAAGCAAAGTCTACATTTTTTTTTCTGCACCCTTTTTGCTTTGGTAAGGCCAAGCCATGGATATAAAACTGGTACGCAACATAAAAATGGATCCGCCAGCTTCGACTCGGACGCGCCGAGAATAAAACAATCTGCTGTCCACACACACCCAACCCTCACCCCCCCCCCCAGAGACACACTTTTAAAAGACAGAGAGTCATGACCATTTAGCTTGTAAGATCTCTGGCTTTAAAAGATTTTTTTTCCTATATATATATATATATATATGTATGTATATATATAACTCTCTCTATATATCTTTTAAGTCAAGGAAACCCTCGTATTCCACTCCAATTCCTTTGCTGTAGCTGTTTCCATCTATAATACAAGGTTCTGGAGAAAAACCAACCCCAAAATAAAAATAACAACATAGGATATGAAGTATCTCCTCGAAACATAAAAGGGACACGTCAAACAACGTAAAATTTCAATGCGGCAGAATGAAATTTGCTACTGGATTGTGAATTAACTCTTCTTGCCGGGGGGGGGGGGGTGGCTTACCAAATTTAAAAAACAAAAAAGATTTATAATAGAAAAATACGATCCCTCCCCTTTTAATACTCCTCGCAGGCACATTTTGCTTTTTTTTTTTTTTTCCAAGATTCTGTCCTCTTGGGGGTGGGCAGGTGTCAGAGAAGCTATCTTTTCTATATTATAGGGAAGGTTTTTCTTCGTGTTAAGGAAAAAAAACAAAAGGAAACGAAAACTAAAAACCGAGGGGCAGGACCGTGCGGGCGGGAGAGGTGGAAAGAAATGAAAAAGTCCGGGAGGTTAGCAGCAAAACGTTCAAAGTTCCAACCACTATCAAATTAACGGAGATCTGGCAATATATTGTGTTGTTTTTTTTAAAACAAAAAACAAAAACAAAAAAACCAAAACGCACGCACGCGTACACCGAGGGCTGTGCCGACCCCGATCCATGTCGTTGGGACTAAACCGAATTCGGCCGTTACGCACCCCAGCCATGAAATGGAGGAGTCTCGTTTCAGAACACAAACAGGAACCTGCTGGATCCCACCCACAATGCTACTGACTGCCGATGCATCGCTTAAAAGTTATGTACAAGGGTTAAGCTGCGTTTGCGCTGGCGCCTCTCCCCCTTCGCCTCGCCCACGAGGTCCCAACGTCCTAGGTGGTAGCAGCAGGCACTGCGTGAGCCCCGGACGAGGCGTCAGCTCCCCACGGTTTTGGCATTCCCCTTCGCCTCGATCCGTTTGTCCTGCTCTCCGCAGTTGGCCTCAGCGTGTGCTGCCGGCGGGGTGACTTCAGTGATCTGGATGCTGCTTGTCCCTCATCCAAGCTTGGATTTGCTCTTTCAGCTCAGGCACTGAAAATAAAATAAAAAAGGGGGGGGATCAACGGGGGGAGATCTTTGGAACAAGCAAGCCGTCCTTAAAAGTCTAAGAATGGATTAAAAACAAAATAAACGCTGTGGGGAAGAGGAATGATTCATACTACTCCCCCGTGCGCTGATGATGTAACCGAGCTGGTTCACGAGATGTCCGCAGGAGGAGAAACAAGCTCGGAGAATACCCCACGAACCGGGAAAGACGACACAAAGAGATTCCAAATTGCGCTCCGGATCTGAAACCCAAACTCTCTCCCAGTTACCTGGTTCCAGCATGTTTTCCGTTAGTGTCTGGCGATTGAAGGGATCCGTGGAGGAGTTGAGAAGGTGCCGGAGGATGACCGAGCGGTCCATGATGGTTCCCGATGGCAACCGGACAGGGTCAGACATTAAGGTATCCATGAGCGGATCTGAAGGGACAGAGTCAACTCATCAGCTGAGTTTTAAATGTAGATGCTCGACAAATAAGCCCAGCCGCGCCCACACGGGATTTAAAGGACTGGTTGAAAACTACACGGCCTTCTTTTTATTCGTTGGACACGAGATCGCCTTGGCTTACCTCGGAACTCATCCGGAGCGTCGCTGTAGTCAATTTCGGCACGGGCGTTCTTGGCCACGATTTCGTTCACTTTCTCCGCAAGCAGCTTGAATTTTTCTATTGCGATGGTCGACTTGATGCCAGCTTTCCTCATTTTTGAAATCACCTCCTCAAAAAGCTCCTTGCTGTAAGACCTCTGCAAAACCAACCGATAAAAGAGTATGAAAGCCGCCAAGCCAAGTCAAGAGGGCACGATGAACACTCCATCTCTCAACACGCGGACAGACTCCAGCCCGGTTTCAACTGGGGAAACCATGGCGAGCGTGCTAGGCCAAGCTAAATCCAAAAACATGAGGGAATTCCCGGAAATTTGGCCTTCAGACAACCCGCCATCAATGGACACCTTGAGATAAACCGTCTTTACACACCGCTCCAATAAAAAAAGATAAGAAGGAAACTGACAGTTGATAACACATTCTCTCCATTTGTAAGCAGGGATTAACCCCAGACAAACAATCAAGCAGAAATCAATCCCCTAATTAAGCAACGGCCGAGGAGAAAACTGTACACAATTAGCACGATGTTTATAAATGCGCACAATAAAATAGAGACACGGTTCTTTAAAAAAAAAAATCTGGTCCCAGGAAAATCAAAATGATTTTAGTTAGATTAATTTAACGGCTGAAGCTGACTAAATCTATTTGTATCGTGTCTAACTGAACAGCTGTTATCGGTCTTGAAAATGGTTCGCCCCTCTACAATTTGTTGAAGCAGCTATCAGAGGCCTTTTCAGGAGCAAACCAATGCTAAAATAGATCCAATTTTTGTATTTGGGATATTCTTTCTTGAAGTCCAGCTTTCTAACCACAATGTCAACGCAAAAACATCCGATGTGCGTCTGAACTCTTGCCCGTAATGTACGGTCAGAAAGACACACTTGTTTCCCCCCCCCCCCCAAGATATTTTGCTACACTGAAGTAAACCACTCCACGTGCCTTACAGTTATTTTTTAATTTGCTGTCTGGAGAGAATGCAAATGGGAAGATCACTGGTGTAACCGTCGCCTAACAACTCCAGTTTCTGACAAGTCAGCATCGACTTGAGGGTCAGAAACGTGTTGCTTTCAATGGGAGTTGTGTGTGCTCCACCTAGAAGGAAGGGCTTAGCTGTTTCAGCTCACGGGAGAGAGATCTATCTCTTTCTAGGATTCCAGGAAAAACACCGGCTAAAGGAGATTTATTGGTAACAGGACGGCCAGCCAAGAGGAATTCCGTTAGAAAAAAATCCATCCCTCTTTTAAAAAAGACAGCTGCTTTGAGCAATTCTGGTTTTCCTATAAGGAGTTAACGCCCCGGACGGCTCTTCCATAAACAAAGCCATCAGAAGCATCTTTGGCTCCCGTTAGGTCAGCTTGCAAAGCTCCTGCAGGAGAGGGAAGCCAGAATGTGCTGGGCGCTGGCCAGCTAAATGCAGCATTGCTGCGGAGGACCTCTCTCCAGTTGTAACCCACCCAGCAATTCCAGCAGCTCCCAGGAGGAAAAGTTGCCTCCTGGCCAGCTTCCCAGGGCGCTGCGGCCAGTCCAGCTCAGGGAAACCGAAGGGATTCGACCTTCAGTTCATTTGCTCTTCCAGTCTCGGCAGGCAGGTGGAAGGAAGGAATCAATCTGAGCGGACAGGGCACGCCCACCGCTCCATCACATCTACCCACTTCCAAAAGCGATCTAGATTTATCTGCAGTGCAGTGACTCCTGAATCAGAGCAGAGCAGCAGGAGGAAATGAAAAAGGATCATGCGCTCTGCGATCCTTCGCGATAACTGGATGTTTTCCAGCCCAATCGGGACAGAGCTGGAAGGGACCTCGGAGGTCATCTAGTCCAACCCCCCCCCCCGCTCAAGCAGGAGACCCTATACCAGGAGTAGGCAACCTTGGCGTTTTTATGACTGGTGGACTTCAACGCCCAGAATTCCCGAGCCAGCTTGGCTCAGCTTGGAAACCTCTCCCTTTCCCCTCAGCGTGGCTGGCTGAGGAATTCTGGGAGTTGAAGTCCACGAGTCATGAGGGGCCATAGTTCCCCCATGCTGGCTGAGGAATTCTGGGAGTTGAAATCCATGAGTCATGAGGGGGCCATAGTTCCCCATGCTGGCTCAGGAATTCTGGGAGTTGAAGTCTATGAGTCATGAGGGGCCATAGTTCCCCCACGCTGGCTCAGGAATTCTGGGAGTTGAAGTCCACAAGTCATAAAAGAGCCAAGGTGGCCTATCCCTGCCCTATATACCATTTCAGACAAATCATTGTCCAATCTCTTCTTAAAAGCGATGGAGCACCCACAACTTCTGGAGGCAGGTTGTTCCACTGGTTAATTGTTCTCACTGTCAGGAAATTTCTCCTTAATTCCAGGTTGCTTCTCTCCTTGATTAGTTTCCCTCCGTTGCTTCTTGTCCTGCCTTCAGGCACTTTGGAGAATAGCTTGACTCCCTCTTCTTTGGGGCAGCCCTTGAAATACTAGAATATTCCCTCCCCCCTCTGCTTCTACGAAAGACATCCCATGATAATAAATGGAATACGGGCCAGGGTCACCCACATCCCTCCAGTCAAGGAATAGAAAAGATTTGGGGAAGGGGGGACATTCATGAAGTATCAGCCACACTCAAACTGCCCGGCCCGAAAAAAATTAAGAGGAATTTTCTTAACGGAATCACACACCCTCGGAAGGACTGGTTTAGTTGAAAAGTATTAAGGACATAAAGCTGAATTCAGAACATGCACAGTCCAAAAGTATATTAGAAAGGCAGTGATTAGGTGGGGCGACCTGGAGAAAAAGTTAAAATTTGCTTTTCCTAAAACTTTCCAGATGAGAACCACTTCAGGATGGAAAATAGGAAAACAGCTGCATTGTTTTCCCACGTGGACTGATTCTGACTAACGCCAGACTATTCCTCCCCCATGCCGATTGTTAATCAGAGAGCTGGAAAAGGTATTTAAAACAAACCAAGATCCACGTAATTTGGCACCGCCCTCAAGAACTTGCACCAACCATTTCATTCTGCTTCAAATTTTAATTGTCCAGGGATTCTGTTCAGCTCCCTAGAGGAGTTGAGCAGGTTCTCAACATCTTTCTCCCCCACAGATCAGTAGTCCTCGCTTAGCGACCATAATGAGGACCGGCAACTCGGTCGTGAAGCGAAGCAATCATCAAGGGAAACCGCAAAACTGAGCTTATGATTGTACTTCGGCTTTGCTTGACAGACTTGCGAAGGTCACAAGTGGGAGAGCTGTCCGTAACGTTATTTTTTTCATCTTTTTGTTTTTTATTCCACGATGATCGTGAATAGACACAAAATGAGGACCGTGCATTACGGAAACCTTTTGTGTTTTGGCAAAGGCTTTCAAGAATCCCGTGGGAGGATTCAGAACCTCCCTGGATAGTAAAAGTGTCTTACGCTGGGATGTCCGTGGGAGATTCGGGCCACCCACCACGTCCCTTCCCGGCTGAGACTCAGGCCTGTCGCTCACCTGATCATCCGCAATCGCTTTTGCGAAACGGGCACAATCCAGCTGCAAGTAGATGTCGGTCAGCTGGTCCAGAAGCTTCTTTGGTTCAAAGCCGTACTTCTCGGGATTTTCCACTTTCAGATCGCGGCACTTCGGGCCACACAATTGCTGAAGGTTGAAGTTCAGCATCGCAGCCAGCCGTGGCCCGAGCTCCTGTCCAAAGGAAATGGCAGAGTGTAGGTGGGGGAGAGAAGCCACAGCAACAGCACTTAGACTTATGTACCGCTTCGCGGTGCTTCACAGCCCTCTTGTCAACGCTGCAAATATTGTATATTCTTGTTATTGGCAATATGCAGAATTGTCTGGTAAATATGGGGTTAATAAAGAGCAGAAGGGGCGTTGGGGGTAAAGCCCGGAAAGAAAGAGGAAGAAAACATTTGACCTTCACACTCTGGAATTTAGGGAGGGAACATGCTGATAATTTAACTGCTCAGAGGAAGAGAACTTAGATCCTAGCATCCCTCCGTTGTGCCTGTGCCGACATTTTGTAACAATAAAAGACTTTTAGGAAAATAAATGCCTGGAAGTTCTTTGGAATGTTTCATTAGCAGGAACCACAACACCTCTCTCTAAGCCGTTTACAGAATCGGCCTATTGTCCCTCAACAATCTGGGTCCTCATTTTAACGGCCTCGGAAGGATGGAAGGCTGAGTTCAACCTTGAGCTGGTGAGACTCGAACTGCCGACAGCTGGCAGTCGGCAGAAGTAGCCTGCAGTACTGCATTCTAGCCACTGTGCTACAAAGGCTCCGTGGTGGTGAATCTATGGCACACTCAGAGCCCTCTCTGTGGGCATGCACGCCATCGCTCCAGCTCCGCCTCCCCCCGCGGCCCCCTCACCAGCAGCCCCCTCCAGAGGAGAGTTGCCCCCGGGCACAGCCCATGCGGAACAGCACAGCCAAAGACATGGCAGCCAGGCAGCGGGAACAAGACTCCGCCCTCATGCCGTTGCACGCAGATGATGCTGCAGGGCACAGGCAGAGGGTGTGGCCAGCATGGCGCTGCTGGATGATCTGCAGCGGGCCGTGGAGGTGGTGGGTGGCCCTGCGGGCAGGCAGGGTGGGGAGGCAAAGCGGTGCGTGAGGGTGGTTTTGGGGCACCCGGACTCTAAAAAATTCACCATCGCTGGACTCTGATCAAAAGGCTAATCATTTATAATCTGCAACCTGGACTTTGCAATCTGGACTTTGCCGTGGATCCCGGAGAGCCACCGCAATAGATGGCCTGGAAGCAAAGCCAAAGCTTGCTTGCTTCCTTCCAATTCTGTCCCTCTATGGTTCTACTCACGGGTCGGAGGAAAGGCTTCTGGACTTGCTTGGTGAGGATGTGAAACATGTCCACCGTTTCTGTGGCCAGGGCCAGGTAGGAGCGCGAGACCCTCTCGTCCTGGGCCAGCTGGGACTGCCGGGCCTGTTGCTGATCCTAAGAAGGAAACAGCCACAGGTAGAACATTTTACAACCCGTCTGGTCATTATAACCTGTAAGCCACCCAGGACCCGTGCACGGCTGTGAGAGTTGGATCCTAAGGAAGGCTGAGCGCCGAAGAACGGATGTTTTCGGATGCCGGGGTTGGAGAAGACTCTTGAGAATCCCTTGGACTGCAAGGGGATCCAGTCAGTCGATGCGAAAGGAAATCAACCGTGACTGTTTTTTTGGGAAGGGCGCATATGTAAGCCAAAGCTCAAAGACTTTGGCCACCTAATGAGAAGGGAGGACTCCTTGGAGAAGACCCCGAGGTTGGGAAAGACGGAAGGCAGGAGGAGAAGGGGGCGGCGGAGGAGGAGACGGGTCGATGGTACCATCGACACGAGGAACGTGAATTTGGGCAAACTCCGGGAGACAAGCGGAGGACGGGGAGAGGGGCGGCCTGGCGTGCTATGATCCAAGGGGTCGCTGACAGTCGGACACAACTTTAAACTACGTTGGACTTCAACTCCCAGAATTCCCCAGATGGGGAGGCGGTGGCTAAAACCCAGAGGCAGCTCACCCTGGGGAGAAGATCCCACTGCTCCTTGTTTTTCATCTCCTCCTGCACTTCGTGGATGCGTTTGAGGGACTCCAGGCTCTCATCCAGCAAGAACGTCGTGTCGTTGATCAGCATGTTGATATAGCGAACAAACTGCTTGCCAGCGCTGGGGAAGGGGGGAGAAAATAGAAGAAGAAGAAAAAAAAGACAATTGGATGGATTTCTTAGCTCTAATTAATGAGGACGACGCCGGGAGGATAAATCTGAGCCACATCCAATCCCTGCTCAGCCGTCTGAAAGTCCCTGGCATCCATTTTGCCTTCTGCAAAACGGGAATAAGAAGCTCGCCCTGTTGGGAAAATGCTTAGCACGGCAAAAAAAAAAAGACACAAACAAATCCACATCCCACCTTTGTGTGGTACAATCGCTATCAAACCATCTTATAGTGACTTTTCTGATTCGGACTTTTCTGCTGCCATCAGTTAAAAAAAATGATTTGGTCCTTCCTGGAAACACACCCAGCCCAGATGTGCAGGGTCCGTCCAGAGTCTTTTTCATGACGGTCCAATCCAGAACAAGCTGACCCGTAGCGTGACACTCACTTGAACTCTTCCATGAAGGTTCCATGGTGAGCTATGTTCTGCCACAAGCTTTTGAAGATGGTGCTGATGTGATAGCGGATCGTAAATTTGTCGTAGAATTCGCTGGTGGCCCCGGTGTGCTCCACGTCTGAGAGGGACGGGGAAAAAAGGAGAGATGAAGAGTTGTAGCCTCACTGAAATGGTTTAAGGTTTGGTATTATTTTGTTTTGTTATAGAGATAGACTGATCGATGGATGGTATATTTATTTATTTATGAGACTTATATACCGCTTTAAGTGCAAGCACTCTCTAAGCGGTGTACACCAGTAAGCAATGTATATATATATTTACATTGCCCCCAACAATCTGGGTCCTCATTTTACCTACCTCGGAAGGATGGAAGGCTGAGTCAACCTTGAGCCGGTGAGATTTGAACCGCTGACCTGCTGAACACAATCAGCTAAAGTGGCCTGCAATACTGCACCCTAACTGCTGCGCCACCTCGGCTATGTATAGGGTAGAGCTATATTTTATTTTAATTAGGATAAATATCGAGTAGTGGAAGAAGAAATGAGATTCGTGATAAAATTCAGGATTTAGGAGATTAAGAACTAGAATACATCTGGAAGGGATACCCGAAGTGATAATATGTTTATTTAAGGTTAAAGTGGATTATGGTAATTGTAAATTAATAAGGCTTAAAAACAGGATTAGGATTTATAGAAATTTAAAGTAGAAATGGATTATTTTAAATATATTATATTATCTGAGGGAAATAGAGAGGGCATATTTAATGTATTTACTTGGGTTATTTTATATGGATTTATTGCTGGATATTTGACCACCCCAGCACTACGGTGTGTCCCGAGCACTTTGTTGTAGGAGTTAAAGAAACTAATAACATTTGGTTTTTTTTTAAAAAAAGAGTTGTAGCCTCCACACACCCTCCCGAGGGTGCCAGGTTAAGCAACAGCAGCCGCATTCACACAACACCGTAAGCCAAAATGGGGCTGGATGGCTTGCAGGTCAGCAAGTTGTGGGAATTCGGTTGGTTAGAGCTGCGGGAGTTTAATCGGTTAGAGCTTAGCAACTTTTAAGACGGGTGGACCTCAGCTCCGACGCTGGCTGGGGAATTCTGGGAGTTGAAGTCCACCCATCTTAAAACTTGCCACAACTGAGAAAAGGAGAGCAGGAGATACAGGTAGTCCTCGCCTTTACGACCACAGTTCAGCCCAACGTTTCCGTTGCTAAGTGGGACATTTGTTAAGTGAGTTTTGATCCCATTTAGGGGGATCCCAGGAACAGCGCAGCCGTCATTAATACGATTCGGTTGCAAAGTGTCTTGAATTTTGATTGCACACCCAGGGAACGCTGCAATGGTCCCACGGGTGGAGTCACTTTTTTCAGGGCTGGTCATCAAATGAAAATGTTGTTAAGCCGAGGACTGCCTGTATTGTCGCCGTGTGTGGCTGCGTTGCCCGAGCAGCACAATTGGCACGCCTCTGGCCAGGGTGTTAACCCACCCGTGTAAAACTTCATCAGGGAAGGAACCAGCAACTTGACGGAGAGCGGATGGTTTTCGATCATTTCGAAGAACTTCTGGGTCCGGGGCTGAACGGCTGGGTTGGTCATGAACATCACCTCCACCAGCTTGGCCACCAGGTAAGGGTTCCGGATGTAGTCCTGGTTGCAGAGCATCACCACGAGGAAGGTCACCAGCTCCTGAGTGCAAGGCTCGTAGAGTACCTGAGGCGAGTATCTGGACGGGAAGAAAGGAACAACGGAGAAAGGCTTGACAAGGGTAACAGCCAAAGCAGAGAGAGATGGCATCCAGCCCATAATAGAGCGCTTATATACTGCTTCATAATGCATGTTTACAGCCCTCTCTGAGAGATTGACAGACTCAATAATCTGGGTCCTCATTTTATTGACCCCGGAAGGATGGAAGGTTGAGTCAATTTTGAGCCGGTCAGGATCGAACTGCTGGCAGTGGGCAAAGTTTAGCCTGCAATGCTGCATTCTAAGCACAGCACCACCAGGGCTCTTATAGCAACAGCCCTTAGACTTATATACCGCTCCACCCTAGTTTACAGCCCTCTCTGAGCAGTTTATAGTCAGCCTATTGCCCCCCAACAATCTAGGTCCTCATTTTGCCGACCTCGGAAGGATGGAAGGCTGAGTCCAACCTTGGGTTCTGTCCTTAACCCAGAAACCCTGGAGGGACCTCTTGGTTTGGCCTTTATTTTTATTTATCAATTTTCAGTCCACAAGAAATGAAGGGTTTTTTTCAACTTACTGTACAGTAAAAAACAAAAATTCCGCAATATCTTCCACGTAAAACTCAGGCATCGCTGCAAAGACTTTTGGGACGTCTGGGTTTAAAGGCAGTTTGATGCTGCAGACGGGAGAGAGGAAAAGAGATCCTTTACGGAAAAAAGACCCGCTTAATGACGAGCTACAACCGTAATTCAAGTCGAGAACTGCCTGTACTTTAAGGTGGCACTCTAAAAATTTTAGCATTGCCTCTAATGCCTGGATGTGCATTTTAGCGCAGAATTTAGATCTGAGCACAGCGGTGCACCATCAAATGTTATCCCTCTGGCAACAGAGACTTCAACTCAGGGGTCCCCAACAAGCGAAGCCCAATCCACAGGATGCAGGCAGCACACGAAACCACGTTCTCTCCGGTCCGCGGAAAACCCTTTCTCCCCTGAACCGGTCCCTGGTGCCCAAAAGGTTGGGGGGCACCACTTTAGCTGATTGGGCTTTTAGATCCCACAGTAGCCCAGCCCAGCAAGGGACGGGGAAACTGTGGTGCGTAACTCACTTAGGGTAGGCGGGATCAAGAATCCGAAGTAAGAGCTGGATCACCACGCTGTAAAAGTTGAGGCACCTCCGGAGAAAATTCTCATCTAACAGACCGGCATCTGCAGAAGCTTTGCACCGCACCAATTTCTGGGAAGGACACGCCGAGAGCAAAATGAAGCGACCACAACCTACAAGCTGTGCAAAGTAGCTTCCGCCCTCCCCGGGACGTTGCCGCAAACGCCCCGAGTTGTTAGCCACACACCTTGAGTTGGGTTTTGCATCGCTTCAACATCTCCCGATGCCGGGTAGCGAGGGGAGAGTCCTTCCACTGACTTTCGTTGTTCTTCAAGTCCTCCACGGTCCTGCGAAAAGCGGAAAGTGTGGTGGATTTGAGTAATCAGGACAAAAATGTCGGCGCTCAAACCATCGAAGAGGAGAACCATAAACTGGCCAGGTAAAGAAATAGAAATCACAGAGCTGGCTCCATATACCTTCCAGGAAACTTAACACTGTGCCGTGTGGTGGACAAGCAACATTTTTTTATTTTTAAAAGGGGGGTTTGAAGGAGAGTGGGAAATGGACTTAATACATCTAACTGAGGAATGATTTTTTTATTTTATTTTAATTTTAATTTGGGGGAAGATAAATTGTTTTTTGGAGACTGGATATTGTATTCAATCGATCAGCAGTTGATAAAGAGATGCTATAAAGAAACAAACGTGGATATTTGATCCGGGACCCATTAGGGTTAATATTTGGGATGATTTGGGATTGAAGCCACAGTAAATGTTTTTGGAGTTGATTACAAGAAGAGTGCGTTAACAGAGGATTTTGGAATTTCAACCTTATCTTGCTCTTATTAGCATTCACAATTTTTATTACTTTTGTACTTTTACATAATATGTTATTGTTTTTTTCTGTTAGCCATTTTGTTATTAATATAGTTTATAGATGACACGCTAACAATCTATAAGTAGATTTAGTAGCTGAACAGTTTAAAATTCTTTTGGCCAGTTCTGCAAGGGATGAGAAACCAACATTGCTGTATTATACTAATCAGCATCCAACTAGGGAGGATGTTGGGTGTATATATGTTAGTCTGTCTTTCTTTTTTTTAAAGATTTTTTTTCTCTTTAATGTCTTTTTTATTGTCCCCCCCCCTTTTTTTTTTTAAATATTCTGGCCAGGTTTTGGTCGAAAGGCATCTGTGCAAACTTGGGATGGTCAAAATATTTATTTGTTTGCATTTATTTATGAGCCCCTCATTTATTCAGGTTAACTGCCAAACCAGCTGGCCTAAAATAAGCTCATTAAAAGCAAGGCTCTACCAATCAGAACAAAAGCATCCAATTCCCTCTCTGACTGTTTGCAAAATAGCGGGGGGGGGGGGGTGTCCTACAGTTACAGTGGGCAGATTAGACAGCCCTGCAGATTCAGCTAAAACAGCTTCCAGGTCAGATGATCTCTTTCAAGCTTTTGACTTCTAAATGAAGCCTTCAAAGACTGGCTGGCATGCTTGAAAGAGATTTCAACCGCTCCTGCTCAGCAGTTCCAATACGACTGAGGCTGAGTGTGTGTTTGAGCTTACAATCCTTAAAAAGCAAGGGGGGGAAGGGGGGGGGGAAGGAGGGCCAGCACAGGGTTTAAAAGGCACATCAGAATAAGGAATGAATATTTAATATTGCATGTATTGCACAGCAGCGAGAATAGCATTTTGCCCAGTACTGGAAAAATCCAAACTTACCAACTCACGAGGTTTGAATTAAGAAAACCTTAGAATGTGCAGAAGTAGATAGATTTGTCTTTAGAGATTAAAGAGAAAGAAGATTCAATTTATTGTAGAACATGGGATATCTTTTACCAATGGTTTGGGAAACGAAACAAATGTGATATGCTATTTTGAATACATGCTAGTAAGAAGAACGATACCCATTGATTGATACTGCTTATGCTTATTGTTTATTATATATAGTACAGTTATCTATCACTTTGTTAACTATTGTTAGCTGACTATACGTACCCGGACAATAGTCTCTCTGCTAAATATTGAAAATGTTATTGGGGGATAACCCCAATGCTGATCCCAACCCTGTCCTAATCCTGACCCCACCCTAAACCTTAAACCCTATCCCGACCCTATTGTATCCCTAACCCTATAAAACAGTGTTTCTCAACCTTGACAATTTTAAGGCATGTGGACTTCAACTCCCAGAATTCCACAGCCAGCAGTGCTGGCTGTGGAATTCTGGCAGTTGAAGTCCACATGCCTTAAAATTGTCAAGGTTGAGAAACACTGCTATAAAACATAATAATTTTTTTTTTAAAAGGAACTGCCTTATAAAGGCAGGAAACCTATAGACTGACATAACCAATCGATCTGCTTCTTTCTCCTTCTCAGGGCTCTGGGACCCCAGCCCTGCTCCTTTGCTGCCTACCCCAAGGTCCCCGACTGCCCTTATGCTCTCACAAAGCCATCCGTGCAGGCGTGCTCTGCCCGGGTTCTGCCAACGATTACTCAACCCGGTTTCAACAATGAAGCCATTGGCAAGCTCCAAGGCGGCTTTCGGAGAGAGCTGCAGAAGAATACCCACGATGCGTGAGCTCACCGAGAAAAAAAAAGCCGCCTTCCCTATCTCCCACAGCCATCTGGAGTCGCCAAGCCGTGGTGTGCCAAGTTCATCTGGGCACACCATGTTCCCACCACACATCAACACTGCCCAGAGCTGTGCAAATGCCAATCCCTCTGGGCTTGAGGGGAAAAAAAAAAGGCTGGCACGCCGTTACCCATCGCCCGAAGCTCCCTTATGCATACAAAGCAGACAACTCTTTTCTCTCTTCTCTCGCTACATAAACAACAAGCCACGATACTTTCTCAACCTCGGCCACTTTAAAAAGGCTGAGCAAAAAAATGTTTAAAAATCTGTCAAACAAGTGTTGGAAGTGTAAACAAAAACCGGGCACTTACTATCGTATCTGGTGGACGTGCCCTAGAGCTGAAAGATTTGGATCAAAAATACACATAAGGTTGGAGAACGTGACTAAAAAAACATAGAGATTTTAAGCCAGAATTGTTTCTGTTAGGCATAATAGGAGGAAACTATGAGAAAGATTGTATAGACTTAATTTTACATGTATTAAGCGCAGCAAGAATAGTTATTTGCCCAGTATTGGAAAAAATGAAAACTTACCAACGGAAGAAGAATTAAGAAAATTTTAGATTGTGCAGAAATGGACAGACTGACATTAAAGATAAAAGAGAAAGAAGACTCAGGTATATTTTAGAACATGGGAGAATTTTTATCAATGGCTAGAAAAACGAATTAGAGAGAAAGGAACATAATATGTACTACGTAACACTGAATATATACTAGTAAGAAGACTATTGAGCGAAGAGAAGCTTTAAGAAACATACTATTAACTAACATATTGACTATGATAATGTAGAAATTAATCATTACTCATTGTTTTTTAAATACAGGAACCCAGACAACATGCTGTTTGCTAAATATTATGAACGTCCCATTCGTTATCTTCAGGCTGGTGTTTTCGGCTTCGTGCTTCTAGGAACGTGCTTCACGCTTCTTTGTTCCTAGAAGCACGAAGCCGAAAACACCAGCCTGAAGATGACGAATGGGACTTCATCGAAATGTCGCCAAGACACTTCCAATTATACGCGGGAGAAAACCCGAATAACCAAAGACCTACAAACACCTGCAAAAACCTCAGAAAACATATATATATATATATATATATATATATATATATATATATATATATATATATATATATATATATATATATATATAAAATTACATTAAAAATTGAAGAATAGCGATTCCTGGGTACATACATTTCAGTAAAAAAGGAAAGCGATCACCAGGAAGTAAAACACCAAGGTTTTAATAAATAAAATCAAGCTTTCGATGGCTAACATCTGCCATCATCGTCAGGATACAAGCCAGTCAGTGAGGAAACCTGCTTATAAGGCTATGCTTATAAGCAGGTTTCCTCACTGACTGGCTTGTATCCTGACGATGATGGCAGATGTTAGTCATCGAAAGCTTGATTTTATTTATTAAAACCCTGGTGTTTTACTTCCTGGTGATCGCTTTCCTTTTTTTTTTTTTATAGATATATATATATATATATATATATATATATATATATATATATATATATATATATATATATATATATATATATATAAAAACAAGGCAGTTTCCCTACAAGAGTCTTTCTAAACCTCAGCCACTTTAAGAGGGGTGAGCTTCAATTCCCAAAATTCCCCCAACAAGCACGGCTCAGGCTAAGAAACTCTAGCTTAGAGTATCAGCTCAGCACCTCAACTTTATTATTACAGAATAACCAAGTTGGAAGGGACCTTGGAGGTCTTCTAGTCCAGCCGCCTGCTCAAGCAAGAGACCCTATACCGTTTCGGACAAGTGGCTGTCCAGTCTCTTCCTAAAAGCCTCCAGCGAAAACTCACAATTTCTGAAGGCAAGCCGTCCCACTGATTAATTGTTCTGACTGTCAGGAAATTTCTCCTTAATTCCAGGTTGCTTCTCTCTTTGTTCAGTTTCCATCCATTGCTTCTTGTCCTGCCCTCAGATGCTTTGGAGAAGAGGTTGACCCCCACCCCTCTTTTTTTGTGGCAGCCCCTTAGAGATTGAAACATATCGCTATCATTTTGTTTTTTGCCAAAGTCTTGCTCAAATCCCCAAAACAACGAACAATGCATTTTTTATTTTTTATTTTTATTTTTTTGGGTAACCTGTTCAGCTCCCGGATGGCTCTGAGTCGACGGATGTACCGACGACAGCTCGGTAAGATGGAGAGGTGGTGGGCGTGGAGGGTCAGGAAGAAACATTCCGTGGGGAATTTTGGCTCGGAGAAGAGAGACTGATCCCTGGCTGTGGGGGAGAAAAAAAAAAAGACAACGAGACGGTAAATGAAAAAGGAGGAGAGGAAAACAAAATGCAACACGTCTGCCAGAGGATCTGAGCAAGGATCTCATCTGTCCTGCAAACCGATTTTTAACTGGTTTATTTATTTTTATTTTTTATATTTCCTATCCACCCCTCACCCTCAGAGCATCTCCAGGATCCTTCGTGATGCAAAGAGAGATGACAAGAATGATAAGTGCAAAAAAATATATATATTCACGGATAAAATTATACACCCTCTGGTCCGCGGAAAAATCTTTCTCCATGGAACCGGTCTCTGGTGTGCAAACGTTTGGGGACCTCTGGCTTAGACCTCTCCCCACCCATTAAAAACCACCTAATGCAGTGGTTCTCAACCTTTTTAATGCCGCGACCCCCCAACCGGTCGTAAGTCGAGGACTACTCAACTGGTGCAGCACCGTTTGCAGACTGGGACTTTTGGCGGGCTCAGCAGGGCAGAGACAGCCTGGACAATTCCCATTGGCTTTGGAAAGCCAATAGAATTAGACTCTATTCAAGAGAGTCGATTCTATTGGCTTTCAAAAGCCAATAGAATAAAAGGGAGCAGCACAACTAAGGAAAAGGGGGGAAAAATGGCGGACTGCGTTGCTTGGCGACCCCCGTGAAATGGTCGTTCGACCCCAAATGGGGTCCCGACCCACAGGTTGAGAACCACTGACCTAATGCAATCAAGCGGGGGGGGGGAACCCACTTTTCAAATTAGCCAAAGAAAGCTGATGCAGATTCCAGGAAAGGTCTCAGCCCAAACACAAAAGGCCGAAAACCTGCGATGAGCCCGGGGACCCCGAACGAAAGCAGCACACTTCACTCACACAGCTCCGCCATCCAGCTGCTGACATCCTCCAAGGTGGCTTTCACCCGGGTTTCGTCCGCAGGCACCATGATTCGACACCGAGGGTGGAAGATGTAGGACGGGTCGACCGTCTCCAGCTTGATTTTTGTGCTCAGCTGCTGCAGCACCCAGAGGAAGTTCAGCATGAAGCCATCGGTGGACACCAGCCGATCGTCCGCCTGCGGGCCCGACAAGGAGAAGTCAAAACGAGGAGGCAGGCTGGGTCCTGGGTTGATCCCAAGGCCTCCTGTGTATTTAGGTGGATACCACTATGGGAGAATAGTTGTAAGCTCAGGGTTAAAATGAGGGGTCCTTGGTGTTCTCTGAGCTTGGCGGTTTTCTTGCAGTTTCATGACCCAACTAGATAACGTCATCAGTGCTAGAAGGGAGTGGGGTTTGCGGAATGGAGGATGTGGATGAGGATTATGGGGGCCTTGGTGCTCTCTGAGCTTGGTGGTTTCCTTGCAGACATTTCACGACCCAACTAGGTAACATCCTCAGTGATAGAAGGGAGTGGGGTTTGCAGAGAGGAGGAGGATGATGATTATGGGGTCCTTGGTGCTTTCTGAGCTTGGTGGTTTCCTTGCAGACATTTCACGACCCAACTAGGTAATATCCTCAGTGCTAGAAGGGAGTGGGATTTGCAGAGAGGAGGAGGAGGAGGAGGAGGAGAAGGAGGAGGAGGATTATGGGGTCCTTGGTGCTCTCTGAGCTGGGCTGTTTCTTTGCAGACATCTCACGACCCAACTAGGTAACATCATCAAGGCTAGAAGGCAATGGAGTTTGTGGGGAGGAAGAGGAGGCAGCCAATTGATAAGTCCTTAGTGCTCTCCAAGTTTCGTTGTTTCCTTGAAGATGTTTCATTACCCAACTAGATAATATCATTAGTACTAGTCAGGATATCGGAAGCTAGTCAGGTGGATCTCAGAAGCCCAACTAAAGGATTTGGGATCTGAAAATGAGACAGGGGGCATCATACCTTTCAAATATCCTTCCCACAATTTTCACTCTAAATGGCTATGGATCGGGCTGCTTACAGCTTGAATTTTCCCTCTACCCTTTTGGCTGGCTTTTGGGAAAGCATGGGAGGCAAAGAAGTTGTGCTAAGCGTCAGCTTGGAATGGCAAACTCACCTGCATTTGTGCCTTTTTCACGTTGGCGTTGACCACGGCTGCCATGTAGCTGAGGGCAGCTTCCCGCGTTTCTCCGTTGAGCAGAATACTGTGCAGGATCTTGAACAACTCTTGCTAAACGTTCGACAAAGCGGAAAAAGACAGAAAGGCACCCCTCTTAAACAAAGCAGCACTCTCTCCCACAAGAGAGATAAAGGCAGAGAGGGGAGGGGAAGAGGAAACAATCCTTCCATTTGAATTCAGGGCTATACATTCCTGTGAGCCAGTGACCTCCCTTCCTTAAAACAAAGTGAAAACCTGAAGTTTCTCTTCAGCACACCTACCCTGGCAGATTCCAGGTAATGTTGCAGTGACTGGCTAACGACCCGCGTGTTTTCCAAAGTAATGGTAGGCCCAGAGAAATATTTTTCGACCACTCTAGGCTGAAAGGGCAAAACAACACAAAAATCAATTGTGAGTGCAATTCTACACTGCCTTTGCGCACAAAACCCTGCAAGAGGGTCCATTTTGTGCTTGTTTCTCTGGCCTGCTCTCTCTTTAACTCCCAACCTTCCCAGACAAGAAAAGTAACTGTGGTGTTTGTTTTTCCACCATTCTTCTGATGCTCTTTCCCCAAAGGGCTCATTTACATGAGGAGACACACCATGGTGGTCAATGGTGGTCAACATAGATCAACCATTGTCAACAATGGTCAACAGAAGTCAACGGTGGTCAACCACAGTCAACAGTGGTCAAGCAATGTCAATGGTGGTCAACATAGTTCAACCATTGTCAATAGTGGTTAACAGAAGTCAACATTGGTCAACAGAGTTCAACGGTGGTCAATAAAGATCAAAGGTGGTCAACAGTGGTCAACACATAGTTCACCCATTGTCAACAGTGGTTAATAGAAGTCAACATTGGTCAACAGAGTTCAACAGTGGTCAATAAAGATCAAAGGCGGTCAACAGTGGTCAACGTAGATCAACCATACGCAACTGTAGTCAACAGAATTCAACATTGGTCAACAGTGGTCAATGCTAGGTGGGGACTTCTGGGAGTTGGTCCACAGATCTTAAAGTGGCCACACTTGGACAACCCTGCACCAGAACTCCCATTTTCCCAGCAGAAGGCACCCCAAAAGCTGGCAGGAAGAATCCTTCAACTAGTCAGTCGGCTTTAGTCAAGGCAATTGTTTGATCTGATGAGAGCCACTCTTTGACTTCACAAGAGAGGCCTCTATTTCCCGTCTGAGCCTGCGACACTTACATCATCCTCAGCAAAGACGGAGAGGCTGAAGAACACCCCAAGGTAAGAGAGTCTCTGGAGCTCTCGGCCCATCCCGGGGCTTAGAGATTTTGGCAACCACAAAGGCAAAGAGACCACCTGGAGAGAGAAAAGAGATCCCCAAAATGAGCAGGGCTGGGTGGGGCAGATCGCTCTGCCTCGGGCTTTTCCGTCCCTTTGGCAGCCTCACGCCAGGATCAATCCCTGAGTCCCTAGGGATTGGGCGGCATATAAATTTTATTAATAAATAAATAATAACTAAATCCCCCCCCCCAACTTACCAAACTGCAGACAGGGTGTGATTTTCCAAACTTGATCTCGCACAGTTCCCCTAAAGCCTGCGAGGGAAGAGAAGGGGAGCTCAAGATTCAGACCCCATTTCTGGTCATTAATTACTTAAGCCGCCATTTAATTTAAGGACACCGCAAAAAGGGGGGGGGGCTGTTTGGCTTGAAGCGCTCACCGAGGTTCATTTATTTGGAGAAAGGCAAACCTGTATCCCTTCAAAGTGTAGAATCCTAGGCCTGGAAAGGACCTCAGAGGTCTTCCAGTCCACCCTCCTGAAAGAGTTGTCCAGTCTATTTTGGAAAATCTCCAGGGACTTGAGCACCCACAACCCCAGGGGGCAAGTAGTTCTATTGACTCACGGCTCTCACAGTCAGAAAAATTCTTCTTACTTCTAGCTTTAGCTGCCTCTTTAACAAGCTTCCACCCCTTAATTTCTTGTCCTGCCCTCTGGTGCCCTAGAGCAGGGGTCCCCAATCCCCGATCTGTGGACCGGTACCGGGCCGCGGCATGCCAGCAACCGGACCGCACAAACAAGCAAAGCCCCATCCGCGGGATGCAGGCAGCAGACGAAACCACGTCCCCTCCGGTCCACGCTAAAAATCTTTCTCCATAGAACTGGTCCCCGGTGCCCAAAAGGTTTGGGGGCCTCTGCCCTAGAGGAAAAAAGTGAATTCCTTCCTTTCTGTGGGACTAGAACAGGGCTTTTCAACCTTGTTACCCATTGTACCATTTTTAAGATACGGCAATATCCGAGTATCACCAGTCGCCTAGCAAGGGGTCAAAAACTTGACAAAAAAAAAAAAAGGAAAAAAGTGATGAAGTACAGGTAGTCCTCGACTTATAACAGTTCGCTTAGTGACTGTCCGAAGTTACAATGGCACTGAAAAAAGTGCCTCCCCCAAGACACAGCCGAGCGAGACGCCTGCCTGCCCGCCTGACAGCGCTCTTCCTCCTGTCTGAGGTTTCCATTGTTGTGAACATTTCTGTTGAGGATTGGCAGAGGGGATGGGGGGAGGGTGTTTGGTTTTTATTCCCCCCATCTGCTGGGTGATTGCAGCAGGTTTTGGTCACTTCACATGACCCTGGGACACTGTGACCGTCATAAATATGAATCAGTTGCCAAGCATCTGAATGTCAATCACAAGACCCTGGAGAGGCTGCAACATTCCAGCTGATCGGCGCTTCTTCTGGATTCAGCAGAAGCGCCAGGATCAGTGCTGCTTTCCAGCTGATCGGTGCTTCTTCAGGGCTCAGCAGAAGCACCAGGATCAGCGCCGAGCTCCAGCTGGAGCCTGGCACTGATCCTGGTGCTTCCACTGAGCCGACAGCCCAGAAGCGCCAATCAGCTGGAAAGCGGCACTGATCCTGGCACTTCCGCTGAGCCCTGACAGCCCTGCAGCTCCAGCCATCTCTCGGTCAGGCTTGTGCGGTGCTGCCACCAGTTCAGTTCATTCCTCTCCCCCGCTACTTTTCTAGGATGGCCGCGTACCACCTGCCAGGTGCCAATGTACCACAGGTGGTACCCATACCACTGGTTGAAAAGCCCTGGACTAGAAGACAGCTATCACGTCACCCCTAATCCTTCTCTTTGAAATACCAAAAGTAGAACCGCCATTTATGGGGGACACCCCAAACGTTAAATAAAAAAAAACGCAGCCTGTTAAAAAGCCTTCCTTCCTTCCTTTTGCGCTCCATTTGAACCAGTGAGAGATGGGTGTTTTCTTTGGCGTAGAGAAAGGTTTCATTTCCACAAGGTGCCAGGCCACCTAAATCCCAAAGAGAGAGGCGGGGGCGGCCGCCACAGATGTGAAGCCTCCAGTTTACACAGTGCTAGCAGGTGGTTCCGACGCTCACCATAAGGGGGTATTTAAAGTTGTCGCTATCGAAGGAGCATTCTTTTGACGCAAGAGCCAGCCCTTGTAAAATAGGTATAAAGATCTGTTGAACAGAAGGAAAAAGAGAAGAATCAGGGGGCTTCCACAGCTTCCATTTGGAGAAGAGTCAGGCCGAACCAAAAGCCAGGCCTAAATTAGCACCCGCTCCAGGGTGAACCAACCGAGGCCAGCATGAAAGGCCCAAAATCTTCAGCTTCAGAAGATTTTTTTTTTTAGTTCAACAGGCTAAGAATGTACAAGGGCAGCTCAAGACTCCACCAAACGTGTTGAGTTTCGCTCAGGCTGTGGCACACGTATGCCCCCCACCCCACCGAGAGCTTGGCAAGGTCCTCTTTTTTACCTGTTTGAAGACCTCTTCATCTTGGTGAGTCGTCCTCACCAATTCCTGGATGAAACCAAAGGGGAGATTCCTACAGAGCATATATGGGACTAACAACGACTGCTGCTGGGATGACCTGGGTACGGGAGACAGAAGGGTTCAAGATAGTCCATCCCCTCCCCCCGCCCGCGGTGCCTGAAATAACTCTGAAGCCCAAGGTCCTCAGAGGGCAGATTCCCGAGAGGTTTAAAGGGGAGGTCGAGCAAGGATCGCTAGGTGGCCTCCTGTCCCCCTGACCTCAGCTGCGTTAGGGATCCTTGGAGCACCAAAGCCGCGTGGGAAATGCACTGGGATCGGATGTTGCTGAGAAGCTGGCTCACCACCGGCTGGCTGCACATCTAGGAGAGGCAGAAACAGGGTGAAGGTAGCCCATCTTTCATCAGAGAGAGAGAGAGAGAGAGAAAGAGAGACGAAAAGAGACGGGGAGAGAGAGAGAGAGAGAGAGAGAGAGAGATTGGGGGAGAGAGGAGACAGAAAGGTAGGAAGGGAGAGGGAGAGACTGGGGAGAGGGAGAAAGAGAAACTGGGGAGAGAGGAGACAATAGGGACAGTGAGAGACTGGAGGAGAGATAGAGAAGGAGAGAGACTGGGGAGAGAGAAAGACAGGGAGAGAGAGGGGGGAGAGACTGGGGGAGAGAGACAGGGAGAGAGAGGAGATAGACTGGGGAGAGAGAAAGGGAGAGGGAGAGAGAGGAGAGAGATGGGGAAAGAGGGGAAGACTGGGGGAGGGAGAGGGAGGGAGACTGGGGGAGAGAGAGAGAGAGAGAGAGAGAGAGAGAGAGAGAGAGAGAGAGAGAGAGAGAGAGAGAGAAGGGAGCGTCCTCAACCTCAGCATCTTTAAGAGTTCTGGGAGTTGAACTCCACCCATCGTAAAGTTACTAAAGTTGAAACACGCCGACACAAAGATTGTGAGTTCCGTATAAAGTCCAGATCTCAGCCATTTCTTTAATGAAAGGAACCTAAAATGAACAAATTGGCCGGGCCTGCAAGGAGATGACAGACGCGAGCGAGAAAAAGAGGTGGTACCTTTGGCGCTTTCCTTTCCTCGATCCCCACTCGGTCGAAGCACTCAATGAGGTAGTTTAGCATCTCCGTTTCCTTGCACGTCTCAATGGCAAAATGGTCGCTGCACGAGTCGGAAATGCTGCCCCCCCCGGAGCCTCCGCCACTAGCAAACAAAAAGGGACATGGCGCACCACTGAGTCCAAAGGCTCAGGAAGGGAGGGAGGGAGGGAGGAAAGGAAGGAAGGAAGGAAGGAAGGAAGGAAGGAAGGAAGGAAGGAAGGAAGGAAGGAAGGAAGGAAGGACCATGGATGGGGCCCCCGCTGGACAGAAACACCACACAGGACAAAACTCATCCCTGGATTGCACACGGCCCCCTGAATTCCCATCAACCCAGCACTCCGCTCATGGCTATTACAGCCTGCTCTCCTTAGCCAACAGGCCTACTTGATGATGTAACATCACTCAATAAGCATCCTTGTGTACATGAGACCCATCCACACAACCCCGTAGGGTTCCTGGGGAGCGGGGAGCATCTTGGAATCAATGCACTGAGAAAACATTGCTTGCTCTTAAGGAGTCCTTACAGCTGCCTCAATGTTTGAGCAACTCTCCCCTTAACTGAACGGACGTCTCTTCTCTAAAGAGGAGAAGGATTATGGGAAGGGAGAACCCTAACCCTTAGCTTAAGTGGGACGCCAGCCCAGCAGCCCCACAGACTAAATCAAGAATCTTCTTTTCTGTAGAGAGTAAACCATCCCCCAAACCAGGAGAGTTTGCGTGGGGACAACTACGGAGGGTCTGGATTTTGGCAGAACTTGCTCGGTGAAAACCACTCAGGGCTTCAGTCTTCTCTGCTCCAACTTCATTACAATCCGTTCATTACAATCTGAGCACAAGCTTGCAAGAACTCATTTTGCACAACTGTGTGTGTGTGTGTGTGTGTGTGTGTGTGTGTGTGCGTGTGTGTGTGTCCGAGAATGCGATGTCCCGCTGTACAGATGGGAGTTTTGCGCTGCCCTAAGAGAAAAATAACAAGCCACAGATTGTGCTTGACAACAGGGACCTGTTGTCAAAGTATTCTTGGAATATGTATTGATGCTCTATTTTATTTTATTTTATTTTTGTGGGTAAGATGCTGTTGTTGACTTTTTAAATACAGGCAAATGCCGAGAGACCACGTCTGTAGGTATTTTGAGATTTTTTTAGACAGCCCAATGAAGACGCATTTGCTTATTATGAGCTTATAGGCTTTTTTTCAAGCGTAACGAAGCATCCTTATTATTCCCATCAAATTTATTTACTGCTCATCTCGCCGTTCAAGGGGACTCGACGTGTTTTACGGGGTCCTCATGATTCCCAAGTTACCACAGCACACTGGCCGTGCTCACGGAAAGCATTTGCCCACGCTTTGCTTAACTGAGTTTGCTCAATTATAATAAACCGTAAACCAACAATGCAGGCTAGACTTATATAACGCTTTCAGCCAGTTGGCTTAGAAGTAGCCTCTCAACCCCAAACTATGGTTTACTCAGCCCAATAGCTGAGGCTGGGCCTTAGCAGGTTGGATAAATTAATTTTACACAAACACGTCTAGTTTTCATTGGATTGGGCACCAGCTGAGGGCACTCCTAAAGAATCGGGGATGCTGTGGATGAAATGAACCCTTTATGGACCGTTCGCATGTGGCAGAGGAGCCAAAACCCTAAAGAAATCACGGTCTCTAATTGCCCTGGCACAGCTTCCCTTGTGGGTGGAAATGGCCAACCTGATGGGAGATATTTCCTATTCAATACATCCCAAACCCAAAATCTTGGCTGGCCGCTCCTCCTAGCAAGCCAGAAACAAAAGCCAATTTTTCTGAAGTCGTAAAGCCACCCTTTAGAACAGTGGTTCTCAACCTTTCTAATGCCGCGACCCCATAATACAGTTCCCCATGTTGTGGTGACCTCCAACCACTTATACATCACTGGGTGCCAAGGGCATGGCCAAAGAAAAGGGGGGAAAAAAAATGGCAGACAGCCTTGTTTGGCGACCCCCATGAAATGGTCGTTCGACCCCAAATGGGGTCCCGACCCACAGGTTGAGAACCACTGCTTTAGAAAGAAGTTTTCATTCACAAAGCAACTCGGGATAATTTGGCACTTAGGGAGGAGGAGAAAAAACAACAACAACAACACCAACACCAAGTTTTCATCCTGCCAAAGGGGTAAATGTTTTTACCACCTGCGAGAGATTTGGAAATTAAATGCTGAGCAGGGGCGAACGGGGAGAGAGGGGTTAAGGATCTTGAAGACAGGAAATGCAAACAAGCCACACTCTTTTTCTAGAGTACCTGGACCCAAATGGAACCCAAGTCAACTCCTCCTCCTCCTCCTCCTCTTCCTCTTCTTCCTCAGAACTGTCGCCAGAGACATCAGAAATCGCGAGGAGGAGGGAGAAAGGGCTGTCGTACAGACTAGTATAACAAAAGCAGAGGTGGATGAATGAATACGAGAGAATGGAGGGGAGACAAACACACACACACACACACACACACAAACCCAAGCTCGTTTTCTATCAAGACCATCTTCACTGCAAGCATGCGGCGAGTTAATTTTGGGAAATCAGCCGCACGGGTTAGAGAGGCGCATCCCCAGCAAGCCTTGGCACAGCGATGGCGAACCTTTTAGAGACCGAGTGCCCAAACTGCAACCCAACATTCACTTATTTATGGCAAAGTGCTAGGACCGCATCAGCATTGTGGTGCTCTCAAGGGGAGAGGGGGTGTGGCCCACTAGGTGGGCATGTTCCAACATCGCTGTGGTGCTCACGGCAGACTGAGTGCGTGAGGCTAGGGTGAGTGGACCAGGACCAGGATGGCAGGGATCAGTCCCTCGCCATCTTCGGGGTATCCCCGGGGGGGGCCAATGCCACTTGCTAGCTCACTTCCTGCCCCATTGCTTCCAAACACCACATGCTTGCTACTCAGGCGAACTGTGCTGGGGCAACGGCGTTGTGTGCCCACAGAGAGGGCTCTGAGTGCCGCCTCTGGCACACGTGCCATAGGTTCGCCACCACTGCCTTGGAACAAAGCAGGAGGTCTTCTGGGGAATTTACGAACGGCAGCACCCGAGGAATTTAAGGAAGGCCCAATTCCTGAGTCCATGATTGTTGATCTTAACCGTAAAGGTTGGATGTAGTCGCCTTTGGCAGAGGCCAGGACCCTGATTTGTCTCCTCCAGCTGACTGACCTCAAGAGGGACCTTTATTGCCAGGGGCGTAAAAACCTTGAAGGAGATAGTAACATTGTCCCCTCACTAGCCAGACGCTGAGAATGTCAGCTGATGGAGGTTGGCCAAAGCTGAAGCCCAATTTTTTCCAAGACTTTTCAGCAACTGCTCTTGGCTACTATGGAAAAAGCCACTGGCCAAACCGTTCCCTCGGAGACTCTTGAGGATCACTCAAGAATTTGGAAAAATAGAGGAAATATTTCATGTAATAGCTTGAGATCCGTACTAAAGATATTTGTATATTGTTGAATCATTGGCCAACTCAGCCGCCACGCGGCTTTTCAAATATTTCAATGTGAAATTAGAAAATCAATAAAACTTTTTGCAAAAAAAAAAAAAAAAAAGGGAAAAAAAAGAATCACTCAAGAATTCTTCAGGAAGCTGCAGGAATTCTTCTCTCCCAAAGCAGTTTAGTGGCTTCTCTCTTAGCCAAAGAACAATTATGCTACACCTTTGCTCTAAAGCAGGGCTGCCCGAGCTTGGCAATCTGAAGACCCCGTGGACTTCATCTCCCAGAATTCTGCAAGCAGCGTGGCTGGCTGGGGAATTCTGGGAGTTGAGGTTCACGGGTTTTCAAGTCACCAAGCTCGGACACCCCTGCTCTAAGGTCTGTCGGTTCTCCTGCTCTGTCCTAAATATTGAACATTGTTTGGTCAGCCGGAATCTCAGTTCAAGGAGATGGGAAGCAGAGCCATCCCATCAGTCCTGAAGACCACTGCTCAAGCAGCAGATTGCACTTGATCCATTGATCATCACTCTCTTCCTCTTCCTACGTGCCAACCTTTTTCTAACTGACTGAGATCCTTGGGCTGAAGAGCAGAGCAAAACTTCTCTGGGTTAGTCAAATATTTCCTTCTTTCCTCTGCACCGTCCTGGAAAACGCCGTGAATCTTGCCCCCCCCCCCAAAAAAGACGCAAAGCCAGGATTAGCTCAGCTCAAACGCCATTCAGGGAAGCCAAACCAGGAAGCTCGTTTGAAAAGCGGGTGGATTAGCTGAAGAGGCTTAAAGATGCTCTTTCAAACACCGGCTGGTCACTGCAACCCACACACCAGAAACCGCAAATTCACCCAGCTCCAAAAATACCTAGAGGGCATCCGGCTTGGGGAAGACGTACTGCTGCTGCTCAAAGGGCAGAGGAGGGGCAGGGTGCTGGCTACGGGTCTAACCCTAGACGAAGTGACCCGTGCAGCTGGAGGACTGGGGTTTAGGCCCGGAGGAGTCGACGCGGCTGAAAGACTGGCGGTGCCTGCTGTGGGCGTGGCAGGAGCCGCCAAGGTCCAGGGGTGTGCCACTGTGTACGGACGGTACCGTGGGGATGAGGGCTGGGCACTGGGCGGCCCGGCTGGCAGGTGATGGGGGCTGACAGACAGGGAAGACATGGGGAGGGGAGCCACGGGGGAGGAAGGGAGAAAGGAGCCAGCCAAAGGGGGGTGGCTTGCGATATTGAAAATGGGAATGGGGCTGCTTCCGTAGAGGCTGCAGTCAACCAAAAGCGGGAAGGAGGAGGAAAAGAAAGAGAGAGACCAGAATGGACAACAGGGAAGACCACACACAAAAAAAAAGGGAGACGACGACGCGGGAAAGAGAAAAAGCAGCCACTCAGTTGAAATTCTTACGCCAGGGAGGGGCGTCTCACAAAACCCTCCGGGATCAATTTGCCCCTAATGAATGGTCTGGTCCATTTTAAGGGCAGACCACTCCGGTCCCGACTATCTGTTCAGAGGCCAATTCTCGGCCAGCTGGCCAAATTTGCATAGCAGTGGCACTTGAGACTTATCTACCGCTTCACGGTGCCTTTACAGCCCTCTCTAAGCGGTTTACAGAGTCAGCCTGTGGCCCCTGACAATCTGGGTGTCCTCCTTTTACCAACCCTGGAAGAATGGAAGGCTGAGTCGACCTTGAGCCCGTCAGGATCGAACTGCCGGCGGTGGGCAGTGAGCAGTGACTTAGCCTGCAGTTCTGCATTCTCACCACCGCGCCACCCACGGCTCTTCGGAGAGCTTCACCTCGTGGCCTTTGACTCCCAGGTGTGGTTTGGGGCCTGCCGACCTACCTGGATAAGGAGCTGGAGCCGAATGAGCCCACGTTGCAAAACACAGGGCTGGTTCCCGGGTTGGAGCCAGTGTTCAGGACTAGGTTCCTGTCGGGCGAGCGGGCGGCAGCCGCAATCGGCTGTGACGTGGCGGTCAAGCTGGCAAAGGGGTTTTCTTCTCTCGAGTGGGTGGACATCATTAGGACCTCCATCAGCACTTGCCCAATCAAGTCTTTGAAGTCCGAGAACACTGGGAGGGGAGGGAAGGGAAGGGGGTTACTTGAGGACCCTCCGCACTAGCGTTAGAAGTGAACCAACAGAGGGGTTACAAGCTCAAGTTATTATTAAGGGTAGTCCTCGGCTTACAGATATGCATTTAGTGACCTTCCAAGTTACAAGGGCACTGGAAAAAAGGGACTGTTATGGTTCCGGCTAATGAAAATTTCAAAGAACTTCCAGGCATTGATTTTCCTAAAAGTTTTTTATTGTTACAAAATGTCGGCACAGGCACAACGGAGGGATGCTAGGATCTAAGTTCTCTTCCTCTGAGCAGTTAAATTATCAACATGTTCCCTCCCTAAATTAGTGGTCATATATCACATTATCCAATTAGTATGAAGGTCAAAGGTTTTCTTCCTCTTTCTTTCCCAGCGGGCTTTACCCCCAACCCCCCTTCTGCTCTGTATTAACCCCATAAATACCAGACAGTTCTGCATATTGTCAAAAGCAAGAATATACAGTATTTGCAGTGTGGACAGGGACTTAGGACGGTTTTCATACATGTCCTCAGGATCACGTGATCAAAGTTTGGATGCTTGGCAGCTGGCCTGTATTTATGACGGTCGCAGCGTCCCCGGGGCCACGCCACCCCCTTTTGTGACCCTTTGATAAGCAAAGTCAAAGAGGGAAGCCAATGCACTTAACCAGCATGTTGCTAACTCAACAACCACCGTGATTCAATTAGCAACGGCGGCAAGCAAGGTCGTAAAAGGGGGCAAAATTCATTTAACAACCGTCTTGCTTAGCAGGGGAAATTTTGGGCTCACGGGGGCCTGTAAATCAAGGGCGTCCTGTATCTGATTTGGGTGCTGCTCATCTCGTCTAGATGCTGTCAATCTCTTCGGCAACCTGGAGGGCGGGGTCCAATCTAACCCAACGATGCTCGCCAGCTTTTAATTACAACAGGAAGAGGAAGTGGAGCCGTCCACACCCGGCTCTGTCCTCCACCAACCATCTGGGATGCCAAATCACCTTGGCTCAGTGTGGGCCCCCGAACTCAGGACAAACCAGATGGCCTGTGACCCCCTTCGTTTCAACAAAAACGAAGCCTCCAGGACGATGTTCTCACCCTCCCATCTTCGAGATGGGAGGACTTCGACGCCCAGAATCCTCCAGGTAAAGCTCCAACAGGTTGTGAGAGGGAGGGGGGCCCCCTCCTTGAATTGTGGCAGCCCATGCCTGATCTAAAAGACGCTTCAGACAGTTGACTTTGGTAAGCCAATTCTGCTTCTGACACGCATCCAGAGGCAAAAGGCGGAGGGAGGGGCTCCTTACCGTCTTTTGGGTTCTGCTTGAACTGCTCAGAAAGGGAAGTGAGGAAGATGACGTCTCGATCTCGGTCTTTCCAAGAGACTCGGAAAATCTTACAAACCAGCTGCAAGGCTTGTTCCTCCGAGATTTCCAATCCGGAGGGGAGCTCCTGCGGGGCGAAACCAGAAAATACTCATTTTACCCGGGGCAAAAAAAAAAAGGGCGGGGACATCTAAGATTTGAGACTGCCTGAAGCAGTGTTTCCCAAACTTGACCATTTTAAGGCATGTGGAATTCTGGGAGTTGAAGTCCACATGCCTTAAAATGGTCAAGTTTGGGAAACACTGGCCTGAAGGAAACGAGCATCCTGCAGGTCCCCAGGGTGGATGCTTTTGCAAAAGGTGGTTGAAGGTCACCTTCTGGCTCCCACTAGGTGGCGCTGCTTAACTGAGAGGACTTGAGTTTGGAGCGAAGAGGATAGAGAAGAATAAGATAGACAAGCGCAGCCATTCACCACCGGGAGGAACACCATTTGGGTTCTCTGGCCATGTGGATAGCACATTTGCCATTCTGCCTACCCGGACGTGTGTCGCCATTATGTTTCCCCACAAGCCCGGTGTGACCTCCTCACCTTATCGGAGAGGCTCCGTTTCTCCCGCCGATCGCTCTCATCCACTTCCATGTTTTCGATCCCCGAATCCACATCGACCTGGGACAAGCTGGAAAGGGAGCAGAGGACCCTTTCAAACCCGCTGAATCTAATTTTTTTTTTAATATTTTTTTATTTTTCCAAACTCTCCCCCATACATATACCGTGATATTTATCAGATGTTAACATACATTCTTTTTACATTCATATATAAGATACTTTTGATAAAATGAAATAAATACACACACACGACTTTTGGGGTTGCTCGCCCATTTCCCCTTTCACCATATCCACACTCCTTCTTCTCTACCTTCTTTCTCCCTTTCTTCTCTTCCCTACTTCCCTCTTCTTCCTCTCCTCTTTCCTTCCTTCACCACTTCTCCCCACTTCTCCTTCAACCTTGCTACTTCCTTCTCCCCTCCTTTACTCTTTTCTCTCTCCTCTCCTTTCTTCCCTCTCATCCCTCTTCAGATACAATTCAGAAACCCGCTGAATCTAGAGACCGCTCCCCGTTCAGAAGAGCAGTTGCGCAAAACAGACGCTCCCAGCATGGGAGGGCTGGAGGGAAAACAACCCAATGTGCAAAACAAACAAACAAAAAAACCCCGCAACTGTGCCATTGGCTATAACTGATGGGATAACCAGCTGCCCAGACACTGCTTGCTTCGGAACAAGCCAACATGAGTCATGTAGGACAGCTCCAGCACATTTCATTTCTCGCCCCCTCCCACAGCTTGCATTCTGTGAGGGTGTCAATGCGGGGTTGTCAAGCAGAAACCAGCCCATGTGTGGGGAGAATAACATTTTGATTCTGCATTCCCCCCCCCAAAAGCCATTATTCTCTGGCTAGGTTTACAAATTCTGCTTATCTGTACACAAACTTGAATACGTTCCAACTTTTGGAAGGCAAAAAAAAAAAAACAAAAAACCCTACAGGGAGAGCCTTAAGGGCTGCAAAATCAAATAAAAAAGAGCTATTCCTTAGTCTGATCGTTTTTCATCTCTTCCACGTGTATTCTTCTCTTCCTGTTACATTTATTTACTATATGGATTCGGGATAGTCCATATTTCCTTTTTCAACAATTTAAGCCTTGCCATGGAGAACCCAAATCGTAGTATGGAGGTTGATAAACCTCATCAAGGGAGATAGCCAGCAATCTGAGTTTGCTTTACCCATCAGCTCTGGTGGCGCAGTGGTTAGAATGGAGTACTGCAGGCTAACTCTGCTCGCTGCCAGCAGTTCGATCCTGACCAGCTCAAGGTTGACTCAGCCTTTCATCCGTCTGAGGTCGGTAAAATGAGGACCCAGATTGTTGGGGGCAATTTGCTGACTCTGTAAACCTCTTAGAGAGAGCTGTAAAGCACTGTGAAGCGGTATATAAGTCTAAGTGCTATTGCTATATAAGAGCCCTGGTGGCGCAGTGGTTAGAATGCAGTATTGCAGGCTGACTCTGCCACAGTCTGGAGTCCGATCCTGACAGGCTCACGGTTGACTCAGCCTTCCATCCTTCCGAGGTGGGTAAAACGAGGACACAGATTGTTGGGGGCAATTTGCTGACTCTGTAAACCACTCAGAGAGGGGTGTCAAGCACGATGAAGCGGCATATAAGTCTAAGTGCTATTGTCATGGTGTTATATTGATATGGCTATGGTGGGAAATGGGCTCCACCAGCACATAAGAGAGTCACTTTCCAGGGTGAGATGGCGCGGTATAGTTTAGTAAGTAAGATTCTTCCACAGCTAAACACGACAGGTAAAGAAACACTGGTAGAATCTCCCACGAGGTTACGTGGTGCATCTTGGGCTAACGTCCCACCCAAGGCTGCCTCGAGCCAGGGACCGGATGAGGCCTCCCCTACCTTTTCTCGCAGGAGACGCTGTCGATGTCCATGCTCTGGGACCGGGACAAGGACTGGGACTGGGTTTCGAGGCTGTTGGACGGCGAGCTGCTGAGAGAACTCACACCTTCGCTGCTCTGGCTACGATGGGCAACACCTTCGGGAAAGAAGGCAGGAAGGAATTTACACGCTTAAACTTTCCAGCGTGCCCACGTGCACGAGCCTGCAGCTGGAAGCGGTGGGGAAACACGGTTACACAACAAACCATCCCCCTGACAAACCCCTCCCAAGTTGCAGACCACCAGGCCAACTTGCAGGAAGAAAGCAAGTTTAATTTGTTCGGCCTCTGGCATAACATACACGGACTTATGAGCCCTACAGGTAGTCCTCGGCTTACCCACGTTCGCTTAGTGGCCGCTCAAAGTTACAACAGGCCTGGATAACAAAAGCGACTCGCCTATTTTTCACCTACGACCGTCGCAGCATCCCCAGGGTCATGTGATTTACGTTGGGAGGCTTAACAACCAACTCATCTTTACGACGGTCGCAGGGTCACGGGATTCTCCTTTCGCAATCTCCTAAAGAGGCGAGTAAATGGGGAAAGCCAGTCTCGCTTAACAACGGCAGGGAATTCACTTCACAACTTGTGGCGAGAAAAGTCATCAAAGGGGGCAAAATCCGCTTAACGAATTTCTCCCTTAGCCACGTAAACTTCCTTCCTTCCTTCCTTCCTTCCTTCCTTCCTTCCTTCCTTCCTTCCTTCCTTCGATAGATGATAGATAGATAGATAGATAGATAGATAGATAGATAGATAGGATGGAGAGATGAAAGGTAGGCAGATAGATAGATAGATAGATAGATAGATAGATAGATAGATAGATAGATAGATAGATAGATAGGGTTTTCTAGGTCAACACTGGGAACTGTAGGGTGCCGAAGTGAGAAACGAAATCTTAAATAAATGGTCTTCTCTTGCCTATGAGCTGCTTAGAATCTCCGTGAGTGAAGTGGCATCAAAGCCTTTGTAAATAAAAAATAATAATTATCGTTTAGTGTGCCATCAAAACTATTTTTAAACCCGGTGGGAACAACTTGGCTCTAGCAGGCCACGCAGCACATTTAACAGTGTTAAGTAAGATAAAAGGAAAGAAACGAACGTTCTTTCCAATTCAGTGTCACATCCCAATTAGCCAAGCACTTAAAATGTTTTAGCTCTGGGATGAACAGTATGTATGTCCGTGTGTTACACACACACACACACACATACACACACACACATAGACATACACACACCTCAGTGATTTGTTCTAAGAGCACTCCTCCCCCTAACTCTTTCTAAATAGGTTTCTCTCCTCTCTGAGTTCAAATCAAAGGAGAGGCTGCCCATGGAGAAACCTTGATTGTTATATCACCTCTTCAATGACAAGGTCAACGGGCTGAATGGCTGCTTAAGCAGATGGCGGAGGGAGGGAGGGAGGGAAGCAAGGAGGAGGCAGCCGCATGACGGTTTGGCTTGCCTGGCTAAGCAGCCAATTCCTCCAGCTTCAAGGCCAGCTGTTCTGCAGGCTAGGGCAATCTCTGTGGGAGAGGCTGTGGCTGTCAAAACTAGCCAGGCTACCCCATCCTCATATTCAGACAGGAGCTGGCTGGCTTCTCACATTGCTTCGAAGACAGCTTGTATGGTTTCGGCTCAGCGCGAAACAAGCCATGATAAGCCTGTAACATCTGGCGGATGGCGGAGAACGACGCTTTAAACTTCCTTGCTCGCTTCCATAAAATGACAGGAAGGCAAAGACAGCTTCCTCGCAGCTCTGCTAAACCCAAGACCTCATCCATGCCCTGCACAGCCCTGCAGGAAAAGCCGTAATTTCTCAAGAACCAGGGTTGACCCCCGCAAAAAAAGAAAAGAAAGCGGACGCGGTTTTTCTCATCCTGAATTATACTAAAGGATTGGCACTAGCAGACAGTGGCTTACCTGATGCACCGATTGGAGAGGTAGCAGGGGTCATGCTGTGAACGTTGAGTCCAAGGTTGTGGGGCGCCCCTGGAGGCGGCGCCGGGACTGGCTGCCCTGGAGGGTTCTCCCTCTGTGGAGATGTAAGTGGGGTGGTGGGCTGGGAAGAGGGTCCGCCGGCGAGCCGGGCAAGGCGCCTCCGACGGATCTACAACAAAACCAGGACACTGTGAGTTACTGGATTTCAGCCCTTCAGCGTTCCAGAAGGTCAGAATCAGAATCGAGCGGGAAGGGACCTTGAAGGTCTTCTAGTCCAGCCCCAAGAAGAAGACCCTATACCCATTTCAGACAGGTGGCTGTCCAGTCTTTTCTTAAAAATTCCAGGGATGAAGCACCTACAAGCTGTACCACCAGTTAATTGTCCTCACTGTCAGGAAGTTTCTCCTTAATTCCAGGTTGCTTCTCTCTTTGGTCAGTTTCCAACCATTGTTTCTTGTCTTGCTTTCTGGTGCTTTGGAGAATAATTCTTGTGGCAGCCCCTCAAATACTGGAAGATTGCTATCATGTCACCCCCTAAGACCTTCTTTTCTCCAGACTGGCCACATCCTATTCCTGCAACCGTTCTTCGTATGTTTTAGTCTCCAGGCCTTTAATCATCTTAGTTGCTCTTCTCTGCAACTTTTCCCAAAGTCTCAACATCTTTTTTTGTAACGTGGTGACCAAAACTCGATGCAGTATTCCAGGTGTGACCTCACTAAGTCTTTATAAAGTGATACTAAAACTTAACATGATTTTGATTCTATGCCTCTGTTTATACAACCATTGATTGTATGAGCAGACGATTGGCTCAAGTTTAAGTGACCATCCACTAGGACTCCAAGGTCCTTCTCGCAGTTACTGTTTTGGAGCTTTGAACAATCTCTGCCACAGCTTTCAAAACAGCCAAGGTCTCCTGCAGCAAAGCTGGTGTTATCAAGGTCAAAGACAGAATGTTTAATAAGAATTCCAAGTTCAGGAGGCAATCGACACCTTCCACACTGCTTCAGCCCACATCAAACCATGAATTGATCTGGCCTAGTGCTGGGCTGTCGCTGGCAAAGAGCCACTTTCATTCCAAAAGATTCAGCCAGCCGAGCGAGCAGCAAACATCATTTTCCTGGAAATGGACAGAGCACATGAGGAAAACATGTTGCAGTGTTCATTCCACCGCTCAGAGGAAGCTCTATTATTAGAAACCAAACAAGGCCCTCCTTGCCACCTTACGCAACCAGGTCCAACATCCTGCTCTCATTTTCTCAACCTGAGGAACATCTTCCCAAGAAAGACTTTCTCCATCCTTGTAAGGAAGGGGCAAAAAAAGGGAGCTAGCTTTTCACAAGTTCTTTCTTAAGATGCATTTCGGCCCGCGTCCCCTTACAGCCTAAAGCAGTGGTTCTCAACCTTTTTAATGCCGCGACCCCCCAACCGGTCGTAAGTCGAGGACTACTCAACCGGTTCTAAGTCGAGGACTACTCCACTGGTGCAGCACCGTTTGCAGAATGGGACTTTTGGCGGGCTCAGCAGGGCAGAGACAGCCTGGACAATTCCTATGGGCTTTGGAAAGCCAATAGAATTAGGCTCTATTCAAGAGAGTCTATTCTATTGGCTTTCCAAAGCCAATAGAATAAAAGGGAGTAGCACAGCTAAGGAAAAGGGGAAAAAAATGGCGGACTGCGTTGTTTGGCGACCCCGGTGAAATGGTCGTTCGACCCCAAATGGGGTCCCGACCCACAGGTGGAGAACCACTGGCCTAAAGTGAGCGGAAGATTTACGAAACTCGAAATGTGTTCTTTCCATCCTTTAATACATAAATTTAACAGGATGAAGCCCAGGTGTCCAGGTTGAAGGAAGCTGAACTCGACAGCTCGTTCATTACAGGTAATAACGGGACCACTCAAAGTTAGGACGGCGCGGAGAAAAAAAGAGACTTAGGACCGTTTTTCACCCTTATGACTAAGGCAGCATCCCCAAGGTCACGAGAACAAAATTCAGATGCTTGGCAACTGATCCTTATGACGGTCGCGTGGTCCCTCATGGGATCCCTTTTGGAACCTTCTGACAAGCAAAGCCAGATTCCCTTAAACAACCGTGTTACTAACTTCACAATGGCAGTGATTCCCTTAACATGGCTCCAAAGGTCATAAAACGGGGCAAAATTCACTTAACTGTCTCGCCTAGCAACAGAAAGTTTGAGCGCCACTGTGGTCGTTAAGTCGAGGACTACCTGTATGTAAATTTTGATATTTCTGGAGTGATAACTGATAGGACACTTTGTAAGGGTGGCACCGTTTAACATGAAATTATGGACTTAAAGAGTATTTTGTCTACATGAAGAAGGCACAACTCTGAAGGACTCTGAGAGGAAAAGGCTACACATCCGTCGCAGGAAGCACAGAAAAGCACGCTGTGAAAAGGTTTGGCCACTGACCAAAATCTAGGTCAAAAGTAGCTTGTTTTCATCAGAGTGTCTCTGAAAGCTGACTCAACTCACAGAAATTAGGCTGAAGTTATTATTCTCCTGCAAAGAATTGTCTGCCTGGAATAAGGTCCGCTGCGTTTCACGTTGGATAGTTCTCAGCCAGAAAAAATGTTGAAAAGAAAAAAAAAGAAACAGCCTTGGCCAATCCAATGATTCCTAATCTTTGCAAGGTCTAGACCAGGGCTCTTCAAACGTGGCCCTTGTATGACTTGTGGACTTCAACTCCCAGAATTCCAACGCTGGCTGAGGAATTCTGGGAGTTGAAGTCCACAAGTCCTAAAAGAGCCAGGTTTGAAGACCCCTGGTCTAGATGTATGTCCTTCAAACACATGTACACACACCCCTTAATGAGTATGCTCAATACTGGGGACTTATAGGAGCCCATACATCTGGAAGTTGCCCTGAACTCACAAACGTTTTTCAGAACTTTGGGTTGGTGCTTCTCCACCTCAACCGGGAACCATCAGGTGTCTCCCTACAAAGTAGGAGTCAACCATGAAGCTCGTGATATGGCAACATGGGGCATTGTTTCAACCTGAGCAATACTCTAAGTACCAACTCTCCAGGATTAAAATTGGGAGCAGCGCTCCTTCGTCCTTTCAGGAGGGGCCAAGGGTTAAACCTGGGACCCAACTAGCTTGAAGCAGAGATCTGCATGAGCTACTTCAAATTTAAGACAGTGCTAGAGAACGGGCCTGTCGGAAATGGTATGCTACTACCCCCAACATCATCTACCCCAGTGGTTCTTAACCTGGGCGATATTGCCCCCCAGGGGGCGATTTCATTTTTCAGGGGGGCAAAGGAACGAAAAGGGGGCGATATGGGGGTGATGGAGCGAGAAGCTTTGGGGACACTTTTGAGACTTTTTCGTACAGTGAATGGCTGTATATCTATCATACAAAAACATCAGATCCCTCGCTATTAGTGGATTGAATTGTGTTTTCAAATGTTGTTCCAGCTAGCTTCAGCACAGAACGCCGTATGTATGTGAATACGCATCGCTTATCTTCATGCGTGTTGCGCAGCAGCCTCTACCCATACAGTGGCGCGCCATTAGCCAGAATATGGGAGATATGGGGGAAAAGACTGGAAATAAATTATTTGCATCGATAGGTCCTGACGACAATTTTAAAGAAAACAAAAAAAGGGTTTGCATAAATTGAAGAATTATTTCCTATGTTGTGATTGAGAGGTTATGTTAGGGGAGGGGGGCGATCACAACTTCCTCATTGGCTCAAGGGGGGGCGATTCGTTCAAAAAGGTTAAGAACCACTGATCTACCGTGATTCCGAACCACTTCCACGTAACAGCTTGGACCTCTGTTCAATGATTTCCATGCCACGACACCTCTTCTGGGACCCCAGGAAGGTGACACAACATGAAAGTGGGTAGGAAGCACTCAAGAGCTTATTTTGGACCCACAGGAAGGAATGAAGTGACACCTGTCCAATCAGGGCTGGAGAAGGTGCTATTACTCCACCTACCAGCAAGGGCATCCTAACTAACGAAAATGACTAACCCAGAGCTTTTTCACCCGGTCCACTTAATTAGCTACCCTTATTTATTATTTAAAGTATTTCCACTCTTTCCCACCCGAAAGGCTCCGACAGGGCGACTGACATAATAATAAAAACTAAACCGGCCGCTCAAAACAAAAGGCATTGCACAGAAAGGGGGGGGGAAAGGATGGAAAAGAGAGAGAAAGGTACTAGTGACAGACATCATTGCATTTGCAACGTGCGTTGTGTCCGTTTGCAAACACAGATGGGCTGACTTGGCACAAAGCAACAAGGCTCCCCCCCCCCTTGTGAAGTTTCAGACACCCCGAAAGACTGTGAAAGCAGGACTGGTTTGATTCAGCTTCCCATTTAAAAAAAAAAGACCAGAATACTGAGTCTGCAAACCTCCAGGTAACATCAAAAAATAGGATTCAAGTCCTCTGCACCCAGGGAAGAATTATCAACCAAACAAGGTCATTAATCCAAGCTTTCTATCCAAGCTTCCCAATATATTTGGAACTTGTCAGGCTGAGAGAAAGCGGTTTTTCTTCACACTCAAGGGCTGGCATAACAATGGGCCCCTCTCATTCCATCCCCCCCCCAGGCTCTTTGTTCCTTGGGCTTCCGGTTCACCCCCTGGATGCTTTCTTGCTGTTGAGATTTCCGAGGCGCCTGTCAATTAGCCAGCCATAAACTAGCTTTCTCTCCGGTGCCTATAGAGTCACCAAAGTGAGATGGGCAGTGGTAGAAATCAAATCAGCAAATAAGCAATCGTTTGCTCGCAAGGCCCTACTTAAACATCGTCGGAGGTCGCACGTAAACAAAACGCACTACGGTTTAGCACGAAGCGTGCCCCGAGGAAAAATAAAACAAACGACCTTACTGAAATAGCCCAACCTGATGAGATTTTGTAGAGGTCTTTCCCCCGAGTTGGAAAACCTCGACCTGCTATTCTAATTCCAGTCAGGATGTACCAGCGTCCCTTCCTTTAAGCAATTATGTCTTTCTCTCTTTGACAGTCTCTGGTGGAAAGGGTTTCCTGCCTACCCTTCCACAGCAGAGAACAAGTACTTGGCACAGGGCCCAATGTGAAGCTGGAGGTTCTTATTACAACAGCAAACGCCTGGTAAATTATTACCTTCATCCAGCAACAAACCACGTCATCTTGATGGTTTGGAAGCGGTGGAATGACTTTGCACAAAGATGCCTGTTGTTGCCACCTGATCTCCCCAATGGAAAGATGATACAACCCAGCATATTTTTTGGGGGGGGAACACTAAAGGTGATCTTTTGCAGCTGACCACAATGGCAAGGTTCTATGCACTAGGAGTGCCAATCATTTCCAGGTTAAACGCACAGCATAAATTCCTTCCTGTTTACTTACTTCCCCCCCCCCCCAATATGATAGTTTGAACATGACTGCCTTTCTCTTGAGGGAGTTTTTCAAGCCACCTAATCGTGTGGTAATATTCCAGGTGGTTTGTGCAGGAATTCCACCGCTCAAATAAATATGCCCCTTTCTGGAGCCTGCAATTCTGGGGTCAGACAATCTTGCCTTGGAAACTGAGATAGAACTCCTAAGCATCTTTTGGGTTATTTGGGATCGGGCACAGTGTGTCCCAAACAGAAATTATGCCTGCTTCAAGGATACCTAGCAAAGTTCAATCTAACTCTACTTTTGGAAGACCTTCCAAAGAAATCTCGTTATTTAGCTGGAAAATATCTCCAACCAAGATGCCTAACCAACAACCTTGAGATTGGATCAGATTCCCACTACATCTCCAACCCGAAGGCCAGCTAGAATGCTGATAAACGTAAAAAGAAATTAACATCTGTTTACAGCAACATCTCCAATAATTACACATTGGTCACCGTTGTCTGGATAATTGCAGATGTATTTGGGTTGGTTTCAGTAGCTTGTTTAAACTAATGGTCAAGAAGGTTTGACATGGAAACTGGTCAAGGAGAGAAGCAACCTGGAATTAAGGAGGAATTTCCTAACAGGATAATTAACCAGTGGAACTGCTTGCCTCCAGATGTTGTAGGTGCTTCGTCACTGGAGGTTTTTAAGAAGAGACTGGACAGCCAACTGTCTGAAATGGTATAGGCCAGGGGCTTCTGCTTGAGCAGGGGGTTAGACTACAAGACCTCCAAGGTCCCTTCCAGCTCTATTGATTCTGATTGGTTCCTGTTCTGCAAGAATAGATCCACCTACTGACTTCTCACTGCTTAGTTTACAGAGTAGTTGGGTGGGTGAGGCTCACTAGCAACAACACACTCGTTTTCAGTTCATTACTGCATTCCCAGCCTAAGTGTGATAGCATTTTAAAAGCAGCACACTCAATATTCCTAAATTGTTCCTAGGTTTTTGCTTCTGGAGCTGAGCGTAGTGGATCTTTTCCTAGCTAATTAAGATGAGCCATTAGCAAAAACATAACTTGATAATGTGCAAGCAAAACATGCTGTAAATTGTTCCATTTAACAACCATATGCACACTCAGTTAAGTGTTCACAAAATGCAGCCTGATTAATAGTTCGGATGCCAGGGTTTATAGGAGTATGCCAAAAACTAACAACACTATTTTTTTTCCAGCTATCCAGTCCCCGTACCTTTTCATAACTTCCCTGTCCACAGCTTCCCACAATAGGTTGGGTATACCAGGATTAGTATGCTTTGTCCTCAACTTACAACCACAATTGCAAAAGGGGATCACATGACTCCAGGACACTGCAACTGTCATAAATATGAGTCAGTTGCCCAGCAGCTGAATTTTGATCACATGACCATGGATATGCTGTAATGGTTGTGTGAAAAACCGGTCATAAGTCAGTTTTTTTAACAAAGTTGTAACTTCAAATGGTCACTAAATCAACTGCTGCAAGACAACTGTATTTAAACTGGCCTGCCTTCAAACCATAATTTGAACTGGGCTTAGACACCATAGCTTGAAAGCCATTATAGTTCATGCTTATAGGCCAATCCTGCCTATAAGGATTGCAGCCTGTGTCTAGTGAAACATATTTTCTATGTGTATCCAAGATTTTTCACCCTTTGGGGGGGGGGAACACTTTTGATCACAGTCCCGAAATCATCTTTCTCCAGCCAGATGCCTTTTGGCTGAGAATTATGGGAGCTTAAATCCAATTTCTCAAAGGAATCAAGAGACGGCTGTCCTAAACCACAGAATTTACTCACATGTCTTCACACACATTATTCCACAGCTTGATTCTGATTTCATCTAATATTTCAGTACTCTGAAAGTGTGAATTCTAGTTTTAAATTGTTTTAGGTATTTACTGTGAACTATTAGACTCATTAAGATGAAACCTACATATAATAGTTTATTCATAGGAGGAAAGTTTCCCTTCTTAGAACAGATAAGGCAGAATTTTGGTCTGTTCTCCAACACCAAAAACTCAAAGTAAACTACAAAATATTGTCTGTTAGGCCACTACATCACCCAGAAATACACATGTAGTAATGTTCTAGAGATTATCAATTAGACCTAAATATTTTACAGGTAAGATTTTCAACATCTGTTTTAACTGGAAACATACAAATTTCCATTATAGAACAAGGGAAAAGATTAGGAAGGTCTGGAATGAAGAGAAATGGAGAAAACTTGCTACAACGTACTGCTTCCTTGCATAGTTGCAATCATTTTTAAATATTTTATTAAAAGTGAGCACAATATACTAAGCCTGAGTAAAATACAGGACATCCTTTAAGACAGGAAATACTCTCAAGAACACCTCACCATCTTAATAACCAACAACCTTCTCATCATGTGATAAATATCCAGTCACATGAAGGTATTTAAGTCCTTCATTTGAAAAAAGAAAACATATTTCACAACTTAATTTAATATTTTCACATATGCAGACCTATTTATGGAACTTCACCTCCTGCTACCTTCCTGGCTGTCAGCTCAGACCAGGAATCCCAAAAGCTACAAACATAGATTTACAACAGGGCCATACAGCCGAGGGAAAAAAAAAATCAAGAGCCTTCTAGTTCCCTGACACTTTTGTCCTATCCAAAAAATCCATTTTAAAATAGCAACCCAAAAAACCCTGAAAATACTTGCCTTTAAAAAAAACAAAAACAAAAGATGGTTACTGTCAAACTTGGAAGAGAACTGGTTTTTGAGCCAATACAAATTTTAAAATCTTTAATTGTTAAGTGAACAGATACAAAAAAAGGGGGAATTAGGACAACCCCACCAACTTCACTTCTCCTACGTAACTTTTGTATCTAAAATGTCTTTGCAAGATGCCTCTGCAAACCTTCAGTAAAACCAAACAGACACACACATTCCTAGTTATTCCCCCCCCACACACACATATACACACACATAAAACTTACCTCATCAGCACTCAACTCCTCCATAGTTTTCCTCTTAATGGTGGAAGGCGTTTGGGGGAGGAGGGCTCCGCTGCTTCCCTCGAGGGAGGAGGTGCTTGGGTGGAGGAGGAAACGTCTTTAGGTTAACCCCTGTCCTGATGCCTCTTTCCTAAAGGAGCTCTCAGAAGTGCATAGTCAGAGGTTAAGAGCAACCCGTGTCCTCCCCTCTTCCTCCAAGCAGATCTGCCTTACCAACCCACCGGGTCCTTCCTCCCAGCTTCGTGTCGCCTGAACCGCATCCACCGCCCGCCCGAATCCCCTCCACGCCGGGTTCGCTCCTCCTCCAGGCCCTGCCCTCTTCTCCAAACCGGTCCCAGTCTAATCCCGGGATTGGGAGCGTCTTGCCAACCCTCAGACAGGTCCCATCCCTCCCTTTGCACCCAGCGCTGCTTCCACCCGGGCCTCTATCCGAGCTGCATCTGAGGCTGCTGGGGGGGGGGATCTTTTTGGAGGGGGGGTGTCAAGCCCTACCTGTCCTCAAGGCCCCACCTGCACAGACGAGGAATAGCCCCCCCAACACACACACACACTCACACACTTGGCTGCTCCCTCACTCCTCCGCGGGGGTCCCAAGGGAGCAGCTGCGCCTGCGGCCTCCCCCCCGCTGCCTCTCCCCCGAGCCTCGTGGATGCGCCAGCGGCCCCGGGGGTCCCATAGGGAGCTTCCCCTCCCCCACCAGGCCCACCGCGGAGGGCAGGCCCCGCGACCCTCTCAGTCACCACGGGCGGGCAGGCCCACCCGGACCCCGACGACCCCCTTCGCAAACGGCCCGGGCCCCAAATCAGGCGAGCGGGGAGGCAACGCTCACCGGCTGAAGCCCCCGCGCCTCCCAACTCCCGCCCACGCGTGACCGCCGGAGCCCCACTTTCCCCTCAGCCGCTGCCGCCTCCCCGCGCGGAGATTATTCATCAAAACAAGAAGGCGGCGGCGGCCATCTTGGCGTCGGATCACGTGACCGCCGCTCCGCCGCGCTCCCCGCCTGTGCGCGAGCGTCCCAAGCCGACCACGCATGCGTGCCCGCCGGAGTCCACCATGGGCTGAGGGAAGCCAGGCCCGCCTCCGCCGTCTGACGCTCCACATGAATGATGGGTTGCGTCGGCCAATAGCGGTGAGGAGGAAGTTTACTCGAAGTTCGGCGGCTAGCCAATGGAAATGGAGAGGCGGGGGGGGAAAAAGCCCAACCCTCTCCGTAGTCTTACGCCGGGCTGAAACGTCAGCAAGGTACTGTAAGGCGAGGGAGTAGGCGGGGCTTGTTGGGGCTTGCGCCATAGCAACAGGGGCAGGGCCGAGGGGAGGGGCGGAGCCAAAATGGCGCCAAAATTAAAACCTGTGAAAATGAAATGGGGTTTATGAGGCAGAGTTCAATTAAGTTAAACCAATTAAACCAACGTAAAAGGACAGCAATAAAAGCACCAGCTGATTTCTTCTTTTGTGTCGCGTCATGTCGTCATTATTTTGCCATCGTGGTGAATGGCGCATTCCAAGATTTTTAAAAAGCCTTGGAAAGAGGCTGCGTTCACCACACGTCTTAAGTTCCATTTTCTAGATCTGTACCACAAATTGGTCCATCTCAAAATGAAAAAAAAGTCTATTGGCACATCAGGCAGACCCCCTAAAACTCCCACGAGTTTTAAAAGCATTGACATACGGCTTTTTATGAAAGCAATTTACTATCAAAAGTTGGGGGGGGGCACAACAAAATATAATTTTAAACAAAATAAAAAATACAATAGCAGACCAGCAAGGGGAAAAAAATACTTTCAGGAGGTGCCTGACCTGCTTTGAAACTGATAAATCTTCTTGGGTGCTCATCCCATTTTGCAGTTGCAAGGGAACAAACTGAGGGTGCAGTTCAAATTTTGGCAGGTGCACCCCACAACACACCAAGCTAGGCTCAGCTTCATCCTCCTAAACCTGGTTAATTTGGTAACTAGGTTAAGTTTGTCACATGAATAAGGCCAGATCTTCCTTTCTAGCTCATTTCAGATACAGGTAGTCCTCAGGTAGCAAAAAAATAATAATAAATCACGGGGATTTTTTTTCCAACTAACCGATAATATCAAGCACCCAGGTTTGTCCTTGCTCCAGATTTCTACCCTATCTGGAAATTCTCCCACAAGGAAGAAATTGCATATGGGGTGCCCCCTCCCAGTAAATGGAGGAAGCCAATTTGCTAGAATCTCAATGTCATGATTGGAGACGGCACCTAAAACATGCTAAGCCATGGTTTATAAAGTGAAAATTGGGGTCAGACAACAAGCTAAACCAGAGAGAAAATTGCACACGCAGGCACACCCTGTTGCATCTTAATGTATTGTATTGTTCAGCATGAGGATTTCCCCCCCATCCAATCCAGCTGGACAGGCGTAAAACACTCCCAAAGGAAGACATTTGAGGACAAATGTGTAGCACCACAAAAACCAGAAACCCCGAGCTGCATTGCCAATATGTTTAATGAAGTGACTTCACAACAGTTGCCTTATTTGCTCTAGGAATCCTTAAGAGCATTTCTGACAAGGAGGAAATGGAGAAAACCCTGAAGCTCTCCGTGCGGTTGTGACTTGCAGTGAAGGTGGCTCGTGCAGCTCTCCTGTTGGAGTCCCGTTTGAGATTCACGCTCGCTTGTAAACTTGCGTGCATGTTTGGTCTTCACAATGGAGCTCCTACGCATAAAGAGACAGCCATACAGTACTGAGGCCTCAATTGCTGGGAAGTCGTTACTTTAGCCAAGATGGGTTGTAGATAGAGACCCTGGCATCTCAAATCCACCCCACAATCCAATTCACCTCCCCCACTTAACTCAAACCAAGTTAGGATCAAATCCTGACTCATTTCAAGCCTCTATCTCATCAGCATCCTCAATATCAGGGGTCTTCAAACTTGGCCCTTTTATGACTTGTGGACTTTAACTCCCAGAATTCCTCAGCCAGGCACACGTGCCTGGCTGAGGAATTCTGGGAATTGAAGTCCACAGGTCATAAAAGGGCCAAGTTTGAAGACCCCGGCTCAATATCATTTGGTTTACATTCCTTTGCTTCCATTTTACATTACTTGGGTATCCTGGATAGGTTCACAATTCAGTTGGTGGATGCTTCATTATGATAATTTATGTTTAAGCGTTATTTACAGAACAAGCCACAATTGCTTGGGTTGACACCGCAGGCCACAGTTAAGCTGCACAAATTAGATTAGTGCACATTTTTAGTCCCAAGCTTGTGAAAAAGTATTTGCAGTTTCTTCATGGAGAGGCTTTAGGTCAAGGAAGCTCATGTATGGAATATTTTAAAAAGACTGGATCTGTTCCCAACCCTGACCTGGACCCCTGACCTGGCTATCGTTATCTAGATCAGTTTATCAATTAATCCACCAAAAGATTTCCTACCAAATACAACTCATCTCCCTCAATCCAGTGGGACCAGCCTCTGTTTTTCTTTTGTCCGTTCTGGGTGCAGACAAGTTTATCATTGTTCCAAGTCACCACACTCTGCATTGAAAGAGGAAGAGGAGAAAATCATATATATATTTTAAGGCTTAATTTTAAACTGCAACAAATTCATTTAAAATGGTATGGCTAGAGCAGTGGTTCTCAACCTGTGGGGTCGAACGACCATTTCATGGGGGTCGCCAAACAACGCAGTCCACCATTTTTTTCCCCCTTTTCCTTAGCTGTGCTCCTCCCTTTTATTCTATTGGCTTTGGAAAGCCAATAGAATAGACTCTCTTGAATAGAGTCTAATTCTATTGGCTTTCAAAAGCCAGTAGGAATTGTCCAGGCTGTCTCTGCCCTGCTGAGCCCGCCAAAAGTCCCATTCTGCAAACGGTGCTGCACCAGTTGAATAGTCCTCGACTTACGACCGGTTGAGTAATCCTCGACTTATGACCGGTTGGGGTCGCGGCATTAAAAAGGTTGAGAACCACTGGGCTAGAGACATTATAAGCAGATTTCTAAAATAACAATTTAGTCCATATTTTCTGCTAATTAAGGCTTTTTATAACCTTAAGCTGCCAGCATTTTCAATTACTGGGCGAAGCTAAAATCCACAGAGTCAATTCCCTCCCTTAAAAAAATCGCAGGAGAAAGGGGCTTCAGTTTTATTTATATTTCATACTTCACAAGGACAACCAACTGATCCTATTAAATCAGTTATTAATCTTTAATAAGATGCAGCCTTTTTGCAATGGAAACTGATGTGCTCATAAATCTATTAAAGAAAGTAAAAAATATATATAACCTGCAACTAAGAAGGTTTGAAAGAGTTTGGAAGAAATTTTCCTACCATTTTGACATAGGTCTCACCCAAACATTGTCAATATCTACTTTCAAAAAGCTCCAAGAAAAAAAAAAGTTTTTGAAACACACATGGAAATCTTTAAAAATCTGCCCAGTCATCGCTTATTAAGCCATAACTTTTAATTTAAAGTTTCACATCAAAGGTCTCCGGCTGGTTTACGTACTCTGCATTTTCGATTGTCCATTCCTTTGTTGTCTTCATCAAACTCCTCTCCAACTTTGAACTCGACAAAACAGTTTCGGAAAGTGGTTGTCGTTCTGATAGAAAAGAAATCCCCTTCCTGTTTTATTTCCTTCTGGGGCTTCAACAGGTTCGCTATCTTGCGAGTTGCAAAATCTATACCTTTGCCGGACACAAAATTACAAACGGGAGTTAAACAGTTTGCCGTTACGTATCGATTGGCTTTCCCAGTTAAATGAATTGTGCCATCCTTGATGGTAGCCGGGTTAATGTTATGCCTTTGTTTCAGGCCAGCGCCACAGTTCCTCAATACAAATCAGACAGGATAACAGAGTCGGGAGGGACCTTGGAGGTCATCTAGTCCAACCCCAAGAAGGAAACCCAATATTATTTCAGACAAATGGCTGTCCAGTCTCTTCTTAAACGCCTCCAGTGATGGAGCACCCACAACTTCTGGAGGCAGGTTGTTTCACTGGTTAATTGTTCTCGCTGCCGTGAAATTTCTCCTTACTTCTAAGTTGCTTCTCTTCCTTATTAGTTTCCATCGTTTCTTGTCTTGCCTTCTGGTGTTTTGGAAAACAGGTTGACATCCTACTCCCCCAATCTTTGCGGCAGCCCCTCAAATATTGGAACACTACTATCATGTCTCCAATAGTCATTCTTTTCACTAGACTAGACATACTCAATTCCTTCAATCGTTCAGGTTTTAGCCTCCAGCCCCCTAATCACCTTTGTGGCTCTTCTCTGCACTCTTTCCAGAGTCTCAACATCTTTTTTTATATTGTGGTGACCAAAACTGTATGCAGTATTCCAAATGCGGTCTTAGTTAAGGTTTTGTAAACCACTTTCATCCAATTTGGGGTATGCTGTTGGAAATACTGGCTTAGACTGTTGTACTGAAACTAACATGATTAACCCCAATTCATGGCTTAATGTGGTGTGCAAAACAGACCACTGTGGCATACTCAATAAGCCAGTTTAAATATGGGGTAATGTGGGGACTTAGCCATGTAACAAGCAAAATAAACGGTGGCTAAGGCTAGCCAGGTTATTTAAGCATTTGAAAACAAATCTGAGACCATGTTCAAGATAGAATAAATATTCTGCTCTCTGCCTACGCCTGGGTCAACCGGATGAAAACCAGTGCAAATTCTGACTTAAATCCTGTAATATATTAACCACCTAGCATGAAAGCAGAGGCAAACAAGATTGACACGGATAGCTTTGTCTTCAATACCAAATGGATATGGTCACCAAAGAAGCATCCAAGAGAAGGAGGAAGAAGAGGAAGAGAAGAGTTCAACCAATGAAGCTTAAAACTCTGTACTTGCCTAGAGCCAACATATAGCCATCAAAGTTCTCAGAGCGGACTAGATTCCAGGTTCCACTGAAGTCCACCGGCATGGCTGAAGAGAGAGAGAGAGAGAGAGAGCCTCAGATCAACCCACACTAAGAAGGTCCAAGGATTCAAATGGGAAGCTGATTTCCCCCACGCCTTCTTTATATAAGGGGAGGCAGGAAGGATTTACAATAGGAGGTGGGATCTGATGCAGCTGGGCCTGGAGAGGATAAAGTTCAGATCAGCTGAATCCAGGGTGTAGAGCTAAAGTAACTGTTGCATCAGTCCCAGGCACAGCGAAATTAAAGACCAGAGTCTTGTTGGAGTTTACTTAAAACAGGGGTCTGCAAACGTGGCCCTTTTATGACCGGTGGACTTCGACTCCCAGAATTCCTCAACCAGCGTGCATGTGACATCAAGCAAATTGCTTGGGTAGACTCAGATCCAGCCTAGTGAACCTCCTTCTTCCATTCTTATTAGCAAGGTGATTTGGCAAAGGAACCATTGATTTGGTAGCAACGTGTCTTTAAGCATCCATCTTTGGGGGATTGTATAAGAGAGTAAAAGCATCCGTTCCCACCTGGGCGCTGGTTAGAGGCTTCCCAAAGATACAGTGAGAAAGAGGTTGCTGGACTTCATCAAGCCATTATCAAAGACAGGGATCAGCGTGACCTTCTACCCCGTGCATTATAACTCAAATCTGTTGCATAAAAGGGGATGGAGAAACACCCACCCCGCTAACCTTTGCTCGGGAATGCGTGGCTGCCAAGTTTACTATCAGTCTGTCTGTCTGTCTCTCTCTCTCTCTCACTCACTCACTCACTCCCCAGAGATTTTTAAAGTGGTGGGCGTAAAAGAGATTTCCTCTTGTTAACCATGTTCCTCTGTGGGCCAACTCATCCCTTTGGAAACATCTGCAAAAGTACTTTGAGGACAGTCAACTCTAACCAGCATTTCTGCAAAGCCTTTTAGGACTGCCAACCCAAGTTGCTTTCTTTGCGTTTGCACTTCGCTGTTCTCTCCCCTCCTGGCGTAAGCCGAAGTGCACAATCCGGGGGGACACAGTCTGCTATATTTCCACAGCTCAGGGTGGACATTTTCACCAAGTTCCAGAGCTCCCAGCTTTCTCTAACTCAGGGCTCTTCAAATTTGGCCCTCTGATGACTTGTGGACTTCAACTCCCAGAATTCCTCAGCCAGCCAGGAATTTTGGGAGTTGAAGTCCACAAGTCATCAAAGGGCCAAGCTCGAAGACCCCTGCTCTAACTGCAACATGGAGTCCTATGGAATTCAAACACACACACACACACACACACACACACACACACACACACACACACACGAGTGAGAAAGGAACAGAAACTGGGCTCAGGCACAGCCACAACAGCAACAGATCACAACTGGCTGGCTGCCTCAGATACGATGCCGCAAAGCTTGTTTGATCAGCCACCGCCGGTTTCAAGCGTTTGCTCCGAACCAAGAGATGTCGGGATTCAGCGACCGTAGTGTCAGCTTTAGGTAAAAATCTTCCCACTTAACGGCCGCAATCAAGCCCAACATTTCTGTTGCTAAGCGAGACAGTTGTTAAAGGGCTTTTGCCCCGTTTTACGGCCTTTCTGGCAGCAGAGAAGCAAACCACTGAAGTTAAATTTGTAACTGTGACTCCGGCTTCCCGTTGATTTTGCTTGTTAGAAGGCTGTGAAAGGTACACAGCATCGGTCACAAAAGCGTCTGAATTTTGATCGTGGCGATGCTACAGTGGTCGTAAGGGTGAAAAACGGCCGTAAGTCACTTTTTTTCAGTGCCATTGTAACTTCGAATGCTATGAGCACGCCAAAGACTGTAAGAGAAGAAGTTTGTCCACAGTGCTAGAATATTTCTCTTTTTATTGGAAGATTCTCCTGACCCAGCTTCCTGGCTCCTCGCAGAGTTACAACTGAAGGGAGGACTCAAACGCCACCTCAGTCGGTTTCCAAAGTTATTTCGACCCAGAATAAAATGTTTGGGGTCGGTCCTAAGCCGGGGACCTCTTGGCAATCCCCCGCGGAAAATGACAAAACTGATTTTGATTCTTGATTGCATTTGACTACATTTATTATTATTTTTCCCGTCCACATTACACTGAAGGGTGTGTCTTGATTTTGTGACTCATTCACATTACGATTCTCTTATTGGGTTCAGGATTTACACCTACACATACACACACAGACATTTTCTCAACAGCATTATGATTTCTAAGGGTGGGTTGTGTTGGAGGGAGGCAAAGTGCTGCGGTTCCAAACAATGTGCGCAAAGGACTCTTATTTCGTTAACAGCTAAAATATAAAAAAAAAACAAGCCAAACATTTCAAAGGAAAACATCATATAAGCAGCTAAGTAAAGAAAAAAGATAATCAGAAGTAACAACATTGATGAGGCGGATTTTCCATAAGGATATTTCTTATTCCAGCATGTGTATTTTCTCCCACACTAAACAGGAACTGTCGATGTCCTGCCAATCTTCAATCGTCACTGCAGAGTTTGGGTTTTCCTTATTTCCCATTATTTCTCTTTTTTCCCCTATTTCCAGTATTTTTTGATTCATCTTACGCAGCTGAATTTTAAAAAGAGATTTAAAATTAGCTCGTTCGGAAATCTGAGCAGCAAAATTTATGGCTTGGTTCTCACTCCTGAGTGAACAGTTCTGACTCAATGGAGCGGTGTTTTTCAAACTTGGCACCTTTAAGATGGGTGGGCTTTGACTCTCAACATTCCCCAACTGGCCCTGTTGGCTGGGGAATTCTGGGAGTTGAAGTCCACCCATCTTAAGGGGATGAAAAAATCCTGGGATATATACAATGAGATAACATTAGGAAACCACAGAAGGTAAACCAGATCTGGCAGTTCATGGAGATTGGTGGTCCACAATTGTCCATGGAGGACAGACCACCTTTGAGCTGCAAAAAAGTTTTATCTTCTTGATGGGCCAAAATAAACCCACCAACATGATCTTGGCTTACATCAGGAGTGTCAAACTGCCGGACGCGTCATGAGGAAACCATGCCCAGCCTATTGTCGGCAATGGGGAAAAAGCTCCGATACGTTGCAAGTTTGACATGTCTGGCTTACATGATTGGATGTTCTAACCACAATTTCAAAAAATCCATGCTTGTAGAAAACTAGTATGTCGCAATGAAGGTTTGCCTAGTGCTTGTTATCTGTGTGGGAGGTTTTTGTTTTGTTTTGTTTTTAATTTAGGGTATATGAATCATCCAGCACGGCTAAAGTAAAATCTTCAAAGACAGACCCAGCATTTTAAAAACGTTACATTCCAAGATCACCTTAGCAGTCGAAGATGGTTTCAAATGTCCACACGGTTTAACCATGATGGCTCATCTTATTTACAACTAAGGAAGTACTTTTAGTGCATTAATCGACAAGGCACTTAAGGGGGGAATCACCCCAGACCCAGAACAGTATGTTTCAAGTCAGCAGAGATCGAGGACGCGAGACTGCATTACAATTCTCGGAAAGTCAGGCAAGGTAGGTCTTTTCAGAGTAAAAATCTATTTCTCTGAAAATGTAGGCCTTTATTCAGAGTTCATTTTTTAGGGAAAGGATCTGGCCCATTTAATAGCACACTCCCTTTCTTTCGGAGGCCCTTGTCTGTCACCGCCTTCCAAAACTGGAGCAAGGCTTAATTCTGTTTGAAATCGGAACTGGACACCAACCTAGCTGCCAGTCTTTCAACCAGCCCTGAATCTCCACGATGGAGAACAGAGCCAGGAAGCAGACTGAGGGCTGAGTTGCTGCCGTTCCCTAACATCTTCCTTCGATCTGCAGAAGCTCAGTGTGTTGAGTTCTGCAAGTCGAAAAGCTTTGAAAGGCAGCGGAACCCCCAGCTTCTGGTTATTTGGGCCAGGCAAGCTGGCCACTTTCCAAAATTCAACCCGGGGAATGCAAAGGGATTCCACCACCTTTGGGAGGGGAGCAGACACTGGCTAAAGGCGCAGCCTGCTTTCCAATCGGCCCCTGTTCCTGCTCTCTCCCTGCTCCGTCCCCGTGCCAATCAATTTTTGACGGGTTCCTGGGCGTATCTCTGCAGAGGAGCTAAAACCACACCCGCGTTCTGGTCTTCAGTCTCTGCGGTGTACAGATTATGCTCTTTGATGTAAGACCGAACCGAGTCGGGCACCAGGTACCGTATGCTCTGGCCCCTTCGGAGGGCTCGCCGGATCTTGGTGGCCGAGATGTCGTTGGTGATCCATTCCTCCACCAGGTCAATGTTCTGCTTGTGCTTCCACAGCGTGTCCGACTCGTAGATAAATTTCTGGGCCTCGTTCCCCAGCCTGGTAACACAAACCAAGCCGTGCTTGGAGACGATTTCCTGGATATCTTCCGGCTTCCAAAGATTGGGCACTGCAAAGGACTCCAGAATATCTGTCCCACAGAGCATCTTCAGCTGGGGGAGGCCTGAAGGAGACAGGACAGACAAGGAAGGAAGTTGGATAGCAGAGCCCTGGGCCACAAAACCTGCCACATTTTGCTCCCCAAAGGTTTAAATCCTGCAGCGATAAATGAGGAACGCCCTCTGCTGACGATGCAGAGTTGCCTCGAACTGGAGATGGGCGGCATAGAAATTTAATAAATAAAAGAAATCATTGCTGCCGGCCAATAGACACTCACCAGGCCAAGATTGATGGTGGGTTCAGCTTCAGGGAAAACGTTTGTTTTTAATGAAAGCATCAGCCTGCCCAGGGCAGTGAAAGCGTTTTCAAATCAGCCCCGACACACACTGGAGTGTGTCAAAATTAACTCTAAAGATGCAAAATGCAGCCAGCGCGCATTCCAATTAATAGCCAAAGTAATTAAACGAACCTATGTTATATTTAAAATTAACGCAGGCCAGGATTCCAAGGGGTACCTTTGGAAAAAATAATTCAGGGATTTTATTATTATTCAGGTTATGAAGAGGACTGTAGCTGGCTGGGAGTATCACCAGAGATGTTCAAGCAGAGGTTAAGTGGCAATGTAGAGCAGGGGTCCCCAAACCCCAATCCATGGACCAGTACTGGGCCGTGGCACGCCAGCAACCGGTCCGCACAAACAAGCAAAGCCCCATCCGCAGGATGCAGGCAGCACACAAACCACGCACCCTCCGGTCAGTGGAAAAACCTCTCTCCACGGAACCGGTCCCTGGTGCCCAAAAAGTTGGGGATCCAGAGGAAGACCATAAGCTACAGCTTGAAGATCTTGAATAGAGGAAAGGTTGAACTAAGTTGCCTCCTCACTCTCAACCAGGGATGTCCAACCTTAGCCGCTTGAAGACCTGTGGACTTCAACTCCCAGAATTCCTCAGCCAGCCATGGTGGGGAATTGCAGCCTTAAAGCGAACAAGGTCGGGCACCCCTGCTCTCCACGTTCTGCCACCTCCGATTTAAGGAGACAACTCACATTTCCGTTTGGGTTGATTCATTCTAATGGGGAGCTGGCTCCCCGCTGCCCGCTTCCTCTTTCGGCTTGCTCTGCTTGGAAGGTGAGCATCTTCAAAGCTGTTGGCAGGACCTGAGGGCTTCAGCTTCTGCTGGTGATATCTAGGGAACAGCATTGAAGAAGAAATCTATTCCTAGATAAGTGCAAAGGGCTGGCAATACTGAAGTTCTTTTGATCCTTTAAAGCCACGTTTCGATAGCAGTTTTATCTAGCTGCACCGTGCTGGACAGAAGCACGGGACAGCTCTGCTCCTCCAATCTTATCCTGCATCGGAGTAGATATAAGTTGGTAAGCTATGGTAGGTAATATAAGCTAGTTTAACAAAAAGAAGGACTAGGGAATGACACGATAGCAGTCTTCCAATATTTGAGGGGGGGGGGTGTGACACGAAGAGAGGATCAGCCTATTCTCCCAAGCACCAGAAGAAGGCAAGGCAAGAAGCAACGGATGGGAACTCATCCAGGAGAGAAGCAACCTGGAACTAAGGAGAAACTTCCCTAACAGTGAGGACAATTAAAGGTGTGAATGCTCCAACACTGGAAGTTTTTAAGACCGGACAGCCACACGTCTGGAATGGTGTAGGGTTTCCTGCCTGAGCAGGGGGTTGGACTAGATGACCTCCAAGGTCCCTTCCAACTCTGTCATTCTGTCCTTCTGCTTGCAATCCAGTCCCGCAGGCGTCTGGTGATAGGTTGAGCCGAGGCACGCTGGGCTCTGAGACCTCGTGGCCATGATGGGCTGAGAAACTTGGAAGAAACGGCCACAGCGGGGCTTTCCTGCAGGAGAGGAGGGGGGATGCCCGGCCCCGGCCGATACCTGAGGACTTTGATGGTTTCTTGCCACTCTCTCTGGCTGCTCTCCCAGTCGTCCACTTCCAGCCAGTCCGAGTTTTCGGTCGCGAGTCTCGCCATGGCCACCCGGTGACGGGCGCTGATCAGGCTCTTCTTCAGGTAGGCGTCCCCCACGGGGGAAACGATCCCTTTCACCACTTTGTATTTCCCTGCGGGTGTCGGTACAGGAGAAACCTGGTTTAAGTCACCGTTTAGCAATAGAGCTCCCGAGGTAAGGTGGGGCCGATTTTTTCTCTCCCTTCTTGCTTTGAATGAGCAGCATTCTGAGGAGCATGGGCTTTACGTTGTTCCTTAGGTGGCATAAGGGGGTGGGAGGGAGGGAGGAGATAAGGAAGGAAGGAAGGAAGGAAGGAAGGAAGGAAGGAAGGAAGGAAGGAAGGAAGGAAGGAAGGAAGGAGATGGAGGAGGGGGACTAATGGAGGGGAGGAAAGACAAAGGAAGGAAGGAGATGGAGGAGGGAGAGGCCGATGGAGGGGGGAGGAAGGAAGGAAGGAAGGAGATGGGGAGGGGGGAATAATGGAGAGGAGGAAAGATGAAGGAAGGAGAGGGAGAGGCCGATGGAGAGGGAGAGGGAGAGGAAGGAAGGAAGGAAGGAAGGAGATGGAGGAGGGGGACTAATGGAGGGGAGGAAAGACAAAGGAAGGAAGGAGATGGAGGAGGGAGAGGCCGATGGAGAGGGGAAGGAAGGAAGGAAGGAAGGAAGGAAGGAAGGAAGGAAGGAAGGAAGGAAGGAAGGAAGGAAGGAAGGAAGGAAGGAAGGAAGGAGATGGAGGAGGGGGACTAATGGAGGGGAGGAAAGAGAAGGAAGGAAGGAAGGAAGGAAGGAAGGAAGGAAGGAAGGAAGGAAGGAAGGAAGGAAGGAGAAGGAGGGAGGGAGGGGGGAATAAAGGAGGGGAAGAAAAACAAAAGAAGGAGGAGAGCCAGTGGAGATGGGGGAGGGAGAGAGGGAAGGGAGGCTAAAAATATAGCCATGCACTGCAACTGCCTGTGGTTCCTATTCATTATTAGTCATGTATTTCCAGCACAGAAAGAGTGAAAACGGAACCCATCGTATCTTTAGGAATTGGGAAAGAAAAGCACCAGAGCCCAAAGAGTTGCAGCCGGGCAATTAATTGCAAAGGGCTTTGTTGCCATCAAATCCAACCTGCCCTGGCTTGGAATGAGAGAAGGCAGAAAAGGGAGACTTAGGGAGGCAAGAGCTTCATTTTCAGGAACATCCACAGATGTTCCAATCCCCCTCCAGATACGCCCCGTCGTAGGTCTTATCGTCCAGTCCCGACAGGCGGGGGATAATGGGAGTTGCAGTCCAAAGCATTGGGTGGGAGGGGCAAGTGGCCCGTTGGACCACAAGGCCCGCACCTCTGTCGTGGCTGGTGACGAACACACACACACACACAGAGAGCTTTACCTGTCTCTTGCAGGTGATCCCTTGCCAGCTCAAAAAGCCGAAGGTGCATGTTGGTGATGGGGTTGAAGGAGCCGCAGGCCAGCAGGACCACTTCGGTCCGGCTGTCGGGATCCTCCATCGGCCTCGTCTGGAGTCGCTTTTGCTGGGGAAGGAGCGAGTCACAATGGGCACAGGCTGCGAGGGAAGAGGGGAAAAAGGGAAGGTTAAAAAAAAGAAGAAGAAGAAAAACTTTTTTTTTTTAATTGTTGCCACCGGAACGATTAAAAAAAAAAAAACAGTAAGGGAAGTTGTGTCCTCCTCCTAGCGTAGAAAACCAATCGGTTCCGTGCGAGGGAAAAAGATGAAAGGAGACCCTGAAAATTTGCAATCTTCGGATATCGAGCCAGCCCTGCCCCTTTTGTAAAAAAGGAGAGGAAGGGTTATCAGCCTGCTTTGTGAAGAAAAACCAGGTTTCTGGCCCTCGTGAATACAAAGCTACGTGACTGTAAGCTCAGGCTTTGCCAATGCAGCCCGTCCATTTTGGAAAGCCCAATTTTAAAGGGGTTTTGGCTGCTGCACAACAGAATTAATGACCTTTTTCTATGCACACACCAGCCACTAAAGCAGTGGTTCTCAACCTTTTTAATGCCGCGACCCCCCCCCAACCGGTCGTAAGTCGAGGACTACTCAACCGGTCGTAAGTCGAGGACTACTCAACTGGTGCAGCACCGTTTGCAGAATGGGACTTTTGGCGGGCTCAGCAGGGCAGAGACAGCCTGGACAATTCCTATTGGCTTTTGAAAGCAATAGAATTAGACTCTATTCAAGAGAGTCTATTCTATTGGCTTTCAAAAGCCACTAGAATAAAAGGGAGTAGCACAGCTAAGGAAAAGGGGGGGGAAAATGGCGGACTGCGTTGTTTGGCGACCCCCGTGAAATGGTCGTTCCACCCCAAATGGGGTCCCGACCCACAGGTTGAGAACCACTGCACTAAAGGACAACAGGCCTTAAACACAACGATGGAATATCTATTCTCCGGATAGTTTATTAATATCAACACAGTACCGTCATAATTTGATCGCTTTTGAAGGGTTTAATAATCTTTCACACTGCATTTCCTTCCCCCACCGCTGAATAGATTTCCCAGGGCTGTGGTTTTTTTTACAGTGGCATTCCTTTTAATTTCATTTCGTTGTTAGGCCCATCAAGACAGGAGCGAAACAGCAATCCAAGCCAGGCGATCTGGGTTGAATTCCAGCCTCCCAATTTGAAAAAGTCTCCGACGTGCATTCGCCAAGGCCAGAAGCAAAAGTCTGAATAATGAATGCAGGAAAAATGATCCCTGGCTGCCACACATATATATATATAAAAAAAACCCAGCCTTAGCCAGTCACCTCTGTGGCTGGACGGCAACAACGCCTAGATCTGGGGGGCTGCTTCTAAAGGTGGGAAGGGGATGATCCACCCAGGGAGGGGCTGGAGGTGCATGATCTGATTCCTCCCCCAGAGAGAGAAGGTCAGCTGAAGCTCAGATGGTCACCTGGAGTTTCCAGGTAAGGAGGGAGGGGCAGACAGAGGAAGAAAAATACACTGATATTCAATTCTTTCTTTGTCCCAGTGTTCCCACAAGACTCCAATGCACTCTTCACATGTACAGGAGCATCTGGGAGGATGAAGTCCCAGAATGCCAAAGGTGAGTGCTGAGTAGGAATTCTCAGAGCTGCCATCCCAACACCACTTGGGGGCCATGGGTTGAAGGAGGCTGAGTGGGTCAGAGAAGGAGACTACCCTAGTAAGAAGCCAGGCCAGGATGGCTCAAAATACAGCTTCCGCGTAGGTAGTCCTCGGCTTACAAAACTTTTGTTTAGTGACCGTTCAAAGTTACAATGGCACTGAAAAAAAAGGGACTTACAGCCGTTTTTCACCCAGCCCTTCCGCCATTCACACGATCAACATTCAGACCCTTGGCAACTGACTCGTATTTATGACAGTTATGATTATACGTGATCCCCTTTGGTGGCCTTCTGACAGACAACGTGAACAGGGGAAGCCAAGTTCACTTAAAGACCGTGTTACTAGCTAAACAGCTGCAGTGATTCATTTAATGACTGTTGCAAGACAGGTCATAAAATGGGGCAAAACTCCCTGAACACTCAAGCCACAGAAATTTGACGCTCGGTTGTAAGTCGAGGATGACCTATATTCAGAAGCAACTTTCCTCCGACTGGCGAGGACATAAGAAAGAGCTGAGCGATGCTCAGTCAAAACCAGGATTCACACACCGGATTTTTGGCTTAGCCTTAAAGCCTTGTGGTTTGTCAACTGGGATAGCAATCTTTGTGTGTTGTCTGAATCCAGATAACTTGTGGTTCAGTACAAGGTATTAACCCAGCTAAAACCTGCTTATGTAAATGTAAATTTTTTTCGTGGATTGCCCTTCTAGACTTCATGAAGCAACGGGTGGAAACTAATCAAGGAGAGAAGCAACCTAGAACTAAGGAGAAACTTCCTGACAGTGAGAACAATTAACCAGTGGAACAACCTGCCTCCAAAAGCGGTGAATGCTCTAACACTGGAGCTTTTTAAAAAGAGACTGGACAGTCACTTATCTCAAATGGTATAGGGTTTCCTGCCTGAGCAGGGGGTTGGACTAGATGACCTCCAAAGTCCCTTCCAACTTTACTATTACTATTATTATTATTACTTGGAAAGGCTGAGCCTGGATCGAAGACTTTGCCAATGTCAAAGAAAATGTTTCTTTACCAAGGACCGGCTTTTCCTTGGAAAGGGTGCAACAAGGACAAGCCTTTAATCTGGGATTTTACAGTGAAACAAGTAATGCTACAATCCTGTGTGTCTCTTTTTCCCAGGTTGTTGAGGAGCAGTCATGATTCACTTCTGCCTGGCCCACACTGCCCATCACTTCAGCCGAGGGCTACCAAAGCACCTGCGATTCAGACTGTAAGATGCCACAACTCGGAGTTAACTCGGGCACAGAATTAAACCTGGTTTCATTCTTCGTTCTGACTGCTTGTGTTTTTACGTGGCGCAGTAAGAGCACCATCCTAGCTACGCACATCAGCGTTCAGTGGGAAAAAAAGAATGAATTTATACCTGTTTTTGTAATGCTGTGCGAGAGGTCTTATTTGACACAATCAGATGTGTCAGCAAGCAGACCACCTTTGCACTCTTTAAACCAGGCATAAAAAACCTCTGCCACCCATCCATGCACATGACTTATCCCTTGGACCTATAACTTTGTCCAATCTTTCGGATAAGTTTTCGCTTGTGGGAATTGCAAGAATGAAATTCACCGCTTCCCGCTGCTTGCCACTAATTATCAAATGTACAGAATTAGGATGATATAGTTCCAAACCGTAAAGGTACTGATCGGTCTCTTTTGTTTTTGTTTCCTCGTTCTTCTCGCTAGACAACTTGTGGTTTTTGCCATTGGGATTGCCGTTCTCCTCCTCCAGTTCTACGTCCTCCTACGGTATTAAGTGGAATTCCGTTTTTTTTCCCCTTTGTTTTCTTTGACAGTCTCTTTACATGCTTGCATACCTTCTAGGACACGGGAGCAGCCAACTGGAATATCCTGAGGCGTTCTTGAGAAGAGGGAGCTTGCAGCCTGTCCCATGAGTGTTTTGGGGGTCGGACTGGGGTTTATTTTGGTGAAAGTCTCCGTTAGAGACTTAACAGATGACTTCCTGTTTTCCCCCTGGAGGTTCAAAATTCCAAGCTTGAAGGGCTGGAAATTTAAGGGAAGGCTGTGGTGGGAGAGATATTTTAGACTACATCGGTAGTAAAAAGATCACCAGGCCTTGAAAGCAGTGCCTTTAATAAAGACTCTTCAATTTAGCATTAGGAAATTAGGTACCCGTCGGAAGTTATATAGTAGGGAAGGGAATTTCAAAAGCAAGTCTGAAAATAAGCAGATTGCACATGCAAGTTAGGAGAGAAACAAAGGAGGTAACCCACTGAGAAAAGCAGAGTGCTTGGCACGAGTGGAAATCAGGCAAGTTAAAGGCAAAACTGTGCAAAAGTACATATAACATATACTGGACATTCAGCAGAATTCAGCATGGCACGCCAAAAGATAACTCTTGTGCAAAACCTTTGTATAAAATATCAGAATTGTATATCCCAACTTACATCTGAAGAACGGCTATTTATGAACTCGGAACACGTGGTTACTGGCCCGCCTTTCTCCCTGTCTTGTTTCTCAGGCCTAAATCTGCTCACTACTGCAACCAGCCTCTTCTCTACAATCTGGTGGGAAGCATCAGCCTGACGTTCTTTGCTACGGGTGTGTGAAGAAGGCTCCAGCAGCTCTCCAGAGCATCGCGAGATGACAACTCCTGCACGATGGGTGCCTGTAGCTCACCTTAGGCCATCAGGATGCATGCCTATCCCTACATCTCCTTAGAACTATCAGAATGTTGCCCCTCAACTTGGCAGACTGGGTTTATGCGTTGCTCCAAGCCTTAATGTCGCTCTTTTGGCTTCAAAAATCTAAACGTTTGCGCTGCAGAAAAAAAGACAGTGTGGGACGTGTATACCTAACGTGAACAGACTGCAAGGGATGCCATTAAGGACCGCCCAAAGCTCTACCTATTGCTTCTGCCTGCATGTCCATCTCCATAAGCTAATTCTCCCTCTTACTGTCTTTTAGGGCTGGCTTTAATCTTAGCCACGACGCAACACATCCCATGGGAGCTGAGAGCCGCAATCTCGATTTTTGGACTTGCCTCTTTTGCAGAAGGAGCTTATATCACTCTACTCACTGCCTTGGCCCCACAATGTGTATGTAAGGTCTCGTGTCTCCATCGGATTTCATCCCACTGGAGGGGGGGGGAGAGAGCTACCTGTACCTCAGTTAAGACAAAAGCTGGATTTTTTAAGCTGGACTTCATTTACCATGGAGTGTTTGCACTAGACTGATTTTCAAGGAAAGGTTTCTGATCTTAAACGAACGTCAGTTCTGACTCCTCGCCCCGGAGAGTAATTCTGAATACAAACGGCTTAAATTAAAAGATTAGAAAACATGTTTAATTCCTTTATCATAAATAATCCATGTCTTTCCTAGGCCAGAACCACTCCTGAGCTTTATTACTTCTCGATGGCTCTGTCAGTGGCTAGCATAATATCAGCCAGTAAGTATTGTGATTTCTTTGTACATAAAAAGTTGGCAGTGTGCTATCTGGAGGGGTGTGTCCTTATTGGTATTCCCACACCCCTGTCTTCTGCGGTTCCAAGTTGTGCTGAGGCACAGGAGCAAAATGGGAGGAAAAGGAAAGGATCACATTCAGCTTTTAAAGCCTGTGCCCAAACCTGCCTTATTTAATACGCGGAGCAAATCTTGTTTTTCTGCACAATCTACTCCAAGATTGGCTATTGAAGCCTTCCCTCATCTGGTGCTCTGCAGCTATGCAGGAATAAAATTGCCATCTTCTCTCACCAGTATGATTGCTGGGTTAGCATCCACGCCTTCGGAAAACAAGGCGTACAGGTAGCCCTCAATTTACAACCATACGTTTAGGGATCGGTCAAAGGTACGGCATGTAACTTTTGACCGTTTTCCACACTCGTGACTGTCGTAACATCCCTGTGTGATGATCTAAGTCGAGGAACTACCTGTCATGCTGTACCTGTGATTTTTGCATTTGGACAGAAAATACGTCTCTTTCCTTGACACTGTGGCACTTTATCCCTCGCAGTCTATTTTTTCTTCCTCGGATTATTCTGGCTTGCCAATGTCATTTCTCCTGGACTGACGCTGAACGAGAAAGCCAAGACTGGAATCTGTTATGAGCCAGTGTCTGAGTGCGGCTGTCTGTGGCATATCTGACTGGCCGTGTGCCGGCCACTGGACGGGGCAAGATCCATGAAGCTTCGGTAATAAATCTTTCTGCTGTGGCCAGATTCTGCCTTGGTTTCCTTTTGTCAAGGAGAAGACAAGAACGTCCCTGGCAGCTGGCACAGTGAAAGACCCTGAAACCCCTTATGGAAGTCTCTTGTGATTCCAGGGACGGTTTAATTTAAATAAAGTCACAAGATGGGCCCACGATGACCTATCCTAAAGCAGCATTTTTTAAAAAATGTTTAGATTGAGATGGCTTCAGGATTAAATTCTAGGCAATTCTCTCAACCACGGAATTTAAGAATATGTATCTTTTCTCACTATATGATCACCGTGCTTGGAAGAATCGCCTTTGGAGGCTGCAGCTGAGAGAGGTGAAAAGCAGGAAAAATCCTCATACCGGTAGCTTTGCAATTCTGATGATGCCATTCATTCACGTACAGTGTGACTGCAGCAGCCTAAATCTCCTCAAAGGAAATGGCATAAAGCTTTCACACTATGATAGGAAAAAGGTGCCACTGACTAATTCTACAGGATATTGTAAACAAGCCAGATGACCTGCCATGGTAATAGATAGAAGACCCTTAAATCAATGAATATAAATACACATCCCTGTACCACTTCATGTTCTTCTCCTTGCACCTGTTGAGCAACGAAACAAAATTGCTCCAATACCCTCAAAGCTGGTGTGTTCAGTGTCAAACTGCTCTAAGAATAGGGCCTAAGAGCAACCTACCAATTATCCTTAGTAAACAAGGAACACGTTTAAAAAAATGCTTTTGCAGTTGCCCATCTCCACCTAGCCCTGTCTAGGAAAGACCCAATCTAGAAAAGCTCCATAAATACTAGATCATTGCTCCTGCTCTTATAATAGAGAAAGGAGAACTACGCCTAGTTGCCCAATTCCTTAGCATGGCCAAATCTGGGGTATTATGAAGCAAGCTTCCGGCCGTACCCTAATCTAAAGGGTGGCATCATTCTAACGCAGTGGTTCTCCACCTGTGGGTCGGGACCCCATTTGGGGTCGAACGACCATTTCACGGGGGTCGCCAAACAACGCAGTCCGCCATTTTTTCCCCCTTTTCCTTAGCTGTGCTCCTCCCTTTTATTCTATTGGCCTTGGAAAGCCAATCGAAGAGACTCTCTTGAATAGAGTCTAATTCTATTGGCTTTCCAAAGCCAATAGGAATTGTCCAGGCTGTCTCTGCCCTGCTGAGCCCGCCAAAAGTCCCCTTCTGCAAACGGGGCTGCACCAGTTGAGTAGTCCTCGACTTACGACCGGTTGAGTAGTCCTCGACTTATGATCGGTTGGGGGGTCGCGGCATTAAAAAGGTTGAGAACCACTGTTCTAACGGATCCTGTCTGGTCTAGAAGAGGTCAGCAGGATCGGACCTCGTCAGCCCTTGGAGACAACAGATAAGGGAGCTTGGTCGAGAATAACACTTCCAAAAGATGGTGACATCAACAGCATCCTTGCCTTGGGGGGTCACCAGAAGAGTCGATCTGACACTCGAGTTTACTAGTCTAACCGCACCTCGAAGCTCTTTTATTAGCCACTGATCGCCCTTCAGGCCGCGGAATAAACTACCACGGCTCGCCGCGGCAGGCAAGGATCGCCCACCGCCCCTGCACCCACCCACCCACCCAAATTGGGAAGCTACCGATAAACGCCTTACCGGTCGCCAACAGCTTCCGCCTGGAACTGAACGACGTGGTCGGAACAGCCGAGAGGGCGGAGAAGCGGCTCCACCGGAAGCAGCGTTCCGATTGGCTGCGCGGCCAGGAAGTGAGGACGGTGTCCGACGGCCAGAAAGGTTCCCCCATCGTTTCCCAACCGGAAGTGAGGGGGGAACGGTCCAGCCAGCCGCAGCTTCCCCCCCCCTCCCCACCGCCGCCCGGAGGAGATGTGATTGGGGGAGTGGGCGGGGTTCGCCTTCTCATCCACCCGGGAGGTTGGCGAGGAAGGAGCGTGCGTGGGTAAGGGAGGGGTCAGGCCAGGCCGTGGCAATGCGGGAGGGGGGCTTAGTAGGGAGGGAGGGGGCTGCGGGATAGGGAAAGGGGGGTGGGTGGAACCGCGCGAGGGCTTTGGAAGCCCCGAAGCTGGAACCAGCAACTGGGAGGACCCGCGCCCCCTTCGCCCTATGCCAAGACTGTACACCCCATTCCTAAACTAAATCAATAAAATAGCAACTGGAGGGCACCCCTCGATCCTGACTGTGTATTTTTCTTGGCCCCCCCAAATGCCTTTCAGCGAGAAGAGAGATGTTCCTGTGGGGCAGCCCCAACGCCCTTCTGATCTTTTCCCTTTGTCTAAATCAAATGCTAAATGACCATCTTTTTATTCCCCCCCCCCAATTAAAAGACTCCGTTTCCACCTATGATCCCGTGGGCAGGGCTGTCTCCTCTCATTTAGCCCACCGCGCTTTGTCTCTTGACAGATGTCCCGCAGCACATCCACCTTCAAAATGGCTTCGAGGGGAACAATCGAGACCAGCAAGTTGAAGCAGAACTTGGAAGAGCAGCTGGACAGGCTGATGCAACAGCTGCAGGATTTGGAGGAGTGCAGGTAAGGGAGAGGGGGCGCTCTCCCCCCCCCCACTTTTCGACATGACTCGTCTGCAACAGCATCCTTTGCCAAAGACGAGAGACGGAATGGGGCAAATTCCAGAGTTTTATCAGCTCTGAAGTTGAGGTGCGGGGTGTGGAGTCTTCTATTTGGCCAAATGACTGCTTCCACGCCTCGGTTAAGCATGGTGGATGGGCTTTGGGTATGTATAAGCTTGAAGGGTGCTGGGAAAGATGGAGGGCAATAGAAGAATGGGACGACAGAGAACGAGGTGGCTGGATGGGGTCACTGAAGCAGTAGGCGTGAACTTAAATGGACTCCAGAAGATGGTAGAGGACAGGAAGGCCTGGAGGAATGTGGTCCATGGGGTCGCGATGGGTCGGACACGACTTCGCAATTAACAACAACAACAACAAAGCTTGAAGGGATTTTTTTAATGATTTTTTTTTTTTGTAAAGAGTGTACCACAGTTTCCCATTGTGTTGCCATTTGCAATAGCCGTCGCTAAATATTTCCCAGTGCCCCAAAGAAGCCATTTGCTGCTGTGTGTAGAAGCCCTGCTGCCTCAGTTTACCCATTCCCGCTCTAGGTAGGTTAGTTACCCTAGGTTGGGAATACAGGTAGTCCTCAACTTAACCACAGTTCATTTAGGGACCGTTCGAAGTTACAGCGGCACTGGAAAAAAAGGGGCTTAGGACCGTTTTTCCACACTTATGACCGTCGCAACATCCCTGTGGTCACATGATCAAAATTCACATGCTTGCCAACGGACTCCTCTTTATGACGGTCGCAGTGTCCCGGGGTCACGCGATTCCCTTTTGCGACCTTCTGATAAGCAGAGTCGTTGGGACGCCAGACTCTCTTAACAGCCGTGTTACTAACTTAACAACTGCAGCGATTCACGTAACAAGCAAGACTGTAAAAACGGCGGGGCAAAATTCGCTTAGCCAATGCCTCACTTAGCCACAGAAACTTTGGGCTGAATTGTGGGCGTTAAGTCGAGGACTACCTGTACAGGCGGCTCACTGCAGGCGAAATCAATCTGCGACTGGCTCCCTTTCAGAGAGGAACTGGATGCCAGCGAATACGAAGAAACCAAGAAGGAGACTCTGGAGCAGCTGAGCGAGTTCAACAATTCCTTGAAAAAAATTATCTCTGGCAATATGACCTTGGTAGATGAGCTGGGTGGGATGCAGCTGGTGAGTATTGGGACTTGATTTGGGGATGTCAAATATCTCCTGCAATGGGTAGCACCTTTCTAGGCTCCTAATAATAATAATCATAATAATAATCATAATCATAATAATAATAATAATGTTGGAAGGGACCTTGGAGGTCATCTAGTCCAGCCCCCTGCTCAGGCAGGAAACCCTATAGTACCATTTCGGACAAATGGCTGTCCAGCCTCTTCTTAAAAACTTCCAGTGTTGGAGCATTCACAGCTTCTGGAGGCAGATTGTTCCACTGGTTAATTGTTCTGACTGTCAGGAAGTTTCTCCTTAGTTCTAGGTTGCTTCTCTCCTTGATGAGTTTCCATCCGTTGCTTCTTGTCCTGCCTTCCGGCACTTTGGAGAATAGCTTGACTCCCTCTTCTTTGGGGCAGCCCCTGAGATATTGGAACACGGCTCTCATGTCCCCCTTCGTCCTTCTCTTCATTAAACTAGACAGACCCAATTCAAGCAGCCGTTCCTTCTGTGTTTCAGCCTCCAGTCCCCTAATCATCTTTGTTGCTCTTCTCTGTGCTCTTTCTAGAGTCTCATTGCTTTTGTTCAAAGCAGTGGAGGGATGGGTATCTGAAGCCTTCTTCACTGCAACCTTAGCGACATTGTCATCTGCAGGAAGTCCACCTGCCTGAGCCTTGTCGCTTAGTGCAGCTGACTTTGCAGAGTCAAGGAAGTTGCAATATCTTTCTCCACCTTGCAGGGATGGATGGTACAAATAGAGACAATAGTACTCATGTAACTTAGGGAGAGGATTGACAAGTCTAGTACAGTCAAGATTAATTAATGCTTCCATGGTCATTAATAATGACCATGGAACAAGAACATCCAATTGCCTCCTGAAAAAGCACCTTTGGGAATGGCCATGGAAGACATCTTAACTTGCTGCAGTTCAACTGTGGTTCTTGACTGTAGAACTGTTGGGTGGTCTGGTTTTATAAATTAATGTTTCAGATATTAAAAGGGGCAAAAGTTGGCTGCTTTTTAAGTGGCTAATTAACAGGAAGCATCCCATGTGCCAATAGCAAAGGTCCTTCAAGATTAGGAGCCCCTTGCTAGTCATAGTAATAACTCACAGTAACATTTATATCCATGTAACAAGAAATAACCTTGTCTATTGATAGTTGCTACAAGTTATGTACATGTTAAATGTTTATCTTTTAGGCTATACAAGCAGCCATTAGCCAGGCTTTTAAAACTCCAGAAGTCATCAGGATGTTTGCCAAAAAACAGCCTGGGCAGTTGCGGACAAGATTGGCTGAGGTGAGTATGTTTCCTCCCCCCCCCCCAAACAAACAAATGCTCTTCTTTATTGAGAGAGTTACCACTTTTCTCCTGAAAAACAAAAACATTGTTTTTTTTTTTTTTGCAAGACTGATCCCAGTGCAAAATGATTTTGTTTGGAGAGTGGGGCTCCCTGATGACACATTTCCATTTTATTTCCCCATCCTTTTTTAATCTTACTTTTTAAATGGATTGATAAGAGTCTGGGAAACCTGCCTGGTTAAAAATGATCGAAAGGGAGTTGATTTTGGGGGAGGGAGGGTGGTTACAATTTATGCAGGTTGCTTAAACCTTGTACTGGTGTACAGAGCCTTGCCTGATTTGGTCCATTCATTTTGGCTGGAACGTATTCGTAAAGTGGTTGCTGTCCACGCTCAGGAAGAAGAAATGTCCAGCTTTTTATGTTTTTGACATTGTTCTGGAAGCCGACAGCCACGTCGGTGCAAAGTGAGAGGTGCTCAGGCCAGTTTCCCAGCCCTTGGATGTCGAACTGATTCCCAGTCACAGGTGCAGACCAAGTTTATCCGCAAACGTCACATATGTAATTGGAGACTGATGTGACTGCTCCTTTCCCGCTTAGATGGACAGAGACCTGATAGTGGGGACACTGGGACGAGATCTCTACACTCAGCAGAAGGTGGAAATCCTCACGGCACTCCGGAAGCTGGGAGAACAGGTATTTTGGAATGACACCTCCTTCATACTTCGTTCTGTGCTTTATTCTCTGACCAGCCTTCTTTAACCAGACGTCCCCATCACCATCCCTAGAATTCTACATAGGACTTGTTTCTGGTGGACTCAATTAAAACAGGATTTTTTCTGGCTTCGTCTGCTCTCAATACTTGAATTGAACAGAGCAGTGTTAAGAAGATTTTAATGTAGCTTTGATTAGTTGATTAGGTTTGGCCTGATAGTGTAATTTATCTCGAAGGGGAAGTTGTGCCTTAGAAGGTAAGATTAACCAGCTATATTCTTATGTATTACATATTCCGAAATCCTATTGCTATTTTAGTAGGAGAGTTTCCTATTCTTCCTTGTTTCCTGGAGTTTTTCTCCATATCTTTTAAATCGGAGGTGTCCAACCTTGGCAACTGTAAAAGACTCCCAGAATTCCTCAGCCAGCAAGGTCCACAAGTCTTAAAGTTGCCACAGCTTGATACCCTGATTTCAAGCATTTGATGGCATGATTAACAGCTTAAAGCAGAGGTCCTCAATCTTTTGGGCACCAGGGACCGGTTCCCTGGAGAGAGATTTTTCTGCGGACTGGAGGGTGTGTGGTTTTGTGTGCTGCCTGCATCCCACAGATGGAGGCTTTGCTTGTTTGTGTGGACTGGTTCCTGGCATGGTACTGGTCCACGGACCAGGGGTTGGCTTAAAGCATTCTTGTTTCCATCTGCTGAACCCATTAAATCCCAGATGATTCAGTGACCTCAAAGAAACCATATAAACGTTCTACAGTCAGCCCTGCTCTCTTTCTCTTTATTTTCAGCTGACCCCCAATGATGAAGCTTTCCTGTCAACAAACGCAGGAACTGCCCTCAGCCAGTTTGAGAAGGTTTCGACTGATCTCGGTAAAGTTTTTTTTTTTTTTCTTTTTAGGTTCATTTTCCACCCACCTCCCCTTCAGGGCTCAGGATTGTCAGTCCCTATGCTCTGGAAGAGGAAACAGCCATTCCTCGCTTCAGACGTTAGTTAAGAGCATTTAAATGAGGTTTGGTTTGTGTTCAGTTCAGGTGCCACTTAACGCACCCAGCCAAAAATGTGCAAAGTAAAAATGGGTCAAAAGCATCCACAGGTAGTCCTCGGCTTACAGCCCTTTTGTTTAGGGACCATTCAAAGTTACAACACTTATGACCATTGCAGCGTCCCCACGGTCACGGGATCAAAATTCATCTGTTTGACAACTGATCCATATTTATGCTCATTGCAGCGTTGTCCTGGGGTCACGTGATTACTTTTTGTGACTTTCCAACTAGCAAAATCCATGGGGAAGTCAGATTCACTTAACAACCGGGGCAAGGAAGGTTGTAAAATGGGGCAAACAGCCGTGTTGCTTAGCCGCAGAAATTTTGGGTCCAATTGTGGCCATGCGTTGAGCACGACCTGTGTTAAGAATGATTTTATTCTCAGCAATTATTCCAATCTTAGCCGCTCTTAGATTCCAGCCGCTCTCTGCTTCTGACAAGGGTCCTGTGTTGTCACAAACATAGAGTCTCACGGGGTCAGTCTCATGACTGATCTTAATCACCATGCAAACCATGATCTCCTCGGCTATTATTCCCTATAGTTCCCATCATCCTCTGAGCAACAGCCGTGCTAGTTGGACCTGATCGGACTTTCGGAAAATTATCCAGCCAGGGGAACCTGCTTCAAAGCTTAATTGGTGTTGAAAAGGTGTATTTTATGGTCAAAATATAACAGAAAGGAACTCTTACATCCGAAGTCAGATTGCTGTGAAAAGAAGGGACACTAAAAGAGTTTTAATTTGTTTCCTTGTTTTCCTTTGACAACAGGATCTGGAGATAAAGTCTTCGCCCTGGCAAGCTTTGAGGTAGAAAAATCAAAGCAATGAAGACTCTTCTTTTTTTTTTTTCTTTTTTTTTTTTTTTAGATGCATTGGACTTTTTTTTAATCACGTTGCATTTGTGTGTTTCTTACCAATCTTTTGTAATATTTGTTATTCTAACAGTGAGTTGATCTAAAACATGTCGTAGCCTTTTCAGAGTCGGCAACCCACGTCTTGCGGCTGAAACACAGAGGTACTTTCTGAAAAACAGAAACACGATGTTCCTAATTTGCTGCTGCTGTCAGCTTTTGTGCAGGGCTGAGAGGTTGGCTCTCTCACCTTCTGTGTCTTTCGGATGCACTCCGACTAGTAAAGTTGTTGCACGCGATGAGCCTCTTTAGTGGGCCTTCAATCTCAACAGCTGCATATGTTGAATTACGTGCAGAAAATCGATCCTACTTATTTAACTGACCCATTTTTAAAAAAATGGGGAATAGGGGTTGTGGAACACAGCAATCCTTGGTGGAAGTCATGCCTCTCTAAAATCCGAGATTGCCGACAAGCCGACCGCCTATTCTTCTAGCCTGTTTGATGTGACCGGGTATGGCTGCACAGCAAAGACTCGGCTGGCAAACAATAGCACCCCTGTAAGGAATTTTCTGGGCCAGTTTAACTTTGTGCATCAGAATGACAGCGAGCACAGTGGGAAGCAGCCGAAAGACGCGGGGCTTCTGGCTTGCCTTGTGCAGCTTGTAGCGTGACAGACTATAAGCTATTGTTCTTCCTGTATGTTCTAAGGGCAGCATGAAATAGTGTCCTAAATAGAAATAAGGGGCTGTAGGGGGCCTTCCCTGTACAAGTGGGCTGCGCCGTTTCCTGAACAGAGATTTCTGTGCCCTGCCTTTGTTAGACCTCTCAAACTGTTGCTTGGGTATGAAGATTTTAGCCTGAATTATTCAACATTATGAATATGTTGCATTTTCAACACTGCTCGCCTTGAACCTTGGGAAATGAATCAATTAGAAAACTATCATCAGCTAAATGTGTCTTCTGCTCCAAGCAGCCCACTCAAAAACAAAAGGTGTTGCTATTACTGCATCTACCTTTGGGCCCTTCCAACTAAACCTGTCAAGTAGCCAGTTGAGAGAAGCTCTAATTAAAATAGAGGCAGAGGGATTTCGCTTGCCTTACAAATGTCCATCTGTTTTGGAGGATGGTGCCTGTGCCCAAAAACATCCCCCCAAAGGGAAACCCAGTTCCCATGTTGCTACTAAGCCATGCTATGGTTGGTGGGGTTTTGCTTAGCCCTGTCACCTGAGACTTGGTCAACAAGGTAATTGATCCAAGCTTTAGCAGTGTTTCTCAACCTTGACAATTTTAAGGCATGTGGACTTCAACTCCCAGAATTCCACAGCCAGCAATGCTGGCTGTGGAATTCTGGGAGTTGAAGTCCACATGCCTTAAAATTGTCAAGGTTGAGAAACCCTGCTTTAGCATGATGCGTGAAAAAGAGGGAAAGGCTCCTAGAGTGCCAGGGAAACCTTCAGCCCATCACTTTCTATAGTAAGACTGTTGCTATTGTGATGGCTGAATCAAGGCCTAGGCCAGGGGTCTTCAAACTTGGCCCTTGGACAACTTGTGGACTTCAACTCCCAGAATTCCTCAGCCAGCGTGCCCCTGGCCTAGGCAGACCAACTGTTTGTAGCAGCCTCGCTATCGATTAGAGTTTGTCTGTTCCCTGCAGAAGGCAAGCTTTGTTTTGTACAGTTGTGCCTTGAGCCTGCCTGCCTGTCACACCAGCTTTAAACAGGTGGCTACTTCTGAGCTGGCTTCTGTTGTTATGCTTGGCGATCTGCATTTACTCCCCCCCCCCTTTTCCATATGGTTCATCTCACTTTAATAAAATATCTCTAAGAAATCCATTTTATCTTCATTTATATTTCTCCCTTGCTCCTGTCCCTTATTTTATTTTTAGCTTCAGCATTTGAAATTTTTTTCCTTAAAGTGGCTATAAATACAACATAAGGAGTCTTAAAGTAGGCACTGGGCATTCTAATGACTTTTAAAAGCCTTTCTATAAGCAATCTAAATTATGTAATGTCCAGAAAAAGTTAAAAATAATTGTCTAATTGAAGATGTTAATATTGAAGGAGTTGCATGCTAGTGTGACAGTCTAGGAAAAATAGGAACCCCACATCTTTCTGGATTTCTGATTACACAGGCAATTACCGTGCCTAAAAACTGGTTAGAAGGAATTGTACTTTGTGATTTGTCCTTTTCGCTACTGTTTAGTTTTCCCTGCTTTTCTTAATGAATTGCTTCTTTGCTATAACCTGGTCATTCTCATAAAATTCACCCCTAATCAGTGAAATCCCTGGCTTCTATGTGGTTTGTTTGCTTTTTTCTGCGAGCCTCTTTATTTTTTTTTTCAATATTTATGCATAGCACTTAGTGATATAATAAAATATAAAATAAGGTAGTTTGACACGGTGAGATTATTTTCATCTTAAATGTTAGAATTGCACTAATTTGATTTCATAACAATTTGCGTTAAAGTTTCCTCCAAATAATATTTTTTTTTAGTTTATCCAAAGCCAAGTACTGATTACCTGAGAGGTGGATCTTATGCATTGTCTAAGAAAGGCTGAGCGCCAAAGAATTGAGGCCTTTGAACTCTTGTGCTGGAGAAGACTCCTGCAAGTCCCCTGGACTGCAAGGAGATCAAACTGGTCAGTCCTGGAAAAGATCAACCCTGATTGCTCTTTAGCAGGCCAGATCCTGAAGTTGAAACTCAAATACTTTGGCCACCTAATGAGAAGGAAGGACTCCCTGGAGAAGAGCCTAATGGTGGGAAAGATGGAGGGCAAGAGAAGAATGGGACGGCAGAGAATGAGATGGCTGGATGGAGTCCCTGAAGCAGTAGGCGTGAGCTTAAAGGGACTCCAGAAGATGGTAGAGGACAGGAAGGCCTGGAGGAACATTGTCCATGGGGTCACGATGGGTCGGACACAACTTCGCAACTAACAACAACAATAATGTTAGAGTGGTACACATATCTCCTGAAAGGAAACATAAGAAGGATGCAGTTTAAGTTTTCATGGACTTTGAAGGGATGGAAGCAACTTGTTGGCTTCAGAATTTGTCCCTCAATTTTGCACCTTTGTTTTAAATATGAACCTTTCAACTCTGCATCAACCTGATGCCTGTTTTTTGTTGCAGAGAGTTTTCCAACTGGGAGCAGAGCCCTCTCCTTCAGCAATTACATAATCAGGCAAACAGGAGGGACAAGGCAGACCAGATGGCATCTTTTGAAAAAGCGTCTGAAGTCTGTAACACCTTCAAAAGGCCTCTTGGTCAGCTATAAAAGGCAAACCGATGCCTTAATTGCAAATCTCCCCTCCTCAGATGAACATGAAATAGCGGCAGACTTCTCTTTCCTTTGCACAGCATACTAATTAAGGAGCCTCCAACCGAAGGATCGCAGAGTGAGGTTTTCAAATCCCTTTTTTCCTCGCAGCCTGCGCTAATGCCTTCAGCTTTTCTTAAATAATTAATTGTCACGAAGGCCTGCTGTTCCTTGTGTACCTGTTCACAATGGTCTCAGATCGCAGCATCCTTGCACCCTCCCAGTTCCTGTCTGCTGCTTGCTTTTGCTCTTTTTAAAGGCTTTCATCTTAAGGTCTTCGGAAACCCACAGGTTGTCAGTTTCTGGGTCTTTGGGCTTTGACGTCCCTTTTAAGTGCTAAAACACAGCTTGGAAAGCGCAGAATGTCCGCTTCTGGGACTGGCAGGATTGAGATTCAATAGGAAGGAGAGGAAAGGAGCAGGCAACTTTCACCACGCCTAGGCAACCTTACCTCTTGGTGAGCCTGAGATAAAGAATTGGAGGAAATGTTCCACCAAAATCAGGGGAAGACTTTTGGAGGCTTAACATGGCAAATGTGCCCTTTGTCCTCTTTGCAGGTCCCCCCCCCCGTTTTTATCTCTGATATCTTTATGGATTTCGTTGAAACAACCTCAAAACAGGGCTAGTTGTTTCGAGGTCAATCTCTAAGCTTGGTAAAGTTGTCGTAGAGCAATGATGGCGAACCTTTTAGAGACCAAGTGCCCAAAAACTAGCCCCAACCCCGCTCTACCCCCCCTGCTCCGCCCCCACCCCGCCTGCCCGCAGGGCCACTCACCGCCTCCAGGGCCCGCCGATCGCCCAGCAGCGCCATGGCAGCCACGCCCTCTGTCCGCGCCCTACAGCATGAACTGTGCGCGATGGGGCGTGAGGGCAGAGTCTTGTCTACGCTGCCTGGCTGCCATGTCCTTGGCTGCAGTGCTCTGCGTGGGCCACGCTCGGGGGCGACTCTCCTCCAAGGGGGCTGCTGGGGAAGAGGGGGTCACGGGGGGAGGCGAGGCTGGGGCAACGGCACGTATGCCCACAGAGAGGGCTCCCAGTGCCGCCTCTGGCACCCACTGTATTCCCCCCCCCCAAATCAAAAATTATTCCTAGAAAATTATTTCTGGAGAATGCTGTAATGCTGAGAAAGGGGGAGGAAAGAGAAGAGGACCAGGGGCATCATCAGAAGAGCTGAAGGATTAGATTCCCTAAGGAAGAACCAGATCTTCCCGGTGGAAAATCTTCCTACTGTTAGGAATAAAATTTTAGAATAAAAAGTAAAGTTAAGTGACACGTACTCTGTAAAATTTCTACACGCAAAGATTTCTAAACAAAATTTCTACACCTAGACTGCCAGATTTCTACACAATTTCTACATGTACACATACCTTGTAAGAGTTCTGCACATAGGCTATAGGATTTCCACACTGAGCTGTAGGATTTCATGATAAAGTACGTTTAAGGGAATAGGTGAAGCAAAATAGTAAGGGGCAGGGATAATGTATTTTGTTTAGGCGGCTCTGATAAGATTGTAACCTCAGAGGAGGGGCCAAGGCGTCGGGATAGAATGTATATAATGTGTGTTTTCGCTGTGACTAGGTGTGGCTCAAATATTTATTTGGAGTCCACCACGCTTTGCAAACCGTTGTAGCCAATAAATCTCTGTCTAATTCCAACTTACCATAAGAAAGGCTGAGCGCAAAAGAATTGAGGCCTTTGAACTATGGTGCTGGAGAAGACTCCTGCGAGTCCCTTGGACTGCAAGGCGTTCAAACCAGTCAGTCCTAGAAGAGATCAACCCCGACTGCTCTTTAGAAGGCCAGATCCTGAAGTGGAAACTCAAATACTTTGGCCACCTAATGAGAAGGAAGGACTCACTGGAGAAGAGCCTAATGCTGGGAAAGATTGAGGGCAATAGAAGAAGGGGACGACAGAGAACGAGGTGGTTGGATGGAATCACTCAAGCAGTAGGTGTGAACTTAAATGGACTCCAGAAGATGGTAGAGGACAGGAAGGCCTGGAGGAACATTGTCCATGGGGTCGCGACGGGTCGGACACGACTTCGCAATTAACAACAACAACAATTCCAACTTGCTGTTTGGTGTTATTCAGTGGGCTAGAATTTCTGCCAACACTACCGCCCCGTTTCCCAACCGTGGGAACTTTTCCGAAGTGTGGACTTCAACTCCCAGAATGCCCTAGTCGGCATGATTTCAGGGCCTGGGGAATTCCGGGCGTTGGAGTCCACCCTTCTTAAAAAGTCCCCACCATTGGAGAAACCCCGATGCTCTGTCCGCTTTGGCTGAGAATCCGACAGCGCGGAATCCAGGTCGTGGGGATTATCCCCACGAGAGGGCGGGACCGCGGCAAGCCACGCCCTTCCATTCATTCCGCCGCTCAAGGCCCGCCCCGCACGCGACGCGAGGGACAGCGTTGTTGTTTTCCTCATCGCCACGCCCCTTTCCTCCGGCCCGCCCACCGCCGAACCTCTCCCACGGCCTAGAAGCGCCGCCCCTTTTACCTCAGGCGCGTCGTCGCGATGTTGCCGCCCGAAGACGAAGCGGCCGGCCGCGTATTCGGGCGGCGGCGGCTGCAGCAGCGGCGTCTCCCTCCCCTCCGGAGTCGGCCAGGCGCCTCCTCCTCCTCTTCCTCCTCCTCCGTTCCCTCCCTCGGTCGCCGCCGCTCTGAGTCACGACGGCGGAGGGAGGAGGAAGAGGCGCAGCGGCAGCAGCAGGGGCGGTCGCTCGCTCGTTCGCTCGCACACGAGCTGCTCTTCGCCCCTCCGGCGCAAACCGGGCTCGCGGCTCGCAGGGAAGGCGGCTGCCCGCCTGGGCTTCTTCGTTCCCGAGCCGCCAAGGGAGGGAAGGGGGGAGGCTCGCCCGTCCGGGGCTCGAGGACCCTTCCTCACAAAAAAACAAAAAAAAACCCCACCGCCTCAGGTAAGCGCCTGTCGGCCTCCCCCGCCCTACAAAAAGAGAGAGAGTGCGCGCGCGCGGCGGCGGCGAGTCTGCGCGTGCGCGCTCGCTCGCTCGCCTTCCCTCGCCCCCTCCCTCCTTCCCCAACGGCTGTTCTCTCTTCCTTCCCTCCCTCCCCCCGCCTGTGTTTTGTCTTTTTCCAACATGGAGTCACTCTTGCTTCTGCCCTGCTTTAGGTTTTTCTCTCTCTCTCTCTCTCTCTCTCTCTGTCTCTCTCTCTCTCTCTCTGTGTGTGTGTGTGTGTGTGTGTTTCAGCCTCCCCTTCTCCCCCCTCTCCCAAACTGTTGTGGTCCACCACTAATCGCCTTCAATGCCGCAGGATTTGACCATTCTTGGGGGTGGGGTTTCTATGCAGTTTCTTGGGGTTTATGTGTAGTTATGTGCCGGAGGTTGTTATTACTGTTCTTGAGTTCTCAACTTTGGCCGTTGTCGCCGGGTTGTGGTGTGTCCCTGGCTCTTCCACACACCACACACCTAACTCACCAGCTTCCTGAGTTTTCCAGGTTTTCTAGGTTCGCAGAAGAGGCCCAAAGGTGGTGAAATGATCTCAGAGGCGCTGGCTGGGGGTGTGCCACCCGCTTGGATGCCAATCTCTTATTGCCTCACATCCTTGGCTGTTGAAATTGGGCAAGGCTGGCTCATCGGCCCCGCGAGGTTGGCATCTCAGCAGAGCCAGCCTTTAGGATCTTTCCGTAGTGTGTCCTTTTGGCTTTTAATGCTCAGGTCCACTGTGTTTTTGTTTTAAGGCAGGGGTCTTCAAACTTGGCCCTTTTACGACTTGTGGACTTCAACTCCCAGAATTCCTCAGCCAGGCACACGTAATGCGTTCAGAGTCCAGTTGTGTGCCAAATTTAGTTGTGCTCATATAACTCTTTGGCAAGCATTATTTATTTTTTTTAAATCCAGTCGGTGGCACGGCTTCTATAATGTTTTATTAAGACATTCAGTCACAAAGTATAGGCTTAAAACATCATCCTTTGGAGCAGTGGATGGCCAAAGAAATGGGCAAAGTCTTTTCATACAGACATTGTTCTGAAATGTGCAAGGCAGTTAAGCTTCTTGTCAGTAGAAGTTTTAAAGAACACAGAGTCACATCCCACTGGAATATTGAAAAGTTCATCTGCTTTAATAATATACACTACTAAGCCTTTAAAAACCCTAACGTTGGAATTATCGAGGTATAGTATTTTAGCAGCTGCACTGTTTATAAACCTTGCTTACCCATGGTGTATGCACATTGCCATCTCTATTCCAAATATTTTGTACAATTCGACTGGCAGATAGACACAAGTAAGTAAATTGGTGTGATAAGTGTTTAATAGCACCTACGCTAATCCTGCATCAATTAAGGATAGATGTGGATTAATTGGAGACTGTGGCACAAAGCTTAATAGTTGTATTAATCTTCTGCTTTTTACTATAACTTAATCATTTTGTAAAGAGAGTCTGCAGTAATTGAGCACCGATTAAGCTTTTAGATAAGCTCTTGATTAGGCAATTTCAGAAAGGCATCTGTAAATATACTATTTGGTCATACGTTGTTAAATTGTTTCTGTTGCAGGCCACTTTGTTACCATAGGTTTATTAACTCTTTTATTGCAAAGAAGCTTTACTTTGACCCTTGTCTAGAAAGGAAATCAGCTGTATCCTGCTGAGGACATTTCCTTCCCTGTTATGTCTTTTTTTTTTATAGTTACAGCCTAGTTTTTATAAAACAGATTACAGACTTGCAGTCTGCAGATTAACTCAGAATCTCACACCTTAATCTTGTGGATAACACATTTCCTTCCTGGCCATGTATTAAATGACAACGCAGAGCTTGCTCCACGGAGCTTAACAACCTCTTGTGGGAAATTAGAAGTGATTTGTGCTTCCTGTTTTGTTCAATAGTGTCAACAAACTGCAGTTGCTGCTGATTTTGTAAGGCAATTTGGAGCTAGTTTTGGAGCAACTAGATATTGTACGTGAAGCGTTAATAGTTTAGAATTAGGAATGTGTTTTGTACTGTTGTCTGAACAATTTCAGGAAAGACGGAACAAGTTGTCCACAAATAAAATTACATAGGGGTTTTTAAGACAAAACGCAAGTTATTGAATTCTGTCTTTCAACTGTTCACATCAAGTACTGGCAGTCGTTTTTAACATTTCCTTAAGAGCTCGTGTTTAACTCTTCTTTTCAACAAATGCCTGATTTTTTTCCCCCTAAAACCTTGGCTTGATTAGTAATTTGTCGTATATTTATGGGCAACTATTGGATCCTGCAGAAATATTAATATTATCCCTGGCCCCCAAAACCCCCACCCATCCCTCATTGTGAAATCCTATTTCTCTGCATTCATTTAATTATTTTTGTTGTAGACAAGATTAGCTTCAATTACATCACCGGAGAGTTTTAACAGTTAAAAGTCTTGCACGTGGTTATTTTTATCTCTGATGTGTGATTGATTGTGTTTCTAGATTACTAAATCTTTTCAGATAAGTCACTTGTCAGGGCCATTACTCAGATTCTTGTATAATGCCTGTATATAGATTTAGATGAGCAAAGTTAGGTTAACTCCTCTCTCATTAACTCTGGTCTTACATTCCGAAGTATATTATGGAATCAGTTATCCATATCAGTTCTTAGTCAAAAATAAGAATTTTCACTTTTGAAAATAACAGGGGGACCGTGACATACTTCACGAGCTTTTCTTGTGGTTAAAAATAATTTGATTTTTTGTCATTATGTACAATTAAAAAAAAACTTGTCGTATAAGAAAATATATTTGTAACAAACTAACATAAATGCAGTTATTAAGAATATTTATTGACAAAACCCAACAGTAGTTAAATACCATGTGACCGGCTTGAAATGCCACCTAGCTGTATGGTTTTAACGGCTGAATGGTTTATCTACCTGCCACAGCTTCAACTTTAAGCTTGAAGGTATAATGAAATTTCACTTTTCCTATCTGGAATTACGACGGAATATTGATTTGACTCGGAAAATGAGGACAATAGTGAGCTTTTATAGAAAAGGTATTTTGAGTTCTGGGCCTGGATTGTGCAAAGCTTTCCATATTCTCTTACAATCATTTGAGCATATTAAGCAAACTTTCCAAGATTTCTAACAGTTCCTGTTTCCTGACCTTGAAGGGAATTAATACTAACCTGAAGAAGGCCAGAAACATCATTGTAAATAATTGTTTATATAAATAATAGCCCGCATATAATTTAAGGACTGGTGACTGAAGAGAATAATAACAAGAATTCATAGGTATCTTGTCTCTGTCTGATCCAACAAAATTACCTAAGGGAGTTCTAGAATTAATTGCATCATCGTTCTCATCATTCGTCAACATCTTCCATGACAGAAGCAATGCAAATGCAAGGATCGTATCCAGGAAATGAAGCACTTTCCTGTTTTGGATTGAAACATTTTTTTTAAAGTAGGGTTAAGAGCTGCTAATTTAATTTTTTTTTTAAATGAGAACTGTGCATACTTTGTCTAAAATTTAAAGTAGGCCTTGGAAACGTGATAGGAACAAGCTTGTGATTTTAAAATGTCCTGATCTTACTGTTCACTTATAAATGGACAACTGTGTGCATTCTGCATTGCAGGCACCCCTATAGAATTGTGAATTAATTCAGTCTCGGTCTGCTTGTGGTTCAAGGTCACGAATCGGACTGAAAGAATGGGGGGGGGGGCAGACAAGGAAGCTCTGATTTCAATGCTCCAGTGTTTATTGGACGATTTTCTTGTATAACAAGAAGGCTGCAGTTCTTAATGCCCTTATAAGTATAAGCATATTGTAACTATTAAAGGCCCTTTGAAGGTTTAATCTTCTTTAATCTTGGGGTAATAACTTGAGAAAACAACCCAGCACTGTGTTTGTGATTTTTTTTTTTATTAGTTTAGACAAGCAGTGCACATTGTCACAGCCCTTGGTGTTGGATCAGCTGTTGTACAGCTGTCTTTCTAAACATTGTTGGTTGCTCCTAGGACATAACTATTGGCAGTGTACACATCCAATATTCCCTTCAAAATATCCAGTTCCAGGTACTTGGGCAATGCTGTTCATTGATAGTTGAAGGTAACTATTCCTTTTCAATTTTTAACTGAAACGTGAAGCTTCACTTGTAAAATGCTAGGGATTTTAAAAAAAAAAAACCTCCTTCACAACCAGCTGCATAAAGAAAATAATACCGCACTCACACAAATAAAAAAAGTACTTGATTACTTGATCAGTAATGACAGATGAAGTTCTCTGGGTAATTGCTTGCTTACTTATTTATGTAGCCGTGTGCTTCTAAAGATCATAACTTTTACTGTATTTTGAGTGTGTGCGCTTGAATCCGATTGTTGCTTTCCGTTAAGCAAAATGTCTGTGGGAGAAACCATGTGAATTCTTGTTTCCTGGTGCCTTGAACATTTCTAGAAGGAGCAGTAGTTTTGCAGGAAAATGCCAGTTTTACTTTGTAGCCAGCTTCATGGGGGGTGGGGGGAGAGGATAAAATGCATTAAGCCCCGTCACTTAAATCCCAGCCATGAGATTGCTTTATAGTTAATGCTAAACGTTTTGTGGCTTTGCTTGAAACAAACAAATTTTTAAAAAATCAGATTATCTGTGTTAGCCACAGGAAAAATCCCAAAATCCATATTGGGACAAAAACCTCTCAACATGGCACAAAACCTTCTGAAGTTGAAACATGTAATGTAAGGGTTTTAATTTTGTCTGGGATTTCAATGTGGCCTTTGATGTATCTGACTTTAACTACTTCAGGCTGCATATGCCGTACTTGTAAAATAGTGCTCCTTGTAGGAAACAAGTATCAAAGCCTTTTGCCTATGCAAATGGGTGGATTAAAACTGTGCGAGGAGTTTTCTTATTCGCCATCCCGAGTCATGAGAGTTAGATGGCGCAGTTACGATATTAATAATAAATGTTTACTTTCCGAGAAGTGCTTCAGTGCTGTATGTGAGCTCCCATCTGCATCTGTGAAATGGGACCATTAAAAGCAGGCCTCATCTGATGATTAGGGTAGTTCCCTTATCACCCATCAATTTTGTTCACTTGTTTGGTGGATCCAACAAGGCCGGCCATAATTGGCATTGTATATCTGTAGCTGTGACCATTGGGCCAAGTCTATATCTAACAATCCTACAAATTTGTTTATAGTTCAGTATGTTGTCTGAACCCTGGTAGTGAGATTAAGCATGTTATATAAACAGAGTTAGCAAGTTTTGTTATCTTTTTCTGTTACTTCAGGAACTTCCCTTCGAGAAAGGAAGGCATTAATCTCCTAGGATACTGGGCTGAGGATAGAAACACACCTTATGTGGACTGCACAAATCATGCCCTTTTGGTTGTGCTAAAATTATTATGGATTTACCAATGTGTTTATATACACGTTGAGAAGCATTGCAGGCCGTCTATCAGCTTTGTGAAGCTACTCTGACCAAAACTGTTTTACTTACTGTAAAACAGCTTTCATTAAAACAGTCATCCCCTTCTTCCTGTTCAACTACTTTTATTACCACCAAATGAACTCTTTTTCTTTTAATTGTCCTGCCGTTTTTTTGAAGACAGAAGTTTTCCTCCAGGAGCTGAAACGTTTAATTTAACATTAAAAGAACGAAAACTAATTAGAGCTGATGTTCAAACACGGGGTAGAGAACAACTTGCATTTTTTCACCAGGCGAGACTTGAACCAAAGCGGGATATTTAACATATTTAGAACTAGTTTGGGGTGTCTATTAAAAATCTGTTGCTTTGTTCTCACAGGGTTGCTGTTTGTGGCATTTCCAGGCTAGCAGATCACAGTCAAGTACTCTGGTGAGTCTGTCGTTACTCTGTGGAGCTGGGAAAGTGGCAGCAAATAGCTTGGAAGCCCTGAATGTGTGGCTTGTTTTGAGTGAGAAGAAGGAAAAAGAAGCCTTATTTCTGTGTTAGGGAATCATGAAGTGGAAGGAATCTTAAAAAGTGATCTAGTCCAGTCCCCTGCTTATTGCAGGATCTACTAAAAGTCATTTAACTTCTGAACGTTCTCCCCATACAAAGAACATACCATGAACTCAGGTGACAACACGTTCCACCAAACGGGAGGGCATGCAAAGCATCAGCCCTGGACAGAAGTGAAGAGCCTCCTCATACTGAGGGCTGTTAGCAGTTGGCACTGCAGGGTCTCTCCCCGTCCCCAGGATTAATCTAGCGTAGTAAATACTGCTGTAAGACGCCTGCGAGTCCCTTGGACTGCAAGGCGTTCAAACCGGTCAGTCCTAGAAGAGATCAACCCTGACTGCTCTTTAGAAGGCCAGATCCTGAAGTTGAAACTCAAATACTTTGGCCACCTAATGAGAAGGAAGGACTCCCTGGAGAAGGGCCTAATGCTGGGAAAGATGGAGGGCAATAGAAGAAGGGGACGACAGAGAATAAGATGGCTGGATGGAGTCACTGAAGCAGTAAGTGTGAACTTAAATGGACTCCAGAAGATGTTAGAGGACAGGAAGACCTGGAGGAACGTTGTCCATGGGGTTGCGGTGGGTCGGACACGACTTCGCAATTAACAACAACAACAAATACTGCTGTCTTTTCCTCTCTTCAGAAGTCTTCAAAACTGGAAAAAAGGGAATGAACCGTGAGGCTGTTTCTGGGAAGAGTCCGGAGGAGATGTACATTCAGCAGAAAGTGAGAGTCCTGCTAATGCTTAGAAAGATGGGATCAAACGTACGTATCCACGCCGTGAGCTCGTAAGCATCACTAATAGCCTGGATTTTTCATCTTCTGATTGACCAGGTTTGCCTGCTGACTTTCTGGAAGACAATTTTTATGCGTTGCAAGCCGCCAAAGGATTCATTTCGTTATTTCTGAGATGATCACTCTATAATTCCCACCACTTTAAGAGAGTAGCAATGTTAATCCCAATCGTTATAGATAAATTAGATCGATGTTTTCAAGATCTGGAGGATCATTCCCTGTGCTACTGGTGCAATTCTTTTGCCCATATGGTCCAGGGCAGGGGTAGGCAACCTTGGCTCTTTGATGACCGGTGGACTTCAACTCCCAGAATTCCTGAGCCAGCCTGGCTCAGCTTGGAAACCTCTCCCTTTCCTCTCAGCATGGCTGGCTCAGGAATTCTGGGAGTTGAAGTCCACCAGTCATAAAAGAGCCAAGGTCGACTACCCCTGACCTAGACGATGCCAAAAGCAAAATTCCTGGCTTTCCACCCCAGTCGAGAAGTGAATTTGGAGAGATGTGGGCTGACTGCCTTTCACTCTGGAGGCTCTATCAAAATCCAATAACCCCGCTCTTGGCCTGTGGATTTTCCTAGCCTGCCTCTAAAGTCATCTTAGAAAGCGTCCTGTTGATGTCTCTATTCTATTTCTTTCTATCCCACCTGTATTATTTGTAGAGACAACTCAAGCGAATGTGCCTTCCTTTTCCTATTTCCCCCCCCCCACGACGGCCCTGTGAGGTGGAGGAAACTTGGTCTCCGTCTCCCCAATTCCTTCACACGTGCAGATGGAGCAATTCTCTCGCGGTTCTCTTTCCTTGCTATTTCTCTTTCCCGCGTGCCTTTCCCACGACGAGGCCGTTCTCTTCCTCCAGACCCATCCAGCTTTCTATCACTGCAGCAGGCTAGAAGCTGAAAAACATGAAAACTATCTGGGCGACTTTGGGCCAGCTCCTCTCTCTCTCAGCCCAGCCCACCTCGTAGAGTTGTCGTTGTGGGAAAATAGAGGAAAGAGAATAAGTGTCAACCATCCCACTCAGTCACCTAGCAAAGAAAGACTCCTGGCCATTTGATTTCGCCACGAATATACTTTACTGAAGCTTAAGTGCTTATAGGGATAGTGAAGCTGAATCTGAGGTTTTCCCACACAAACAGTACAAAGTAAATTTTCTGCTCTCCCTTTCTCCCCCTCCCTCTGTTATCTGTAAATGTCCAATCAGTGCTTGTATATTGTGTAGGAAACAGGCTTTCTGTTCCCAGCTCTGCATACCAATAACTGAGAAGCTGAAGCTTCTCACAATTGCCGGGCTTCCATTCCCACCCACCCCCCCTTTTTTTCCTCATTACATCCCAATCTTTCCTCTCCCCCCCCCCCGCTTGCTAATGTCAGGCTGTCAGCTCATGAAGCTTGGATAGGAGAGAGGCAGCCGTGACAATGAGTATATTCTCCGCCTTGAGTTACCTTCAGAAATAACAAAGGTGGGATACAAATAAATAAAAATAAATACGTGAATAAATTTGCCGCCAACTTAAAAAGCAAGCGGACAGAGACTTGATTTGCCAGCTACTTTGTTTTGCCTAACTGGGTTTTTGGTTGCGCCCTTTTCCAGTTAACCAGCAGCGAAGAGGAGTTCTTGCGGACGTACGCAGGCGTCGTGAATAGCCAGCTTAGCCAGCTTCCTCAGCACTCTATTGACCAAGGTGAGTCACATATAGCTTCTTTTGCTACAAATGACTAACATGGAAGCCCTTTAGTTCATTTTGAAAGGGCAAAAATAGTAAAAACACAGCGGTCGACTTCTCTCCCCTACACCACCCATAACATGAGTTGTTTTTTTTTCTTTTAATGTTAAATCAGGATTCTCCATTTAGTATTTTCATTACTTACCCTGGGGATCTATAAACGGGAGCGCAGTGTAGCTAGTGATAACATTTAATGGATTTCAAACGACCTACTTCTCGCCTTCGGTGTTTGAAGTGCGTTACTGTGTCCCTGACGAGTAGCATTTCTTTCTCAACTGTTTTAGTCCATCTAATAACTATATCCGTAGATGGGCAATGCAGAATGCTCATTAGGAATAAAAATCCTGCATTTCCTTAGCGAAAGAACAGCCCCAGAAGACTAAAAATCCAGCAACTCAATGGAAGGGTTAGCCGCTAGATGGCAGCACACTCTTAGAAAACGGAGTAAGATGCTCACAATTCACACTTGGGTGGACCACTGACTTTCAAAACCAAGTTGCCACTGATTTTATGGCTTGTTCAGAAGTGACCTGGGAATGTAGGATTACTCCTAATTGCAAACCTGTGACACGCTTGCTCTTCTGTGGCTGTTCCCCAAGGTTATTTCCACTAGGGCTGGTTTGGCTGCAGTTGATAGAACAGCTTTTCCCCTGCTGCCGGAGAGTCAGCTTTCCGCTTTCCTCCGGTTGGTAGACGATGGGCAAAATTCCTAAAGTGACTCTGCTGGCTGAGAGTCCCCATGGTTTTCAGTGGCTGCCCTGGGGTTTCATTTCAGTTCAGGTGTTCCGTGCTAAGTCGAGCTTCCCAATTTGTCTGAAAAAGTTGCGAGGACAATGGTGATAAAAGTTTAACTAATGCAATCCTGATCACTCAGGGTCATTGAGAACCTAAGGCAGGGGTCTTCAAACATGGCCCTTTTATGACTTGTGGACTTCAGGTCCCAGAATTCCTCAGCCAGGCACGCGTGCCTGGCTGAGGAATTCTGGGAGTTGGTCCACAAGTCATAAAAGAGCCACGTTTGAAGACCCCTGATCTAAGGCTTCGGGATCACTCTTTTTGACCTGGCTCAGAAGTTCCAAACAGCAGGGCCGAGGTATAGATAAGATAAGATAAGCTTTATTGTCATTTTTTACTGTGGGTGCAACGGCACACATCAAAAATGAAATTTAGTTGCCTGCTCTCAAAGTGGACACGTACGTGACACACACCTAAACATACTGTATACAACATGTGTATAGATAGACCCATACCCCTACATATACATAACAAATGAATATTAAACACTGTCCATCTAGAGAAGCACAGACCTGCAGCCAGCCAGCCTCCCTCCCTCCCTCCCTCCCTCCCTCCCTCCCTCCCTCCCTTCCTTCCTTCCTTCCTTCCTTCCTTCCTTCCTTCCCAGCCTGTTTTGATCTTCTCTGCATTAGCTCTCTGCCTGTTAAAAGAGAGAGTAAAAAAGAGGCTGTTCCAATAATGCTGCTTTACACTTCTCACTAGGAGTACCTGGGGCACACCCAAGTATATGTTTGTTTGTAAAACGAAAGGGAAGGTTGGAGTTGGGCAGAGCTGCCGTCTCATTCCCAGGGCGGCTGGAATCCTGGATGGTTTCCTCTGAAGTGGCAGGACAAACCTTTGGTAGCTCTGGCAGCTCTGGTTGCTATAGCAATAGAGCTAAGTTGGTTCTAGCAGAAGCTGGATCCCTTGGGGAGTGCAGAGCTGAGATGCAAACATAGTCTGGGCAGGTAGACTAGGACTGAACAACACAGCCATTCCACAAAGCCCAAAGTTGTGAAGGAAGAAAATCTCCTGGAGGTTGCAGAGCCTCTCACAATAATGGTGAGGACGTGGATTATGCAGCTGTCGTGCCTACGTTAGCTCCATAGGCACCGGCTGCATCAAAGCAGATGCCACAGAGAGTGCATTTAAGAAAGAAGATTCGATCTTCTATAAAACCTGGGGAAAATTTTATCAGTGGGTTGAAATATGTTAGAATAAGAAGAGATTTTGGAGCTTTATTATATTAAGTATTAAGCTTGATGATTGGAAATAGTTGTAATGCTATCGACTATGTTAATTATTTAAAGCAGTGGTTCTCAACCTTTTTAATGCCGCAACCGCCAACCGGTCGTAAGTCGAGGACTACTCAACCGGTCGGAAGTTGAGGACTACTTAACTGGTGCAGCACCGTTTGCAGAAGGGGACTTTTGGCGGGCTCAGCAGGGCAGAGACAGCCTGGACAATTCCTATTGGCTTTTGAAAGCCAATAGAATTGGACTCTATTCAAGAGAGTCTCTTCTATTGGCTTTCAAAAGCCAATAGAATAGAAGGGAGTAGCACAGCTAAGGAAAAGGGGGGAAAAAATGGCAGACTGCGTTGTTTGGCGACCCCCGTGAAATGGTCGTTTGACCCCAAATGCGGTCCCGACCCACAGGTGGAGAACCACTGATTTAAAGGAATATTACTGTTTTACCAAATGTCAGTTGTAACTAGACCGATTCATTCTTATAAATGTCTAGTATTATATAAACAATAATACTCAATATGAAGACCTGGACGACAGCTTGTTCGCTGAATTACGTATTTACTGTAGTTATCCACACCTGGTCCCCTTTATCCCTTTATCCCGATTTCCCTGTACCTGCACCGACCCCACTTTTTCCCTGCCCATATAAAATCTAATAAAATATATTTAAAAAAGAGAGAGAGAGAGTGCATTTACTCTGCTAAGCATGAGATCCACAACTATTTACTCCATACTTGAATGAAAGCTAAGGATGCTTTTTAAAAATTGCTTAGATCTATTGAGCAGCGCGAAGGCCGCGTTTTCCCCCAGTTTTGTGCAATGCCTGTCTGGCCTAGGAGAAAACGACAGCTCCCAGAATTCCCAGTTGGGGGGGGGCGCGTGTTGGCCGAGCCTTTGTGAGACCCGGTCCAAAGGCATCCAGACCGTTACCCTCATTGTTGGCGCTCGACAAAAGAAGCCAACCTCTTTCCCCCTTTGTGTGTGCTGCAGGTGCTGAGGACGGCGTGATGGCATTTTCCAGATCAGAGACCGAAGACAGAAGACAGTAACTGGACCGGCTCTTTCTACTATATAGAACTGAAAAGGGGCAAACAACGTGCTGGGCAGTTGAGGAAAATGAGAGGACACCCCCCCTCCCTCAGTCCCTTTGCCCTCTCCTAAAGTTGTTGTGGCCCCACAACGGCTTCTCCCGGCTCTAAATTCTTTGCCTCTCCTCTCCAGCCTTCCTGAATGCGTTTCACAGCCCTCGGTTCGGTTCCCTTCTTTTTGGCGCCGTAGGGTTGTCGCCGATCCAGGATAAAACTCCGGGAATTTAGGATTGGCTTCACCCACCCACGCCTCCGCCCGTAAAAAGCGAACTGATTGGCAGATTCAGAGAACTCGACAGCCCACTCACCCCCCACCCCTCGTTTAATTTTGCTTTTTTTTTTCTTTTTCTTTTATGAATGGTCGCTGACGTCCCCGTTTGCCAAGCCTTCAGGCTTCAGTGCTTATGTAGGTCAGGCTTGTGTATTTTTTGGAGAGCAAAAATCACGGGCAACTGGACGAGGCTTGTAGATGTTTTGCTGAGGTCAGTGTTTCCTTTTGCTGGAATCCATTGGGGGGGGTGGCGGGGAAGAGGGGAATCTGTGTGTTTTAGTTATCGCCTTGCAATTTCTTGAGACCGTGGGAGAAGTAGAATCTTTGCCTCTATTTATTATAAGCTTGCTTGCCTTTCAGAAGAAGCCAGCTTTCAGGGTTGACTTTTCCCTAACATTTCCACCCTCCCTCAGAAATTTCTGGGGTTTTTTTTGGAGTGTCTTCAGGCTGGAAGGAAGCGCTCAAAAGCCCAGAGTTGAGAAAGTGAATCTCCAATTTTTTTAAAAAAAAAAACCCAAGAAATCACGTTTGTACTCAGGAGGAGATTTGCTGACACTCTGCAGGTTTGGACCTGTTGTGCTGGTAGCGATCGATCTAATTTCTGAGCTTGCTTTTGGGGGGGAAACGAAATCTACTCTCCGTGACTCCAGGTGGTAGAACCAATTCACAGTATTAGTTATAGACCAGAGTATTAGGATCCCCCAAAGCCCCTTCATCCACGCCTTTCCTTGCAGAAAAGCAGCATTGCTGGCTGGTGAATTCTGAGAGTTGAGGTCCACACATCTTAAAGTTGCTAAGGTGGAGAGACACTAGGAGAAAATGAGAATTGATTTGCAGGGGGTGCAAATGAAGCTTCACTTCTTGGGTGCCAAGGGTGGTTCCCCTGGGGAAACCCACAATAAAAATATAGTTGGCCTTTTCAGTAAACTTGTAAGTGCTTCTAGAAAGTTAGATTTTTTTTTTGGTCTTTTTTTTTTTTAAAAAATATATGGACGCAGAAGGCCAGCTCTTGAAAAGGACAAATTCTTTTTTTTTTTCAGGCTATACCTATTTTCCACACTGTAGAGCAGTGGTTCTCAACCTGTGGGTCGGGACCCCATTTGGGGTCGAACGACCATTTCACGGGGGTCGCCAAACAACGCAGTCCGCCATTTTTCTCCCCCTTTTCCTTAGCTGTGCTACTCCCTTTTCTATTGGCTTTTGAAAGCCAATAGAATAGACTCTCTTGAATAGAGTCTAATTCTATTGGCTTTCCAAAGCCAATAGGAATTATCCAGGCTGTCTCTGCCCTGCTGAGCCCGCCAAAAGTCCCCTTCTGCAAACGGTGCTGCACCAGTTGAGTAGTCCTCGACTTACGACCGGTTGGGGGTCGTGGCATTAAAAAGGTTGAGAACCACTGCTGTTGAGACTTCAGATTGCCTTCCTGGTGTTATAGGAAATTGTCTTCCCCAGAGTATGAAACTGATGTTGTGTCTCACCCTCCTTTTCAACAAATGGTACAATTTGGACTGTGGTTTTGTGGTCAGGACCAGCTTAGATTCCCTCACCGCCTGGTGCTGTTTGTTTTGCTTCCTTAACTTATTTTTAATGCCCTTCGGCGGTGCTCTTCCCAAAACCCAGCGTACCCCCCTCTCCATCCTCAACAATGCTCTCTTTAAACATTGCTCTTAATTCTCTTGATGGGTTTCCTCCCCCCCCCCCAAAAAAAACCTGCACTGCGCTTCTGCCTGCTGCGAGCCTCCTGTTCCAAAATCCATTTGTAAAGCAGTTTAAAAAGGCTACTCCCTCTGTCCCAGTCCTTCTTTCCAGTGCTGTCCTTCTGTGTCGTATAGGGATGAGATGCTGAACAACTGGTGCCAACCTAGGATCGTTGCCAGTGGTATAAAGGTCCTCTTGGGGGGGGGGGTCCTGAAGAAAGCCCATTGAAGACTCAATCTGGTGTCTGGATGGGTTGAATAGGCAATGTGGCTGCAGGCTGTGGTGTGTGCTCGGCGTTTCCAAACGGCTAAGAAAAGCAAAGTGAGTGTCTCTGTTTTTTTAAGACTTCTGGAGCGCTAAAATGTACCTTGAAAGGGTGGGGAAATACAGTTTTAAGAGCTCTTCTGTGTATCTCGTTTTTTTGTGTTCATCGATGACAAAAGCAGAATTTACTGGGGGTGGGATGGAGAGGGCAGAAGATCTAAAAGGTAGTGGCGTTGTGGGAGGAGGAGTGCACTCATAATGTTGTCTTGTTTGGGTCATGAAACATCTGCAAGAAAACCACCAAGCTCAGAGAGCACCAAGGACCCCATAATCCTCTTCCTCCTCCTCCACTCTGCAAACCCCACTCCCTTCTAGCACGGATGATGTTACCTAGTTGGGTAATGCAACGTCTGCAAGAAAACCACCAAGCTCAGAGAGTACCAAGGACCCCATAATCCTCCTCCTCCTCCATTCTGCAAACCCCACTCCCTTCTAGCACTGATGATGTTACCTAGTTGGGTAATGCAACGTCTGCAAAAAAAAACCACCCAGCTCAGTGAGCGCCAACGACCCCTCCGGTTGCTCCTTTTGGAACATTTGCAGGTGGAGACGCCCAAAAATGTTGCAAGGGGAATGCTTATTTGCAAGAGACCCACCCAGCAGCCACGCCCTCGTTCCTCCCTGCCTGCCTAAAGTAATATTCCCAGTCAGCCCAAAGCGATTAGTCCTCATTAAGCCGTCCAGGGTCCCCTTGCCCTGGCACTCCTCCCCCCAGGCCCCAAACAACGATTTATATCCTGCAAACGGCCAGCTTCCTCCCAAGCCTTTCCCTATTAAACTCTGGGCGATGCAGTTTGTGCCCATCCAGGATCCGCCACAGGAGCCTTGCCCGATGCCAGTCGTTGGCTTCCCATCCCCTGGCCCGGGTGGGTCCCTTTGAGAAACACCCCGGCTTGTTTCACTTGCCAGATGTTTTCAGGGCTGCAAATTAGCCAGGCTGCCCTTTCCCAACGGGCCTCGTCTTGGGTGGGTGGACGAGAAAGATTGTCCCTCCAGCTCTGTGCAGTTCTCCCACATTAGCTTGGCAGGGAGCCAGTTCCTTAAAAGGAGCCAGATCGAATAAACCCAGATGGTGTTTTTCTAGGCAGCGCGCAGTGCCAGATTTGGGCTGGACATTTTCTCTTCCTCCCCCTGCAGTGCTGTTTTGTTCACCTGATAGGCTTCCATTTCTGTTTCCTCCTGGATAGCATCTTTCTGTTCCCTTGAAGGATCATGCGCTTCTATTACTAAAACGGAATCGGGGAGGGGGGGGGGAAACAGTACACAAGAAAGCCCTTCAAGTAAATCAGATTATTTGACGGTTTAGTCCAAAACGGTGTCCTTCCTACCGCAGGCTAACCGGAAGAAATCCCCTTTATTATTCCGCAGTCCAGAAGCTTGTTTGATTGGAATAGGCGGGTGGGTGATTTGCTCCAATCCGGCAAGGCTGAAGTTACATTCAAATCCCTTCAAAAGTCACCAGTATAGTTAAGGACCAACCTCCCAACGTGTTCCACAAAGGACCACTGAGATGGTCAGGGGAAAGGAAGGGAGATTGAAGTAACGGGCCGTCAAAAGGGAGGTCAGGAAAAATGTAGCCCCTGGTCTCTCACATCCATGTCATGGAAGAAGGTTTCAAATAGGCTGAAGGCCCTGAATAATTTCCTAATATTAAATGGTAGGAAATCAAATAATTTCCTGATAGAACAGCTTCACGGGGACCACTGGCTTGAGAGAAGGCCTCAGCTTCCCTGGTGGCCTCAAACAAATTCTGGACATGGGCGATTCTAATAAAGGAGAATATTTCTAGCTCAGGGTTGACATGAGGGGTCCTTGGTGCTCTCTGAGCTTGGTGGCTTTCTTGCAGACGTTTCATGACCCAACTAGGTAACACAATCAGTGCTCCGTTCAGAGAACCAAGGACTCTCCTTTGAGATTCTTTCATTTGGATCATTTCATTTCATTTCATTTGGATCCAGGACTCAGCGCTGGGGCTGGAATCCGTGGGCATAACAGGCCATCTTCTAACTAGGATTTCAACTTCATTGCAGTTAAATTAATAACTGCACAGGCAGCCATGCCTCCCCATTGGAGGCCGTGCGAGCTTTGGGAGCTCAAGTTCTTGTTTTTCAGGGTGCTGGGGTGGATCCCGTGGGTGCAAAGGACAAAGGGATTCATCAGTCACGCCTGAGGGAGGGAATCCTACTTTCTGGTTTTTTAAAAAAAAAAAAAACTGTTTTTTTTTTAGTATGACAAATGCTTCCTTTCTCTCTGCAGGAGAAAGGGTCTCATTGAGGAGTTGTATTATTCCTTAATTAATTAATAACAAGGCTACGCTCTGAGCTTCGCTGGGATTGCCGAACAATCCTTCCGGAGAAATAACAAGGAAGGAAGGCAGGTCGGTGGAAGAACGGGGAGCAAAGGCCTATCATTGTGCTAATAAACCGCAGAGCAAAAGATGCAATTAATATGCCATCGGAATAAAAGGCGCCTATGCTAATAACAGAGGCAAATGGGGGGGGGGTCTACACGGCTGGCTCGGTCCTGCGCTGTAGGATGGCGCGCTGCTGTTTATGCTCTTTTTCGAATTAGCAACAGGGAAGAAATGCACACCCACAACCGAGTAGATCTCGTCTCCAGGAGCCTGAGAGAGAAAAAGGCAGCTTTTGACTTGTGGGTCTGGTTTGCCCACCAGTTTAAGCGTGGCGAGGACGATACCGCCTGACGTCTGAAAGAGTTGCTTGGTTGGATCCCAACTCCCATAACGTACAGCCAACTCCGCAGGGTGCTGTCCAATTCGAATCTCCCTCCGGGGTGGGCCGGTCCATCCAATCCCATTCTGACACACCAAAGTCAGCCGTGCCCCCCTCCTGATGAGCTTAGGGCAGGGGTAGGCAACCTTGGCTCTTTGATGACTCGTGGACTTCAACTCCCAGAATTCCTGAGCTGGCCTGGCTCAGCTTGGAAACCTCTCCCTTTCCCCTCAGCATGGCTGGCTCAGGAATTCTGGGAGTTGAAGTCCACGAGTCATGAGGGGGCCATAGTTCCCCCATGCTGGCTCAGGAATTCTGGGAGTTGAAGTCCACGAGTCATGAGGGGGCCATAGTTTCCCCATGCTGGCTCAGGAATTTGCAACCAACTCATTCAAAATAGCCAAGGTCTGTCAGTCTAGTTCAGGGGTTCCCAACCTGGGGTGCGAGACGATATTCCAGGGGGTGCAAAAACTTGGCTTTTCAAACTTATATATGCCATTTCGAACTTTTGCAAGGGGTGCAAGAATATATAAGAAGTGTTCTACGGGTGCACGGTATAGAAAAGGTTGGGAGCCACTGGTCTAGCTCCGCTAAAAGGGATTTTTTTTACCTGGAGGCAAAGAAATGCAAGCTGTTGGGAGAGGCCGTCAACAGGAAATGATCAGTTATGTTGATTTTTCTCTTTGTGTAAAAAAAAAAAAAAAAGCCCTGCCTGGGGGACATTGCCATCCTCTGGTGTGATGCAGGCCCACGTGACTGATTTAAAAATAAAACTCAAGCTGGAAACAACAACACCCCAGAGGCTTCGAAGTATTTTCTCTCTGTGTTTTTTCTGATTTTGCAAAAGGCAGCCGAGGGGCTGCCAGGCTATATATTCAAAATGTTTGTGACTGACAAAGAGTGTGGGACTAGTATAGCTAATTTCAAGCTCTCCCACTAACTCTTGGTCAGCCACAACAATTTTGAATGTACAGTGTTCACAATATGTGACGTCTGCCTGCAAAACCTGCTCCTAGATTGGAGCGAAACGCAGAACAGACTGATTTATCCTATACATGGTAGACCGGGTGCTCCAGCCAACACATAGATATACACATATATGTATATAGCATGTGTATATGTGTAGTTATGTATGTGTATAGGTAGATATATACTTTTGAAAGGCAACAGAATTTAATTTTTAATGTGGGTCAATGCGCTTACACTACAAATGGCAATAAAGATATTATTATATATTAATTATTATTATTATATAAATATAATTATTATTATCTTTCTATACCTACAAATAGAAATAGAAAGACTGTGGCAAAAGCAAGCAAGGGTAGCACCAATAGTCATAGGCGCCTTGGGTGCAATCCCAAAACAACTGGAGCACCACTTGAACACCATCATCGGCATTGACAAATTCGCTATTCGTCAATTGCAAAAGGCGGCCTTACTAGGAACTGCTTCCATCCTGCGACAATGCCTGTAATACCATCAAACATCCACATCTGCCTATCCCAGGTCCTGGGTAAGGACTCGATAGGTAGACAAAATGCCAAATCCAGTCTGAACATCTGGCTGACTGTGCGATGATCCATAATAATAATAAGAATAAGAATAATAGAAAAGGAGAAGAAGTTGGAAGGGACCTTGGAGGTCTTCTAGTCCAACCCCCTGCTCAGCAGGAAACTATACCATTTCAGACAAATGGCTTATCTATCTTATCTGCGGATGAGCCCCAGCACCAATTCAAAAGCTTGTAAGATTAAACCTCTGGTTCTGGTGACTGACCCAGGTTGGATCCTGCACATGTTGATGCTTGGGGAACTGTTGGGGTTTTGTCAGAAGCATCGAAACGCAATTCACGGGAGATTCGCTTAACAACCTGGGCAAAACAGGTCGCAAAATCAGGCAGGACTGACTTAACCATCACCTGGTTTGGACGGAGGAATTCTGGCCCGCCCTCTCTTGTGCCATCCGTAAAGGGAGGACCACAGACCGTCGGTTTGCCACAACGAAACCGAACATTTAACATTCCTTTTCTTCCCGCCTAGTCTTTGTGCATTGTTCTTTGTGTCTCGCCTCCACCTTGACCAAATCCTGGAGAATTTGCCCCGATTGCAAGTTCCGCCTACTTGTGATTTGTCATTTATTCCAGTATTTGACCTCAGTGGGTAAAAAAGAAAAAAAGGGGGGGGGGAAAAGAAATGCAGCATTGCTTTCCTTTTTTTCCTCTCCTTTCACAAGTAGACTGTAGAAGCAAGGCCAACCAGCATCCAGGTTTTGGGTTTATATTTTATATCTATTGGGTCGATCTGGAGGAACTTAGTGTGCCGTTTGCGCACGTCAGAATCACTTTCTGCATTTCCTGGTTGCATCCTGTGTTTATCTTTTTATCTAGGCTAAGAATGTTCAATGCTAGGGTATGATTCTCCATTTACAAGCAAAGTACAATATTTAACGCACAATAACATTTTAATGCAACATATACAGGCAGCCCTTGACTTACAACAGTCCCCACCCTTTGAAAAGGAAAAGAGCCTTTTAATAATAATAATAATAACAACAACAATCACAATGATAATAGTGACAATATTACTACTAATAATAATCACAATCACAATCAGTAATGATAATGATAGTACTATCACTACTATTACTACTACTACTACTATAACTACTACTAATAATTGGAAGGGACCTTGGAGGTCATCGAGTCCAACCCCCTGCTCAGGCAGGAAACCCTACACCATTTCGGACAGATTACTAATAATGATAATAATAATAATTATGATAATGATAATAATAGTGACAATACTAATAATCACAATGATAATGATAATGACAATACTACTACTAATGATAATGATAATTATGATGATGGTAATAGTGACAATACTAATACTACTAATAATCACAATCACAATAATGATAATGACAATACTACTACTAATGATAATAATTATAATAGTGACAATACTAATCACAATAATGATAATGACAATACTACTAAAAATAATAATGATGATAATAGTGACAATACTAGTAATAATCACAATAATGATAATGACACTAGTACTACTACTAATAATGATAATACTTTTTTATTATTTTGTTATTCAACCCCTCTCCCTAGCGAAGAGGCTCCGCCCCGCCCCTCCATCCAGCCACCGCCTCCTCCTCCCCCCCCCGCTTCCCTGGCGCAGATGGTACGCCCCTTGTCCCCCCCTCGCGGCTCTCCCCGTTGGTCCCTCCCTCCCTCGCCTAGCAACCGGTGCGGGAGGAGCGGCGAGCGCCTGCGCCGCCATCTTAGTTCGTCGCCGGCGGGGGAGGACGCGGCGGCCGCCGGAGCGAAGGGGTCTCTCGCCCGCCCGTGTTCCCCTTCCTTCGGCGAGTGCGGTGGGCCGTCGGGGCGCGCGCGGCGGAGAAGCCCCCGAGCCCCGCTCCAGCCGCCGAGATGCGGCTGCTGGCCCCGGCCTGCCTCCTGGCGGCGCTGCTCTGCGGCGGCCTTCGCGCCGCCCGAGGTGAGGCGAAGGGTGGCTGAGGAGGGCGGGGGGGGGGCTGTCACGAGACGCGGCCTCGCCTGACCGGGGGGGGGGAGGGCAGAGGGCTGTGTGGCCAATGCGGGGGGGGCGGTGTTATATCCGCGCGGGGGGGGGGGCAGCGGAGGGACGGGGGAGGCGGGAGGGCCGGGGCAGGTGGGCAGAGGGGGGAGGGTCGCAAGGCTGCAGGTCGTCAGGTCGTGTCTGCCTCTCTGCCCGGGGGCGGGGGGGGGCAGTCCGGGAGAGGAGGCGGTTGGGGGCAGCGGGCTGCCACCCGAAAGTGCGTGGGGTTTGCGTGGAGGGAGAGAGGGGAAAGTGGCCTGGAGGGATGGATGGAGAAATGGGTGGAATGGGTGGGTAGGTAGGTAGTGTTTTATCTGCACAGGATTGCAATCTGAAAGAGATACACCCAGTTGGGTTATATTTACCTAGAGGGTTGATGAAAAGTGAGATGGATGGATGGATGGATGGATGGAAGGAAGGAAGGAAGGAAGGAAGGAAGGAAGGAAGGAAGGAAGGAAGGAATCGGTGGATAAGTACGTAGGTGGGTAGGTAGTTACGGTTCTCTGCACAGGATTGTAATCTGAAAGAGATACACCCAAGTGTGTAGTATTTACATAGCGGGCGATAAAGTGAAAAGTGGGAGGGAGGGATGGATGGATGGATGGATGGATGGATGGGGTGGGTAGATAGGTAGACAGGTAGGTAGGTAGTGTTCCATCTGCATAGGATTGCAATCTGAAAGAGATACACCCAGTTGGGTTATATTTACCTAGAGGGGGATGAAAAGTGAGATGGATGGATGGAAGGAAGGAATCGGTGGGTAAATACGTAGGTGGGTAGGTAGTTACAGTTCTCTGCACAGGATTGTAATCTGAAAGAGATACACCCAAGTGTGTAGTATTTACATAGCAAGTGATAAAGAGAAAAGTGGGATGGATGGATGGATGGATGGATGGGGTGGGTAGATAGGTAGACAGGTAGGTGGGTAGTGTTCCATCTGCATAGGATTGCAATCTGAAAGAGATACACCCAGTTAGGTTGTATTTACCTGGAGGGAGATAAAGAGAAAAGAGGGATGGAGGGATGGGGTGGGTAGATAGGTACATAGGTAGACAGATAGGTAGGTAGTGTTCTGTCTCCATAGGATTGCAATCTGAAAGAGATACACCAAACTGTTGTATTTACCTAGAGGAAGATAAAGAGAAAAGTGGGATGGATGGATGGATGGGGTGGGTAGGTAGGTAAATAGGTAGACAGATAGGTAGGTAATGTTCTGTCTCCGTAGGATTAAAATCTAAAAGTTGGGTGTATTTACCTAGAGGGAGATAAAAAGAAAAGTGGGATGGATGGTGGGTAGGTAGTGTTCTATGTGTATAGACTGCAATCTGAAAGAGATACACCAAACTGTGTTGTATATAGGTAGAGAGAGATAAAGAGAAAAGTAGGATGGATGGGGTGGGGTGGGTGGGTGGGTAGGTAGGTAGGTAGTGTTCTGTCTCCATAGGATTGCAATCTGAAAGAGATACACCCAGTTGGGTTATATTTACCTAGAAGGGGATAAAAAGTGGGATGGATGGATGGATGGAATCCGTGGGTAAGTAGGTAGGTGGGTAGGTAGTTAGGGTTCTCTGCACAGGATTGTAATCTGAAAGAGATACACCCAAGTGTGTAGTATTTACATAGCGGGGGATAAAGCGAAAAGTGGGATGGATGGATGGGGAGATAAATATGGATGGAAGGATAGCGTTTTTGCTGCACGGGATTGCAATCTGAAGGAATAACTGCAAGATTGTTATATCCATACGGTTGCCATCTGAAGAATTTCACCCAAGTGTGTGATATTTACGTGGGTGGGTGGAGTGAGAGAGAGAGAGAGAAGTCTCCAGGTTGTGTTCTCTACCCAGGATTGCACTTCTAGGAGAAGAGGTGTCTTGTATTTTATTTGCACTATCGGAAAGAGAATACTCAATGTTGTGTTACATATGCACAGTGTGGGAGAGAAGGCCAAGTGGTACGTTGACCAGTATGCACACTTCTGGAGAGGAGGCCGAGTGTTGTGTTGCCTATGCAAAATCTGACAGAGGCACAGAGTTGTTACATGCAGGGGATTGTAGTGCCGAGACAGATTAAGGTATACTGTATACCTAGAGATGGGTTACAACCTAGAGCAGGGGTAGGCAACCTTGGCTCTTTTATGACTCGTGGACTTCAACTCCCAGAATTCTTGAGCCAGCCATGTTGGTTCAGGAATTCTGGGAGTTGAAGTCCACGAGTCATAAAAGAGCCAAGGTTGCCCACCCCTGACCTAGAGGGTTGCTGTGGGAAAGAGAAGACGCAATGTTGTGTTCTCTCTCCACAGTCCGAGAGAGCAGGCGCAGTGTAGTATTTTATGGCTATTGCCCAAGAGAGGTCAGTTCTTGTGTTACCTATGCACAATCTGAAAGATAAGGATTTGTTAGAGAGAAAGAGAAAGAAAAGGATTGCCGTTAGGGAGAGCCTTCACAGAATTGTGTTATATGCAGATATGTGAACAATCGGTTCTCTTGTGTGGATGCCACTTCCGGAAGTCCATTCTGGGCCTGGGCAACCAAAAATTAGCTACCGGTTCTGCTGAAGTGGGGCGAACTGGCTGAATCCCACCACTGGTTATATGTGCACACGATGGGCATCAGAGGAGGGGCAGTGGCGTTGTGTTAGATATGCCTAGGATTGCAGTTCAAAAGAGAAGCCATGAGGCTGTGTGATAGAGTCACAACATTGCCATCCAAGGGAAAGTCACCATTTTGCATTTTGTTGATGTGCAGCCTGGTCGTCACAGATGCAGCATGGCGTGTGTATTAAGTATACACATGCACGCTATTGGAGTTTGATTGATAGTAGCATTCACAGGGAGGATGCACATACCGTTTCGATATATCCACATTGCCAGGGGAAGATTGAAAAGGTGCTCTTAATAGCTCTGGGCAGCTTACAGAGATTATAAGAATCCGGCTAAAACAACAGAAGATACACCTGACACAGTCTTAAAAAGGGGGTGGTGAAAGGATTGTCCCCCGCAGCAAAATCAGGCACGATATTTTAATCAGGTTAGTAATCTAACAATGCTTTATACGTGCCATGGAATATTTTAATATGCATCCTAATGTAATCCTAGTGCACGCTCCATGCAGCAATACAGCAATGCATGATTTAATAACCTCTGAAGGCATTTCATGAAGACAGACAGCGAAAGGAAAGTTAAAAATGGACAAACTTTTGCCTTCATCTTTATGGTGAGATAGATAGATAGATAGATAGATAGATAGATAGATAGATAGATAGATAGATAGATAGATAGATAGATAGATAGATAGATAGATGTAACCTTGTGTTTGGTTATACTTACTTGGGACTAAGCCCTGTTGAATTCAGGGGTAATTGTGTGCATAATATTCCATTGCAAGATAATTTTTCCTTCTACCTCATTACCTGCTAATCACTCCTGGGGGCATTTAATTCCTTCATTATTTCCCCTTCTATCTTTTCCAGTCCATGCCCTCTTTGATGTAGTTTGTATCCCTCCTCCCCACTTTGTACTGTATGTATGATTCGTAACAGACAGGACACGCCGAAGGTAACACTGTGCATGCCTTCTGCGAAGTGCAGGATATTTTTCTGAGATCTAGGCATCATTCATCCCCCTTTGCAAATAGCTGCGCCCTCAAAAGTAGCCTTTTGAACGCTCCCACTCTTTCCCCCCCTCCCCTATAATTTTAACTCACCGCCACCACCATTTTCTGTCTCTTACAAGAACACTCATTCTGGTTCTATGATTTGTGGGGTATAATTTTACAGGAGGTTTTGGGGGGGGGAGGGGAGCCTGCAGCAGACATACTAAGGTAAACTTTTAAAAATAAATAAATAAATAAAAGCACTCCTCATTCTCTTCCCTCCTCACCAGTTATTTAGATTTAAAGGGAGGCTGTCATCCTATTTGAGGTATGGAAGCACAGGATTTTTATTAGAGGTAAGGAAAGGTTAATTTTAAGGGTGATTAATTGGCTTCTTGGGGGCAATAAAGATATGCCTGTGTTTAGATCTCTCTCTCTCTCTCTCTCTCTCTCTCTCTCTCTCTCTCTCTCTCTCTCTCTCTCTCTCTCTCTCACACACACACACACACACACACACACACACACACACGGTTTGTACATTTGCTGGTGGAATTTCTGATTGCCAACCAGGGACATCAAATCCTGGGAACTCTGCATTTTTTTTCCCCCCTGAAAACCCTTTGTGGAGAAGTATTGAGGTAGGTAAGGATACGCATTGCAGAAAACCTCAGGGTTTTATTTCATTAGATGTGAAAACCCGAAAACAAGGGCCAGGTGAGATGGCTTAAATGCTGCATTAGTGTCTTGTTTCAAAAGGACAGGTTCACCCTCCATTGCTTTTCCCAGCTGGCACAAGGAAAGCATAGCAGACTGAATTTCTGCTTCGCCGTTGGGCAGAGGCTGGGCCTTCTCCAGGAAGGTGTCAGTTTCCTGCTTCATTTTGTTCAGTTTCCTTGCAGCGTTCCAGAGAGGTAGCGCTTGATAAGCAGAGACGAAATAAACCCTTTGGCACTTTTTAAAAAGTAAGCAATAGATAATAGTTTTCCGGGTTGAATTATCCTCCCTGACAATTCCCGTGCCTTCCAGGCAACACAAGACTTGTCCTCTTAAAATTGTTCGTATTTTAGTAGAGAAAACAAGAATGTCATTTTGCTTCCCCTTTGCCAAAACATATTTCGAGTCTTCCTCCCCCCCCTTTTTTTTTTTTTTCTTTTTTGGAAGCTTGTCCTTTTAAAGGTTATGGATGCAATAAAGGCAGAAGCTACATTCTGGAACAATACTTGCCTTAGTGTGAGATATTCAGAGGACGAAAATTGCTGAGGCAAACTTTGAATGACTGAGCAGGCTGATCCCAGAACAGCTTTTTCTAGTGCTACAGGAATAACTTTGATTTATTAAGAAGAAATAACTGGGCCAGAAAAACCTTTTGCTTCCTCCCAGAATGAGCTATAATGTTCTACCTGCAACTGTGGAAGGAATCCTGAATGCAAAAGGGCTGTTAGGTGATGCCTCTCGGCTATCATCTTTGAATTATGGCCTGATGTAAGCATGAGTGCAGAAGGCAGGTTAATAAGAATTCTTTCTTTAAACTCTGAGCAGTTTAAAGAACTGCTGGGAATATACACTGGCCTTTGGCCCATAACTACGATAACGATTTGCAGTCTCTAGACACAAGTCTGTGTTGGAAAAAAAAAGAATTAGATGCAAGATACGAACAGGGATTTAATCACATCCTCCATCTTCTGCCAATTCACCATTGAGTGACACTCGAATCATTAACATCCTCCTATAGATTAGTCTTCTGGATCAGTGCATTGATTTGGGGAGCAGCTTTTATCCTCCCAATCATTACCTTTGGGGGTTTTTTAGTCAGCTCTTTTTACAAATTATTCCCCCCCCCCTCAGGCTGTCTATACTATAGTGAATTGCTGACTTAAAACTGGAAGCTAGGAGAGAAGATTATATGTTTTAATCTTTGGGATTAACTAGAGGGGACAATTCCGTAGCCTCTAGCTTTAACAAAGTTGGGTTTCCTTGTTTGAAAAGAAGGACTAAGGGTGACGTGATAGCTGCATTCCAGTATATGAGGGGCTGCCACAAAGAAGAGGGGGTCAACCTATTGTCCAAAGCACCAGAGGGCAGGACAAGAAACAATGGTTGGAAACTGATCAAAGAGAGAAGCAACCTGGAATTAAGGAGAAACTTCCTAACAGTGAGGACAATTAACCAGTGGCACAGTTTCCCTCCAGAGGTTGTGGGTGCTCCATCACTGGAGGATTTTAAGAAGATTTGTCCAGAATTTGTAGGGTCTCCTGCTTTTGTAAGGGGTTGGGCTAGAAGACCTCCAAGGTCCCTTCTAGCGCTATTCTGATTGTTTGCTGGTGTTTGGAATTTATTTCACATCTACGTTGGGATTCAGTCCCTTCTTGCACTTGCAGGTATTGTTGATGGCAGTTGTGAAAATTGGCCTAGGATGGATCTTAAGTTTCCACCAGGGATTGTTTCCTTTTAAATAGGTGTCCCATCTCATGATGGCTCGCTCTGTAGCAGTCATGGTTCTCAACACAGCAGAAACGCTGCTGGAGAAGACTTTTGTTTGGGCCATGAGGAACTTGCCTTTAAAAGGCACTTTCAGAGGAGAAACCTTGACTGTTTTATAGCAGAGTTAATGCTTAAGACTGCTCCCCTGAGGCTTGCAGAAAACTGCTGCCTTTTAGATAGCAGTGCAAAAGGAAAGAAAGAAAGAAAGAAAGAAAGAAAGAAAGAAAAAGAGAGAGAGAGAGAGAGAGAAAGAAAGAAAGAAAGAAAGAAAGAAAGAAAGAAAGAAAGAAAAAGAGAGAGAGAGAGTCAGCTGCCAAGCACCTGAATTTGGATTGCATGGCCGTGGGGATGCTTCCAAAGTTGTAACTCTGGAAAATGGCCCTAAGTCACTTTTTTCAGTGCCGTCGTAACTTTGAACCGTCACTAAATGAACTGTGGTGAGTGGAGGACTGCCAGTATTGATAAACCAGTCCCTGGGAGTGAAATAACATTCCTTTGCCCTAAACAGACCTGAAGCACTTGACCTCTGGGTGCAATTTTCCTTTTCACCCTCTCCTGCATTAGCCTTTTTTAAGATAAAGCCTTATGCTATTTTCAGTGCTCCAGGAGCAGCTTGAAAGTTGTCACCCCTCCAAAGACTGCATTTAAATCTTAAATGACAAAACCTATTGGTAGGATAAAAGATATTCCCCCCCCCCCCCCAAAAAAAAGCCCTGATGTTTCCATTTATTCTAGCAATAGAATCTGCAGACTTTCAGCTGGGACATTATATTATTATCCTTTATGAAGAGAACGGGTCTCATTTAATATAACCAACCTCCTTTGTGCCGTGTTGCCTGCAGACCAACATAATTCATCTTTGTTAAAGATTGGCGGGATGGTGGCGATGGCGGATGCCACAGAAAGACAGACCGTACCTTGTCTGTGGCAGCTTCTGAGAATCCTAGTTCTATCTGGATGTTCAGGATTTAGTATTGTCCACTCGTTATAAAATTCTGGGCAGTGACCGTCATCTAAATACCTGAACCCTATAACACAAAGTGCAGTTAAAGCCTCATGCTTGTGTCTCCACAATTTAGAGCCAGGTAGAGTTGGGTGTGACATCCTGATCTTGTCAGGTAGGCTGTTCCACAGCGCAGATGCTGTGATATGACCAGGTTCCTTCACAGGCACCTGTTTAGTAGAAGAGACCTGGAGCCTACCAAGCCTTGCGGGGTGGATAAAAATAACTGGAGGTGGGCAATCCCACAAATAACCTGGCCCCAAAGGGCTCTTTAGGTGACAGCCAACGCCTATTCTAGCCCATTTGCAACTGGACTAGCTGTAGCTTCTGTGGAGTCTCCCAGGGCAGTCCCAGGTAGAGGACGGTCATCCAGAGGTGAGTCAATGAAGGGGTGGGTGATGATGAGATGGGCCTCCTTAATCTGGATTTTGCATCCCAGAGTAATATCTTGAACCACAGACACAGGATTAAATAAATGAAAATGTCAACCGTCCCCCTCAGTCATCTAGCAAAGAAAGACTCCCGGCCATTTGATTTTGCCAAGACTGAAAAGCTTAAATGGTTACAGAAGGTAGCAGAAGCTGAAGCTGAGGTTTTCCCACACAAACGACACAAAGGAAAGCCGCCATCCCTGATAATCTGCAAATGTCCAATCAGGTGCTTGCATATTGTTTAGGAAACAGGTGGTCAGTTCCCAGCTCTGCATCTCTGCATCTCCTTACTTTTGACCCAGCTTCTCACCTGGGCTCAGCTGAGCTTCCATCCCCCCCCCCCTTTCTTCCTCTTTACGTTGCACTCTTTCCGTCTCCCCTCCACCGTCCACACCAATGTCAGGCCGTCAACTCACGAAGCTCGGATAGGTGAGATGCAGCCACGGCAGAAAACATTTGGGAAAGGCCGTTGCCCTCAGTCTCTTATTAATCTTGTTCTGTTCTTTGGTTTTACAGTTAACAAGCACAAGCCATGGATTGAAACCACTTACCATGGCATTGTTACCGAAAACGACAACACAGTGCTCCTGGACCCTCCCTTGATAGCACTGGATAAAGATTCGCCGCTTCGCTTTGCAGGTAGGGGGGGGCTTGCATTTATTTAATTAGTGTTTGGTGGAGGCCTTCCTTCAAAGCCAAGGTTCCTTTGGTTGGGATACAAGAGCTGGCTTAGGAAAAAAATGTCCTTTTAGATACCTTGTGCCCTTTACAGCAGCTATTTGCAGGTTTAGTTTCCTCTTGAATGTGGGTTTCCCATCAAAGCAAAGATCTAAGTTTTCCAACTGATCTAAGGCTGAGCTCAACCCAAATTTAGGAACGAAGCTGCTTTGGCAATCTATGGTGATAAGAAAGGGCAAGCAAGCAAGCCAGGGAAGCTTTGCAAATCAAATCTTTTAATGCTGCTAATTTTCAAAAGATGCTGAACGCTGCTGGCGGCCTTGTTTGAACGCACATCTTGAAGACAGCCTTCCAAAGCTAAACAGATCCGTGCTTGATGATTGCCAGGGTAGGATATGACTAAGAATCTTTTTCGTGGCACCTGGAGTTCACTGGAAGAAAATTACAGAATACAGATTAGGATATTATAACTGAGCAAAACAGAACAAAAGGTAGCACACCCGGTGAGGAAGGCTGTTGCTAAACATCCTCTGCCAGAGACTGGATTTTCAAACCTGTTTTCAATCTGCCCGGAACGGAATCAAGGGCTAAATTCAAAGAGCTGTTCTCCTTTCATGGCGCAGGAAGATTTAGATAAGGCGTAAGCAGCAGGCCTCTGACGTCTCATAAATTGCTTTTGAAACGTCTCCGTAATTTCGGGTTGTTTTGAGATTCCCCTGGAATATGTATTAGAGAAAGAACGTTCTGTCCTCCACTGTTCAAGTCGGGACTGGCTCAAGGGCAGAAGACCTTGCAAACTCCATTTTTGAGGCCACCGATGTAGAATAGTGTCCTTTCCCCAGCCTGTTCCCTCTCTCCCGTGGACGGACGAAGCTGCGTCAGCCCTGACAGATGAAGCACTTACAAAGCAGGTCCAAAGCGGTCTGCAAAAACGGAAACGAAGGGAGGCTTCGTTGAGGAGCAGAGAGCTAAAAAGCCGAAGAGGTCCATCCTGCCTCTTTTGGCTAACGATGCAGAAATGTCCATCCGTGGTAAATTTGGGTAACCCTTTTTAAGCCAGTGGGACATTACCACGCTCTGCGGCTGACAGCCAGCATAGAGTTTTGATCCATTTTCCATGACAGACCTTCAAGCAAGGCGCTGTGGTTAGCATCAGTCACGTTGAGCCTACTCAAGCATCTTCATTCAAGTCTTTTTTTTTTTTGTCCACCCCAGTTTGGGCCAGTCTGAACCAGAAGTGCTATTTCAGGAGGCAACTGGACGTCCTTGTTTTTTCTCCGGAGACGTTTTGCTTTGCATCCGAGAAGTTTCTTCAGCTCTCCAGAGAAGATGAGGATGAGAAGTAGAACGTCTTCAAAGAAAAACCTCTTGGAAAAAGCACCTCTGGGACAACCAGGACCCCGGAGGGCGGAGAACCTCCATAGAGCCAGCCTGAAATAAGTCAGTTGCTGCCAAAGCAATTCCTGGTCAGATGGAGGTCGTGGCCTAGCTTAGAATTGACAACTGTTCCTTTGAAGAGCATCTAGATTGGCAGGGACTATCCCAAGAGGGTCAAGAATTAAAAAATAAAATAAAAATAAAAATCCGAACGTGAGATAGATCATATCTGGGCTGATGGCAGGCGAGGCTCCTAGACATTCTGCAAAGTGTGGGAACAATACGGCCAAACGGGCGGGAAGGCTGAGTAGCATCCGAGACTCCCCCCCCCTCCCAAATTGGCTTTACGCATTGTTTGAAAATGAGATTGGAACTCACTGCAGCATCTAAATTGTTGGGGAAACTAGGTGACCTCCTTCCAAAGTATGCCTGGGGCCTGCCTCTAAGCCAGTGGTTCTCAACCTGTGGGTCGGGACCCCATTTGGGGTCGAACGACCATTTCACGGGGGTCACCAAACAACGCAGTCCGCCATATTTTTTTCCCCTTTTCCTTAGCTGTGCTACTCCCTCTTATTCTATTGGCTTTTGAAAGCCAATAGAATAGACTCTCTTGAATAGAGTCTAATTCTATTGGCTTTCCAAAGCCAATAGGAATTGTCCAGGCTGTCTCTGCCCTCCTGAGCCCGCCAAAAGTCCCATTCTGCAAACGGTGCTGCACCCGTTGAGTAGTCCTCGACTTACGACTGGTTGGGGGTCGTGGCCTTAAAAAGGTTGAGAACCACTGCTCTAAGCAGACCCTGGTTTCTGGGCTTGAAAAAAAAAAGTGGGAATTGAATATTTGGGGGGGGATTCTGGTGCATTGATGCTGGAGCGCAGCATTTAAATTTGGGGTATTTTTTTTTTTATTATTTTGTTGTTGTTCAAAGCTTTTCAGTCCAATGTCTCTGCGTGTTTTGACCTTTTCCTCGTTTCCTCCTCTTTTCAGTCTTTCCTGAAGACTTGGGTTTATCTTTTCTCCCTTTAGAGAGTTTTGAGCTGACCCTCAGCAAGGAAGGTGATGAAGGCCTCTTTGTATCCCGTTTTTATCAATATTAACCCACTAACTTTTGGCTATGAAATGGGGGAATCGGCACTTCAAAACGAGAAGATCCTGTCATGCTTTTCAGCCCTGACTTTCTCGGCCTCTCCGCTTCTCCTCCCAGCCCTTTCCTTGGCTTCCTCCAATCCCCTCTTTAAAAATATATATATATATATCAATAGAAAAACCTCGTTTTATCATCCTTGGCTGGAAATATCGGTAAATCAGACCATCCATTTGGAGAGATTTAGGCGCCGGCGGTTGGAAAACACGGCCTTTCCGAGCCCCTTTCTCAAGGGCGGCGTCATTTTTCCATTTTTCCGTTCGTTTCCGCTCAAGTTGACGAAGGTGGCGTGCCTGGTAAATGTTGGCAGAACTGGCAATGCTGTCCTCTTGATTGCAGTTAGGGAAGAGAGAAGTCCATCCGCCGGGCGTTTAAACATTCCCAGCTTTGTAAACCGAATTCCACCCTCTCCGGAGCGCAACGCCGCCTCTCCGCTGCCGAATTGGTCAGTGGATAAATGGATAGTTTTCAACTGAGCGTGGCTTTGCAGAGAACCTGCCAGCTCTGTCTCCTTGACCTTGAGGCACAGAGATGGGAATTCGATTCGGGATTAGCCCCTGGATCATCCTTCCCCTGGGGGGGGGGGAAATAGATTGGAAGGCGCTTTAGCAAGACACAAACTGGAGTTGGATGTCCCAATGCACCAGTCTGCCAGCTGTAGTTTCCTGGAACGTTTGGGTTCACACAGCATGCCTGTTCAGCAGAATGTGTGGATGCCGTGGCTGTGTGCTTCTCACAAGCCTCCACCCTGGCGGATTTTCCAGTCTGCCAAGCTAAGATCCAGAGGGAAAACGATCAAAGAAAAAAGCAGGGAGAGAGTTACTGCTTTAGAGCTATTGAAATGGATGCCTGAAAAATTGGTATTTCTGCTTTTTCTCCTCCGATAGTTCCTTTGGGTTCCCCGATTACTTCTGCTGTTTTTTCTTTTTTTAAAAAATATATATCTATATATGTATCAAATACATTGCACAGGAAGACTTCCACCCCCCACCCCCCAATCACTTGACAGAATTTTGGTGAATGACAAGTGCTGAATCTTCTGCATCCAGTTGAAACTCTTCCCCCCCCCCACACCTCACTCCCCTCCTCCCTTTCCTTGATTTGATAAAGGAGTGTTTTTTAACTGCTGTGGTCAAAAAACATGAGGAGGCCCACCCAGCATTTATTCCCAGTGGCTTTGACCATTTATGTATTTATTTCTGAGACTTATATACCGCTTTAAGTGCAAGCACTCTCTAAGCAGTGTACACCAGTAAGCAATGTATATATATATATATATTTACATTGCCCCCAACAATCTGGGTCCTCATTTTACCTACCCCGGAAGGATGGAAGGCTGAGTCCACCTTGAGCCAGTTGAGATTTGAACCGCTGACCTGCTGAACACAGTCAGCTAAAGTGGCCTGCAGTCCTGCACTCTAACTGCTGCGCCACCTCGGCTGGGTTATTATTTATGCTTCTGGGCTCTCTGCTCCTGTTTCAGGGAACTCAACTTCTCTGCCCTGGAGTTTCCCAAGTGCTCCTGTGAAATGCCTGCCTTCTCTTTTGCGACGTCCCCCTGCATGAGTGAATGCAAAGGGAATTAATTGCTTGGGAATCCAGATGTCTGCCTGTTTCTTCCCTTTTTTTTCAAACACAGACTAAAAGTTCCCAGGACGGCCCAAACACATGTTCCTTTTGCTTTGTCGTCCCCCCCCCCCAACCCCTCACAAAACCCCTGGCTGCTAAACCAAGTGATACTTGTTCCAAATTCACACGTGTGTGTGTGTGTGTCTCCTCGTGCACGCCATCCCCGTTTGAGATCCGTCTTCCTGGTGCCGGCTGCCCGAAAGAGACTAATCCAAGCTGCCTTTGCCTCTCGTAGGTGAGATTTGTGGATTTAAAATTCACGGCCAAAATGTCCCCTTCGAAGCGGTGGTGGTGGACAAATCCACCGGGGAAGGGATGATCCGATCCAAAGAAAAACTGGACTGCGAACTGCAGAAGGAATACACCTTCACCATCCAGGCCTACGACTGCGGGACAGGACCGGACCGAGTCAATATGAAGAAGTCTCACAAGTAAGCGATGGGCGGTTGGGCGGGAGAAAGGAAGTCCTAATTGGAAATAAGCTTTGCTTTCCCCAAATGGATCTGGTTTCTGCTTTTTTTAAAAAAAAAAATACCCGTGGGAGATGGGTGTGTGGTTCCTGCGCCGAAAGCCACAGTGATGGAAGAGGGCGTTCCTCCCGGTTGTGTCTTGGCGCATGGGTTCCAGGTCAGAAAGGGTCATTTGCTGTGGCATGGATCGGGTTTCCTTCTTGCGCATTTGCTTGGTGCTCAGAATATCCACTTTGGAGGAATTAAATCAGCAGCTTTGAGATCCTGGTTTTTAAAAAGGAACAGAACACTTGACCCTCCCCAAGGACTCTGACCGATGTGCAGGTGTCTTCCTTTGCAGGATTTATTGGACAGAAGCAATCTTGTTTTAAGAATTTGCACATTAACCTTTAGAGTATTTTCCATCTCTCTCTCTCTCTCTCTCTCTCTCTCTCTCTCTCTCTCTCTCTCTCTCCGCCTCTCCCTCTCTATCTATCTATCTACCGGTATCTCCTTCTCTCCCTCTATCTATCTCTATCTATCTATCTATCTATCTATCTATCTATCTATCTATCTATCTATCTCTATCCTACCAGTATCTATCTCTCTCTCTTTCTTTCCTACCGGTCTCTCTTTCCCTCTCTCCCTCCCTCCCTCCCTCCTTATCTGTCTGTCTATCTGTCTGTCTGTCTATCTATCTATCTATCTATCTATCTATCTATCTATCTATCTATCTATCTATCTATATCCTACCGGTATCTCTCTCTCTTTCTTTCCTACTGGTCTCTTTCTCTCTCTCCCTCCCTCCCTCCCTCTTTATCTATCTATCTCATCTCTCCCTCCCTTCCCCCTTCTTCTCCCCCTCTCTCTCCCTTCTCCTGGAGTGGGGAAAAAAAAACCCTTGTCTGCATTATGCTTTATGGTACAGCTCCTCTGATGACATGCATTCCTTTGGCTTTTGCTGACCCACAGTGATCTTAACACATCCCGAGTCTTTTCGGCCCGACAGAGAAGCTGATCCAAGCATCTTCTTCAGAAAGGTTCAAGAAATCCGAAAGATAACGATGGATTTTTTTTTTTTTTTTAAGAAGGTTGCTTAGTCTGCTGAAAGGACAGAAAGCAAGACATATCTGCAGCTAGAGTGAGGATATACAAGGGTACATCTCCCCCCCCCCCAAATTAGGTTTTAATTTCTGATACATGGGCATCCCTTGATGCTTTCTAAACAGATCTTACGTTTTTCTCATGAACTTCAGATGCAAAAGGGAGAAAGACTCTTCAATATCTCTGGTCTGATTTTTCCCTAATAGGAAAATCTGGAGGTGACCTTTAAGGTGGCAGATTGTTATAGCTCCCTCCCATTCCCCTGCTTTTGACCTTTTAAAATTCTTGCCCAGGAGAAATTAGACCATTGGCCTGCAGCGTGACAAATTTAGGGGGGGTGGCGCTGTAATAAAAGCTGTCTGCTCCAGCTAATGGAGCCCTCACCCTTCCTTTCTTTAACGGCCATAATTGATGGCTTAATAAGGCCTGCTGCTTATAGTTGAAAAAAAAAATCAAACATTCAGAGCTGTCACTACAACACGGTGAGAAGCTGGGCGGCGAAAGTAGCTTTGTCTGTGGCGAGGAAGAACTCCAGGGCTGTTCATCTGTACGCAGAAATATTCACCAGCCTCCTTCCCCATTGGCTGCGATGTCCGGGGAATTCTGGGAGTCGAAGTCCACACGTCTCAAAATGGACAGGGCTGAGAGACACTGGATCTTCAGCTCCCCCATCTCCGCCTTAAAGTAGGCTAGATTCCAAGGGATCTTCTCTTTTTCATCATCGTAACTTCCGGTGGTAGCCAGCTCCCTTTGGCCCAATGTAAAGTAGAGTTAACTCTGGAGAGTCAGTGGATGAAAGACCAACAGGAAACTGAGCCCAAGTGATGGGAGTTTGTTTGCTGAAGACTATCGGTTCAGCGGTCGTCTTCTCTAATTCCCAGGCCCTGCTAACACTTGCCTTTGTGTGTCTCCAGTTCAGAATTTTCCCCTTGATAAAAAGTCTGTCCCTCGGTCCCAAAGGTGCTTTTTTCACGAGGCAACTGGACTTGGTTTTTTTTTCTAAGACAATAACAACAACAACAATAATAATAAAGTTGGAAGGGACCTTGGAGGTCATCTAGTCCAACCCCCTGCTCAGGCAGGAAACCCTATACCATTTCAGACAAATGGCTGTCCAGTTTCCTCTTAAAAACTTCCAGTGTTGGAGCATTCACCACTTCTGGAGTCAGGTTGTTCCACTGGTTAATTGTTCTAACTGTCAAGAAGTTTCTCCTTCATTCTAGATTGCTTCTCTCCTTGATTAGTTTCCACCCGTTGCTTCTTGTCCTGCCTTCAGGCGCTTTGGAGAATAGCTTGACTCCCTCTTCTTTGGGGCAGCCCCTGAGATATTGGAAGGCTGCTATCATGTCCCCCCTTGTCCTTCTCTTCATTAAACTAGACAGACCCAATTCCAGCAACTGTTTTTTATATCTTTTAGCCTCCAGTCCCCTGATCATCTTTGTTGCTCTTCTCTGCACTCTTTCTAGAGTCTCAACATCTTTTTTACATCATGGTGACCAAAACTGGATGCAGTATTCCAAGTGTGGCCTTACCAAGGCTTTGTAAAGTGGCATTAACACTTCACGTGATCTTGATTCTATCCCTCTGTTAATGCAGCTTAGGATTGTGTTGGCTTTTTTTGGCAGCTGTAGCACTGCTGGCTCCTATTTAAGGGATTGTCCACTAGGACTCCGAGATCCCTCTCACAGTTGCTACTATTGAGCAAGGTACCCTCTATACTATACCTGTGCTTTTGGTTTCGCTTCTCATCCAAGAAGCTTCTTCAGCTCTGACCAGATGGTGGGGAAAGGAAGGATTGATACTCCTTGTAGTCAGCTGGTCATTTGCATTTTTTTAGAGAGTCGTTGAGGCCACTTGGAGGCTTATTTGTGTCTCAAGGCCACCTGAGTGGTGCAAACAGCAGTCTGACCCTCTGTTCCCAGAGCCACCGTGCACATCCAGGTGAACGATGTCAACGAGTACGCACCAGTCTTCAAGGAGAAGTCCTACAAGGCCACGGCAATCGAGGGGAAGCGGTACGACAACATCCTGAAGGTGGAGGCGGTGGATGCCGACTGTTCCCCGCAGTTCAGCCAGATCTGCAGTTACGAGATTGTCACTCCGGAGGTTCCCTTTGCAATCAGCAAAGACGGTAAGGCACACGGCTGGCTGGCTTGTAACAGAGGGCATTTTGGAGAGTGGCCCGAATCCCTTTGAAGTGGCCCAGATCCCTGTCAAGAGCCGTGGTGGCCCGGTGGTTAGAATGCAGTATTGCAAGCTAAATTCTGCCCACTGCCGGCAGTTCGATCCTGACCGGCTCAAGATGGACTCAGCCTTCCATCCTTCCAAGGTTGGTAAAATGAGGACCCAGATTGTTGGGGGGCAATAGGACAACTCTATAAACCGCTTAGGGCTGTAAAAGAACTATGAAGTGGTATATAAGTCTAAGTGGTGTTGCTTGTGAAGGAAAGAGAGGAAGGAAGGAAGGGAGGAAGGAAGGAAGGAAGGTAGGTAGGTAGGCAGGCAGCCTGGTGGCACAGTGGTTAGAATACAGAATTGCAGGCTAAACTCTGCTCACTGCCAGCAGTTCGATCCTGACCAGCTCAAGGTCGACTCAGCCTTCCATCCTTCCGAGGTCGGTCAAATGAGGACCCAGATTGTTGGGGGGCCCATAAACTGACTCTGTAAATCACATAGAGAGGGCTGTAAAGCCCTGTGAAGCGGTATATAAGTGCTGTTGCTAAGTGGTCCAAAGGCCACGACAGAGGGCCGGGCTTGTACCCGAGATTTTGGCAGGCCACAGAGCTGCCTTAGAAGGACTTCAAACCCATCCCATCCTCACTTTGGGGGAGGGATCATCACAATTTCCCCCCCCCCCATGCAGGCGTGCCAGTCCTTTTTATTTACGACCGCTAAATTCATCGTGGCAGGGCCCGCTCTCTTTTTTGAACCCCGACTCTTGCCTTTGCCAGGTTACATTAAGAACACGGAGAAGCTAAGCTTCAGCAAGGAGCACCAGTACAAGCTCACCGTCACGGCCTACGACTGCGGGAAGAAGAGGGCGGCCGAGGACGTGCTGGTGAAGATCAGCATTAAACCCACCTGCAAACCAGGCTGGCAGGGTTAGTCTTGTGTCCCCCCTCCTCTCCCCCCCCAAAAAGCCCCTTGCTTGCTGCTTCAGGCCCCAAAGGCTGCAACGTCTCTGTTGGTGGTTTCAGGCTGGAGCAAAAGGATGGAATACGAACCCGGGACAGGGGCGCTTTCCCTCTTCCCCAGCATCCACCTGGAGACCTGTGACGAGCCCATCGTCTCGGTCCAGGCCACCGTCGAGCTGGAGACCAATCACATTGGGAAAGGCTGCGACCGAGACACCTACTCGGAGAAGTCCCTTCACCGGCTCTGCGGTAAGCAGAAAGATTCCAGGCTTCCCGGGGTGTGTGTGTGTGTGTCAGGCTGGGTGAGCCTCTCTCGGCTGCAGCATGGGTGTTGAAAAGAGGCACAGAGGCCTTTCCCTCCCTGGGTGCCTAATGTGTCCCCCCAGACCAGACAAACGAAGATGCCAGGTAAGATACGCAGTCTTTTACTCAGCAAACTAAACGTGAAAATGGCGAGAATCAGAATTTCGCTGCCGGAAGGAGCGGCTAACAGCAGATCTGCATCTTTGATGCAAAAACCGGCCCGCTCTTTTACAGTGTCTTAACTCCTGGTGTTGCAGGCGCGTCCTCAGACACCGCGGAGCTGCTCCCTTCCCCGAGCAACGCGGCCAACTGGACCGTCAACCTCCCCACCGACAACGGCCACGAAAGCGACCAGGTTTTCGAGTTCAACGGCACCCAAGCCGTGACGGTGCCGGAGAGCGTGGTCAGCATCAGCCTGAAGGAGCCATTTGTGATTTCCGTCTGGATGAGGCACGGCCCCGGGGCTAAGGAGAAGGAGACCATCCTCTGCAATTCGGACAAGACAGGTGAAGGCAGGCGGCGGGCAGCCGTTCGGCTTGCGGTCCCGCGCCTGGCCGCTTCGGCCTTTGGGATAGGATTGCGGTGACGTCACAAAAAGACTGCACCGGCGTCGGTTTGAGAGCAGCAGACTAAAACAGTAGTTCTCAACCTGTGGGTCGGGACCCCATTTGGGGTCGAACAACCATTTCACGTGGGTCGCCAAACAACGCAGTCCGCCATTTTCCCCCCCTTTTCCTTAGCTGTGCTCCTCCCTTTTATTCTATTGGCTTTTGAAAGCCAATAGAATAGACTCTCTTGAATAGAGTCTAATTCTATTGGCTTTCCAAAGCCAACAGGAATTGTCCAGGCTGAGCCCGCCAAAAGTCCCCTTCTGCAAACGGTACTGCACCAGTTGAGTAGTCCTCGACTTACGACCGGTTGAGTAGTCCTCGACTTACGACCGGTTGGGGTCGCAGCATTAAAAAGGTTGAGAACCACTGGACTAAAATATCATTGTTTTTCCATAGTAACCCGGCCCTGGGTGTGGTGTTTCAGCCTGTCTGGGTTTTGTGCTTGTTGTTGCCTCTTCCTTCTCCCTAGCACAGAGGGCCCCAACCTTTTGAGGACCAGGGACCGGTTATGTGGAGAGAGGTTTTTCCACGGACCGGAGGGCGCGTGGTTTTGTATGCTGCCTGCATCCCGCGGATGGGGCTTTGCTTGTTTGTGCGGACCGGTTGCTGGCATGCCACGGTCTGCTACCGGTCCACAGACCGGGGGTTGGGGACCCCTGCCCTAGCAGACAAGCGGATTAATTTGGTATATTTGGAAACACAACAGAGGAAATCTGATTTTTTTTTTTCCCCTCCGAAGAGAAGATCCTTCGCTCTCCCGTCCCTCCACCCTTGTCTAATATTCTCTGAACAGGTTCAATGTCTGGGCACTGCAAGCTGTCCTTTCTAAAGTGGGCTCCATTCCAGGAGGAATGTAATTGCTTGGGGTTTCACAACAGAGCAAAGAAAAGAGGCTGCTTTGTCATTTGGAGACGAGCCTGACTTTGCAAAAGCCTCCCGCTCTCTCTGCCCCCAGCTAAAATAAAAAGTTGGCTTTCGAGGAAGCAAAAAATGTTAAACCGCCGTTTGCTTTCTGCACGAGAGAAGGAAGTTTACCTACCTATTTCATCAGTGTCTGCCCAGGATTGCTCAAGTTCACATCCCCTGTTAAATCGCTGCGAGGTTCTTTGTGGGAGGAGAGACACCCCAAGACAACTGCAGATTCTCATTCTCTCTCTCTCTCCCTTTCTCTCTCTCCTTTCTCTCTCTCTCCTATTTCTCTCTCCTTTCTCTCTCCCCTTTCTCCTTTCTCTCTCTCCTTTCTCTCTCTCTCTCTCTCTCTCTCTCTCTCTCTCTCTCTCTCTCTCTCTCTCTCATTGGCTCCAAATGAATTTAATTAGGGAAGAATCCAGAAAGAGCGACAAAGTGTGTTTATTCCGAACGTGCCCCGAATCCAGGGAAGCAGCTCTGGAAAAGGGAATTGCGAGCTTCGTTTTGCGCCATATCAAGTGTTTCCTGTCACTTAACAAGAGGGGATATCTTGGGATGCTGGAAATAATTACTTGGAAACAAGGAATTATGAGAAACATATGCTGGCTTGTTTAGAATCCTGTGAAGGTCTCTCTTCCGTGGAGCTGCGAATTCCCACCATGCATTTGGACTTCTGGCTCTTAAAACTTTCTTTTTTCCTTTCCTGGAGGCCTCCAAGCCTTCTGCACCCAGGGTTAACCTTTATTGGACATTAATAGGCCAATTACGGGTCTGGAGATAACGTTTTAAGTCCTTGTTTCCGGGTGGCGGAAAAAAAGGGCACTGGGCTTGCATGCTGCGCTACTTAGCTGTGATTTATTGGCTCAACTTGAGTTGGCCTGGTTCCCACCGAGCCAGAGGGAAAGTTCTCCTCCTGTTATGAGCTCAAAGCTAGGCCTCTTCCAGATGTTGTGGGCTTCCTCCCCAGCTGCAGCCCTGGACAGTGGACGGTAGACATGGCAGTGACCAGCCCTGGAAGGGACCCATGACTTTTCAAGAGCATCAAAGGCGCCCTGCGCCGGAGATGGGAGGCTAATTCTGATCTTCTTGCGCAGACATGAGCCGTCACCGTTATTCCCTCTACGTGCACAATTGCCGGTTGGTCTTCCTCTTCCGCCAGGATCCCTCCGAGGGGCAGAGTTACAAGCCGGCCGAATTCCACTGGAGGCTGAATCAGGTGGGCCCAAAAAATACTTCAGCCACCCTAGGGCAGTTCCCCTCCACTGATTTGCAAAATGGATGGCCTAAAGCAGAGGACCCCAACCGTTTAGGCATCAGGGACCCGTTGCGTGGAGAGCGGTTTTTCCACAGACCGGAGGGTGCGTGGTTTTGTGTGCTGCCGGCATCCTGCAGATGCGGCTTTGCTTGTTTGTGTGGACCAGTTGCTGGCATGCCGCGGCCCAGTGCCGGACCACAGACCGGGGGTTGGGGATCCCTGGCCTAAAGGGGCTGTAAGTTAGGCCCTTTGGTTCATTTAGTTCAGTGTTTCTCAACCTTGACAATTTTAAGGTATGTGGACTTCAACTCCCAGAATTCCACAGCCAGCATTGCTGGCTGTGGAATTCTGGGAGTTGAAGTCCACATGCCTTAAAATTGTCAAGGTTGAGAAACACTGACCTAATTAGTGGCCCACAACCAAGGATTCAAGCCGATCCTACCCGGAGGTGCCTGATCTTCAATTACTATCCATCTGCATTAGATTACGACCCTCACTGGCCCATCAAATCCAGATTACAACCTCATTAAAATCTCCCAGATAACTCTCCTGCCTGCCCTTGATCACCTCCAGCAAAGGGGGAGGTTCCACTGTCCATGGTTTCCTGTTAAGCTCTAGTTAAAGCTATGAATCTTTCACAGGTAGAGCCAGGAACGGGTCCTGTCCTTTGGGAACAACAAAATACAGATGTCTTTTTAAACACTTGGCTCCTCTTCCAGGTTTGCGATCAGGAATGGCACCACTACATCCTCAACGTAGAGTTTCCGGTGGCCACGCTCTACGTCGATGGCGTTTCCTTTGATCCCTTCCCAGTGACTGAGGATTATCCCCTTCACGCCTCCAAGATAGAATCCCAGCTAGTGGTTGGAGCTTGCTGGCAAGGTAAGCCAGCTTCTAGATTTTACCTTGACGGCTTATTGGTGGGCCAGACTCCCATGTGGGGGTTAAATTGTCTTCAACTCATCCAATCAGGAGCAACGGGCTGATTGAAGCAAAGAAGTTCAAAAGAGTAGCTCGGATTTAATAAAGACAATCAGATCCCCCGTTTTCCTAGTTCTCTCCAGCTCAGGCAGTTGCCTTTTGAGAGAAGCACTTAGTTTGTTGTCATCTTGACAGCTGTTGGTGAAGAAAAATGTAGTAGAACGAAGAACGTGAACTGGGTTGGGAGCTCAAACAGATATAAAACCAAACGTCTTGTGAGAATGTTCTCGCTGGCTCTGCCTTTCTGCCTTTCCCGCAATAGGTTGTATGAGTGATTGGCATGTTTGCCAGGATAATTCACTGAACGGCTGTATGGGATGGAGGGGGCCTTAAAAATGCAGCAGCCAACTAGCTTTTAAAGCCGGTTAAAACAGCCCTTCCCCAGAGACTGCATAAGGACTTCAATCATAGCGTCAGAGTCATCGGCATCCTCAGAAAATGGATGCTCAGATTAGTCTTAAGAAGGCAAGCCCCACGCCAACGTTTTTGCACCGTAATTCTTCCTTTTTAAAAAAAATAGAAATCTTCTAATTGCACAGTTTTTTAAGGACCGCTTTTTAAGGACTTTTTTTTAAAAAATCAGGTTAGTGGGGAAAACGTCCTTTTCCGTAATCCTCCACTTTCTATTCCTGTTGTGTGAGATGCCAAACATAGGCTCATGCAGGAATTTGATGACCATAATTGAATTGTAAGTCAATAGGGGATTATGTTTAGCGCTCCGTTGAGCTTTAGCAGAAAGAGGAACGCAGCCGGAGACAATCCCCCCTTTTTTCTCTCCTCTCTTCCTGCACTGCCCCAGGGGGGGGGGGGGAATGGATCCAAATTCATATGTGACTTCAGCCGCTTTTTGGGCTTCTCCTTCGAATTATTCGAATCAGGAGCTAGAGAGTCGCTCCACAAGGTCATTGCGAACTTCGCTTCACTTGTTTTTTTTTATTTTATTTTATTTATTTAGAAATTTTATATAGCTGCCTCCCCACGCACGGGGACTCTAGGCAGCTTAACAAGCAATAAAAACACAATGTGTTGTTGTTGTTGTTGTTGTTAATTGCGAAGTCGTGTCCGACCCATCGCGACCCCATGGACAAAACACAATATAGACAATATATGAAACTAAAAAAAAAAAAAAATAACGACCTCCCATCCATCGGCGACAGCACACAATTAAATAAGCCATTTGATGCACTTTGCAACTCTGGGTTCCCCAGGCCCGCTGGCAAAATCAAGTCTTTAGGGCCTTCCGAAAGACTTGTCAAAGTGGGGGCCAGTCTAATGTCTGCAGGGATGATGTTCCAAAGGAAGGGAGCCACCACAGAGGAGGCCCTTCTTCTGGATCCCGCCTAACAAAGTGGAGTCCCAGGTGGGTGACCCATCCAGGCCTGAACTGCGACAGGTGAAATATCCAGGCCCTTACCTAACCCGCCCGCTCCTGTTTTTTCTTCTCCTCCCTGTCTCTTGCTTCTCCGCAGAGTATACGGAAAATGAGAATGACACGGACAAAGCCACAGAAAATCCTGCAGGTTGCTGGCCGTCTTTAATTTTTTCTTTTTAATGCTTTCGTGTCCAAGGCAAGCCGTGGCGTCATCACACATAGCATGACCGGCCAGCATTGCATTGCTACGGCCATTGGAGGGACACATAATCACGTTGCTGAGCTTGTTTTTTTTCTCCCCCTTTTCATTGCACTTTTCTTATGTGTATATGTGTATATATATATATTCACTTCCTCTTTGGTTTCTCCTCCCCTTTCTTCTTGTAGCAATAACCCCTCATCACGTGTTCATATGCCAGTCGATAAGCCACGAAATGAACTAGGTTGAGAAGTCTCCTTGGCCTAGCGCAGGGGCCTTCAAACCTGGCCCTTTGATGACTTGTGGACTTCAACTCCCAGAATTCCTCAGCTAGGCATGCTGGCAGACCCTTGCTTGTGGACTTCAACTCCCAGAATTCCTCAGCCAGGCACGCTGGCTGAGGAATTCTGGGAGTTGAAGTCCACAAGTCATCAAAGGGCCATGTTTGAAGACCCCTGGCCTAGTGGGTGGGGGTACCGCAGGGTGGGACCCGTCACCGACTCTTCTCATTGGCCCATGGTTCCCTTCCTCGGAATTAAACAGCCAACCAAAAGCAATGTCTCTCTAATTCGTTTCCTTATCCACACAGGATCCTCTGCCATGGAAGTTCGCTGGCCCATCCCAATCTTTTTTGTCACAGGCTCATACATGGGGAGGCCTGGGGAAAGCCGATCCTAAGGCAGATCCTAAGGAAGCTTCCGTGGAGAAAAAGCAGGACCTAACCCAGAGTTTCCCAACCTTTTGCGTACAAAAGCAGTTGTTTCAAAATACTTTTTTAATCAATGGGGCAGTAGGAGAGGACTACTAGAACAGGCAGCGTTCCAGATTTGAGACGCTTTCCTAGGCTTCATCAGCGTTTCTCAACCTCGGCAACTTTAAGATGTATGGACTCCGACTCTCCGAATTTTGGGAGTCGAGAGTCCAGGCGTCTTAAAGTTGCCGGAGTTGAGAAATGCTGATCTGGAGCAATTTCATACGATCTCCAAGAATATTTCAGTAAAACCCTCGCGAGGGCTGGATTTCATGAATTGATCACCGGGTGGAAATGTAGCAGTCCCCATCACATCCCCTCTCCATAATCCTGGCTCTCACTGTAGTCTCCATCCTGGACCTTTGGCTCTTGGGAAGAAGTCTTCCCTTTTCCACTGGGTTGTAATCGTTTTCTCTGTTTTAGACAAGCTGTCTTCAAATAAAGGCAGCCGGATCGATGTCCTCTTAAAGTCCCCTCGGTTCCACAGCAAGGCTCGCTCATCCCATCCCTGCCCCTCGCTGCATGAACGAGCATCTTTTATTTTCCTTCCCTTCCCATCGTGCTTGAGCATAACTGCAAGCCGGCCTCCGGGACGGGCGACTCAACTAACTGCATGCCGTTGGAAAGCGAAGTCGGGCGCAGTTCGTGAGTGGCACCTAGGCCAGGGTGCTCAGCCGAGCGTCTGAGCTAAATACGGCTGCTTTTCCTTCCTCGCCCAGGGGGTGACCAGCGGATGGCTCAGTTCTTCCGCGGAAACCTGGCTGGCCTGACCATCCGCTCGGGCAAGCTGGAGAGCAAGAAAGTCATCGATTGCCTGTACACCTGCAAGGAAGGCCTGGACCTGCCCACTGCGGACGGCGCTGCGAAGGGCCTCAAGGTAATTCTCAGACGGCCGCTGTGGAAAGGGCCACGGGTCTCGTGGAAGGCACAGAGAAGCAACGTCAGCCTCCGGACTGCTTGCGCCGTGACTCCCAGGATCTCTGGCCCGCAATTGGTTCCGCGTTTACAACATTCCTTGCTTCTTTAACATTAAAAGTGCATGCCGCTTAAAAGCTCCCGTTGTCTTACATTTTGGCCGCCTTCCCATTTATTTGTTTAGCACATGGCAAACATTTGAGACAAAAGCCCATCCCAGTTTGCATTCTCAGTCAGCAAAGAAGAAATTGTTTGCAAATTAAAAGGTAGACTATTTATTACCGAGGGTTTTTTGCCTTCCTAGCAACCTGCGGCTTCTCGGCTTCCCAGAGCTGGAACCATATTAAATACCTCTGTGTAGGGCAACATTGAAGCGCAACATTAGGGACGGCGCAACGGTGAAGAGAATGGGAAGGATGTGTGTATGTAATCTGTGTTCTGATTTGTGGTTTTTACTTGTGTGCAATGTGCACTGTGGACAGCACTTAATTTTGTTGTGAGTTACACAATGACAAAGATATTCTGTTCTTTTCATTCTATTCTACGTTCTATTCTATTCTACATTCTATTCCACTGTTCTGTTCTCTATTCTATCCTATTCCATTCCATTCCATATTTTCTATTCTATTCTATCCTGCATTCTATTCTATTCTCTATTTTGTATTCTATCCTATTCCATTCCATATTTTCTATTCTATTCTGTTATTCTATTCTATTCTCTATTCTATCCTATTCCATTCCATTCCATATTTTTTATTCTATTCTATTCTGCATTCCATTCTATTCTCTATTTTGTATTCTATCCTATTCCATTCCATATTTTCTATTCTATTCTCTGTTCTTCTATTCTATTCTATTCTCTATTCTATCCTATTCCATTCCATTCCATATTTTCTATTCTATTCTGCATTCTATTCTATTCTCTATTTTGTATTCTATCCTATTCCATTCCATATTTTCTATTCTATTCTCTATTCTCTATTCTATCCTATTCCATTCCATTCCTTATTTTCTATTCTATTCTATTCCATTCCATTCTATTCTATTCTATATTCCAATTTCTATTCTGTTCTATTCTATTCTCTATTCTATCCTATTCCATTCCATTCCATTCCTTATTTTCTATTCTATTCTATTCCATTCCATTCTATTCTATTCTATATTCCAATTTCTATTCTGTTCTATTCTCTATTCTATCCTATTCCATTCCATTCCTTATTTTCTATTCTATTCCATTCCATTTCCCTTCATTTCAGATCCACATGAATCCCAGCCAGTCAGCCCTGAGTTTAGAAGGGGACGACATCGAACGGTTCGACAAAACCATGCAGCGTATCTCGTACGTGAACTCGCGCCAGTTCCCCACGCCCGGCATCCGGCAGATCAAAATTACAAGCACGGTGAAGTGAGTTTTTGCGGCGGTTCGGAGGAGAGGCGATGCAACCAGAGTTTTGACTCAGTGGCTGCTTGGTTCACGGGGCAGGACGCTTGCTTTGCAGGACCCTCAACATCCCTTGCCTCCCCACTGTGGTGGGTCCCCTAGATGTGACCGGTGCGGGAGGGTCCCAAGCCTCGAAGGGCTTTGAAGGTGACAAGCAGCATCTTGAATTGCACCCGGAAACAAACTTGCTATGTTTGCGAACTGTGCCCAAAGCAAACCTCTAGAGCAGTGTTTCTCAACCTTGACCATTTTAAAGGACTTCAATTCCCAGAATTGCCAGCATTGCTCTAGAGTGTGGCTGAATTTCACACTGCACGGGGAAACACAAATTGTTGTTGTTGTTTGTTAGAGTGGGTGGTGCAGACTGAGCTCATAAGGCCTATCCGGGGGAGCCCGTATGCCTCTGCTTTCGACAGAACGGGCACGACGGCGCTTCCCCCTGTGGACCTGAACATCCAAACTTAACATGGAGGCATTAGTATAAATTAAGGGTGTGTGTGTGTGTGTGTGTGTGTGTGTGTGTGTGTGTGTGTGTGTGTGTGTGTGTGTGTTATTTAATAACATGAAGAGTAATAACCAAGGTCAGGATTGGAGGATAACGTTGAAAGGGGTTGAAGGCCTAGTGCAGTTCTGTCAACCGTGGCAACTTTAACACTGGTCTAGTGTTAGAGCAGTGGTTCTCAACCTTTTTAAAGCTGCAACCCCCAACCGGTCGTAAGTCGAGGGCTACTCAACCGGTCGTTAAGTCGAGAACTACTCAACTGGTGCAGCACCATTTGCAGAAGGGGACTTTTGGCGGGCTCAGCAGGGCAGAGACAGCCTGGACAATTCCGATTGGCTTTGGAAAGCCAATAGAATTAGACTCTATTCAAGAGAGTCTATTCTATTGGCTTTCCAAAGCCAATAGAATAAAGGGGAGTAGCGCAGCTAAGGAAAAGGGGGAAAAAAATGGCGGACTGCGTTGTTTGGCGACCCCCGTGAAATGGTCGTTCGACCCCAAATGGGGTCCCGACCCCCAGGTTGAGAACCACTGTGCTAGAGAAACTCTCCCGTGGGAATCCACCACCCCGCTGACGGCCCCCACGCCTTACCTTCCCAGGTGTGCCGACAAGGAAGCCTGCATCGCCATTCCGCTCGTGGAGGGCTACGTCGTGGTCCTACAGCCCGAGGAGCCCAAGATCAGCCTGAGCGGCATCGACCACTTTGCCCGCTCAGCTTCGGAGTTCGAGAGCCCCGAAGGCGTGTCCCTCTTCCCCGAGCTCCGGATCGTCAGCACCATCACCCGGGAGGTGGAGCCCGAGGGAGAAGGAGAGGAGGACCCTACAGGTGAGGGGCAGAGGAGGAGCAGGGAAGCAGGGGCTGCACAGGGCTCTCTCTTCGTTTCTCCAGCGACCGCTTTTCTCCAAAAGCGGGACAAAGCAGCATCTCGCCCATCAAACTGAAGCAGGCGTTAATTCGGGGGATATTTTCCCATTCAGCTGAGCTTTATTTTTTTATTTCTCTTTTTTATTCTGCACTGAAAGTCAGCGGTGGATGCAGGATCAGATTCAGCGGTGTTTGAGGGAGATGGGCGGTGGGAGGGAGGGATGGGAAGGAAGGGAGGGAGGGAGGAAAAAAGGAGGGAGAGAAGGGAGGGGGAGGAAGGAAGGAGGGAGGGAGGGGAAGGAAGGAGAAGGAGGGAGAGAAAAGGGAGGGAGGGGGAGAAGGGAGGGGAGAAGAAGGGAGGGGAAGGAAGGAGGAAGGGAGAGGGGAAGGAAGGAGGGAGAGAAAAGAGGAAGGGAGAGAAGGAAGGGGAGGGGAGGGGAAGGAAGGAGGAAGGGAGAGAAGGGAGGGGAAGGAAGGAAGGAGAAGGAGGGAGAGAAAAGGAAGGGAGGGAGGTGGAGAAGGGGGGGGAAGGAAGGAAAGGAAGGAAGGAAGGAAGGAAGGAAGGAGAAAAAAGGGGGGGTTCTAGTGGTTAAGGCACCAGACTAGAAAGCAGGAGGTTGTGAGTTCAAGTCCTGCCTTAGCCATGAAAGCAAGCTGGGTGACTTTGGGCTAGCCCCTCTATTTCAGCCCAACCCACCTCACAGGGTTGTTGTGAAGAAAATAGGAGGAGAAACATGTGTCGGATATGTTTGCTACCTACTTTGTACAAGTAATAAAGGCGGGATACAAATAAATATTTCTTTTTAAAAAGAAATGGCGTATTTGGCAGTTGGGACAAGCCAGAGATGAACAGAGAAGCATCCAGTGTCCATCGTAGGCAGCGCAGATTCCACGGAAAGATCCCAGTCTGGGAAACTAGCTTGATGAATGGGACTTTTTCTCGTTTCCTTCCTCCTGATCGGTTTTTCCCCTTCCTTCTCCCTTCCAGTCCAAGAATCCTTGGTGTCCGAAGAAATCATGCATAATTTGGACACCTGCGAAGTCTCGGTGCTAGAGGAGGAGCTGAACCGGGACCAAGAAAGCCTGGAGGTCGACCTGGTGAGGCTGCAGCAGAAAGGAATGGAGATGAGCAGCTCCGGCCTTGACCTCATTCTTACCGGTATGGCCCTCCCCGTCCCTCCCCCCCTTGGAGAAGGTTGACACGTTGCACTAAGCCACAGCTAGGTTTCCAGGATCCTGTAGGTCAGGAGTCTTCAAACTTGGCCCTTTGATGACTTGTGGACTTCAACTCCCAGATTTTCTCAGTCAGCGTGTATGCTGGCTGAGGAATTCTGGGAGTTGAAGTCCACAAGTCATCAAAGGGCCGAGTTTGAAGACCCCTGCTGTAGGTCCTACATCATGGTGTCATGATTCCGACAGATGAAACCCTTCAAAAGAACTTTGAGGCATTGTTTACCTTAAAGAATCTTTTATTCAAGTAGCATAATATCAGCACTTACATAATCAAGCCAAAAACCAAATTCCCCTCCCCTGGGCCCTTAGTATCAAAGCACAATTCCTTCCTCCAATTAACAGTCATAAATCACATTCCCCAATTAGCTTGAAGCCCGGGCTTCCTCTCCAGTTCTCCAGCCCACCAATTCTTTTATCAGCTCTGGCCTCAATAACCTTGATTCTCACGCTAGGTTTAGTGTTGTTATATCTAGCTAGACTCTCCTTCACATCCCCTCCCCTCCCAACTTCATCTAACTCTAAAAGCGAAAGGGAAAAAGACAGCTACATTTCTATCTGTTGTCAATGCAAAACATCCGTTGACACGTGGCTTGCAAGCTGCGATAATGGGGTGGGGGTGGGATTTGCCAAACAACGCCTCCCAGCCAGCATCGATTTTAGCTGACCCGTATCTGTACTCCACAGGGGTGGACACCATGGCTAGCTACGAGGAGGTTTTGCACTTGATCCGGTACCGCAACTGGCACACCGTCTCACTCTTTGACCGGAAATTCAAGCTGGTGTGCTCGGAGCTCAACGGACGCTACGTTAGCAATGAATTTAAGGTGGAAGTAAGTGAAGGAGCCTCCTTTTCGGTTCGACTTCAGGATTGTTGGGGGTTGTGCAACTGGGCCTTTCCTCACGGGGGAGCGTAATGGATTGCGGCCTTCTGTTGTTGGAACAGAAGTAGACGCTGTGTTCAATGGAGTTGAATGCAGGAGGAGAAGCCACTGGTTCATCCTGTTCAAAATAACCTCCCCCGAGTGTGCTGGGTATAAGAGGGGGCAAAGTTTCTCTTCTTTTAACCCCACAACAACAACAGCAACAAAAAAGTAGCACCCCTGGAATTCTGGTTTCTTTTTCTGATATGACTAATAACCCCATACAATCGGTTTAAGGATCACAGGCATAGAACTCTATTTCTCTAACTCGACATCTTCCAGATGGTGGACTTCAACTCCCAGAAGGCTTAGCCATGGGGGAATTTGTGGAAGAGGAACATCAGGTCGGGAAAGATAGACCAGTCAGCAAGGCGCGCACGTGCACGCACAGAGAGAGAGAGACAGAGATAGATCAGGTCTGTTCTGCTAATCTCCTAAAACTCTTGTGTTCCCTTTTCTCCAACCTTTTGCGTTCCAGGTGAACGTCATCCACACAGCTAACGTCCTGGAACACGCCAGCCACATTGCTGCCCAGCAGCCCCAATTTGTGCAGCCTGTCCATCACTCTTTTGTTGACCTCTCTGGCCATAATCTCGTAAACCCTCACCCGGGGTTTTCCGGTAAGGACACCATGCTTTCCTTGAATTCTCCCCGTTGCCATTTCCAACAGCTCTCCCGTTTTCGGAGAGGCAGTTGCTGAGATTCGATTAAACCAGGGTTTCTCAACCCAGGCACCTTTTAAGATGGGTGGACTTCCAACTCCTAAACCTCCCCAACCAGCTGTGCTGGCTCGGGAATTCTGGGAGTTGAAGTCCACCCATCTTAAAAGTTGCCAGGTTTGGGGAAACGGCGCATTAAGCCAATTGCATCTGGTCAGCGCTTAAATTTAGCTGGGATCAGGAACCTTCTCTGGCTTTTTGAAACATGCCTGTTGTAAAAAAAAAAAAAAAATCAAGCAGAAAAAAAAAGGATGATATTCAGGACCATCCCATCGTCAAAACTCGTGAGGTCAGCCTCCTGTTTGTTGCCACCGTGTCACGAAAATGACAGCAAACCTAAATAGGCAGACAGTGGACCGGCTGCAAATTACACTTTTTGGTCCCTGCCTATCGTGGGATCTTCCAGCTCTTGAGAAAGGGGTATCAATTAGAAACTTACTTGAGACAAGAGGGTCATTTTTGTGAAGGGTTTGGACTTCTGCAGCACTGCTGGGTAAATACGCCAGCTGGGAACTAGATCCCCGGTAGGTGAATTAGCCCGTTCTGCTGCTCTGCTTACATCCCTGTAAAATCTCCCCAAACTACACCTTCCCCAGAACAGGTTAAAAAAAAAAAATGCATTGCTGTGCTTCCGGTCCTCCAGTTAAACCTGACTAACCTCTTCTGAACACTCTCGTCCCCAGTGGTTCCCAGCACCGCCACAGTGGTGATCGTGGTGTGCATCAGCTTCCTGGTTTTCATGATCATCCTGGGGGTCTTCCGGATCCGAGCGGCCCACCAGCGGACAATGCGGGACCAGGACTCCGGGAAGGAGAACGAGATGGACTGGGACGACTCTGCCTTGACCATCACGGTGAACCCCATGGAGGTAAGACCTCTGGGTTGAGACTTCGTCTTGATAACTCTCATTATAACTTTGAGTTGCATTTATCAGGGCGGTCGTGGGTGGGGCCGGGATTTCAGTCCCACCTTTTTGAGATGCACTCAGGGGCCTTTGTGTTGAAAAGCAGCATTTGGCAGTTTCCACGACACCCACACCCCCTTTTCGCACCCGTGTCCTGAAATATCTCTTGGTAGTGCTCTTTCCTCCTTTCCGCTCTTTTTCTCCTGCGGTCTTTTCTGTTCTCCCCCTAGCTCTTGAGAATTGCTATCAGATGAGACTTGAACCTCAAGGTGGGACTAGAGAGAAGGCAACTGTCCCCCTGGGGTTCTCTCTCTTATGGTGCCCCCCTTCTCGAACCGGAGACCCCTTTGAGGGACTTAACTGTTTCTCCGTTTCCCAGACCTACGAGGACCAGCACAGCAGCGAAGAGGAGGAGGAGGAAGAGGAAAGCGAAGACGGGGCCGAGGAAGACGACATCACCAGCGCCGAATCGGAGAGCAGCGAGGAGGAGGAGGAGGGGGGCGAGCAGGAGGACCCCCAGCACGCCAACCGGCAGCAGCAATTGGAATGGGATGACTCGACCCTGCCCTACTGAGTCCCCCTCCCACACGCTCCCTGCTCGCCGCCTCGGTTTTCTTTTCGTTTCGTTCTCTTGCTCCAGAGAACGCCAGGACAGACCCCTTCCCTTCCTTTCGGGGGTTCCCAGGGGGGCCTGACAGCCGCCCGGCCCCCCAAAACGTTGGCCAGTCTCCCTCCCCTCCCAACCCCCTCCCCTTCGTGTGCCGGGCATATCCGTTCCCAATTCCCTGCCTATAGAAATGTAGCTAGCACCTCTCCTCTTTCGGTTGCCCCCCCACACACACACCTCCAGTGACTGGATTGTGCTGGTTTTCCTATTTTATTTTATTTTTAAACTTGCAAGGCCTTGCCCGGTGCTTTCTTCTGCTCCCGGTCATCTCCTCCAGGGCCTCAAGTCATCCCTACTGCCCCCCCTCCCTTTGAAAAAAAAAGAAATTCCCCTTCCCCATTTCCAAATACGGGTGGCTCTTAAAGCAGCCACTTTTTTTTTTTTCTCCCAGCTTGCTGAGGAGGCTGCTTTAATGATCCACGGGAAGCCGAGTCTTCAACCATTCTCAAAACATGCCCAGCGCTAATGTTTCCCCTTCCGCTTTTTCTCCTTTTTAGACTTTTTTTTTTTAACTTTAATTATATATATATTTTAATTTTTCAGCCCACTTCCTCCTCCTCCTTCTCCCCCCTCCCTTTGCACCTCTTTTTCTGGGACGTGAGGGGGCAAAAGCCAGAAAACACTCCCTCCCCGCTCGTTCGTTGACTTGAGAGCTAACCTTTTTGTTTGTTTTAATTTAGTCCTTTTCTTAAAAAACAAAAACACACACACAAAAAAACCCCCACCCTTGGTTTGATTTTTAGCTGATTTTCGGTTGTCTCGGGTCCTCCCCCCCCCCCGCAACGGTTTTCCAAGTCTCTCTCTTTTTCTCCCTTCTCCTTCCCAACCGCTAGTTGCATGTGTAAAATGGCAGAACGGGGTCCGATATGTAGGAAACTTAACAAGACTTTTTAATATTTTGTAAATACGTCGGGAACTATGTAATTATGTCACTTGTGGTAGTGAAAAACATGGCTGGGCTAGGGAGGGAAGGTGGGGAGGGAGACGACCGTGCTGAGGTTTAAAAAAAAAAAAAAACACTGCGACGATGAAGAATCAATCACGAAGCATGACATAAGCAGCGATTTAAGGTTTGTTTTTTTTCCAGAATTCCTAAGGACAGGTTTTAAAAAGTAGTGCAGAGAAATGAAAGGACGACCGGAGGCGATGGGACTCGACTGCAAATTTCATACGAGGTCTGTGGATGGGTTCTTCGTCCCTTTTTTAAAAAATAAATATTTTTTTTTCTTTCCGAAGGGAAAAAGAAAAATAGAAAGAAAGGTGGCTTTTAACACTTAAAGGCACCTTCTCTGGCCACCTTCGGACCCAACTCCGTGCGTATCCTCGGAGGCTTACGTGGCTTTAGCTCCTGTTATTTTTTATTATTATTATTATTATTTTTATTTTTTGAAAGCAGATTGCACCCGGGAGCCCAGCCCGCCCTTTAAAACCTGGTTCCTCTCCGGGTTTACACTACACTACTTCTCAGGAGTTGAGCCAAATGCAGGCCAGATCTAGAAAGTTCTGCGGTCCAAATTTTACCTCAGCTGCTGAGGAGGTTTCTGTTTTTGCGTCATTCCTCATTTTAAAAAAAAAAAAACAAAAAACACACACACACTCCTGTTCATTCCTGTAGCTACAACACTAACTTGAAATGTTAGCTTATTTTTATTTTTATTGGGGGGGAGGGGGAGAAAGGGGGAGGGGGGTCTTTTGTTCACTCCGACCTTCCTTTTCTTTAAAGCTTATCGCATCAACATTCCAGATAACGTTTGAAGAGTGATCCAAGAGATCGAAAACACCCCAGCTGTTTTCACAAAACCTTGCCTGGATGATCTGGGCCAGAAGCAAAACGGTTTTCCCCGCCAAAGCAGTTTACACACCGGTAGTGGCGGGAAAGGTTACCTTATCCTGAGGGGGGGGATAGGGCTGGTGGGGAGAGGGGGGGGTGAGGAAAAGATCTTCTCCCTGTTTTTAAGTTTTTTTTAAAATAATAATGTGCTTTTCTGGCTCTGCTCTGCCCTATGGCCAAAGCAAAATTTGTTTCTAATCTTGCACGGAGCACCTGCCCATCCCCGGCTTGTCTCCAGGTAATGGGATAGATCTGCCCGGAAAAGCACAAAAAAATAAATAAATTAAAAGGGGGGGAGAAGGAGAGGGATTCCAGCTGCCAAACTGCAGAAAGTTTTTTTTTTTCCCCTTTAATTTGTGGAGTGAAGGGGAGTGAAGAAACAAAAAGAAAGCCAGGGACACCTGTTGTGGCAGAATTTATTTGAACAGGTAGACTTTTCCATTTGGTCCTGGCCATCCCAACCTTGAAAAACGGGATGCCTGGATCAATTTACACCCCTCCCCCCCCCCCAGGCATCCTTTGAGAATCTTTTAACTGCCGAGCCAGTAAGGTTTCCTTTGGGTCGGTGTGATCTCCACAGTGCCTTTGGCGACGGGACAGTTCAGAAAGCCAAACGCCAGTTGCAGTTACCACTACACACACCCTTTCACAAAAGCAAAAAGAAAAGAAAAGAACCCCCCCACAACCCCTGATGGATGGATGGATTAAACAGGCAAGGGGAAGCTGGTTTGAAAGATTTCCACCCGCGAACGTTTCACTGGGAACACTCTTAACTTTGTGTCTGAATTGTCCTGTGTTTTATTGTCACCTTGTAGAAAACCTTAAGCCTTTTTCTCCATGATCCTTGTCTCTGTTTAGCAACTGTATTTTAGAGACTGTAAACCTAATCATATCCACTCTGCCCCCCCTCCATGCTAATACGGAAAGGCTGTAATGTTTTTTTCCCCCTCCGATGCGTTTTGTAGCCATCATGGGTCTTAACATTTCAGATGTGTATATTGGTAAATAGGTCACGTTTGGAAAAGTCTGAGCTACAATAAATTTCTGGTTCTAAAAAAGATGAGATTTGCTGTCATGTTTGGGGAGGGTCGACCCAGAAGTTTCCTTAGTGCTATCTATTTATCTATCTATCATCTAGCTATCTATTCTCTCTGTATATTTGTTCTCTGTCTATATCTATCTGTTGTCTGTCTGTCTGCCTATCTACTCTTCCTTCCTTCCCTCCCTCTCCTTCCTCCTTCCTTCCTTCCTTCCTTCCTTCCTTCCTTCCTCCCTTCCTTCCAAAAATCCTTTGTCCCAAAAGACAAAAGCCTATGTTTAGCTAGTTAACGTAGAATTTAAACTCAAAGCTGCACCTGCTAGTATTTTACTGGTTTTTTTTTCCTTTATTAAAGGTTAACCCAACTACAGATAGAAGGAATACCGCAGTGTTTATGCCAAACTTTCCAGTTTTCTACACATAAGAAGGTAGCCTAGCAAGCAACTGGAGCCATCCAGTCCTTTGCCTTTTAAATGGGATTTAAGCCCAGGATCGTAGAGGTAACTTTTAGCCTTACGGGTCTGTCTTTTTTCCTGTAAACAGCGAGCCTTTTCTATATATTTGTTTTTAAAAAAACGAACCAATCACTTGGCAAAAAGGAGGCGATGGTATAAAGTCCCCCAAATCAATTCAGCATTGGTTAGGTTTGTGAGATCGTGCTCAAATAATTGCCAGTCTATCTCTATTTAAACTTTAAAATACAGTTTTCCTCCTTGTTCCAAGGTTTGTTCCAATTAATATCCTTTCACCCCACCATCATAAAAAAAAATTAGTACAGGGAAAAAAACAACCACCCCCAAAGCTTTATCGGGGCCTTGTTTTTTTCTGGTTTCCCCATTTTTTTCTTTCCCTGTTGCTTTTTCGGCTGTCGGTTTTTATTTTTTAACTTTTTGTGCACTAATAAGGGAACTCTTCCTTTGATAAGTTGAGAGCTCCCCAACAACCGCATTCACATTTCACCCAAAATCATGGCTTGGCGTGTTGTGTGAACCGATGCAAAGGTGGCAGATGGTTTTCCTGCATCCACGTAGATCCCACCTCAGCATCTGGAAAAAGTGTACCTCGTAGAAGAGGCTCTACTTTCCACATTGACATCTTGACGCTAATAAAAAGAACCAGTGACTAACCTCAGGCTTTGGAATTCTTGGGAAATAAACCCCAGCGGAAACAAACATTGTCCGAAGTTAATTGGTAAAAACAAATTTATTGAAAAGCTAGCTTTTTTTAAAAAAAGGAAAGGGTTATCGGTAAGGGGCCAGATTTGTTTATTCATTTGAGGTTTTTTTTTTATAAAGAAAGAATGTAATCTGTAGCTCTGGACAAGAGAAGTAACTGAAAGTTCGTAAGGACATTTTTGCATCCAACAAACCAGGATGAGTGTTATCCTCAACCACCCACCTCCTACCTAAAACTTCACTTCTCAACCAAGGGCTCCTCTTTCAAAAGACCGTTCCTGGCCTCGCAAGACCCGGAATTTGGGATTCAACGTTTTGTGCAAAAACCAACATGTTTCGTAAGAAAGTCCCATCTCTTCATAAAGAGACCAGCTCTTTGGAGGGATCATTGGAAGCCTCAACACGTTAGAACTTCCTCAGCTCAACCAGTGAGTGAGTCAAGTACCTCTGAGCAGTATAAAATATGAACCTCACACACACACACACAACATATATGCACATCATCAAACTGCGCAGTTGCCCCAATGGTGCCACTGTTCCTCATCCTTGCCCCAGGCCATCACCCGCTTGGCGGAGGACCTATCTGCAGGGACTTTCCAGGCAAGACATCTTGCATATTACAAGCTTCCACATCTGGGCAGCTTAAAACGGTCCAGCCTGTGGACCGGTCCAAGGTGTGGAAGGTCCAGCTGCTCCATCCTGAGAGCTGGGAAGGAAGACTCTTGGGGGGGGGAGACGAGGGTCCCCTACTGACGGTTATCCTTGGAGACGTTATGGGCCAACCAGTTGACTTTGGTCTTCCAGCTCTCCCGCAGGGCCTCATTGAATTTAAGCTGGAATTGCTTCCGGGCCTCGTCATCCGTCTTCCCCAGTGCCAACGAGTCCTGAAAGGTATAAATGTGACCTTAGGGAAAAAAGCTCTGAACAGCAGTCTTGTTTAACAACAATTTTGGGGCTCCGTTGTATTTGTAAGTTGAGGACCACCAGTACATGCAATTCAAAGAATGAGAGATAGCTGCGTATTTCCATCTAGAACCTATTTTGGGTGTTTGCATCCACCTAGAACAGGGGTCTTCAAACTTGGCCTTGTTATGACTTGTGGACTTCAACTCCCAGAATTCCTCAGCCAGGCATGCTAGCTGAGGAATTCTGGGAGTTGAAAGTCCATGAGTCATAAAAGGGCCAAGTTTGAAGACCCCTGGTATAGACTCTCCTGCTTGAGCAGGGAGTTGGGCTAGATGATCTCCAAGGTGTGCCTTCCAACTCTTTATGTTCTAGCTCAGGGGTCTTCAAACTTGGCCCTTTGATGACTTGTGGACTTCAACTCCCAGAATTCCTCAGCCAGCGAGGAATTCTGGGAGTTGAAGTCCACAAGTCATCAAAGGGCCAAGTTTGAAGACCCCTAACTTAGAATGTTCCCAAACCGTGAGATGCTCCCTCCATCCTCCTGGTGTCCATGGATTCTTGCGATGGACTTCACAGTCCAGCCCAAATCTGGAAGCTGTGGTTGCGAACCCACTCAAAAACGTCTCCTCCTCACCTTGAGATACTGGATGTCTTTAGAGCAACTCAACTCTGGCAAGCCAGCAGCTTTCATCAAGGAGAAAAGATGTAGGAAGAGAAGACCGTGGCCTCGGAGGATCATGTAAGCCGTTTCACAGTAGTCTCTGAATCTGAGAAAGGAAAAAGGACAATGGGGGGTTAAACATTGCTTCCCGGGCTGAGAAAGATTTGGGAGATGCTGTAAGTTGAATGAATGGAACTGAACTTTATTTGGCCAAAGTTCAACACACAAGGAATTTGTCTCCGGTACAGAAGCACTCTGTCCATGCAAAGCAACAGAATCCTTCTTGTTATACCAATAAAAGGGGAGAGTAAAGGAGATAGTAAGAAGGATAAATAATATTACACCCACACTAAATGGCTAAAATATACACAGACCACTGCAGAGGTGAGGAGCCCTGGTTGAAACCAACAAGGCTCCATCCCACGCTTACCGTTCAAACTTCTCGCTGTTGCTGGTTTTCCCCTGCTGGATCACGTGGACAAAGTCGTAGGTCAGAATGAAGGGGACCCGCTCGCGGTTGATCCCAAATTTGGTCTTGAAGTTTCCCAAGAAATGGCCGAAATCAATATGGAACAACTGCAGCAGGATGTTGAAGGGAAGGAAGTGGGGAAAAAAATTCAAATTCTCAATTGCAAATCCAGCAGCGGTTTTATTTTAATTTTTTTTAAAAAAAGCAGCAGGCGTATAAAAGAACTCCGAATCAAATCTGTATGTAATATTTAGAAACAAAGCAAGAGAATTTACAATGCTGGGCGTCACAATATGAATAAACTGCACAACTCAAGACAGTAATTAACCAGCTTGTTGAATTTTTGGATTGCAAAATAATAATGTATTATATCCATTAATCTAACCTAGCTTCTTTTGTGGAATAAAAAGGGAATTAACGAGGCAGGTCAGTTGTCATGATCCCCAAAGTACCTGGCCATTTTCTCGCACCATGATGTTGTCGCTGTGACGGTCCCCAATCCCCAACACGTACGTAGCAACACAATATCCAGCACATGAAAGGGTGAATTCCTCAATGGCTTGCTCCAGAGCATCACTACACAAGAGAGGAGAATAAGCTGATGAAGGAAAGCCAACTTGCCCCTTGCAAGGCAGCATAAAAACTCACCCAGTGGTGCCCTTTCAAAGCAGCTACAGCCCAAAAAACCAAGATCAAATTCCTATCCCCACAAGATGTTCTCTTCCTCGCTTAAATCCATTTTAAGCTGTGCTGTCCTCAAATTTTTAAGAAAGACAATTCATTTAGTTAAATATCTGAAGACCTCAGAAACATCATGAGAAGATCTATTTAGAGTCATTGAGGATCTAGGTGCTTGAGACCAGCCAGTCAGAAGCATGTCCATTTTCCATGTGTCTTCTCAAACCATAAGATCTACCCTTCTACTCCTTCCAGCTAGATGAGTTGAGTAGATAACTGCCAAGGGACAGGGACCTTTTGTTGAGTAACCTTCATCCACCCAGTCTCATCTTCATAGTCTTCTCAAGCCAGGGTTTGTTTAGGCTTTGAGGATCACCTTTTTATTCTAAGCTTCAAGATCTGAGTCTCCATCCCGGCATTGGCCATGCTAGCTGAAATTTTTTGGAGTTGTAGTCCCAGCCATGGGGGATGTACTAAAGAGGACGTCCTCAGAACATACCCGGGATTTTTGGATTTCAGCCAATTCAAGAGGGCATCCTTGTTGAAAGCGGCGGTGGCTGCCATGTTGCTCTTGTTGAGTTGGATGTTGGCGATGGTGTCCGAGTTCATCACCACTTCGATCAGCCCCATCTTGTCTCCTGTGGAAAGGCAGCCGTATGGAGTCATCCTTCGGAGGAGAGAGAAACAGAGAGAGAAGAAGAATCATATCCTGCTCCAGTGGGGTGAAGCTTGAGATGTTGGGTGGGGGGTCCCAACAGCGCCAAGCTCAAGTTGAGATCAAGCGCAAGCAAGCAAGCAAGCTTGGAAGAGGGATCAGATGAAGACCAAAGAATGGTCTGAAAGAAGCCTTTCTCGGAACTGATAGGGACTATAGATGGAAGATGAGGCTGTAGAAGAAGCAGGATGGAGACAGGTCATCCACACACCCATCTAGGCTTGCACTGCACCTGCAGAAAGCAAAGTGTGAGCTCTTCGGGGCAGTTTTCCACCTCTTTTCAGCCACGACATCAACTCACCTCAAGTCAAGACCTTCTTGCTTCCATAAGATATCCATCAGTTGGATCATTTGGAGCGTCAACATATCTTGGCGAAGATCTGCCAAATGGAGGAGGGGGAAGGTTGGTTTGACCCTTCATCTCTCTCTCTCTTTCCTACCATCCTCAACTTTCTCCAACCAGAAATTACAACAGGATGGGAGTGATGTTCCATCCATTGCCCTGGATTTTTTTTCAACTGGCCCACAAGGGGGCGCTTTGGCTAGGCAGACTGATGCAAAACTGCAACTAACGCAGATAATGGTAGCTAGTTTGGCAATAAAACCTTTGCAAGAAAACAAGCTCAGAGGTCACTAAGGATCCCCCCCCCCATGCAGATTTTTTGTGGTGTTACTTCAAGTCCTCTTGTAGCTCCACCAGCTCACCCCTGTTTAATATATTGCTTTTCCTTGGAGCTGAAGTCTTCATGGAAGAAGGCAGGTCCACTTCCCTTTAGCTTAGCAAAAAACACCAAACCCCTGCCTTTAGGTTGAGGCTTCCTTTTAAACCTGCATTGCAGGGGAAGTAGTAAGGGAACTCATCCCAAGGCAAGGAAAGGGTGTGTGAGGCCATCCAGCCTGACCTCTTATACCCAGTATCTTGGTAACCCAAAACTGGGCTCTTCGCTCTTCCTTACCATCCCCGTTTTTGAATATCAAGCCGGTGCTGTTTCCTCCTGCCTCGCCATTGTTAAACATAACCCACAGCGGTTTCATCTTGGAATCCATGACGGTGCAAAGCTCTACACTGGAAGGAGGCACACACAAAAAGAGCGGGGGAGAGGGGGGGAGAGACACAACTCAAATCCCTTGTTGAAAGGAAAAAAAATAAAATCCTTCCTGCTCCTTAAACTGAAGAACCGGCCTAACCCCACCCTGCTGCTCACTTTGAATAAAATCAGCCTTTCTCAACGTGGGCTTCGACTCCCAGAATTCCCCTCTTAAAAGTTGCAGAAGTTGAGAAATACCAAGTTAAATCGGAGTCACTGCTATGAGATGGTAGTTCTCTAAATTCAAATGGATGGATGTGTCATGGTTCCAACAGATGAAACTCTTCAAAAGAACTTCGAGGCATTGTTTACCTTAAAGAATCTTTTATTCGAGTAGCATAATATCGGCACTGCATAATCGAAACCAAAAACTGAATTCCCCTCCCCTGGGCACATTGTATTAAAGCATAATTCCCTCCTCCAATTAACAGTCATAAATCACATTCCCCCAATTAGCTTGAAGCCCAGCTTCCTCTCCAGTTCTCCAGCCTGCCAATTCTTTATCAGTTCTGGGCTCAATAACCTTGATTCTCACACTAGGTTTAGTGTTGTTATGTCTAGCTAGACTCTCCTTCAGATCCCCCCCCCACCCCCAGCATCATCTAACTTTAAAAGCAAAAGGGAAAAAGATGGCTATATTTCCATCTGTTGTCAATGCAAAACATCCAATGTTAGCAGCGTTGAATGAATGAATGGAATGGGATGGGATGGATGGACGGACGGACAGGTTAATCTGAGCATTACAATGCCCGTCGGCTTTTATCGGCTTCCCTGAACCACAACTCTCAACCAGCATTAATTCTACCATTGAACTGAGCAAAACTGGGCCAAGCAAGACTGGGGGCATCACCACCCCATTCATTTCAGGCCCATCCTAGCCCATTCCCCAAACTTTCTCCCGCCCCCTTACCTGACTTTTGCCAGGAAGATCCGGGGATCCAGAGGGGACTGGAGATTGGAGAGGGCCTCCTGGTAAGTCTCTTGGCGCATGCAAGTATGCATGAACTCCTTGGTTTGAAGCTTGGTGTTTTTCTGAGCGCTGACCTTGATGAGGTCATTCAGGGCCCTCAGCTTGTTGAGAGCTTCGCTCTTGAATGGGGGGGGGGGAGAGAGAGAGAGAGAGAAGTTAGATCAATCAGATCCCTCAAGGCACTCACCAAGACACTGGTTGACAATCCTCTTGAAGTTGGAAATAATAATAGAAAACTTTCTTCTTCTTCTTCTTCTTCTTCTTCTTCTTCTTCTTCTTCTTCTTCTTCTTCTTCTTCTTCTTCTTCTTCTTCTTCTTCTTCTTCTCCTCCTCCTCCTCCTTCCTTCCTTCCTTCCTTCTTCCTCCTCCTCCTCCTCTTGTTCTTCTTATTATTACTATTATTATTATTATTATTATTATATCAAAAATTCCATTTCTGTATCAAACAGTGTGTTGTCTAGGTATAAAAATACTAACATATGATAATCATCACATTCATAGTAATCTTATTAAAATACAAGCATGTACTAGGAAATAGCAATCATACAGAAAACTTCATTGGCTAAGTGCGATTCAACACACACGGAATTAGTCTCTGGTGCAGAAGTTCTCAGATGCCGCCTGAGTCGGCGTATGGACTCCTATTGTTTGGTCTTGTCCTCTTTTTTTTTTTTTTTTTTTGCCTTTGCTGACATCAACCAAATTGGTATGCAAACTCTGGGTCAATTGCTATGTGTCCGGCTCTCACAAGACCGATATCCGTGCGTTACAAGTCATTTATGAAGGATACATGATGAACTGTAACTGAATAAAACCAAACGGTCCTGGTTGAGCGCCTTTAACGGAAAGACCTGCTTGCCTGCTGTCACAAACATATTTAAAACCTCGGTTAAGAGGTTCCTTCTCACGGTCTCCCTCCTTCTCTGGGCTAAGGTAGCTTTTATATCAGAGGTCCCCAACCTTTTGGACACCAGGGACCGGTTCCGTGGAGAGAGGTTTTTCCGCGGACCGGAGGGTGCGTGGTTTTATGTGCTGTCTGCATCCTACAGATGGAGCTTTGCTTGTTTGTGCGGACCGGTTGCTAGCATGCTGCAGCCCAGTACTGGTCCACGGACCGGATTGGGGATCCCTGTTTTATATGACGGTGGTCCAGTCTGCGTCCGTTTCATTCTTTCTCTCTCTCTCTCCACCGTTTCCCAAGACCTTTCTCACTTCCCAAAACAGCTTCCTTACCTGTTTCATCAGAGCTTTGATATGGTGAGCGTTTCCTCGGCAATAGGCCTCGAGAATCAGGCCAAACCTTAAGGCCAGCGAAGGGAAGTGCATTTCCGATCTAGCCACCATTGAAGGAGAGATGGAACCCAAGCAAAAAAAAAAAAGACAATTTTAATCACGGGGGAGTTATCAATATATGGCTACAACTGCTGGACATCCGTGATTATATACAATCAGGCCGTGGCGTTACGCTGGGGCAAGAGTATTTTGCACCGGCGGGGAAGGTGGATAAAAATTCCGGAAAAAAAGAAATTAATTGGTAATTAATTCTGATTATTCCAGCTGGCGGGGTCCAGGAGGAGGGCCTTCTTTGCTGTTGCTCCTGTTCTCTGGAACATCTTGCCCCCTTGATGTGAGGTCGGCCCCCAACCCTCCTATATTTTCGCCAGGGCCTAAAGACGTGGCTCTCCCCGTTGTTCCTGGGACCCCAGTGGGGGAACAACTCAAGTGGAGAACGAGACTCTTAAACCGCCTTGCTTCTCCCAAACCCTCTTTCTCACCTGAGATGCCAAAATAGGAAATGGCCAATCTTCCGGTTGGATAAGGCCCTGCCCAAAAGGAACTTGGTTAATTCACAGTTTAAGTAGGACTGGTATTTCAAAACCTGAACCAGCTGTAGAAGATACTGGAACAGCTCGGCATCTCTGCAAGGGGAAGAGCAGAGGGTTAATTGGTAGCATCCTCGGTTGTGTAGCCATTCAGACGACACATTGAACTCCGAGGGAAAAAAATCCTGTTTTCTAGGTTTGCAATGAAGTGGCAACCCCCCACACACACACAATCCAGCTTTAAACTAACCACAACCCAGCTTTAAACTAACCCATCTTAGCCCGGTAATGGGAGGCAGTTGTCAGATTGTTAACCAGGTTAAGCAGTTGAACCAAATAGATCTCTCTCTCTCTTTAGAAGATTGTTTTGACGCCCATCCTGGGGACAGGGATGATGAGACTTGCAGTCCAATCCACCTGGGGGGAGTGCCACCTTCAGGAAAGGGGGGGGAGTTCAGCAACTCTGCCCCCCCTTTTTTTCCCCCATTCCCATGATCAATTTCCTCTCCCCTTGTGTTTTGTTATGTACTTCACCGTGTTTTTCTCAACACCAAAAAGATATCAAGGCACAAACACATTTTGGGTCGATATTTTTCAATTTTGGCAACTTTTAACCTGGGAGTGGAAGTCTACCCCAACTCCCAGAATTCCCCAGCCAGCCAGGAATTTGGGAGTTGAAATTCATCCATCTTAAAAGTTGCCAGGGTTCTGAAAAAAAAAAACTGTCCTGGGTTGAAATCCCCTCCCTCTTTTTAAAGTAAAATCTGAAATTGTATAGCACAACTGCCCTGTTTCCTGTGCTTGTCAAAACAGCCTCCTCCTTTTTCTCTCTCTCTTCCCCACCTCATTCCCCCCCCCCTTTCTTTTTCTTCAGTTTTATATTTCTTTTAAGTAGAAAGACCTTTTATATTTTGGGAGATGAATTGTACTCACGTCAGCTTTTTCAGGGAGTTGACGGTGAAGCGGATCACGTAAGGGTCAGGGAAATTGAAATCTAAAAGCTCCAAGGCGTTCAGAACGGGCAGCTCGGGCCAGGATTGCAGCAAGGATACCATCTGCAAGACAAGCACAGGATCAGCTCTGGATTGGGCCAGGCCTTTCATCGTCTTTTGGTGCCCCTTCCGTCAGAAGCGCACTGAAGGTAACACTGCCCCTAAATAAGGAAGCTTGATTTAACAGCCTGGCCTATACAGGTAGTCCCCCACTTAACGGCCACAAATTGAGCCCAAAATTTATCTTGCTAAGTGAAACATTTGCTAAGTGAGTTTTGTCCCATTTTACGACCTTTCTTGTCACAGTTAAGTGAATCTGCCCTTCCCTATGGACTTTGGTTGTTAAGAGGTTCGCAAAAGGGGATCACGTGACCCCGGGACACTGCGACCGTCATAAATAATGAGCCCGTTGCCAAGCATCCAGTTTTTCATCATGGGGATGTTGCAACGGTCGTAAGGGTGAAAAATAGTCATAAGTTAACTTTTCTCGGTGCCGTCGTAACTTCAATCGGTCATTAAATGAATGGCTTTTAAGTCGAGGATTCTGCAGTCTTCTAAAACCCATCAGCCTGGTTTGGAATGATCGGACATGTTGTGTAACAACCCGGGGAGGATCCCGAGTTGTTGATGGCCATTCCTGACAAGAGTTCAGCCCTAGACTTTAAAGTCAAGACTTTTATAAATACTCTTTTTATCGAAAGAACCTGATAATCCTCCAATATTTCTCTTTAAGAAATCATACACAGTTTCCAGGCACATCAAAGGGAAGGAAGAGAGGGAAGGAAAAACAGATTATTAAGCCTTGCGGAATAACGTTCAAATTTTCACGGGCCAGTTTTTGAATAACAGCCGTTAACAATCCAGGAAAAGACAGCTTTTCCTAAACGTGGCGCCCTAACTTATAAACGGGGGGCTGGTTTTGCAGAGGAGTTTCCAAAATTTAGGATGTAACCGTTGGCTTTGCAGCCTGTCATCCCCAACTAAATGTTTTGTCCCTGGCGGATCTTAACTAAAATTCTTACCTGGGCAACATCCTCGTGTTTATTCCACTTGGTTACCATGAGCAGTTTGGCCAAAGCGCCCGGGTACTGATCCCGAATCTGATATCTCATTTTCCACACCAGGTCTTTCTCGTGTTCGTAGAGTTCGCTGCAAGATCTGCGCTCCAGAATCTCCTTCAGCTGCTGTTTCTAGACAGATCACAAGGTGGCGGTCAAGGGCCAGAAAGTAAAGCAACAATCTGCCCACTAAAAAAAGGAGGAAGTTAAGTGTATTTAAAGGAAGCCTTTTTTGAACAGGGACTTAAAAGAGCTGTCTTTGTGGTTTCTGGCAGGCTTATGGGGAAAAAAATAGGGGGATTTTCAGGGATAGAAAAAGGGACCCAAATCATCCTCCCCTGCCGGACAAAGCAGTGAGATTTAGTTCAGGAGAGGAAAAGGAAATACAGAATGTCTCACGAAAAAGATATTGTTATGGAATTCAGATTTTGGCTGAATGTCATGGTTCCGACAGATGAAACTCTTCAAAGAACTTTGAGGCATTGTTTACCTTAAAGAATCTTTATTTGAGTAGCATAGCATCAGCACGTACATAGGCAAAGCCAAAATCTGAATTCCCCTCCCCTGAGCACATAGTATCAAAGCACAATTCCCTCCTCTAATTAACAGTCCTAAATCACATTCTCCAATTAGCTTGAAATGCAGGCTTTCCCTCCAGTTCTTCAACCCGCCATTTCTTATCATCTCTTATTTCAAAAAAACCTTGGTTCTCACCCTAGTTGCAGTATTGTTATGTCTAACTAAACTCCCATGCACATTCCTCCACGCCCCCCAGTATCATCTAATTCTAAATCTAATTCTAAGAGTAAAACATAAGAAGGAAAATAGCTGCATCTCCATCTGTTGTCAAAGCATATGAAGCACAGCGTAGTAAGTAGGAAAGATCTTCTATGGTAAGTGTTTTTCAACCTTGAAGATAGGTGGATTTCAACTCCCAGAATTCCCTAGCCAGCAAGCCTATTCACAAAAGGGAATCGTGGCGGCCTTCATAAATAGGAACCAGTTGCCAAACATCTGAATTTTGATCGCATGATCCTGGGGATTCTTAAGTCCCTTTTTTCAGGGCCGTTGTTACTTCAAACAGTCACTAAACAAACGGTTAGAAATAGAGGACTATCTGTACCTCTATCCTATTTAGACACCCAGTTCCCATTTTAAGCAGAATTTCTGCTGGCATCCCAGATATACAGCTCAAAACATCCAAGAGACTTGAACAGTTTGTATTTTGTGCTGACCTCTTCTGGATCCTCTCCTGGACCGCAGGCATAGTGGCCGTTCTGCCCCTTTTCTAAGATCTGAAACAATAAATAAATAAAAAAAACCACAAAGGTGGTACTTGAACACGGTTTGTCCCTCAAGAGAAAAATGTCTTCCATCGCTCCCAGATTGCAATTTACCAAGAGACCCAGCTTCCTTTAGGTCAGGGGTCTTCAAACATGGCCCTTTTTATGACCCCTGCTTTAGGTTGATATCTTCTAGAAATCTTCAATTTTTGTGTTTTGGAAGAAAGTTGGAAGAAAAGAAGAATCCACAACAGGTTTTCCACCGGTTCACATGAATAAATTGAAATTTCAGATGGAAAAAAGGTGACATTTGGGCAGATCCGATGATGCGGACCTCCCCCCCCCTTTGGGGAGGATGCAAACCGCCCCCCCTCTGGATCTTGTTAATTTGGGAACCAGAAGATCCAGATCTGATTCAACAGTTGCCCTCCTTGTCTAACTTTGGGCACAACCTCAAGCCACAAACACCAAGAGGAAACCAGGCAAATCTTCCCAGCAAAGGAGCCCATTTGCTCCTGTTACCCAGGACACAAAAAAAAGCAGCAGAGAAAAACACGCACAACACACACATACGATCGTCTCACCTGTCTCGTGGAAGGATAGTAGATTGGATACAACGAAATACCAGGAAAGCGGATGAAAAGCGTGACGGCGCTCTCGCTGTTGGGATTGGTCTGGATCGTGCCCGTTGGGTTTAACAATTCTCCTTTCTCATCTGGAAGAGAAAAGGGCCGAAGCTGCATCAGCCGAGCCGCTTCGAGTGCAGAGCCTCACTTGGCTAGGTTTATGGACTGCCGTAACCGTGTTTGCTCAAACAAACCACAATCAGAACATGATCCCACCATGCCCCGCGTGAATCTCCATATCTGATTCCAGACAAATTCCAGTGAGAAAGCAGTTCACCACTTAACTGGCTGAGAGGACACAACAAACTTTTCTTGCTTGCAAAATTATCAATTTGTCCAAAGAACAGAAGGCTGGACACAAGGCAATAACTATTTGTGCCGTCGGGATGACAAGTCCGCGCTGCGTGGTGGCCCTAACTGCAGCTGGTTGAAAGTCAAGCTAAGTCGAGCCTCCATATCTAAGAGCAGTCCCGTATTCTCCTAAATGACATGATGAAACGACTCCCACATCCACAGCAGAGTGTTACCCCGGTGGATTATGAAAGACCTCCAGTCTCAAGAAGAGATTAGACCAGCCGCTTGTCTGAAATGGTATGCGGTTTCCTGCTTGAGAAGGGGCTGGACTAGAAGACCTTCCAGGTCCCTTCCTTCCTTCCAACTCTGTGATTCTCTAATCTGATCTTTAAAACCTACTTCTTGTCTTTTAGGCCTTTTGATTCGGCAGAACCCAGATGGATTTAAATACTAAGAAAGAAACTAAAGGAGCACACTCATCCAGTCGGATGCCCTTCCTTTCCTCCCTGGAAAAAAAGAGAAGCGGGAACGAATTATCCCCACCTGGGAAGGCTGACCACATGGGTAAGACGCATTCTCCGGTTTTCAGCTGATTTTGGTAGTCAAAGAGCATCACGTTCACCCAGGCGAGCGGGCAGTCCTAAAAGAAGGGAGTGTCATGGTTCCGACAGATGAAACTCTTCAAAAGAACTTCAAGGCACTGTTTACCTTAAAGAATCTTTTATTCGAGTAGCATACTATCGGCACTACATAATCGAAGCCAAAAACCGAATTCCCCTCCCCTGGGCATGTGGTATCAAAGCACAATTCCCTCCTCCAATTAACAGGTCATACATCACATTCCTCAATTAGCTTGAAACCCCAATTAGCTTCCTCTCCAGTTCCCCAGCCTGCCAATTCTTTATCAGCTCTGGGCTCAACAACCTTGATTCTCACGCTAAGGTTAGTGTTGTTATGTCTAGCTGGATTCTCATTCACATTCCCCCTCCCAACATCATCTAACTCTAAAAGCGAAAGGGAAAAAGACGGCTACATTCCCATCTGTTGTCCATGCAAAAACATCCCATGTTAGCAGCGTTGACAGGAAGGAAAGAGGACGGTGGCAGGGATGATGGGACTTGTGGTGATAACGGAAGTGCCAAAAGCAAGACAACCCATCCCAGACTTGGGGAAAAAAAAGTTCATTTTTCAAACCCAACCCCATTTGGTCTGCCTTTTCGCTCCAGCCCCCCCCTCCTGCTTGTGGTATCCTGCTTGAGAGGCAACCGTTAATCCGGTTCAACAAGGATTAAAAAAACAACAACAACCCCACCCTTTGCAGTGTAAACAAAACTGCAAAGCCCAGTTTTGGGGGCACTTCCACGCTATTGCTTTCCAAGGGGAGGCTGGGCCAAGATGCTAACAACAGTGCCTTCAAGTCCTTTTCCCCTTCCCCTTCTCCTCCTCCCTTCCTCCTTTGAACCAGCCAAAGTGAGTCAGGGCAGGAAAAATGGGCTACTAAAACAGAGGGCAGTGAGTAACTCCGGTGGATGGACTCCAGAAAGCAGATGACTCGGCAATTTTGGAGGAAATGGAGAAAGCAGAGGCCGAATGACTCAGCAAAGGACAGCAAAAAAATAGCGGCTGACAGCCCGGTTCTAGGAAGCCCCAACGCCTTTCACGTCACACAAACACACACACACACACACCAGCCACTTTTGGCAGCTGCACAAAGCTGTCTGTTGGCACATTCTCGGGTTTCTATACCGGGAAACACATCTTAGTCCCGTTGCTGAAACGAAACAATCTTTTTAACATCTGGAAAGAACGGGGACTTCTCAGGAAGCAGCCCTTTGTGTGCAGATGCCAACGAACGCCAGCCTCTGGAAGGCTAAACAACCGTCGTACACACGTGCACAGCTTACAGCACACCCCTTACAGCTAGTCCTCAAATTAAAACCACAATGTTGAGCCCAAAATGTCCGCCGTTCAGTGAGACGTCTGTTAAGGGAGTCTTGCCCCCATTTTACGACACTCCCTGCCAAAGTTGTTAAATGAATCACGGCAGTTCTATCCGATAGAACCGGGTTGTTAGAGGAACTGACTCGGCTTGTCGGAAGGTCATAAAAAGGGGGAATCCCACAACGCCGGGATGCTGCAAGAGTCGTAATATGAACCATTTGGCAAGCATCTGAATTTCGATCCGGTAATCATGGGGATGCTTGCAAAGTTGGTAACTGTGAAAGAAGATCGTAAGTCACTTTTTTCCCAGGGCGGTTGTTAACTTCGAATGGGTCACTAAAGGAACTTTTGTTAAGCGTAGGACTGCCTATATTTTCCCCAACTCGGGATCTGCGAGAGGAGCGTTTGAACCCCTCAACTCAACGGACAGGCTCGTTCGGATTCCTTGCGAGCGGTCTATTCTGTTGCACATTGGCGCGCGAGAGGACCCTCATTTTGCATGAGTGTCTGTCCCCCCCTTTGTGATTATTTTTGAAACCCCGAATCTGCCATTGTTCCTCAGTGCAACTGTTCTCTTCCCTCGCTAAATTTCTAACTTAGCCCTTATAAACAGAAGAACGCCGACACCCAACATCCCCTCATCTCCGCTGAAGATGTTACCTAGCCTGGTAACGAAACGTTTGGAAACCAAGATCGGGAAACAAACCTTCATTCTCAAATTTCTAATGGGCAGGATGCACAAATCATCAACCACCAAATCTTCAACCACCTGTGAGATAGTATAGGCTCTCCTGCTTGAGCAGGGGCTGGACTGGAGGATCTCTAAGGTCCCTTCCAGCTCTATTCCATTCCTTCTACTCTACTCTACTCTACTCTACTCTACTCTACTCTGCTCTGCTCTGCTCTGCTCTACTCTACTCTACTCTACTCTACTCTACTCTACTCTACTCTACTCTACTCTACTCTACTCTACTCTACTCTACTCCACTCCACTCCACTCCACTCCACTCCACTCCACTCCACTCTATTCTAGGCAACTTTAAGACTTGTGGACCTCAACTCCCAGAATTCCTTAGCCAGCATGTCTGGCTGAGGAATTCTGGGAGTTGAAATCCACAAGTCTTAACATTGCCAAACTTGGAGACCCGTTTCAGACCCCCGACTTGCAAGTTGGGGTTGCTTCCAATGTGGGAAATATTTTCCAAAGCTGCATTTCCCACCTTCTTGGCTGTTTTTTTTTTAATTATTATTATTATTATACTTTCCCAGGATTGTGCCGCCTCGACACGGCAAGAGACTTACAGCTTTTTTCGATTTCTTCTTGGTGGACCTCGCTTTTTTGGCTTTTTCCACCACCGAGTAGAGGGCCAGGCAGAGCCGCGCCATACGGGGCAAGTCGCAGACGTTAATGTCAAATTTCAACATCTGATCCCAGGCGGGCTCGGAGCAAACGTTGGCTTCGGTGCTGGTCATCATTTTACAGAGCATCTCATGACCGTGGTAGAGTCCAGCCTGCACGACCAGCTAAAGAAAAGGAGACAAATAGACAGGGAAGCAAGTTACCCACCTTTCAGCCCCAAATGAATACTGTGTTTCTCCCAAAATAAGGAAAATAACAAACCTGTTAACTAAGTTAATAGCTGCAGTGATTCACGTAACAACCTGGGTAGGAAAGTTTGTAAAATGAGGCCAAAACTCACTTAACAGCTGTCTCACTTAGCGACGGAAATTGTGGTCGTAGGTCAAGAATTATCTGTATTTGCTTATTGATTTATATTCTGCCTTTATTACTTTTACAAATAAGGAGGCAGACACACATTATACTCCCTCCTCCCATTTTCGTAACGACAATAACCCTGCAAGGTTGTTCCTAGACTAGAGAGAAAGGGACTGACCCAAAGCTGGCTTTCATCATGGCTAAGGCAGGACTCAAACTCACGGTCTCCCATTTGCTAGCTGAGTGCTTTAACCATTAGACCAAACTGTCTCTCTGAGTACTTTAATGCTTCTTTTCTAGAGATCAGAAAGGACAACATTTTTGCTTTGATGTCTTCTCTGCTCTTAGGATAACAGCTTGCCTTATCTCATAATATCATAAGATAAATTATTACATTGCAAATATATCCTATTATAAACATCCTATAATAACCCTGGCCAGTTTGCAAAAGGAGTCGAGAGCTCAGATAATAAAGCCGAAGCCGCCCACTCCAATTTGATCGATGTTATTTGGAATCTGCACTAAATTCAGGAAGGAAATAACATCATAAGTGCGATCTGCAAAACAAAAAAAGCAATGAAAAAAAAAACCCAACCCTTGTGGTTTCTTATTTCCTTCCACCCCTTAATTTCTCCATTTTTTTCTTTAAAAAAAAAAAAAAAACTTTTCCCTGAACTAAAAGTCAAGAGATGTTCCCCTTCGCCTTGTTCCTTCACTTTTTTTTCTTTAATTATTTACCTGCCAGAAGCCACATTTTAGCGTTAAGTGGAAAGGAAAACTTTTTTTAAAACACACACACACACACACACAAAGCTGTCCACAAACAGTTTCTAAGAAGTTCATTTCTGGCTAATCCACACCAAGCCCTCACTTCCTGTAGTGAGAAACCTTTCGGGGGCCCGCCAACTTAGAACTGAATGAAAGAGTTTTAGAAAGGAAAAAACAACACACACACACATATTTGCCGGGTTTCGCGCTTCGGATCGCAAGCGTGGTTAAATGTGAGTGGTAAACAAATCCTGAGTGGGAAGGCAGAAAGCCGCAGAGTGTCTAGCCGAAAGAAGGAGGCGGAGGAGGAGAAAAAAAAAATTGATTTAAGGTGACTTACTTTCAATCCTTCGTCGGCATTCACCTTGGTGCAATGCAGGAGCTCTATATAATACGGCTGTTCCAGGGACCACAGAGATAGCTAATCACAGGAGCAAGGAAAAGAGAGGAAATGTGGATTTTGTGGCTAATTTTGCATTGGGTTCAAGCTGGCCCTAAAAGGGTAGTCAGCCCTTGGTATATTGTTTAAACTTCACTCGCAAACGTGGATTGGCGACAGTCTTAAAAGTCAACCTTGAATTAAAACCTTCCTGTCTCCCAAACACCCCTGTGAGGTGGGGCACATTGCACAAAAGTTGGGAAGCTGGAAGAAGCCAGATCCCTTAAGTCCAACCAGAGGAATTTGCACCAGCTCTCCAGGGAACTGCTTCATTTCCGAACAGAAGAAGAAGAAGAAGAAGAAGAAGAAGAAGAAGAAGAGGAAGAGGAGAAGAAGAAGAAGAAGAAGAAGAAGAAGAAGAAGAAGAAGAAGAAGAAGAAGAAGAAGAAGAAGAAGAAGAAGAAGAAGAAGAAGAAGAAGAAGAAGAAGAAGAAGGGTACCTTGGAGGTCAACTAGTCCAACCCCCTGCTCAAGCAGGAGACCCTATACCATTTCAGACTAGTTTCTTCTTAAAAATCTCCAGTGTTGGAGCATCCACAACTTCTGGAGGCAACTTCTGTTCCACTGGTTAATTGTACTCATTGTTAGGAAGTTTCTCCTTAATTCCAGGTTGCTTTTCTCCTTGATTAGTTTCCATCCGTTCTTTCTTGTCCTCTGATGATTTGGGAAATTAAGTTGACCCCCCCTTCCTCTTTGTGGCAGCCTCTCAAATACTGGAACACTGCTGTCATGTCCCCCCCCTAGTCCTTCTTTTCTGAATTTGAAAAAATCACCCCTTTGTTTGCAACAGTGGTGAAAAAGGAACATGATGGGTTACCTTCTGCTTTGGGCCCGTAGTCAGTTTGGGGGGTGTTTTGGGGGGATGCCCCAGCCCGTTGCTCTGTTCTTCCCGCAAAATCAGAAGAGAGGACCTGTGGACCATAACGAGGTGGGGGACGAAACGCCGGTGGAGGCACTCACGGATGTACTGCGAGGACAGAGCAGACCCCGTTAATGCCTGGAGCAAAACTTCAAACGCTAACTCACAACGGGAGTCCATTTAGAATTAAATGAAACGGGGCTCAAATCCCAAGGCAGAATCCTAAGAACTTGGACCAGTTTGAAACCTAAACTCAAGATTCTAGCGCCTGTGGAGGAAAGGAGGAACACAGGCACTACCTTAAATAGCAAAAAGGAGCAAGGCATGACTTCCAAAGGTGAACAGGTTTAGCTACTCGTTTTAGTTTTCTTCCTCGTGGGGGGGGGAATGCCTTGTAATTCTCTGCGATCCATGAGGACTAGAATGCCAAGCTCCAAGGTGGTGTTGAGTCTAAGCTGCCTCCCAGGCCAGGCAGCATAGGAACACGCCAATTACCTAAAGCAGTGTTTCTGAAACTGGGCCATTTTTAAGATGGGGCGGACTTCGACTCCCAGAATTCCCCAGCCAGTGGGAGTTGACGTCCGCCCGTCTTCAAAGTGGCCCAGTTTGAGAAAGGCTGTATTTGTGACATCACCCTGCCTACAAGGATTGTGTTGCCTTAGCAAGGGGGAAGAAGGCACACCTGGAACAGGTACAGGGGATACTCCCCGTAGATGTATTCGTATTTCCCGTCCACCTGCAAGGTGTACTCCTCAACGGGGTTGACCCTTTGGTGACGAAAGATGGTGGCTTGCTTCTTGACGGCGTAGCTCATCAGAGTGACAGGAAACTCTTTCAGGGACACTAAGAAAGTGAAGCTCTCCTGAAAATCCAGAAAAGGCAAAACATTACTCTTTCAAACCACCTCCGCTGCTTCCCCACTGGTACAGGTAGTCATGGATCGTAGAACCATCAGGCTGGAAGAGACCTCAGAGGTCTTCTAGTCCAGCCCCCGGCTCAAGGCAGGACCTGCGGTTGTCCTCAACGTACCACTGTTCCTTTGGTGACCATTCGAACTCGCAGCCGCAAGGAAAATGTGACTTGCGGCTGTTGGTCACGCTGAACGGCCGTTACGGCATCCCACTTGGCAACTGGGTCATATTTAGGAGGGTGGCAGTGTCCCCGGGGGGGGGCGCGGGGGTCCCGCGGTCTTCTTTTGTGGCCAGCAAAAGTCAATGGGGAATCCAAATTCACTTAATAGCCGTGGGACAAACTTAACAACCGGAGTGATCCCCTTAAGCGCTGTGGCAAGGAAGGTGGTCAACGGGGGCAAAAGGTCACTCCACAAATGTCTCATTTAGCAACAGAAAATTTGGGCTCAGTTGTGGTCGTAAGTCGAGGACTCCCTGTGTTTTGCATGGGTTCGGGCCCCTTCCCCCCCCTTGATCAGATCTTTGCAAAGAAGCCAGGATCTGAAGGAGATGGGAGATTAAGAAATGGAAGGAAGGAAGGAAGGGGAGGAAGGAGGGAAGAAAAAGGAGGAAGGAAGGAAAGGAAGGAAAAGGAGAGGAAGCAAGGAAGGAGAAAAAGGAAGGAGGGGAGGAGGAAGAAAGGAATAAAAAGGGAGAGAGGAAGGAAGAAGAGAGAGAAAAAAAGAAAAAAAAGAAAGCATTTCAGAGTTACACATTAGCAAAAGCATTGTCAATTTGGCTGCCCACGATCTAGGATACAGATACACACACACACACACATCTTTGCACATATATCTTTGCACTTTCCTACACCCTAAACATCTCCATTATCTTTTATCAACAGAGCTTTGGGAAGCGTGCGAATTTACCCCTCCGGATTGAAATTTGACGTTGACAAAAATGGTCTTGCCAGGCACGGTCAGGGTTGGTCTCCCCCCGAGCCCGCTCAGGGTGGGCTCCAGTTGAACTGGGAAGCTGTACTCCATCCAGCCTTTCCAGGTGAGCTGCTGGCGCTCAGCCGCTCTCTGCTCGCAGTAATCTTGCATCTGGGCCCGGAAGTCGTCCACCTCGGGATCCGCCAAGGAGTCAAACTCATGCAAACCTGGACAGGGAACAGGATGAGTTCCTAAAGATGGCAGTCTACCGCATCAGATCAACTCCCTCGGCAAGGTAGGCCTTTTGTATCCCTTCACAGCCCTACGTTTCTAGTTCTCATGAAGGCGTGGACGACTCGCTGGGCCGGGAGTCACGCACGAGTTAGGATTTGACTGCCAATCTTAGGAAATGGGACAAACTTTTATCGAAAGCTGTATGGAAGTCTCACTTCGGCTGCCTTGGTCGATTTCAGTAGGCGGGAACGGTTTTGTCAGATGCCCTGAGCTTTTAGGTTTTTTAGCCGCTTTCATGATCAATCATTATGGGCCATAATGGTCAATAATATTTTCTGTCTTCTCTTAATTGCTGTGATTATGCTGTGGGGTCCCTGGTGCTCTCTGAGCTTGGTGGTTTTCTTGCAGACGTTTCATTACCCAACTAGGTAACATCATCAGGGCTACAAGGAAGTGGGCTTGCACTGATGAGGGTATCTAGTTAGATAATGAAAGATCTGCAAGAAAACCACCAAGCTCAGACAACACCAAGGACCCCATAGCCATTGTCCTCCTCCTCCCCCTCCTCTTCCTCCCACACCCCACTCCTTTGTAGCACTGATGATGTTACCTAGTTGGGTAATGAAATGTCTGCAAAAAAATCACCCAGCTCAGAGAGCACTAAGGACCCCACAGTCATCGTCCTCCATTCTGCAAACCCCACTCCCTTCTAGCATGGATGATGTTACCTAGTTGGGTAATGAAACGTCTGCAAGAAAACCACCAAGCTCAGAGAGCACCAAGGACCCCACAGTCATCGTCGTCGTCGTTATCCTCCTCCTCCTCCTCCTCCTCCTCCTCCCTGAACTTACAACTATATTCTCTTCTATCGGTATTTCGAATATACATTAACAAACTAAAACATGGACTAAGAACACAGTATGGAAAGAGAGCAGGTGGGCTATTTTTCTAAGATACGTTTATAAGCTTTCACTCTGTTAAAGGCCTGCAAAGAATTAAAAACAAGCCATTCAGCAGACCCCAGACACCCTCTCCCAAGGGCACTTTGGGGCCTTCCTGAAGAATGCAAACCAATGTTTTATTCCCTCCCAACAGCCCTGCAGTGCAGGGCATATGCCTCTTCCCCCCCCCCCCAGCTGCCACCATCACCCCCACCAACCTTTGCCAATCAGGAGGCTAATCTGGGAATTGAGCAGTTTCTTTGCCCGGTCCCCTTCACGGGCCACTAGGCGCAAGACCGGTAGGAAAGGCTGGACGTCACACAGGCGTCTCTGCTCGTCCTCAAGCTCCTGCTGCTCTGCGGCTTGGTTGATGCAGGTGAAGACGTAAGAATCCGGGGCGCTGAGCATCTGGAAGAAGGGCTCATACTGGGCCTGGTGCCAGACCACCTGGGAGAAAATAGCAATACCAACAGCTCTTAAGACTTATATAACGCTTCACGGTGCTTTACAGCCCTTGCTGAGCAGTTTACAGAGTCAGCAAATTGCCCCCCCCCCAACAATCTGGATCCTAGGAAGGATGGAAGGCTGAGTCGACCGTGAGCCGGTCAGGATCGAACTCCAGACTGTGGGCAGAGTCAGCTTGCAATACTGCATTCTAACCACTGCGCCACCAGGGCTCTTATATAGCAACAGCACTTAGACTTATATACCGCTTCACAGTGCTTGACAGCTCTCTCTGAGCGGTTTGCAGAGTCAGCAGCTTGCCCCCAACAATCCGGGTCTTCATTTTACCGACCTCGGAAGGATGGATCACGAGTGCAAGGACTGGTTTATCAGTCCCTTTTCCCAAAGCGGTTGTAACTTCAAGCTGAGAATGGTGGTTAAGTCTCCTGAATGGTGGCCGAGAAGCCGCGGAGTTGGGTTGCTCGTTTTGAGCAGCTGGGCAAAAACTCCCACCCCATCAAGACCGGAGAGGGACCGTACCTTTTTGATGGCGGCCAGGCTGGCATGGCAGGAAACAGGGAGGGGCAGGTAAATCCCGGTGGGTAAAAGGAAGTCGACGAGAATGGTGTAATTGCTTTCCTTAGACCAAAATTCTGCCGGGCAATACATTCCTGGCGGCATCCTTCTGCTTTCTCAAAGGGTACCTGCGGCGAAAGAGAAGCCGACATTTTCATCCCTGCATCTCTACGGAGATTCTCAGCCATTCCAGGTCATGGCTGCCCCCCAAAGTGGATTCACCCCTGCAAATTCTCTATTTTCACCAAGGACAGGGTCTCCCTCGGTGGGTTCCTAAAAAGAGCTTTTTTTCTTTCCTTTTCCCCTCATTACACTATGTTCCTTCCTTCCTTTCTTCCTTCCTTCCTTCCTTCCTTCCTTCCTTCCTTCCTTCCTTCCTTCCTTCTCTCCCTTTCTTTTTCTCTTTCTTTCTTTCTGTGCCTGTCTTTCTTTCCTTCCTTCCTTCCCCCTATCTCCCATTTCTTTTTCTTTCCTTCTTTCTCTTTCTTCCTTCCTTTCTTCTCTCCTTTCTTTTTTCTTTTTCTCTTTCTCTTTCTGTTTGTCTTTCTTTCCTTCCTTCCCCCTATCTCCCCTTTCTTTTTCTTTCTTCCTTCCTTCTTCTCTCACCCCTTTATTTCTTTTTCTTTCTTCTTTTCTTCTCTCCTTTCTTTTTCTTTCTTTCTTTCTTTCTTTCTTTCTTTCTTTCTTTCTTTCTTTCTTTCTTTCTTTCTTTCTCTTTCTTTCCCCCTCCTCCCCAGTTTTCTATTCTTTTTTTTTAAATCCTCTTGGTTATTTTATATTTTGATAAACTAATAAACATGTATTATTAAAAAGAAAAAGAAAAGATCTTTCGGTGGTATCCTAAAAATCAGCTTTTTTCTTTCCTTTCCCCCCTTCTTTATACCATGTTGTCTCTTTCTTTCCCCCACCGCCCCGGTTTTCTATTTTTTTTTTTTTAATTTCTCTTCGTGTTTTGTACTTTGACAAACTAATAAAATGTATTTGTAAAAAAGAAAAGAAAAGAAAACACACTTGGGTGATTTCTTAAAAATAAGCTTTTTTCTTTCCTGTTCATGCTGGTCTGGGATTTTTTTTTTTTTTTAAATTGTTAGCTGTTTTTGCTAAGGATTTAGATGAATTCTGGGTCTGCACCGTGGCAATTTTTTACTCACTAAATTATGGACTTGCCATTTCAGCATGGAAATAAAAGAACGAGGGGATTGTAGAGAAAGGGACGGAAAGAAACTAACAATTGGAGACCAGATCAGCTGTGGAGGAAAAAAAAATCCCGTCACAGAGAGAAATCCTCACTCTTTTCTTCCCTGGACCGTCCACTGGAATCCGTGAGTCATTACATATAAATATCATTACTGATACCTTATAAAACAAATCAATTTGTAATCATATATGTGACAGCCGGAGAATCCAGCATCAAAAATGGGCTTACTAAATCAAGCTATTTTCTACACTTATTGCAGCAATACCACTGTGTTGTACAAGTGGTGGTCCTCAACGTACGATCACAATTGAGCCCACATTTTCTGTTGCTAAGTGAGACAGTCATTAAGTGAGTTTTGCCACAGTTGTTAAAAGCGAATGACTGCAGTTGATAAATTAGTAATATTTGCCGCCCGTTTCAGAAAGCTGGGCAAGAAACACCCGTTGGTTATTTACGCTCAAACTTTTCCCAACTTTTTAATCTACCCAGATGTTGTCTCCTCAGCTGATACCAAGAAATGTCACTTGTTTTTCTTGCGGCTTTTGCTCAAATGTATTTTTTTGCTCAAGTGTATTTTTGATCTCTGGGTTTGTAGGGAGGGGAGAAATGAAGCTTCTCACTGCAGTTTGCAGGTAGATAAAAGGCTTTTGAGCAGTGGTTCTCAACCTGTGGGTCGGGACTCCATTTGGGGTCGAACGACCATTTCACGGGGTTGCCAAACAACGCAGTCCGCCATTTTTTCCCCCTTTTCCTTAGCTGTGCTGCTCCCTTTTATTCTATTGGCTTTTGAAAGTCAATAGAATAGACTCTCTTGAATAGAGTCTAATTCTATTGGCTTTCAAAAGCCAATAGGAATTGTCCAGGCTGTCTCTGCCCTGCTGAGCCCGCCAAAAGTCCCATTCTGCAAACGGCGCTGCACCAGTTGAGTAGTCCTCGACTTACGACCGGTTGAGTAGTCCTCGACTTACGATCAGTTGGGGGGGTCGCGGCATTAAAAAGGTTGAGAACCACTGCTCTTGAGCCTCTCTTTAAAAACCAGAGTGGCCGATAAAAAAACGGGATCTCCCAAAATTTATCCCGCACAACTAGTCTGTTTCCTTTCTAAACCCCATCCTCAGATTATTTGGCGGGGAAATTAAATTATACTGTCCTCCATTGCCCCAAGAGCAGAATTTAAGGGGGGATGGGCCCAAGGCAGAAAGGGAAAAAAAAAAAAGAGCTTGTGAACCAGATGTCCTGGACAATAAAAAGGAGATTCCTGAGAGATGATTCATTTATTTATAAAATGTGCATCTCGGATTTTTCTTTCTTTTTCAAACTACTCCAGAGTTGAAATGACTTCACCGCTCTCCTTACAGGCGCAGAGGCCGGGGACGTGATTCCCCGAGTCTGCAAAACACATCTGCTAAATCTTCTCATTTCAAACTTCGTAACCTTTCTCAGTTATTCGCGTCTTCCCGATTCGTTTGCAGGTCCTTTGCGCCGCTCGAAAGTTGCAATCAATTGTGCCGCCGTCTATCCAGCTTTATGTATTTCTCGGCTAAAGGTTTTTTCAAATCTGCCGGCGTTGGCTTTATTATACAATATTTCTGCAGGGGCATTTGTAAGATGAGTTGGACCCGCCCTATTGTACACAATCTTTACACACAGCATCTTTTAGCGAGCTCACTGGGGTTTTTCCAGAAGTCTACTATTAACCAAATTGAGGGGGGGGAAGTAGGGGGAGAGGGAGAGATGCAAAGTAGAAAAAGTCTAATTTGAATAAATCAAGTTTCTAGACGTTAAGATAGTATATAGCCCTTCTTGCTTTTACTTCTGTTAGGGTCAAGTGGGATGCTCCTGCTGTTCGGAGCCCCTTCTGAAATAAAACACTTTGCTATAAAGACGTAAGTCCTCGGCTTACGACCGCAACTGAGCCCCAAACCTCTGTTGTTAAGGACTGCCTGTACTTATGGCAAGGCACAAATTCTCTTGTTGAGGCTGAGGAATTCTGGGAGTTGAAGTCCACAAGTCATCAAAGGGCCAAGTTGGAAGGCCCCTGCTCTAAAGAATGGGCTAAATTATTTATTATCACTTCTGAGAAAGGAGAATGAAGGCAAGGGGAGGGGAAATCTTTCAAGCTAAATACTTCATAAGATAAGATTGTTTACAAAGGACTCACAAACAAACAAACGCAAAGCCCTTTAAAAAACAAGCTTTGCTTTTGGTTTAAGAAAAACACTTGATTTTTTTTTTTTTAAAAAAAAAAACAACACTCAAGATTCCTTTGCAATTTTGTTGTTGTTGTTTTTAACTCCAGAGATTTTTCTCAACAAGTGGCAAATCCTCAGAAGTTAGCGGAGAGGAAATAAAATAAAATAATAATAGAATAGAATAGAATAGAATAGTATAGAATAGAATAGAATAGAATAGAATAGAATAGAATAGAATAGAATAAAGGAAATAAAGGAAATAAAAAGTTTAGAGAGCAGGAACAAATGATGCATTAAGACACAAGTTCACAAAATGACATAGAGGAAAATTAGACCCCCTTTTTTTTTTTTTTTCATTTAACTGAAACCCCCCCCCCAACTTGTTTTTGCCGAAGCCTTTCTCCGCAGCCGTGAGGGCTAGCACCTTGCAAAAGCTTTAGTTAATTTTCCATCATTAAAGGAAAGAAACAGCCAGCTTCCCAAGCTGGTTTAAATCGTGGCCACAGCCAAGCTTAACGCTTTTGAGGAGGAGGAAAATCAATAAGACGATTGAATTCCTGGGAAACGCTGATCTCATTATGAAGCATGTAATATTTCCGCTTTTGTTTCGTTTTCCAAAACAACAACAACAACAAGGCGGCTCCTAAATGGACGCAAAGCGGGTCTAAAAGCGACCCCCCCTCCCCAATGCAAACATTACAGTCCCGGGTGGGGGGGGGGGAGAGGACTGTAATGTTTGCAGCGGGGAGGGGTCGCTTTTAGGATGCCCAAGGGAGGGGGCGCATCTGGAAAGGAAGGGGGGGGGAAACCTTTCCAGATGCGCCCCTTCCCTTGGGCATCCTGTAGGCTCGGATCGGGAAGGGCGAACAAAGGACGACGCAAGGGGTGTGTATGGGGGGGGAACGGCGCCCGCAGAAGCCCTCTGCACGCGCTCAGAGGCGCGCTGCCTGCATCTCTTCCCTCCCCCTTTCCCCCCCCGCCCCAACCCAATTCCCCTGCCGGGGGGGGATCCGCCCCAAAGTAACGCTCCGGGGGATTGGGGGGGGGGAAGGAGACAGGCCGAGGGATCGCAGTGGATCCCCCCCCCCTTCTAAAGAGAAGCCACCCACCTCCGCGCAGCGGTACCGGCAGCTGCATCCCGGCCGTCTCCCCCGAGCCAGCGAAGGATGGGACTCGCCCGGCCGGCAGCCCCACCTCTCCGGCGGCTGCCTTCCAAGGGAGCGTGGCCAAAGTGGCCGAGGCGGTCAGAAGCGTCGCCAGCCCGTCCCAGGGATCTCTCCCAGCCCACCCAGGGGGTGGATCCCACCCCCGTTGGAACAGATTCCCCCCCACACCCCTTTTCAAAGGGCGTTCCCCCTCCTTCGCCACAGATCCCCTTCCTTACCCCCGCGTGCTTCAGCTCCCCTCACCGATCCATGGAGATCGATCCCTCCTTTCAAAAGCGCAGAGAGCCTCCTTAACGCGCGTTTGGGGAGAGCCGCTTCCCCACGTGCGCCTCGAAGGTGGGAGAGGTCGGCTTTCCAGCCGGCATGCTTAAAGCCAGCCTGGTTTTGGCCCAAGGCCGGATCAGACGTCCGGGTCGGCCTTATATGGGCTTTAAAAGAGAAGGATCCTCTCCGTAGCTCCCAGTTTTCCTGCTGGAGTGGAGCGGAGTGGGGGGGGGGGTTCGGATTTTCAGCCGCGCGCTGGGAAGGCAGCTTCGCTGCTGGAGGCTTGAAAGGGCGCGAGGAGTTGCGCTTCCTGAGCATAAACTGAATTCTCCGAGTCGGAGGTCGCTTTCTCTTTCGACTCTGGTTTACAGTAACCGTTCCCCAGGCCTTGCTTGGTTTGGTGTTTGGCCAATCAAGCAGAGTGGAAACTTCACTAAGAGAAAGAGAGAGAGAAGATAAAGAAAAAGAGAGAAAGGAGAGAGAGAGAGAGACGAAAAAAGAAAAAAATTAAGAAAGAAAAAGAAAAGGGGAGAAAGAAAAAAAAGAAAGGAAAATTAAGAAAGAAAGAAGAGAAAAAGAAGGGAGGAAAGAGAAAAGAAAAAAGGGAAGAAAGAAAAAGAAAATAGAAAGAAGGAAAATTAAGAAAAGGCAAAGAAAAGAGGGAAGGAAGAAAAAAAATGAAAGAAGGTAAATTAAAGAAAGGAAAATTAAAGAAAGAAAAAGAAGAAAGGAAAGAAAGAAAGAGAAAGAAAGAAAAGAGAAAAAGAAAGAAAGGATTTTTCTGATTTTTTTTTTCCAGAATGGGTAATCTCACCATGTATTGTTTCTGAAACCAACAGCTTACTAGAGTTCTGCTTTTCTTTTACAGTAACTTCTTTTTTAAAATTCTCAGGTCAGCCACAGTGAATTTCTCATCTCAAACAAACACACTGGTTTGTTTTTTTTTTTAACCCAGGATAATCAATCATTGATAAGGGACTTGGAATCTGGTTTGTTTTGCAGGCCATCTGCAACCAAATTGTTTTCTCCTGGGATTGTCCCCCCCCCCACATCATACTAATTTAAATTCTCCAGTCATCTAAGCCTTTTTAATAAAATTCTGACTTTGGCCACTAGTGACCAACAGGGTTCTCGTCCTGAATAATATTTACGTTGGACCTCATAAAAAAAATAATAATCAAGGGAACCTGGAATCAACCAACTTTCTTCCTTTGAACCCACTGACCTTCCTCATTAATTCAGTTTTGCCCTTTCCCAAAATTACTTTTCTATTCAGCAGAAAGAAGCAATCTTGCTTATCCAATCAGATTTTATAGTATGCCCATCTTCTACACACCCAAGATGCAAAAGAGAAAGAAGGAAGAACTTCAGGGCAATTCAGCTAGCAGGCTTCCCAAACAAGGCTTACTGGTATGTTGCAATTTTCCCAGAATTGCTAAACATAAATAAGTTTCTAGACCTCCCCGGGGTGGCAAAATAAATAAAGGCAGGTCTCTAAGATTAGGTTGCAAAGATAAGCACAGAAGCCCTGGGGGGGGGGGCAGATTAAATGAAATTGGCAGGAGGCAGATAGTCTTCTAAGAAGCTCAGAAAACCAGCAATTTTTCCGTGTTTTGTTTTGTTTTTTAAATGGGAGCGTTAAGCAAAATTGGGCAACACCATTCCAAAAACCAATCCATCTTAATTTAAATTGATCCAATTCGACTGGGACATTTTTTTTTATTTTTATTTTTTTAATTTTGCCACTGAATCCCAGCTCTTTAAACCGTCTTTCTCTTTCAAGGAGCCATTTTGATCAACTTGCTCCTTTCAGTGGCTCTCCAAAAAGTGGCATAGACTTTTTAATCTAGCCACAGGCCCCCATTTGGTGATAAAAATAGACAAAACCATCAGATCAGCAGCCTAGCACCCCCAACTTTGAAAAAAAGGGGGGGGGTTGTTTAAGAGAATGGAAAATGTCTTCATTGCCATCATTTGGATTTAATTTATTACAAGCGACCTCTGTTTGGGAGGACAATTTTTTGTTGGGCAATTTATAACAATTACCGCCAATTGGGAATTTTATTTTATTTTTTAAAGAGGAACAGCCCAACTATTCAAGTTCCTTTTGGCGCCTTTCCAGGCCACAAGTGGGCATTGGCGACAATGAATAAAATGTCTTAAAAAGTCACCTTTGAAGCAGCCACAAGACAAACAGGAAGCGTGGCTCTTTCAACAGGTTAGCAAGTTATTTTTTTTTTCCTCCACCAGCTGCAGCACCCACTTTTGGGGTCTACAGAAACCCCAGAGACACCGGTGTGTGCCCAGAAATACTCACAGGAAGAGGTTACTAACGCAACGAAGCTCTCTTGAATAACACAACACTGGCGGTGCGGAACCACTGAAGACTTTAGGGGGGATCCCAGGTTAGGTTTCACAGGTAGCCCTTAGCTAATGGCCTGGGATGAGCCCATAAAATGACCCTGGTTGATGGCAAAACAATGGGACTGGATGAAGAAGCAGCCACTTTTTGTGGCTCAAGCTAAATTGATGCTCTGTTCTCTTTAGTGGTTTCTCGGGCATCTTTGAAAGGGGCAAAAAAATCCACTTTTAGCAAATTACTATGCTGTGTTGCAAGGTCAGCCAGAGAGATCCAGACTGGATTTAGAATAGAATAGTATAGAAATTCTTTATTGGCCAAGTGTGGTTGGTCACAACAAGGAATTTCTCTCCGGTGCGCAAGCTCTCAGTGGACATGCAAGCAATAGGGATCAATCATGATCATAACATAAACAGACATTCATCGTACGTCGTAGGATGCAACACTTAGTGATGGTCGTAGCATATTAGCTAAGCAAACAATATAAGTCACACTAGGATGCTAAATAAAACGATATAAATTGTAAGATACAAGCAACAAAGTTAGAGTCATAAGAAGATCAAGATAGGTAGTCGTAAGGATAAGGATTTGGTGCTTTTATCCACTGAGCGAGTCCTTCCCAAGGTTCTAGGATAGGCTAGGATTAGCGTTTTATAGAGTTATTGTTACAGGATGTAAGCTGCTTTTGGCAATTGACTGGTAGCGAATTTGTCAATGCCGAACATGTTCACCTGGTGCTCCAGTTGTTTTGGGATTGTTGTACCCAAGGCATCGGTGCTACCTTTGCTTTCTTTTGCCACAGTTGTTGATAGGGACCTCGGAGGTCTTCTATCTAGTCCAACCCCTCCCGCCCAAGCGGGAGACCCGGCCTACACTATTTCAGACAGGTGGCTGTTCAGTCTCTTCCAGGGTGGCAATGGAGCACCCACAACTTCTGGAGGCAAGACGTTCCACTGATTAATTGTCCTCAGTGTCAGGAAGTTTCTCCTTAATTCCAGGTTGCTTCTCTCCTGGATTAGTTTCCATCTGTTGTTTCTTGTCCTGCCTTCAGGGGCTTTGGAGAATAAGTTCTTCTTAGTGGAAGTTTCTATTTGCAGGTCTTTGTATTTTCTTATTGTCATTATTGTTTTGGAAATATTTGACTGGGATGGGGAGAGCGAAAAGTTGATACAGGTGTAAGGAGCCAAGGAACCCCGTTGCTGGTGCAAGCAGCCATCACTCCAAACATTGTTTTTTAATTTTTTTTTCTGCAATTGATTAATCTACAGGGGAACTTTTCTTCTTCTTCCAAAGAAGAAGTAGCTGCTTATCTCCTTTTTTTCTTTATCTCCACTTCTGTATTACGATTTCTTGATCTGGAGAGGTTCCCCCTTCTTTTTTTTCTTCTTCTTATTTTTAAAGAACGTCAGATAAAAAATGCAGGAGAGGAAAGGCCAAAGAGAACCAAAAAAACAAAACAAAAAAAAAAAACAAAAAACAAAAAACAGTCTTGTCTTTTCAACCCACATATCTTAATACGACCGCAGTTTCTCCAGCAAAATAAATGTATCTCAGTGCTGGGAAACGTGAAAACAGCCAAGGGGAAATCCATCAGCAACCAGAACAGAAATGTCATTTTCAGACAATTTACAAGGTTCATTCTGAATGTCAGCCAACGTTAAATGTTTTTTTTTAACCCCAATACTATAAAGCCTTTTTTCCCCCAATCAGGCACACCCACATCCCCACCAGCCATTTTGGTACCCTGAAAAATCTTATTTTTTTTTTTTAAAAAAGCACCTGCTTTTCAAGTTCCTAGTCCTCAGGATTGAACGCTCACGGAAGGCAACAAAGAGAGGAGACAGCTCGAGATGTGATTAGTCCACTTTGGATCACTGCAATTCACTTTCTGGACTGGACAGATGTGAGGACTGGAAGTGTGAAAGGCAGATTCGTGTTATAATTTAAGGCTTTAAAAAAAAAAGACAATATAAATCCTGCAGCAGGGAGTTCCATGGGTAAAAAGATCTCCTTTACGTTGTTTTAACTTTCAGTTGAACCTGATTTGTGAATGAGGATATCTGAACCGTTAAAAGTTCTTTCCACCGTTCCCATAATCCCCCACTAGGATGGCCTCAGGGCACTAGATTAAGACCCCCTTGGGGTTTAAAACGTTCAACAGCACCACCTGGTGGAGGCTACAGACCAAACATGAAAAATGCATTGAACTCCCCTATATATATCTCTCTCTCTAGAAATTGCTCAGGTATATATAAAAGTGAAACTGGCATTTAGCGGTAAATGCTGTTTGTTTGCACTGTTTGAAAGAAATGCAAACAGGTATAAGGAAATCCCAACTCTCATGCTTGCCAGTGAGAAAAAAAATACTTAAAGGGTGAGAAAAGCCCAAAGAAGTTAGTAAAAATTGTTTTACTTTTTACAATGTGCATGTTTATTGGTTGGTGACTGTGGAAGGCTGAATAATACCGTAACAAGAGTCAAGAGGTTAAAAATTAAAAATATTGTATTAAAAAGACAAATAAACATAGTACAAATTTATCCTAAGTAACTAAAAAGTAATCAAACAGGGTTCAGAGACTTAATGCAATCAAAACTTTATTATTATTTTTTTAAAAAAAACAAGCTCTCGTGTTTTTAACAAACAGCAGCAACATTTGAAATATAATTTTAACTCACAAGAAACTGAATAACAGGTTATATGTTCCTTTTTTTCAACTCGCCAGTCCTATTTTCATACACTTGTATAAAACTCCAGAGAGCAAAAAATACATTCTTTTCATTACATATTAAAAGGCTCCGTATTGCCCTTGCAGTATTAAAAATATTAAAATAACGATGGTCCCAATGGAGGTAACAAATACTAAATGCATAATTTTTTTTTCACGCTGCGGTTTACTAATTTGCTAGAAATTTAAAGAGAGGAATTATAAAAAAATTAGCAGTGTTACAAGATGGCGTGAAACTTTATCCGCGAAAGTCTGAATTTTTATTCTTATCTTTGATCTTCATTCAGAAGCGGGAAAATTCAGCTTCTCTTCAAAAAAAACCCCCACCCTTTCCCCTGCCCAGTTTTTCAGTTTCCCAGATCTGTCAAAATTTGTTTTTTTCACTTCTCGTATTGCAACTGTCAAACACTTCTATAAACAGAAAGCTGTGAACTGTTGAACTATGTTTATCCCACAAACAACAAAAAGAACAAAAACTGCGCCATTACACATCACAAACCTGGAAAAAAAATCAAAATATGGCAGCCATAAACATTTTCCACCCAATCCACAACAGAAACTTCTTCTGGCAAATCCTTTTTTGAACTAAGATTTAAATAAACTTTCAAACCAGGGATTTGATGGAATATAATGAATGCTGTGTTACACTTCCTTTTTCTAAACACAATTAGTTAATATGTTTTAGAGAACAAGTCGAGGGGGTGTTAAAGCTTTAAGCCTTCCTGGTTCCTACACATGGGGGGGGGGAACTACAACTTTTTTTCCCATTTAAATAACTTTAAATGAAAAAAAAAATAACGGAAGCTGCTAACGGGCTACAGTTCATTTCCTTCAGTTTGGCTTTTCAGAGCTGGACGCCTCCCCAGTTTCTCTGGATTTTGTTTCGCTACAATTCACACTAGACATTTTTCAAAAAATGGATTATCATTTTTTTTAACCAGCATTTGCTGAGTTGTAATAATCCTGCAGGCAATAACTTTACAAAACCGCGCCAGAAATTCTTTGCGTGCATCAGGCGAGGGTCATTGACTTCTTCCTATACGAATAATTCAAATGCTTCTAAATTAAAATAAATAAATAAGGACTTCCCCAACTTAAAAGCAACATTCACAAACACACACAAAAAAAAATCTCACAGGAGTTATAAAACTTTGCCCTCTACGGATGCCAGAATTTGTATCAGTGGTGAAATTCCTCATTCCAAACCTGGTGACTTTGTGTGTGTGTGTGTGTGTGTGTCTTGCAAACAATTGGCTGCATTGGCCTATTGGGGTGTCTCCATCTGCATCCTGCCCTCCCCCCAGTACTGCTGATCTACAATCAGGGCTGCACAAGGAACTTGACTCACACCCTGGCACGTTGGGAGTTGTAGTTTACCAACTTAGCTGCCACTGTGAAGAAACAAACTCAGAGTGCAGATCTCTCTCTTTCTAAAACCAGCTTTAAAAGAAGCTGGGCTTCGCAGAGGAACTTCAGCAGAATGGGAATTTGAACCCAGCGCCGCCTAATTGCGATCACGTTGAAGCTGTGGGTAGAGAGCACCGGAGCAGAGCTGAAGTCCATAAGTTGGCCGCCTGGATCTCAAGAGGAGAAGCCCTTTGGATTGAAAACCCTTTGTCCTTAAAGGAGTCAGAAAGAGAGAAGGCAGCTGGCCCCCTTGGAAAGAAAACTCGAAAAATCAGAAGCCCTGGGGAGCTGTCCTCACACAGGACTAGGACCTTGAGACGCAAGCATCCAGCTTCTAATTCCTCTCTCTCTTCCTTCTCCTTTTTCTTTGCAGGGAGTCTTCATTTCAGCTCCAGCAGGGAATAGCTCGACTCCTGCCAGCTCCAATAAGGGAAGAAAGGCAGGTCGGAGAGAGCCGGGCCTGGAGCGCAGGAGGGGTGCAGGAGGAGCGGCTGCGGGGGAGCCACCCCGCCGGGCAGCCAGAAGAGGGGACAGGGCTCGTAGCCGCCCAGGGGGACGAGTCCCGGCGGGCGGTGGCCGATCGGGTGCGAGGGGGGCTGCCCCACCGCCGCGGGAGCCCAGAGGCATCCAGCCGGGGCGCAGGAACGCTGGACGAGCGGCTCCGGGGCTTCCACGCGAGGCGGGGAAGGTGGAGGAGCGGCCCGGGGCTGCCGCTGGGGTCTCCGGCCGCGTCTCCGCCGCCGGTACTTGCCCGGCTCGAACATGCCTCGGAAAGCCGGATCCAGCGTCCAGTCGCTGCCCTTGCGCGGGGCGCCCACGCGGGGCACCTTGACGAAGCACTCGTGCAGGCTCAGGTTGTGGCGCACGCTGTTCTGCCAGCCGCGTTGGCCGAGCCGGTAGTAGGGAAAGCGGCCGGCGATGTACTGGTAGATAGCGCGCAAAGGCAGGCGCCGGGCCGGGCTGGCCTCGATGGCCATGGCAATCAGGACCACGTAGGAGTACGGGGGCTTCGGGGCGCTCGAAGCCGCTCTCTCCTCCTCCTCCGTGGCCGCCTCCCCGGAGCGCCCCTCGCCCGAGCTAGCCAAGTGCGGGGCGCAGCGCTTGGAGAGGCTCTCCAAAGTGCGCCTTTGGAGACCCGGCGCGCCGGCCTCTCCTTGCCCGCCTTTTTTCGCTTTGGGGGAGTCGGGGGTCCCGGCCGGGCAAGGGCGCGGGGAGCCCCCGGAGGATTGTAAGGGCTCCAGTTTCGGGGCGCTTTGCTGGGCTTCGGGGGGCAATCGCGGCTTAGCAAGCTGCGCCCAGCTCCTCGGCAGCCCGGTGCGCTTCTGCGCCCCTGCGCTGACCTCCGCGCCCCGCGGTTCAGAGACGGGTCATCGGGAGATGTAACTCTCCGGAGATGTAACAAATGTAGCCCCACATTTGAGAGGGGGGTTGGGAATTCTCGTTCTCCCTGCACGCGGGCTGCATTTGGCTTTTCTTCGGATAATTATTGCAAAGGATTGTTTAGAGTTGCATGCGCCGTTTTGTATATTTTGACCTGTTGTTATATTCGTATTTTATTCGAGCCTCGGTGAGATGCGCTATATAAATTGAATGAATAAAATAAAGGATCAAGAGTTGAAGGAGCGAGCGGAGCTGCAATTCTATCTAGTCTGTGCTCTAATATACTCCTGTTTGCAACTCATCTCCGTTTTGGAGAGGAGAAATGCGAGGTGTGCAACTTTGCAAGCTCTGCCTGGCGCGTTTAGCATAATTTCCTTTGCGTGTTAGATTGCGAAGCCTCTTCGGCTCCAACAGTATTTGCAATAATTCAGCATAATGAGGATTTACACCAGCGCCCTAACACCAACCGCAGCCATCCTTGGCACAACTCGTCTTGGTTTATTGGACGTTGACACTCTTAATCAGATGCATTTTGACCAAGATAGTTTGCAACTTGCTTAGCCATCTGATATCTCTTACAGGCAACGCCTTCATGGTTTCCTAATCTTCATTAAACTTTCAGGAGAGATTATGGGAATGTTAGTCCCCAGACGGGATGGGCAATCAATTGGAAAGCAGAAGATTTTATGATGGGAATGAATAAAAAAATGTATCAATCCATATTATATTATCCGTAGGTTACAAGGGCATCCTGAATTTCTTAAGCTTAGCAAGCTTGAGGGGGAGGGGAAAAGTAGCGGTAAAAACAGACAACAATCCAAAGAGGTGCAAGGATTAAAAACTAGAAATTTAAAATTGCCTCTTCAAAAGGATGCGCAAATCTGTGGTCGGAATGTCTGCCCCCTTGTGGATATCTTTGGTCATATCATTCCCCCAAAGAGAAGTTTTTAAAATTGGATTTAATGTCAGACTGAGAGAGATGCACGAGGAAAAATAGTTAATATTGCCACGGAAGGCCAGTTGCTGGTAACAGACCTCGTTGTTATTGCTTTGCGTGTTGTTTGGGAAACGTAATTTCAAATTAAATTGAAGCGAACGCGAACAAATTCTTTGCTTTCTTTTGTGGGGTGCAATGGCACACTGTCTCACTAGAGGACACACTTTCCTAACTCATCTTCTTTTCAAGATTCTTTTTTTCAATTCTTCCGTTTTTTTAATATTCCCTTTTTTTTAAAAAAAAAGTGTGACTATGCACATCAGAGCACAAGCAACTTTGAACGGTTAAAACTTTTCTCCACTTTTGTACAGAAACAAGGGCCGTATGAATTCTTACAGGACAGTGTTAAGATATACTTTAATGTCAATTTTGGGTCACATTTGCACTGGGGTAATATAATTTGGGCAGTTGATCCTTTACCCTCTTGGAAAAAAAAATGCAACATTCCATGTGCCAGAATTATAGGCCTTGCTGGGGGGCACCAGGTTGCAAAAAGATCAATTCTGTTTAGCAAATGAACCAGGGCTATTGATCTTATGTGAAACTCTTCGCTTCTTCTACACCTTGTCTATATGATGCAAGACCCAAGACAGGAAACTCAAGATACAACATCACCTTTATTCTTACCGTTTTATAAAGAAAAATAATCTTTCAAACGCAGAACATAAAACATCTCAAAAGAGGAATCAAAACAGAGGGGGGGGGGAGAAACACCCTTCTCCTTGGGCATGAATTCTTAAACAAACCAATGAGAGGCAGGTTCTCTACAGCTTCCTTAAGTATAAAACGAAACAAAGATCCCGTTTTCTTAAAATGGCGTTCAGTGGCATTCCCACCCGTTGTAAAATTCAAGCCTCGCAGGACACAGTGTATTTGATCATTCTTGTACATTCAGCAAGAAGCTAGTCCTCATGGAGTGCTGCGGTATTTATGTGTGCGTCTTTGTGTATAACAAAAGATACAAAGAGACAGGGAGAGAGGGATTGCTTCTACGGAAATGTGGTTAATTTGGGGGGGAAAAAATTCCTTTTCAGTTGCCAAACATTTTAGACCCTATTTATTCCCCATCAGAAAAGGAAAAAACGGAGGCATACATGGGCAAAACCAAACCAACATGAAATATACATTTAAAAAAATGGCTTTCTTGTTATGTGTGTGTTTTTTCCCTATTATCCTGAAGTTTAAGAAAAAAAAAAAAGTTTGAAAAGGAATAACCATTAAGACACCCGGTACTTAACACTGTGATAAAGGAACACTGTGCACCAAGTGTGATTTTAATAAGTGTATCCTAGCACCAAAAACTACAGGCCTCTTGTTTTGATCTGTCATGTTCCCCCCCCCCGTGTATTTTTTGCTGATATTTTGTTTTTAAAAAAGAAAAACTGCTTTCTCTACAACACCCATGTGTGGAGAACACCACATTGGAGAAATTTGCTTTATTAAGCAAATTTAAACAAGAATGATAGGTAGTGAGTTGGCAATAAGACATTAAACATCCCGCTACCAAGCCAGGATCATCCATGGCTAAACTGGTGGGCCTTAATCTTGGCCACTGTCTAACGGCTAAAAAATAAAACTTCTTGGTTGCTAAACAGGCGGAAAAAGGTGTATCTTTTTTGTCATGCTCTTAAAAAAAAAACAATCAGCCTTCTAACCCATGTTGCACAGCTGGCTAAGACAGAAGCATCCTCGGTTAGCCAGCCAACCTGAGCCGAACAAAGTTTAAGCCTGTCTGTAATGTAGAAAGTTATTTCCAGAGCTGGGTTTAATTCTAATTTCCAGCAGACCTGCTCAGAGAGATACATTTAAAAAATAAATCAGGATTTTCAAACTGTAGGCAGAGCTGACAACCTGAAGCTCAGCTCAACTGCACAATGAGGAAAAATTCTTAAAAAAAAAAAAAAAAAAAGCCATCTGGGTTCACCTTTCTCCCTGATCTGCTAGTTTTCTACATGCAGGGTGTCTCCTGCTGCTGAAGTATGGAACATCCAGATGCAAAAGCCCAATTGAAAGAGCAGGTCTCTGGTTTGGGGGGAAAAGCAGGATGTCATCTGCAAAATTAGGACAGATTTGGGCCACTTAAACATGGGGAAAAAAACCCCCCACTTTATTTTGCCCAGGTCTCCCCTGAGGCTGATAAAAGATGTCCCCGATGCAGCCCACCGACCCATTTTGGCCTGCATGAAGCTTCTCAGAGACTCCTATCTATCTTCATGGCCCTGAAAATTAATAAATTAAGAACAAACACACATACAGTAACAGAGACTTACTCCAAACATCCCAACTGACCGGATGCTGGAAGTCAGCAAACGACCCAACAATGCAAAAGACTTGGGTTTTTTTCCCCTCAGCCACACAGAGATTAGAAAAAGAGGGCTGGGGCCTGGAAGACTAAAGAGGACGGAGAGAAAGACTCTCCCAAAGTTCTTACGTTTTCTCCGTAAGCCAGAATCTAACCACCATTCAAGGTTTGCGACTGAAGCAAGGTGGCTGAAGGGCAGAACGCAACGCCTGGCCTTTGCCTTTCAAAGTCCATTTCTGGGTTCCTCCCACATTCTGTACAAATCAAGGAAAACCAGGGCAAAAAAAGTCAAGAGCGCTTCCCGATTCCACCAGGACTACCTCAGATTGGTGGAGAAGTAGGCAAGGAATATCAGGGCAGCAATGGTGGAGAAACAGACTGGATCCCGCTGCCTGCAGGACACGGCTAGGCGGCGGCGAAGGTCCTTGTGATGTCCGAGTCTCTTCTGCAACCTCGCGATCTCCAGGACGAGGAAAATGGGGAAGACTCCCCAGTTTTTTTGGAGGGGGGGGCTGAGGCTCATCGCAACGTTTGGTAGAGGTAGGCGGAGGTGAAGATGGCGTTGGCCGTCAGGCTGAGGGCCAGGAGACCTCGGAGAAGTAGATTCCCAAAGCATCCTAGGAAGGAAGGAAGGAAGGAACCCACAACAAGGTAAGTATTTAGGCCCCCCTTCTGATTTTCAAAAGCACTTTTTCAGGAAATGCTGTCTCTTCGCACAGAATAACACAGCTGGGAGAGATCCTAGAGATCTTCTAGTCCAGGGTCCCCAACCTGTGGGCCACGGCCCACCCCGGGAGGTGGCCTACTGGCCACCGGGCTTGCGCCACGCTGTGGGGCTGCAACAACGGGAGTTTAAGAAACGGTGAACTCACCCTTCCAGCCCGAAGGTTCTTCTTTCGTCGTGGTGTCGACCACACAGTTTGACGAGTGCGACGAATCGTCTCGCTTTTTCCCTGAATCCTCGGTGGAGACGCTGCTGCCTTCGACCACAGCGGTCACATCTGCGGGACAGCCAAAAGCTGACGTTTCCAAGCGCCGAGACTTTTTTTTTTTTTTTTTTTTAAAAATCCTTAACGCTCAACTCTGCTTCCTAAAATTCTCACCCAGCTGTGGACAAACCAAGTTATCCATCCAGCGCTCTCTAAATCGCCCTAGATCTGTTTTTTTTTTTGGGGGGGGGGGGGACACAATCGATTTTTGAGCCCCGCGTCCTTCCCCAAAAAGTCCAGATGGGTTTGAGATGCTGGCCAGTATGGTCCATAATTGCACCCGCCAAAGGATTCCGGGAATGTCGCCTCAACGCATCCAAGAGGCTAGACTACCACCATGGGACTGCCCTTGGACACTGTCCAGAATTTGAAACGGGTCCCTCCAATGTTTCCAAAGGGAGCGTTACCTGGTGAGCTCGGCTCGCCGAAGTGCGTTTTGGGAAAGAGTGACCGATCCGGAGCAAAGAGGCCGTTTTCCGAGGGGGCGAAATCTTCCCCCCGATGGAATTTGCTTTGTCCCATAAAGAGCCGCAGCTGCTGTCCTTTCAGGTTCAGCCGGGCGGGGCTGATCAGAGGCCGGCGGAAACGCAAGGAACTGGAGCTGGACGCCACCGAGCCGGCCACCGATGGTGCCGGCGAGGGTGCCGGGGACGGCACGCAGCTTCCGGAGTGGACCGAGAAATATTCTGGGGGGCAGGCCGGAAAGAAGCCGAGAAAAATGGGGTTAGAATCAGCTCCATCCCGATTCATTGTTTTGAGACATATGTGGGTTCAGGAGCTTTTGGGGGGGGGGCAGAGAGCAGGGCAGAGCCCCCCCCAATCCATCTGTGTTCTCACCCATCACCCAACTAATGGGGGGGAAGGTGGCCCCTCTTGGCTGATGTAAGCCTGGAGGTCAGACCTACCAGGCCTGATTCTACAGGCTACCCAGACTAACATCTGGATTGCAAATGTGGCAAGAGCAAAAAGGAAGCTCGTCCAAATGGGGTGCGTGGAAGAGGGGGGACCCCCGTCTTCTGCTCACCTGATGCTGCCCAGTCCTTGGGGCAGGAAGCCTGCGAGGGCGGGCGGCTTCCGCTGAACAGGTAGCCTGAATCTCAACAAAGGAAGCAAAAGTTAATATTAACATTCATGTTGATTTTTATTTTTTTTTTTTTAAATTCAGTCAATTATTCACCCAACATTTTGACCAGGATGGGTGGATACCCGATTGGAAAGAGAACCAAGTATACATACGCTAACTGCAGCCAGGTTTTTACGTGCACAAAGGTGGCAAAAGTACACAAGGACCCACAACAGAGAGGAGAACGATGAAGATGGCAAAATCTGATACGTCTATGCTCGGAATCAGATCAGAAGCTGGAGACCCCCCCCCTCCGCCCCCCCAAGCGGAGGGTTTTTGAGCCTTGCGACGGGGTAATCTTTGGCTGGATCGGACCCAGATGAAACAAAGTATGCCAGCAGGGACATTCCGCCTTCCCATAGTTCTCCAGCACTAAGGTAGACTGCCTTTGGACAAAGAAGCTCTACTTTAGTTCTCCACTCCGTGCACTTTCCCCCTCTCTGAATCTGTATAATCGGCTTTAAAGAACAGCTCAAAAGCTCCATTTAGACCCAGTTGGCAAGGGTAAGAAAGAACAGGAAGACCATCCTCCCCAGCTGACTTCAAAACCCTTCTGCCCCAGCGGCTGGTTTGACACGATCAGAAACGATTAGACAAGCATAGAAGCAAACCCACCGAGGGCGTTAAAACCTCCCCCAAACCCCCTTTGCTGATTTTTGAGTTTATTTTTTGAAGCATGTTCGGGGTGCCAGAAAAAATAAATGAATAAAAATTTCCCAATGTCATAGACGTGAAAAGCTCAAAGCTCCTTTGTCAGGCCTGGAGAAGGATGTTAATATATCACTGACTCTCTTCCTGCAGAGATCATTAAAATAAGATGCTTTAATGCAGCCCTCGCTAACGACTTAGGCAACTCAACAGTTTAAAAATCTGACGCTTAATTCATTTTCACCGTGATGATGCACGAGCCTGTGTGTTAAAGTAAAATACCTGATTTATTTATTATTTATTTTCCGAGGGTAAAAACATCTTGCATTTAAAATATTTAAAAATAGTATAATAATCCAAATAAGGAAAACTTTTAAATAACAACCTATTTACAATTAGTCCAGTAAATGTTAGAGGAAAAGCATACTTCTGGCAAGGAAAACCAGCTGTGGTGTCTTCAGCGAGGCCAAACACACAAAGGACTAGAAACTTGGAAAGGCCACCAAAAACACTACCAGCCAAAGCAGGGAAAGGACTCTGGCGCAGCTTACCGGTCCTGGCCAGGGAAGGAATCGTGCCGAGTGAAAGGGCCCGATTCAGCCGTCCAGGAAGAGATGAGGACGACGTCCGACGGGGAGAGCAGAAAAGCCGCTGGTTCAACTGGAGGATACTGGGAGGCGTGGGGGCGAAAGGAAGGGGAGCAGAAGGATAGGCAAAGCTCAACTCAGCACTGCTGGGGAACATGGCCACCGGGTCTCCTGGAGAAAACCTGCAAACGAGACACATAAACACAACATCACAGGGTGACTTGCAACCGTTCACCCCGTCTTGTGCAAAAGCTTTAAACGTTCTCCCCCTTTCGGTATTTATGGCCTAATTTTTTGATCAGGTCAATAAACTAAAATGAAGTTTTGTTTTCAGCAGCAAGGAGACTTTGCCGATGGTCTGGTTCCAAGACGTTTTTATCGCGTTCGTCTATTATATTTACACAATCTCTATAAGCAGTCATTCTCTCTTGCAGCTTGTGGTTGTTTATATTTTAGTAACAACTGTTTTTATATCTTTATTGTGTTCATTCAGTGCTGTATGCTGCCCAACAGTCATTTTTTTTCTGAGGTGTCGGAGGGGGGAGGGCTGTATAAATTTGATAAATGCAATTGCAAATTATTCTTACTCTTTCTGTACTTGGGCCAAATCCTGAAAAGATGGGAGTAGGATGCATTTTGTCCTGGAGATGTTATTTCTCAACCTGAGCAACTGGGGAACTCTGGGAGTTGAAGTCCACACATCTTAAAAGTTGCACAGATGGAGGAAAAGAACCTAAAGCATTTGGGGACCAGCTGCAGTTCTGCACAAACCTTACAAGCACTGAATTACAATTAGCTGATTTATTTGATTTACACCCTTCTGCACTCGACAAAATGTATGAATTCCAAAGCCGTTCATCTGCCCGTGGTGGTGAGAAAAATATACCCGCACACTTATCGGAGGTGGCACTGGAGAATTTGAATTTGAAAAAAACATCTTTTTCAGCTAATAGATACGCATCTTATCCAGAAAACAGGAATAGGGAAGTGTGCGGGGTTTTGTTTTTTTTTTTCCTTACCCAAATGCCATGCGCCTTGTTCGGGAAATGAAAAACAGCTGATTTTTCTTCGATAAATTATCGCAGCATTGGTGCGAAAACAAAAGGCAGAAAAAAGGTGTGGCTGAAATGGCAGTGAGAACAGAGGATGGGGTTTGGAAGAGAGAGAGAGGGAAAGACCGAGAAAGAGAGAGAGAGGTGGGAGAGAGAAGGGGAAAGAGGAGAGAAAGAGGAGAAAGAAAGAAAGAAAAAGAAAGAAAGAAAGAAAGAAAGAAAGAGGAGAGAAAGCGAGAAAGAGAAAGGGGAAGAGAGAGGAGAGAAAGAAGGCGAGGAGGGAGAGAAAGAAAGGAGAAAGAGAAGGAGGGGAGAAAGCGAGAAAGAAAGACAGAAACGGGGGGGGGGGGTGAGATAGAAAGGGGAGAGAAAGAAGAGAGAGAAGGAGAAAGTGAGAGGGGGAGAGGAAAAGGAGAAAGAGGAGGGGGAGAAAGCAAAAGAGAAAGACAGAAAGCGAGGGGGTGAGATAGAAAGGGAAGAGAAGGAGGGGGAAAGCAAGAAAAAGAGAGAGAAAGAGAGGAGAGAAAGAGAAAGAGAGAAGGAGAAAGCGAGAGGGGGAGAGGGAAAAAAAGGGGAAAGACAGAGAAAGAGGGGAGAGAGAGAGAGATGAGAGAAAGAGAGAAGGAGAAAGCGAGAGGGGGGAGAGAGAGAGACAGAGAGGAGAAAGAGAAAAAAAAAAGGGGGGGGGAAGAAAGAGAATGAGAGACAGAAAAGAAAAACTCACAAAAGGCTGTGCCAAACCCGTGCCATTTGGTGAAAAGCCTTTGCAAAATAAAGGTGATTTTTTTTTTCTCTCTTTCCGCCTCGAAGCTGAGATTCTCCAGGGGGTGGAAAGCATTTCTCACAAGAGGGTGTGTGTGTGTGTGTGTGTGTGTGTGAACAAAATGGGAAGGAAAACACGCAGAGACGACCCCTCCCCTCTGTGGGGACCAAGGAAAACAGGCCCCGGCCTTCAATCTGCTCCAGCATCTCTTTTCAAGGAATAAAATAAAAAGAATTAACGGAGGACAAAAAGCCCCTTTAATGCATTCAAAGCTTTGTCTCTCCATCCGGGCATTACCCAGCAGGCTGAGGGCCGGGCACATTTGCATGGCTCCTCGCCATTGGCTGAGCCCATCTGGAGGGGCAGGGACAAGCTTCCCGCCATCAACGGGGTGGGGGAGTCACCTCAGCGCCGGTCCTTGGCGGGGGAGGCCGCTGAGGGGGCACCAAAGGCATCGCTGGGTGGCACCTGTGAGGAAGAGGAAGGCTGAGAGAGGAAGAGGAAGGAGCAGACTGGCACCCTCCCTCTTTTTCTGAACCATCCCGAGGAGGAAGCAGCGAGGGGGGACATCTTGAAAAAGGGCTCCCAGCCCAAAGAAATTTTCCCGCCTTTCCCCCCCCCCTCTCCTCAGCCGCCTTCCCTGCTCTCCTCTTCCGTCGAAGCAGGGCAAGAAGCCATGAGGACTGGGAGCATGAAATTGGAATTGGAGCTGAAAAGTTCAGAGTTTCGAGCCTGGCGGGCAGAAAAGGCCACAAAATGAGCCACCAGACTCACCTCCCCCCCCAACAGTCCTCATTTTGAAAACTCTCCCCACATCTTGGCAGAATCAAGATGGCGGAAAATATTCGTACCGCTTCACCCAAGCCTTAGCAAGGCCGCAATTAGAATAGGGAGTCTCCTTCTGATCACCACAACATATATATATATATATATATAAAAAGATGTGGAGACTCTGGAAAGAGGGCAGAGAAGAGCAAGGAAGATGATGAGGAGGCTGGAGGCTAAATTGGGGCAGGAATTGGGGATGTCTAGCCTAGTGCGAAGAAGAACTAGGGGTGACATGATAGAAGTCATCCAATATTTGAGGGGCCGTCACAAAGAAGAGGGGGTGTGTGTCAACCTATTCTCCAAATCACCTCAAGGCAAGACAAGAAACAACGGAGGGAAACTAATCAAGGAGAGAAGCAGCCTGGAATTAAGGAGAAACTTCCTAACAGCGAGGAACATTAATCAGTGGAACTGTTTGCCACCAGAAGTTGTGGGTGCTCCATCCCTGGAGGCTTTTAAGGAATTGTATAGAGACTTGGACTTGGACTAGATGACCTCCGAGGTCCCTTCCAACTCTGTTCTATCACTGGGGATGCCACAATTTTGTACCAACGCACCCCAAGTTTTGCTTTTTGGGAAAAAAAACCAGTCCCAGTTGAGCTACCCTGGAGGCCTCTGAAGGCTGCTGGACTCCAAAGGTCATCAATGAGCAGGGATGATGGGGACTGGAGTCTAACTGCTACAGGAAAAGCAGAGATTCCTCACAGCTCTGCTGGGAATTCAGAAGTGTCACCAAAAAAAAAAAAAAACCTGTAAAAATTCTTCTGACGCCCGATAGGAAGCCATGAAAAGCAAGAGACACATCAAAAGGTAAATCTAAATAAACATGTAAAGTGTAAGATTTTCTACACCATGTTTATCTACACAGCACCGGTTGAGTAGTCAACCACAATCCTTCAGCTCCAAGGAAGATGCTCAACCTATTTATCGTTTTGCCAACAGAAATTAGGAAGCTGGGGATCACCTTAGAAAAGTCTCCTTTTTCCCCTAAAAACTCAGTTGCCAAGGACGGAAGGGAGAGCGTTGCAATGATCAGGGCAAACATTAGCCACCGTCACGATGAGTGTCCCCCCAAAAAAAGTCAACTGGAAAAGCAGTATGGTCAAGGAGCCTTTTATTTTCAATAATTAGTGTTAACGCAACAAATCCGGCACAAGGGTAAAATATTTAAGTTAAATAATAGTCATCATAATCATCATAATTATCTGAACACAGCGCAAAATGCCCAGGCTGAAACGTTTCCTAGAGTTTCATAGGTTGGCCGAGAAGAAAACTAGAATCCAGCTATTTTGCCCTAAGACCAGAATGATCCAGCTTAAAACTGGGGATGAAAAGAAAAATGGTCTCAGGAGAATTTGTTCAGCTTTGGCTAAATGGCAGAGCTATTATTCCGCTGCCCGCTCCATGGTGAAATAAAAGTTGGGCTGAGAGGCAAAAGAGAATATAACAAAACCTCCCAACTCAGTTATCCTTTTACTTCCTCGTGTCCAGCTCAACCCCAAGAGAGAAAAGTAAAATTTATCACATCTAGGCTCCTAAGCTGAAGCAGCCATCATAACTGGGCTTGACTCTTTTTAAAGTCAGTTTTTCAGGAATAGAAACGAGCCAAACATGCACATTTTTATGTGGTTGTCTCTCTGGGCTTGCTCGTTTTCTTGCAGACGTTTCATTAGCCAAACTAGAAAACATCATCAGTGATAATGGACTGGACTAGCGCTGATGTGGTTACCTAGTTTGGATAATGCAACATCTCCAAGAAAAGAAGCAGGCCCCAGAAAGCACAAAGCACCCCTCATGTCAACCCTGTGCTACAAATATTCTCCTTTATTAGTACATTTTTATGTCCCAGGTTCAAGCGGAGCAAATAAAGCTGCATTTCGCTTGTGGGACCCGTTCAGATTTTGTAAGGTTAAGAAATCAAAGCTTATTAAAACTGAGTATACAGATAATCTGCTCTGGTTAAATATAAGTTGGCTATAATATTAGAGAATAAATAATCCTTATATCTGTGATTCCCAAGATCTGATTTGCCTGCCTTTTTCACAAGGCTGGCTTTTTTAAAACTAAAGCAAAAGATTAAAAATCAGCATTGGAGGAAGAGTTGAAAAAAAAAAAAGGAAGAGATGGGGGGGGAAAGCCCCCCTAGTCCTGAGAGGTTTGCATTACAATTCCTATCAGCCACCGCACTTGTGTGGGCAATTGATGGGAGCTGTAGTCCTCCAACTGGGAAAGAGGCAGAAGAGAAGCTAATTGCAAATTGCCTTGAAGAGATGAAAAGGAAAAGCAGAAACGGTGTTAAAAATGCACGAAAGCAAACATGCCCAAGGTTTTAAAAAGACGGGCATGCTTCTTTAAAACAAGCCAAGTTGAGTCAGGTTAAAAAAAAAAAAAAGGGGGGGGGAGGAATTTCTCTTTTGCAAAATCACCAGACATGCTCAAGTTTTCCCAATCCTTCAGTCTACCACTCTCTCTTTCTCTTTTAAAAAACTTCTTGAAAAGGTTTTTAAAAGACAGGTGCAAAAAAAAAAAAAAAAGTTTTGGGTTAAGCAGAACTGTCCTTCCCCCCCCCCCAACAACCAGGATATTTTTAATAATTACAAAATTTTATTTGAAGGGGGGGGTGCTAAGGGCAGCATCTGGTCAACCTGGCTGGGAATTTATTTTATATATAAAAAAAGAGAGAGAGAGAGAAAAGGAAGATTAGAGAGGTCAGAAAGAAAAAAGAATTCGGTTAAAGGAAAGGATCAATTATTTGTGGCTGGCAGGCCGCTCTTATCCCAGTGCCCAAAGGCCACATGTCAGTTTAAGAAGTGGAAAAAAAAGCATAAAATATTAAGAAGAAAAAAAATCACCGCACCCCAAAATCAAAGCAAACGCCAACATCCCCGTGCAAACGTAACGTGCCCCATCTCAGAGCATGCAAAGAGTATAAATTCAAACGAGGTTCAATCCAGTTTTAACTGTGAAGTCAATTTAAAAAAAAAAAAATGTTTGCCCGGTTTCTTTACTCACTTTTATTTATTATTTATGCATTGCTTCCTTTTAAGTGATGAATTGCCTTCCGCTAATTTCAGCTATGTATTTCTTCGCTTTCAGAGAGAGACTCCAGCCACGCTAGCCAAAACCGCTCCCCATCCCACCCACAAGACTGAAAAGGGAATCAAAACATTGGATCCTCGCAACTGTCCGTCTCCCCCCCCCCGGAAGTGAAGCAGCCCTTGTGTGGGCCGATGGAGAGAGAAGCCCATGGTAGCTGCCAAAGAGGACGTAGGGAAGAGTAGGGAGGAGGAAAAGGCTGTGATGGGAAGAGCGAAGGCGAAGCAGCGGGAAGAAATTCGAAGGCGTGGACGTTTCAGGCACTTGAACCCCCACCCCGCCCGCCAAAGTCACTGCCGAGGCTCTGACCTTCGGGGCCGAGGTCTCCACTGGCCCCCGGGCTTCCGCGTGGCCACGGCGGCGGCGAACCCCACCAAGCAGCACAGGGAGGTGGTGCCGAACTTGGCGGTCTCCACCCAGCTGGGGATGTCCACCTGCAGATACGTCTCTACCAAGTGGAAGCCCATCAACAGCAGCCACAGGAAGGCAGCAAAGGCGTCGATGCGTCGGAGCCTGGAAGGCAGAAAAAGTGGTCACTTTTGGGGAGAATCTGAAGGAAGACACCCTTGCAGGGGAGGGCTGAGGACAGGGGGAGTTAGTCCTCAATTTACGACCATTTGCTTAACAAGTCCTCACACTTATGACTGATGCCTTCCAAGAGGAACAAAAAGGGAAGAGTCTACCAAATCAGTTTTAGCTTCACCTAACAGCTTCCTCCAGAGCTGTTACGAACAAAGTTTGTTTCCTTGTTTGTTTTGTCCTCTTCCCTCCTCGTCCCTTTTTCCTTGCATGCTGTTGTCTCCAGATTATACATTTGCAAGCAAGGACTGCCTGTTTATCACAAATCGGCGGGACGCTTTGTGGATTTTACCTTCTTAATTTTTGCTTCTCTACACCAGTCATCTAGGCTGTAAGTGTTTTGTTATCGTGCTGCAGTTCTGTTTGGGAACCTTTGGGGCTAAAATGCACCCCTACAATATCTAGGGCAGGGGTCCCAAGCCCCGGTCTGTGGACCAGTACCAGGCTGCGGCATGCTAGCAACCGATCCGCACAAACAAGGAAAGCCCCATCCACAGGGTGCAGGCAGCACACAAAGGCATGTACCCTTCGGTCTGCGGAAAAACCTTTCTCCATGTAATCGGTCCCTGATGCCCAAAAGGTTGGGGACCTCTGATCTAGGGTTCAAGTGTTTGCATCACAATTTGTTCTCTTGGGTTACTCTCAAAATCCTTCACACAGGCCACTTCATCGTACCTGATCCGTCCTGCCAGCAACATAGCCAGGATGCAAGTGAAGAGCCCCAAGACAACCATGGCCATCTGGTGGTTCTTCCCGTAGATCCAGGCGGCTTCCAGGATCTCTACGGCCCACGCTGAGAGTGACTGGATAGCCTCCTGCCAGTCCATCGATTCCAGAAAGGTGCCGTTACGTGGCAGGGTCACCAGCGGCGGCGGTGGTGGCGGCCCAGTCTTGTTCCTCGACAGACCTGGGCTTGGTGGAACTGGCGATGTAGCAGGTCCTGAGAAAAATGGATCTCCTGACCCATATAGGGCCATCACCACGAGAATCGCGCAACTGAGGAACGCCAGAAACCGCAGAAGGATCACGCGTAGCGGGGTGGTGTTCCCTGCAGAAGCCGAGGCGTAAAAGCTCTGCGGGGAAAAAAAAAGAAACTTCAGATACCACAGATCTGGAGTTATGTTTTCAAAAATAAACAACCATTGGACCAGGATGGTATAAAGTCTCCTGCCTTGAGCAGGGGGTTGGACTAGAAGACCTCCGAGGTCCCTTCCAGCATGCAGCCGGAAAAAAGACTGGAGCTTAGTGTAAAAGATCATCCGAGAAAGAAGGGAGCACCACAATCACACCAGCAGGACTGCCAAGATTTCAGCCCCGTCAGTTGCAAGCTGCCTGAGCGCAGCTGAAATCCGAGGCCCTCAAATAAGAAAAGGCAAAATACTTCAAGATTACAATCAGGTTGGGGTTCAAACCTCTTCCCCGGGTTTAAAGCCCAAGAGTCCAAGGGCAACTTGCCTGGGGGGGGGGGACTTTCTAAATGTGCCTGACACTTCAGTTGCCACTCAAGCTTGTTGGCTTTCAAAAACTAAGCTCAACAAACACAGCCTTTTGTCAGACAAACCAGCTCAGGATGGTGCCTTTTTTTTTTTTTAAAGGGGGCTCAGCTTCTTCTCTGTCCTGAACAAAGGGGACCCTTTCCAGTCTCTGAAGAAAGATCCCAGATGGTGACCACCCTTCTTCCTACCTGCATGTAAGTCTTGCCACTTTTCCGATTGTTAAAATGGTGCCGGAGCAGAAGGGCCCGAAGTTGGCGGTTCTGGTGCTTGATATAATATTCCACGGCAGCTTGGCAGGGCCGGCAAAGCTTATAAGTCTGCTCCAGGTGATGTTTGTAGACCTCAATTTCTTCGTCATATTTACCCTGCCCCCAAAAAGAGAGACATTAGAATAAAAAAATCTGATAGGGTCTGTTTAGGACAGAGGTCTCCTATCTTTCCGGACTCAAGGACCGGAGGGAAGGAGAGCAGTTTTAAAATTGGTGCGCATGTCCGTATGGCACCATACACGCTAGCGTGGTACTAGCAGCCCTGTTCGCGCATGCAGCATATTCTGGTGTTGTGCGCATGCGCACCCCCCATGGCAGCTAGCAGCCCATTCGTGCATGCACAAATAGGCCACACAAACCGCCCAGGCTTGCATTCCCATTCGTGCCCGCGCACATGCGCAAACAGGGCCGCAGGCACTGGCTCAAGTGGAGGAGGAAATGCTCACCCACACGTGCACACACCAGCCAGCCATTTCCACGGCCCATTGGCGAAGAGCCCACGGCCCGGTCCCGGGCTGCAGACTATAGGTTGGGGGCCCCTGGTTTAGGAGACTAGTAAGCTGTATCGCCCTACCATGCTCTTACTGCAGGTGGGTGAAAAATGACAGAGCAAATTCAGTTAAACTAAACCCTCTTCGGTACATATATATACTGGAGAATGTCATCAAAGAACCTTGAGGCGTTGTTTACCTTAAAACAGTGTTTCTCAATCTTGACAATTTTAAGGCATGTGGACTTCAACTCCTAGAATTCCACAGCCAGCATTGCTGGCTGTGGAATTCTGGGAGTTGAAGTCCACATGCCTTAAAATTGTCAAGATTGAGAAACACTGCCTTAAAGAATCTTTATTTGAGAAGCATAGCATCAACACAGTTGAAGCCAAAAATTGATTTCCCCTCCCCTGAGCACAAAGTATCAAAGCACAATTCCCCCCTCCAATTAACAGTCATAAATCACATTCTCCAATTAGGTTGAAATGCAGACCTTTCCTCCAGTTCTCCAGCCTGCCAATTCTTATCATTTCTTATTTCAAAAACCTTGGTTCTCACATTAGGTCCAGTATTGTTATGTCTAGCTAAACTCTCATGCACATTCCTCCCTTCAGCATCATCTAACTCTAACTGTAAAAGCAAAACATAAGAAGAAAATGGTTGCATCTCTTAACTGTTGTCAAAGCAAAACATCCGATGTTAGCAGCGTTGACACATATATATATTTTCTTAGGCACCTTGAGCGTGCAACCGTGTGGGAGGGGGCAACAGGGAAGTCCGCCCATTATTTAAGTAGCTGTACACAAATGTGTGCTAGCTATGCTCTCCCACTTCACAGATGAGCAAGACTGAGGCCAGGAGCAAAGTCACTTGTAAAAGGGAAGGGGTTGTCGTTTGCTCTCCCATAGTCCTCCTTACCTCTTCTCTGGGGCTGAAGGAGGCCAGTTGCTTGATCTTCATGGTCTGGTGATTGTTACACTTTTTACAAAGGAGAAGCTGGCTGCTGACCCATTGCTGAGGCTTCGTGGGGTCGTAAAAGGCTCCCGCCCCAGAAACCACGTGGTTTAGATTCTCCATGTATTGAGCTGGGATTGGCTTGTTGTAATCTCCATTCTAAGAGGAGTTTACGAGGAAACAAAACAAAACAAAAAAAAGGAAGAGTCTAACAAATCCATTTTAATCGCCTTCAAAACCTCTGCACCTTTTATGAACAAATGCCCGAATTGGGTGTTGTGTTTTGCTTTCCTCTCCCCCCCCCTCAACTCTTGTTCCTTGCATGCTGCTGTCTTCAGTTGATAAATTTGCAACTCACCCCTAAATCACCTGAAAGCTTTGCAAAATTTAGCTTCCCTGTGGCTTAATTTTAGCTGTTCCACATCGATTATCTAGGCTGCAAAGTGTTTCTTATCATACTGTCGTTAGGTTTGGGAGCCTTTGATAATAACAATAATGATAATAATCTTTACTGTCATATTTTTTTTCCTGTGGGCACAACGGCACACATTAAAAATGATCTCTGGGGCTAAAACGCAGGATAATTAAACCTATATAATATAGGTTGGTGCGATTGGGGTGAGGAAGCATCCTCCCCCCATTTCATTCACCCTTTTCAATTAATCTGGGTCAATATGAAATCCACGTTTGCTTTAATGGACGGGGGGAAATCTCTCATATTAATTAATTTATCTCCTTTCCGTCTCCTGTGGCACTTAAGGTTCGCTCTTGTTCACAATAGAAGAAAAATTAGCTCACGTATGAACATCTCCCAGCTCTGTCCCCTGAAGCAAATTAAAATAAATAAATAAATAGTTGGAAGGGACCTTAGAGGTCATCTAGTCCAACCCCCTGCTCAGGCAGGAAACCCTATACCATTTCAGACAAATGGCTGCCCAGTCTCTTCTTAAAAACCTCCAGTGTTGGAGCATTCACCGCTTCTGGAGGCAGGCGGTTCCACTGGTTAATTGTTCTAACTGTCAGGAAATTTCTCCTTAGCTCTAGGTTGCTTCTAGGTTGAGATTAATTAAAAATCTTAACAGAAATGTTGATGCAGGCAGACAGCCGGTAGCCCAATCCGCTAGGACACCGAAACAGGGACCGCTCAGCCGGACCGCCGGCCAGCCCACCTCTTCAAATCCGTTGTACTGCTCACAATTCGGGCAATCCCAGCAGTTGCGGTTCCCGTACGGCACCACGGTGTCCTGGTTACAAAACCAGCAGTTGACCGTCGTGTGGGTGGGCTTCGTCCTGTAGGTGGGGGGAAGCAGGAAGGAGAAATAAAGATCCATCCTCCCAAAAAAAAGAGAGAGGAGGACAACCGACCCCCAACTCTAAAAGTTTGATGCTTCTTCGTTGTTTCCGCAGGAGATTTGCACCTTGACATCCATATTTTAAACCACAGTTTTTGCACACACACACAAGGAGCAGGTCTTCTGTCCGGGTGGGAGGGCTCAAAAGAATGGCCCAATCCTCGTTTTATTTGTGCCCCCTCCCCCAAACTGGCCTCCCTTTTCACCCACGGGACCCATAGCCAACCGTGCTTTGGGCCCTTTGCTCAAAAAAAAAAATGGCATCGTGGAAGGCCTGTTGACTGGAGAGGAGCCATTTGCTGGTTGCCTAGCAACCTTGCCACTTCCTGCCTGCTTGGGGGGGGGGTTACCTAGCAACGGTCTCACTAGGCTGGTCCAAGAGGCAGCACCCCACAGCCCAATATTTTACTGCCTCTTTGCCAGGAAGAAGTTTTCCCTCTTTCCTTTCTGCCCCAAAGCAAAAAAATAAAAATAAAGGAAGCCATATTTTTCCCCCCCTTCTGGATTAGATTGATTAGACGAAAAGAGTGATGTCTGGGGAGGGAAAAAAAACCCCCAAAGATATCCCTTGGTTTGGAAAATAAAAAAAATCCAGCATGAACACTTGTGCAACACATGTGACCAGCTGTTAGGGCTAATTAAATAAAGGGGAGGGGGGGGTAGCAGCCCCAATTCCTTCCTTGACAACTGCAGAAACAGCATCCAGCTATGCTATGGGGAAGTCAATCTCTCTAAAAAGCAGGGTTGGGTGCCAGCACCTGTTGGACTTCTGCCTGACAGGCAGCAGCAAATGGCCGGGATGACAGATTTCACAACATCTGTTCCCATATGCCCCTGCCCCAGGGGTGCAGCTGTTGGCTCTTGTTGTGGGGCAAAGACCCCCCCTCCAGGAAGTGTCTCCTGCTTCCTTGATGACCCCCAACAGCTTTCAGTGTTCATAAAGCCGCTATTCTCTGCTTTCTGAAAGCAGGGGACTACAAAACCCATACTGAGTTTGAGAATCAAGGGACTTGCAGGGGAAGGCTACCCATAGCACATCAGCACTGAAAGGAACTCTTTAAAAAGTGTTTTTTTTTTTAAACCCACTTGCTTTAAAAGCATTCTACATTCTTTTCATCAACTCTCCATTCAATTTACAAAATCCACCCTATTTTTCATGAGGATGTTGCCCATCAGACTTTAAAATAATTAAAAAAAAAAAAAGACATCCCTTTTCTTTCTCTGGAGAGAAACAAACCAATCCTTGCCAAAGGATACTCTGAACGATTTTATTTTTAACAACAGCTAAATCAAAGTAGTGAAATTGACAAGTCATTTCTCTAATGGTTAAGTGGGCCAATTTTAGCATTATTTTATATTAGGGTTCCCCTAGTTGTCACAGGATGCTGTCAATTGCTGGTGCCTGTTAGCTGCAACTTTCCAAGCCCATCAGAACGAAGAACATGCAAATATTAAAATAAGAATTTTAAAGAGCTTCAGACTGGCTGTTCGAGATGCCCTTCTATTTTGCACACGTGCTTCTTCCCATCATTCATGCAAAAGGATATTTTTTTTTAAAAAAAATAATCCTATCCAAAGGACCAAACCTTTGTTTTAATTCAGGAAAACAAAACAAACCTTTTGATTTTGTATTATTTGTTCTGCTTGCAGAATGACATGCAAAAAAAAAAAAAAGGGGGGGGGGAATCTCTACATCCAGAGATTTAATTGCTCAAGTTCTGACTAACGGACAGAAATAAAAGTGCTTCTATAGGAAAAAAAAACAAAACTGCTTCAAGTCAGCATTTATCACATCCCAAGGAGATAGTATCACCCCCAAGTTTGGTTTAACTCTTTCACAAAAATTGTTTCCTTGCTCCCCCAAATCTTCTCCCCTCTGAACTGACCTTTTATTTTTTTATCTTGAGCAAGAAAAATACGAATATTTTCCGACCGGCCACGTTTTCCCCACAAACTCCTATCTCTGAATGATTTAAGCCACGATTGCCACAGACTTTGGCTCTGCTCAATGTTTTAACATTTCCTAAGGAAAATTCACCACAGGTTCTTAGCTGTTCCCAGCTAAGCGGGCTAGGGATGATGGGTCCTCCGATATTTAGAGGAAGACATATGTCAAGTCTCGGGTCCTTTTTTTAATATATATGATAACTGCTGCATAAAAATATTCAAAGAATCTTTTCACTGTTCAACACCGTGACCGATTCTTGTAAAAACAGTTGTCCCCTTTTTAAAAATTGCGAACCGCTTAAAACACGTAGCGACTTCAAAGCAAAACGACCAAGTCAATATTAGATCTAATGCAACTAGTCCTCAACTTAACAGTTTATTTAGTGACCGTTTGAAGTTACGACACTGAAAAAAAGTGACTTATGACCAGTTTTCACACTTACGACCATTAGGGTCACACGAATCCATGATCCTTCAGACACTTGACAACCGACTCCTATTTATGACGGTCAAAGTGTCCCGGGGTCACGTGATTCCCTTTTACGACCTTTTGACAAGCCAAGTCAACGGGGAAAGCCAGATCCACTTAACAACCGTTTGACTAATTTCACTGCAGTGATTCACTTAACGGCTGATTGTAAAATGGGGCAAACTCACTAAACAAATGTTTCACTTAGCAACAGACCCTTAAATTGGGCTCAACTGTGGTCGTAAGTTGAGGACTTACTGCTGTAACTGGGTCTGTGTTAACTCTACGTATGTGTGCCTTGCTTAGTGTGATATGTGAATCCAGCACACTATGTATTCACTGGGATTGCAGAAAATGGGCTACACAAAACCCACAAACCCTTCCACCAGCCTACCTCTTAGGATTGTGGCCAGGGTAAAGTAGGTGGACAGCGGTATTGAAAAGGTAAGAGTGTATTTGTAACAATAAACACCCAAGTTAAATCCAGCAACATCATTCAGGTTAGCACCGCCTTTTCGCCAACCTATGTTGCCCACCTCTTTCTAGTCTGCTGCCTTTGGGTTTCCTTGTGGTCTCCCATCCCAAGCACCCAAGGTGACCTATTTAGCCCAGCTAAATAAAACCAAATCTGTAGCAAAGTTGTCTAGCCTTTGGCTTTGTATGGGAAAAAAAATCTCATATTAACATCTGTTTCCCCCCCCCACCCCCCAGGAAGCTGGTTCCGGGAAGATGTGGGATAAATTTGGGATCAATCAGACTGGACAGCTCGAGATTCTGAGGTTCCTTACAACCCACCCTTTGAAGGTAGGCTTCCAATTGGCTAAGTTATCCTTTTTGCAGCTTTTGAGGTGTGTGTGTGTGTGTGTGTGTGTGTGTGTGTGTGTGTGTGTGGCCATTTCAGCGGCGATTCCTCTCCAAGCTCCTTTGAATCCACTATGCGCGCTCGCACACACACACACACACTCATTGTGCAAAGTTGAACCCGGAAGGGCTGCACTCCCAAGCTCAACGCACGTGGGCTGGCAAGGCTGCAAAGCTCCCAAGGCGATTTCTCTTCCCTTAAGACACCCCGGTTTCCCCCCCCCCGCCACACACACCGCCTTTGGAGTTACGTGGGGAGGGGGGCAATCCCTCCCAGTACATCCCAGGCTCTGTCCCCCCCTCCCTCCCCCCCCAACTTCTTTTGCATTTGATAGCGTGCGAAGTGGAGGAATGCAGATTTAAGTCAAACGGGGAGGGAGGTTAAGACAGCGCGCCGAGTCCCTCCCCTCGAGGTCGTGAGAACGCAAATCCTCCTCTGGGCCTGGTCGCGGGTCCAACCAACCCCCCCAACCCCACCCCTTTTTTTCTTTCCCCAAATCACCCCGATCGGGAAACATAGAAAGCAACGGGGGGGGGGGCGGGAGAGACTCGGCACGGCCTTCTTACCTTCGCGCGATTTTATAAAGCAAGACTCCGCCGGCGGCGGCGCACACGGTCACGCCGAGGCCCCCAGCCAGGCCGCGGGAGTAAGCCGCCACCAAAGCGCCGACGTCTTCCATTGGGGAATGGGGGGGGTGAATTAAAAAAGGGGAAAAAAGGAAAGAGAAAGGGAATCGCAGGAGGAGTGGAAAGAGAGGAGAAGGGGAAAAGGTCGCCGCCGCCGCCTCCTTCTACTCGTGCGGGGGGGAGAAATCCATGAAAAAAGCCCCCGCGTGCATCGTCCGGACGGCGCGGCTCTTGGAACGCCGAGTTGCCTTTTTAGAACGTTCGGCGCCCGCTTGGAACGTTGAGTCGCAGCCCCCCCGGGGGCTTAGAACGCGCGGCAGCCAATCGCGCGGCCGCCTGGGGGCGAACGTTCGAAGGGGAAATCCGGCGGCGGCGGCGGCGGGTTGGGATCAGCGCCTTTTTTGCCTCTCTCCTCCTTCCCTTGGTTTGACCTTCCGCGGCTCCGCCTCTTCCACCAAGCCCGGATCCTCTCCCCCTCTCCCGGCATGGATGATCTACACGCTCCCCACCCACCCACCCACCCCGTGCACGCCGCGATCTGGACTCTTCCTTCCTGCACCGCGTCCCCACGACTCCTTTCTATGCACGCCTTTGCCCGGTGTCCGCAGCAGCGGCGGCAGCCGCCGCGGTTCTTTATCTATATACACCGAGGGGGGACAGGAAGGTGGGCGGCGGGGGCGGCTAAGGGTCGCCTCGTGAAAGGGCAGCGTCGTGCCAGGCGAGGGGGGGGGGAAAGCGAGTCAACCCACGCGCGGGGATTCGAGGGTGTCTGTCTCGTGCTTCCGCGGGGAGCGCGTCGTGATGGAGCGAGGCTTTCCGGGACGGGGGACCGGTCACGCTTTACCTGCCTCGGGCGTGACGGGGATGGGTTTTTCGTTGTGTCTTCTTGAGGGATGGAAACCCCTTCGGAATTTGGAATGACCAAGTGCCCACCCGAGTTTCATCTTCAGTGCGTTTGTGGTCATATACTGTCTCTTTCTTTGACCCCTGTTTAAGTCCCGATCTGCAAGTTACGCGTGGTTTGGAAGCCCACCTTCCTTATGCCTTTCATTTGGCATTCATCCATTCTTATTATTTGCATTCTGCTTTTATTATTTTTTACCAATCTCAAAAAATGGCAAACCTAGCCCACATGCCTTCCTCCTTCTCTTTTCCCCACAACTCAGTTTCCCCACTTGGCACCAATATGAAAGTAGTGTCCCATTTCCCTTCTTGGTAATTGCTGGGTAGTCTCCATTCCATTCCCAACAGGATTTAACTTTGCTTAGCTCAGAGGTCTTCAAACGTGGCCCTTTTATGACTTGTGGACTTCCAACTTCCAGAATTCCTCAGCCAGGCACACTGGCTGAGGAATTCTGGGAGTTGGAAGTCCACAAGTCATAAAAGGGTCAAGTTTGAAGACCCCTGGCTTAGCTTGTAAGTCCAGAGTCTGCCTCTCTGAAAAATTGTGTGTGTGTATGGGGGGGGAAGATGCCTGTTCCTAAATTTCTCCATTTGAGCTAAAGTTGTTACTAGTGCTCAGTTGTCTGTTGGGATTCCATTTCAACAGAACACACATGTAATTATATACTATATAAAAAAGTAAGAAAGGCACAAACTCCCGTTTTTTATATTGTTGGCTTCTACTGTACCCCAGTCTGATCATATTTTGTGAAAAATAAATTCAGCATATAAATATGTAGGCTGTGCGATGGCGTTCCAATCTGACTTCCATCAGAAATTTCCTGTAGAAAATAATTAAAAAAAGGAAAAATATCCAATACCTCTTAGACCAGGGATAGGCAACCTCGGCTCTTTTATGACGCGTGGACTTCAATTCCCAGAATTCCTGAGCCAACATGGGAATTCTGGGAGTTGAAGTCCACGCGTCATAAAAGAGCCAAGGTTGCCTACCCCTGTCTTAGGATCCCAACCATTTTCCACACCCTTGGGAACATTTCACAGGAATTGGCATATTTTTTCCCCCCAAGAAACATCTCCCAGTCACAGAATGGCAACTTTCCACAATAAAAAACGAGCATATAAAAGAAGAGGCTGTCCACGGAAATTAAATAGCATAATTTAATTTAGTCATTTTAGTTTTCGAACCTTGTCTCATTTAAGTTAAAAAAAAAACCCTATTAACATACGTACCTTTAAAAACAAAGATGCTGGAAGGGAAATTGTACAGAAAAAGGGGGTGTAGAGAGAGAAATGCCCCTTCCTCAAAAGGAAAAAAAAAAACATCCAGCCAAAACAGACTGTCCGTTTCAAAGTTTTTTTTTTTTCCTAGTGTGTTGTGTGAACTGTCCCACAATCGTCGTGCTATTTTTTTGTTTTGTTACTGGCTGCATCTGGTCTGGCTTCGGAAGGCTACTTAACTTGCTCTTCTAATAGATACACAATCAATTCGTAGGTGGACAGGACGATAGCCGTATTTGGGATTTGCCGCATAAGCTGGGCAAAGAGTCCGCGATAAAAAGCACAATAGCCTTCTTCCTGGAATATCAGCCGGGCCGTCTGGATGAAGGACTGGTACTTAGTTCCTTCCTCGCGTAGCCTCGTCCGGATGACCTCTGGGGACAGGGAAGAAGCGAAACGTCAGCACACCAGCCCGTGTTCAAATTCAGCCCAGATTGGGGGGCATCAAATCTATAAAATTCTGCAGACTAATGGAAGTCTCCCACCATTGCAGTGCCAAATTTAGATTTAATTTAATTTAATTTTTAAATCCCCCCTCCCCTTTCTGCGGGAAAGTGTGCAGTTGTCCTGTTTTCTCTTGACAAAGGAACACTGCTGGGAGGAATTCCTAGAGCAAGCTGTGCTCAGAACAATAAGGACTAGAAACTTGATTTTCACAACGAGAAGAGGCAAATCGCTCAAGGCCTGGCTTTTCTTGGTTCTATTTCGCTAGGCCGGGGGAGGTTTAGATATCTGGGTGGAAAACAAAACAAAAAAAATCCTACCATGTGGGTAAGCGATACATGACGCACATCCTTTGGAAATGGCGGCAGCAACCGTGATTCCGAAGAAATTGGTGGAATTCTCCGGGTTTCCGGTGAAAGGAGACAGCGCGGGATCTTTTAAGAGCTGCTTTAGTCTCTCATAAATTGCAAAGCAGATGATGGTCTCGGAGATGCCCGCGTAGGAGGCGGTGAGGCCTCGGTAAAAACCCCGGATGCCTTCGGAGCGGTAAACGTACCGGGCGCATTGCAGCGTGTTCATTTGCTTTGAGCCGCGGACTCTACAGAAATGAACAGCAAATGAGTAGTTGGTTTCACTAGATTTTAAAAAGTTCGCCTGGTGCTTGCAACTAGTTGGTAAATATATTTCAAAACAGAAATATATCTAAAATGCAAGGCTCTAGGGTTGCGTTTCCCAACGTCGGCAGCTTTAAGGTGTGTGGACTTCAACTCCCAGAATTCCCCTCTGGCTGTGCCCGTCCCCCTTACCTTTTTTCTAGCTGCATTCTGGTTTTCACCATCCAGATGGGATTCATCATGGAATTAGTCACAAAAGCTGGAGAAGAGCAAGGAAAACCAGCAAAAAAAAAAAAAAAAAAAAGATGGGGTCAGCCCTTCAAAAGACGTTGAGGAACTTCAACTCCCAGAATTCCCCAGCCAGCCCGCTCTGTGGCTGCAGAGGCCAGGAGAATCCGATTGTGCGAAACACAATGGAAAACACAGCTTGGTGAACACAGGTTCCCCCACCGAATGTCCCAGGCTAGCCTCGAAATATCTTTTTCACCCTCAAAAGTGGCAACCTGTTCGGTCCAGCTGGACAAATATGAGCCAAGCCAGATCTGGCACACCTGGGACAGGTAAACCAACCTGCGGAAGCTGCTGAGCAGATATGGACGATGTTGCTGTTGGGTACAAAGACGTGGTTGAATTGCTCCTTCGCCTGGGAATAACACGCAAAGTAAACAGCCCTGCAAAGAGGCAAAACAAATTACGGGGAGTCCTTGCCTTACGCCCAAAATTTCTGTTGTTAAGTGAGACATTTCTTAAGTGAGGTTTGCCCCTTTTTACTACCTCCCTTATTACAATACTACACTCTAATACTATTATATAACAATGTATAATAATAATAATAATAATATGAAGAAAAGAGGAAGAAAAAGAAGTTGGAAGGGACCTTGGAGGTCATCTAGTCCAACCCCGCAGCGGTCCAGTGAAAAACAGTCACTTTTTTCAGTGCAGTTGTAGCTTTGAACGGTCACTAAATGAACTGTTAAGTGGAGGATTGCCTGCGCTGGTAGCCACCTGCTTAAAACCACAATTCAAATTTCCACGACTAAGAAAGACGGTTGTCCGGCAAGTTTTACGGGTTTTCCTTGCCACAATTGTTCAGCACAAATCGCTGCACTTGTTAAGTTAGCGACACGGGTGTGAAGCGAATCCTGTCGGAAGGTCGCAAAAGGGGATCGAGTGACACCCCCCCCTCCCCAGGACACCGTGACCGTCATAAATATGAGTCGGTTTTGATCACGTGACTGCAAGTGTGAAAAAGGATTACAAGCCCCACTTTTCAGTGCTCTTGTTCACTTTGGATGGTCGCTAAACGAATGAATCAATAAGTTGAGGAGTAGCTGCAATACCATTTGCAAACTCAAGGGGGAGCCAAGCAACCTTTTTCACCAGTTCTATAGCTAGTAAAAAAAATTCCCAATCGCCAGCAGAGCAGATATATTTCACTATATGTTTTCCATTTCTGCCTTGAAAACTGAGAGTATCTAAGTAGCAATCCTCACATTCTTCACAATGATGCAGAAACTCCTGAAGACCAGAATTTCCCTCGGCCCCCCATATCCCTGCACCCACCCACCAGTGAACGAACCCTCTTTGGGGGGGGGGGATGAAAAACTGCTCTTAAATTTCTACCTGGAGGGCGCGACTCCAACCAGATTGGGCCCCAGCCCACGGAAAAGTGACTTTGGGCCCTCCTTTTCCAAAATGGACCTGGAAAACAAAACAAAACCAACAAAAAAAGACAGGGGGCGGGGCGGGAGAGAGGAGCAGAAACTTCAGAAGATTGGTTCAAAGCAGTTGGCAATTAAGAAGGGCTGAAACCTGAGACTAGTGTTAGAAAAGCCACAAGGTAGTAATTTTTAATTCAGGTTACAACACAATGGGTTTTTCCCTGATCAGATTCTCTTCCCTTTGCATTTATTTTTCAGCTGTTCGAGGACTGGCCAATTTTGCACTTTGTTTAAGTAAATCAGGCTGAAATGTCTCTCTCTCTCTCTCTCTCTCTCTCTCTCTCACACACACACACACACACACACACAAATCAGTCCCGAATATTTGGGCTCTTGTGTTTCCAAGAAACCCCATCCGCTCGCCTGCTGAAAATAAGAAATAATTGTGGTTCTGGAGCCGACAGAGGAAAACACAAACCCTGCATTGTGTTTACAAGTTCACAGCCACCTTCGGAGGAGACTTGTTAATT